TACTTGATTGCCCTTACATATCTCCTCTCTTACAAAAACTGTTGCCCTCAACAGTTCGACTTATAATTATTATTTCATTATTTTCTAATCATCTGATTTTCTCAAGATTTCGATAATCCACTTATTTAGGATTGAAAAAGTTAATATAAGTAACAGATGAAATGATTACATGTTAAATAGATTGAATGAATTGAATAATAAAATGATTAAATAGACAATTAGATTGAGATTTAAGATTAAGATCAAGAGTAAGATTAACATTATGATTAAGATGAAGATAATTGATTAATAGTAAAAATTTTTTTAAAGAACATCAATTTTGATGATTTAAGAATGACCTCTGTTCAAGTCGAAATAGTTCAAATCCAAAGAGAGGTTATTTATCAGCTCTCGTCACGTTCAGTTAGTAGATATACTTTCGGATCCAAAAAGTATATAAACTAGACTAAATAGATGATCAGATACTCCTTAATTCTGATTATCATGAATTTGTTGTCTCGACATGATTGATAAAATTTGCGAATATTGTTCATTATTTTGATCGCCATTCCAACCATTGTATTCATAGTTGTTAGTTGGTGTGTTCCAATACCTTTTTATATATTCATTTTCACCTGGTGGTTGTTTATTTCCATATCTCTTACTCAGATTTCCAATAAAATTCGATCCTTGATAAGCTTCCTCGTCGTTTGATTCATTCCATGTTTCATAAGAATTCTGTTGCCAAAATGAATCATTCTGTTCATCAATATTTTCTGATAATCTGTTATTCATTTTCGTATTACAGCTACAATTATTTGCATTATGTCCATTTTCTCCACAAGTCCAACAAACAGTATCGTGTACATTATTTCTCGTATTGTTATAATTTTCTGATTTTTCGAACATTTGTAGTAATTTTGTTTCAGATTTGGTGATAACCTTGTTCATAACATCCTGTATCACTTTACACATAATTTCTTCCATTTCTTTGTTATCCATATTGTTTGATTTGTTATCAGGAATTTGACACGATTCTAGACCTCTTTCGATTAGTTTAGCTTTCATTGTTAGTTCATTTAAATCTTGTGGATTATAAACAAATAATTTCGACGCAATTTTTGGATTTATTCCAATCAACACATAATGTAATTTTTCCGATTCCTTCATTTCAGGATTAATTCGATTGCACAAAGCTTCTTTCGCCACAATATAATTAGCAACAGGCTCATTTATTTTCTGAATTCTTTTTGATAATTCTTGTCGTAACCATAATTCCTGGTCCACAGGTAAAAATTGTTGCTTAAATAGATTCAAAACTTCATCCCAACTTTTAATTTTATTTCCAATTTTCACAGAAAACCAATCTCTAGCCACTCCCGCTAGATAAACAGGTAATTTAATTATTTTTGATTCATCACTCCATTTATTCGACTTAGCGATATATTCAAATTCTTCCAACCATTTTATTAAATCTTGTTCAGGCGCCGCAGTATAAATTTCCATTTTCTTCGTGCCTGTAGTTCTAAACGTATTTTGAAGAGATTCCATTATCAGAGCCTTAACATCTTCAGCACTCAAAGCTGAATCACTTTTGTTTTCGACATAATTATTAAATTTTAGAACATAAATAGATCAACTGGATTAAGAACTGTTAGTCATTAGATTAGTGAATACAGATGAATTAATTAATAATAACTCAGATGGTGATAATTATGAGACTGGATAAATCGAAACACTTTGCAGCCGATGACATACACTTATGATGGAGACACTGAAACACTTGTAGATACACTTATTTTCTTTCACTTTTGATTTATAACGTTTTTTTATCTAATTATTTTGGAAATGTTTCTTCTCGAAACCCCACTTCTGACACCATTAAATATGTAAGGAAAATCGGGTTTTACATTGCAAACAGCAATAGTTTGACTTTACTGAGAATTTATCTCCAAGAACCACTGTAAGATTGAGTAACAAACTAAGTATCTGACCAGGACTCGAACTGGGGTCAGATACTTTAAAATATTTTGACTTACCCAATCCTTGGTTGTATGGCTTAAGTGGACCAGTGAGTTGTCAATGAAGACGATAGAGATGATTAATAAACTTGGTGCACTAGTTTATTCATTAAACAATTAAATTGAAACACAATATACAAATACAATTAAATAAAACATAGTTCAATAGTAACATTAATGTTTAAGAGGATTATTATATTGATATTCATTTCATCATGATACTCTTAGGACTGACCCCTACCCCTTCCTCTACCTTCGTCTTTTATTTTAGTTATTGTTTTCCTTTATACTCCTTTCTCCCTAAAGTTTGATATAGAATTATTTCAATCGGAAGTATTTTGATTAACACTTCCGAAACCTTAAATGAATTACTTAAACTTGTAGTAAATTGATTAGAAATTGACATTCATGAAATCTTATAAATTCTGACAATAATTAATTGTGAACTTTTAAGTTTCGATTAACTAATCGGCTGATGCTTCCCTGTTGCGCTACTTGATTGCCCTTACATATCTCCTCTCTTACAAAAACTGTTGCCCTCAACAGTTCGACTTATAATTATTATTTCATTATTTTCTAATCATCTGATTTTCTCAAGATTTCGATAATCCACTTATTTAGGATTGAAAAAGTTAATATAAGTAACAGATGAAATGATTACATGTTAAATAGATTGAATGAATTGAATAATAAAATGATTAAATAGACAATTAGATTGAGATTTAAGATTAAGATCAAGAGTAAGATTAACATTATGATTAAGATGAAGATAATTGATTAATAGTAAAATTTTTAAAGAACATCAATTTTGATGATTTAAGAATGACCTCTGTTCAAGTCGAAATAGTTCAAATCCAAAGAGAGGTTATTTATCAGCTCGTCACGTTCAGTTAGTAGATATACTTTCGGATCCAAAAAGTATATAAACTAGACTAAATAGATGATCAGATACTCCTTAATTCTGATTATCATGAATTTGTTGTCTCGACATGATTGATAAAATTTGCGAATATTGTTCATTATTTTGATCGCCATTCCAACCATTGTATTCATAGTTGTTAGTTGGTGTGTTCCAATACCTTTTTATATATTCATTTTCACCTGGTGGTTGTTTATTTCCATATCTCTTACTCAGATTTCCAATAAAATTCGATCCTTGATAAGCTTCCTCGTCGTTTGATTCATTCCATGTTTCATAAGAATTCTGTTGCCAAAATGAATCATTCTGTTCATCAATATTTTTCTGATAATCTCTGTTATTCATTTTCGTATTACAGCTACAATTATTTGCATTATGTCCATTTTCTCCACAAGTCCAACAAACAGTATCGTGTACATTATTTCTCGTATTGTTATAATTTTCTGATTTTTCGAACATTTGTAGTAATTTTGTTTCAGATTTGGTGATAACCTTGTTCATAACATCCTGTATCACTTTACACATAATTTCTTCCATTTCTTTGTTATCCATATTGTTTGATTTGTTATCAGGAATTTGACACGATTCTAGACCTCTTTCGATTAGTTTAGCTTTCATTGTTAGTTCATTTAAATCTTGTGGATTATAAACAAATAATTTCGACGCAATTTTTGGATTTATTCCAATCAACACATAATGTAATTTTTCCGATTCCTTCATTTCAGGATTAATTCGATTGCACAAAGCTTCTTTCACAATATAATTAGCAACAGGCTCATTTATTTTCTGAATTCTTTTTGATAATTCTTGTCGTAACCATAATTCCTGGTCCACAGGTAAAAATTGTTGCTTAAATAGATTCAAAACTTCATCCCAACTTTTAATTTTATTTCCAATTTTCACAGAAAACCAATCTCTAGCCACTCCCGCTAGATAAACAGGTAATTTAATTATTTTTGATTCATCACTCCATTTATTCGACTTAGCGATATATTCAAATTCTTCCAACCATTTTATTAAATCTTGTTCAGGCGCCGCAGTATAAATTTCCATTTTCTTCGTGCCTGTAGTTCTAAACGTATTTTGAAGAGATTCCATTATCAGAGCCTTAACATCTTCAGCACTCAAAGCTGAATCACTTTTGTTTTTCGACATAATTATTAAATTTTAGAACATAAATAGATCAACTGGATTAAGAACTGTTAGTCATTAGATTAGTGAATACAGATGAATTAATTAATAATAACTCAGATGGTGATAATTATGAGACTGGATAAATCGAAACACTTTGCAGCCGATGACATACACTTATGATGGAGACACTGAAACACTTGTAGATACACTTATTTTCTTTCACTTTTGATTTATAACGTTTTTTTTTATCTAATTATTTTGGGAAATGTTTCTTCTCGAAACCCCACTTCTGACACCATTAAATATGTAAGGAAAATCGGGTTTTACATTGCAAACAGCAATAGTTTGACTTTACTGAGAATTTATCTCCAAGAACCACTGTAAGATTGAGTAACAAACTAAGTATCTGACCAGGACTCGAACTGGGGTCAGATACTTTAAAAGATATTTTGACTTACCCAATCCCTTGGTTGTATGGCTTAAGTGGACCAGTGAGTTGTCAATGAAGACGATAGAGATGATTAATAAACTTGGTGCACTAGTTTATTCATTAAACAATTAAATTGAAACACAATATACAAATACAATTAAATAAAACATAGTTCAATAGTAACATTAATGTTTAAGAGGATTATTATATTGATATTCATTTCATCATGATACTCTTAGGACTGACCCCTACCCCTTCCTCTACCTTCGTCTTTTATTTTAGTTATTGTTTTCCTTTTATACTCCTTTCTCCCTAAAGTTTGATATAGAATTATTTCAATCGGAAGTATTTTGATTAACACTTCCGAAACCTTAAATGAATTACTTAAACTTGTAGTAAATTGATTAGAAATTGACATTCATGAAATCTTATAAATTCTGACAATAATTAATTGTGAACTTTTAAGTTTCGATTAACTAATCGGCTGATGCTTCCCTGTTGCGCTACTTGATTGCCCTTACAATATATCTGTAAGTACCTTTTGTGAAAATCGATAGTCTGTAGTCAGAAAATGATAATGCGCAATTCGATAAAGCGATTTGTAATGATGACGATAATCTTTTAAAATATAAAAAATCGCTTTAAGACACGTTTGTTCTATTCTGTTGACTAATTGCTCACTATCGCTTTCGAAGATTCCATCATGGACCAGAGTAGCCAAATCAGTCACCGTTTCGTTGATATCTCGCATGATTTCATCATCTGTTTCATCTTTTAGATTAAACCAAGAACCGAAATAGCTTTTCTTAGCACGAGTTAGAAACAACATAATCTGTGATAATATTTTTGTTGGCGGAGTTTTGTGCCTATTAATATACTTGAGGACACAAGCATGAATACGATAATGAATTTCGTTGCCAAACCCATCACAAATTTCAAAGTCATAATCGATACCACGATTTGCTGCACTTGAGAACATACAGGGTGCGCCGTCGGGTAGTGTATTGGTGAAAAATTCTATAACTTTTGAATGGAGAGGAATTTTTTGACACAAGATATGTCTAAATAAGCGTTATATGGTCCAGTTTATTCAGATAAATTTTCAAATGATTCAATCAATTGATAAAAAATTTCTGACGAAAACTTCACTATTGAGGATTGCATCGGTGATATCCTTTCATTGAACATAAATCTCTATCTAGACTTTAACTGTTAATGAAGGGCAGTCTTTCATCATTTTAAGTAATGCCTCTTTGCTGTACGTTGAGAAAAAACTCTTTAAGAAAGTCTATGAAAGGTTGAAAACTCTGAGAGAAATTGAAAATTTTGGAAATTTATTTTAAAAAATTACGAAATTCCATCGATTATTAAGACTCAATTAATATGACTTTACTAAAAAGTGTTTAATTATAAATTGGAATATGTAAGCTATGTGTGTAGCAAAAATCAACGAAAAAAAAACACTCTAGTAGAAGTTATAATAATTTTCACCAATACACTACCCGCTGGCGCGCCCTGTATGAAGCTTAGATAATTCATAATATCGAAGTGTTTGTAAGATGTTACTTCTTTCAGCGATTTTTCCTAAGAAATAGTAATTTAACCAAATTTCGTCATCATTAGCAAATTTGTTAGCTGATTCGAAGCAAACTCGAGCTTGATCTAAGAATTGCTTTCGCCGTTGATTCATTGTTTCTTTTCTCGAATTTTCCAAAACTGGTCCAAATTTCATGACTCGCGAAATATAACTCGCGATGTTATAAGCACACTTTCCATATTTAATCATCAATTTAGATTCACCTTCTTTAAGTCGAAGTGCTTCATTGTAACATCGACCAGCTTTCTCTCCCAAAAGCAACACTTCATCAATAGCTGAGTAGAAAACTTGACAACTCTGTTTCAAAAGAAAGTAGAGATAATTAAAGATTAGAATTGCAACAAAATAAACAAAAGATCAAATACTCACTGGTAAAGAATATTGGTAGATTAGATCTGTCATTGAGAGAGCACAACCAACCCATGAATCAAATCGACTTCGATTTAAAGTTAAATCAAGAATATAGAATTTGATGGCTTTTCTATGAATTAGATGAATATTATTATTATTAGAAATCATTTTAAATTTGCGAGCTATTAAAATGAATTAACTTACTGAAAGTGGCCGTGTTTTAAGTAATAATCAGCTAAATAATAGTAAAGATCTTGAGTAACATGATTTTTTGGAATAATTGTAGGCTCAATTGATTTTCCATGATCGATAAATTCTTTGACAGAATTGGAAAATCTTTCAGGATTTAAATTGTCAGGGACCAAGAGAAGTAAACTGCGTAACAACTCCTCAATATTTGAGCCAATCGATTTACCTGTTTCACTATCAAAAGTTGGTAAAGTTTTAGGAATGAAGTAATTGTAAATAGTAAAAATGTCCTTCCAACGTAGAGTAACTCTCGCTTCATGATGAGAGATAAGGAAGCTACATTTTAATTGATTGTAGAAACAACCAAGACAGCTGTTGATTAGTCTCTCTTTCTTTTTGTTACATTGATTAATCAGATAATCTAATGAAAGAGATAAAAACTCTCCATTGTAATCACCACAAGCACCTCCATGACCTAAATAATCGTGAACTGAACCAATCAAACCGGTGATTTTTCCTTCGTCTAATTTACCAACTCGCATTTCATTTATAAATGTTTGTAGAATACAAGTCCAGGCCATTGCATTGTAGTCTTTAGTCCCTAATTTTAGCAATTTAATAGCCAATTCACCGTTAATTGATAATTTATCACCATTCTTTAAACAATCTCGTAACAGTTTTAACAATCGAACAGTTAATTGTTTACTTTTAGCAATAATATCGACTCCTCGTTTCCATTGTTTCGATGACTGAATAGCTTGACAAAGGTACACTTCTTCTTGTCTAGAGAGCTCAGATTTAGATGCTAACAGTTCAACAATTTCCTCGTGTCGATGTTGGTCCAATAACGTATCCAAATTATTTTCGTTCATCTTGTTGATCATTGATTTAAGAATAGACGAACAATAAACTGTTTGATTTGTGGTTTGAACCAATTTAAGGTTAGATTTTTCGAAAACTTCATTTGCCATTAGAAGATAATCAACTTTAGATTCTTTGATTCCTCGAAGAATCATGAGACGAATGAAAAATTTATCATAATCGTTAGAATTCAATAAATCTCGTAGATATGGAATTGATTCAGTCAAAAATATTGCTTCAGATTGATTAAACTTCACTTCATTGGCAGTTAAGATCAATTTTGTCGCTAATATTCCAATAGCACTGGTACAAAGCATTGAAGGTTTGGACAATGGATAACTTTGTCGATGAGTTCCATACAGATCGATGAAATTAGAAGGTAATTTGATTGCAGCTGCTTGGTCTGCTATTTCGTAAAGAAGATCGTTAATAAGCAGATTGATTTGTTTTCCTTTTGAGACGAATGGTATTTGTTTCGCACGATAACGGGTTAAAATTAAATGTTCAACTTGAGCTTCGTTCTGTGTTTGTAACTGTAACTCTTCTTCTTGGACTATTACACGAGTTAAAACACTTCCAGGAAACATGAAGAAAATCTTTTTGTACATATTGTCGACTGTTGCATCGGTTGTCTTTTTATCTCGAGCTGATCTTCGTTTGACAGATAACTCAGGACTTGTCCCACGTGTCTTTCGCTTATTATTTTGATTTAGGTGAGAACTACGGATAGATCGAGAAGCATTGCAATTTTGCACCGGATTGGAAGAGACTTTGATTGATATTAACGAGTTTGGATTGACTCTATTTTCGGTCATTTTGTTTTTAACGTCTATCAAGGCTGAAATGACAGATTTTAAAGAGTTATATCTGGTGTCATTGAGATCGAAACTTAAAGATTTTCGAACATTTTCTCGTTTTTCTTCACTTTCCTTTCGTCGCTCATGGAGTTGTTTTAAATTCTCCAGAACTTCTAAAAGTTTTCTCTTTCTTTCTAAGCCGTCGTCTTTCTGGACTATTTCACGACTTAAAACACTTTCGGGGAACATGAAGAAAATCTTTTTGTACATATTGTCGACCGTTGCATCGGTTGTCTTCTTATTTCGAATTGGTCTCCGTTTGACAGATAACTCAGGACTTGATCCTCTTGATCCTATGGTCTTTCGCTTATTATTTTGATTTAGGGCTTTCTTGTGAGAACTACGGATAGACCGAGGAGCATTGCCATTTGGAACAGGATTGGTAGAGATAGTGATCGATATTAACGAATTAGGATCGACTTTATGTTCTGTCATTTTGTTTTTAACGTCTATCAAGGCTGAAATTACAGATTTTAAAGAGTTATATCTGGTGTCATTGAGATCGAAACTTAAAGATTTTCGAAAATTTTCTCGTTTTTCTTCACTTTCCTTTCGTCGCTCATGGAGTCGTTTTAAATTCTCCAGAACTTCTAAAAGTTTTCTCTTTCTTTCTAAGCCTTGCTGCGGATTCCAATTTTTTAGATAATTAAGACGGACAGGCAATTCTGATTCTAAAGATGGTGAAAGTTTCAACATCTCTGAGACTAATACACGACCTTTAAAGTAATTACCATCCTTCATTAATCCTTTGATTGCGAGTTGTAGACAATTATTGTGATCATTGAGTACGGAATAAAGACCCATTAATGTGTCGAGAACAACCAATTGGTTGGATCGATTCGATGAGCTTCTTCAAAACATATCCGAGCAAACTGCAAATCTACTGACTGATTAAGTGCTCGTTTACCAGTTTCAATCAATAGAGTAACATCACCACCAGCAATGGAAGAACAGTCGAGAAAATAATCCAGATCATTTCTTGTAAGTTGTTTTTGATTCGTGAGGTTGACAAACTTTTGTTGGATACAGTTGATAAGATTGATCGACTTACAGGGGCAGGATGGAGAGTTACAGTCATTTTTATGGCGAAGATGATCTTTGATAAAGTCGTGAGCCAATTTAAGTATATTATCTGGAAAGAATGGGCTATGATTAGACTTCCAATTCCGTGGACTAGGAACCAACTCATGAAAATCAGTCTCTTCACTCCAAACAACGCCCGATTTTGTTAATTCAGGAATATTATACGATTGGACGATCTCTTCAACCCACAGCCGTAATTTCGAGTCCGCAAGTTTATAGTTGAGTTTATCCGACTTGATTAAATTGGTTATTCCAAGTTTATCATTTCGATTCAATAAATTCAAAAATTGTTTAACTTTGTCCACTGAAGCTCGCAGAGAGTCTAATTGATTTTTGTTAATGTTCACATAAGACTCCAATTCTTTTTGCAAGTGGTTGATTTGCTTATCGAACTTGTCCTTTTCTTTTTCAATCTCATTTGTATACTCTTTTAGTTTTATGTTCAATAGATCCAATTGCTTTTGTACATCAGCAAGATAAATTTTAATATTTTCTGTTACTCTGAGGTTGTTGGTATCGGTGTTGTTGTTGTTGTCTAATTCAATTGGTACGATATTAGAAGAATTGTTATTCTTTGCACATTTCGCACAAAACAATTCACTGGTTTCATTGTCGAAAAATTGAGCGATACATTTGCTACATTTGGAACATGGTTGATCATCAGTCTCCGAACTGAGAATCACAGCACAACATCGTTTTGATGGTAAAATTGTTCTATGAAAACTAAGTAAATGAGGCTCACAAAAATCTTTTTCATCACAAAAACAATGGAAAATGGCTTGATTGTTACAAACGGAATCATCTCTACATCTTTTCCTTTCAATGGCTTTGAGGTAATCAGTTTCGACGAGTTTAGATTTACACAAGACACACAAATCATTTTCTTGTTTACACTTTTCACAAAATGTTTTTAAACATTTGTGAACATAAAAAACATCACTTTGATCGTGATCACAGTCCAGCTTGTCGATTGATTGACTACTCATTTCTTGGTGATAAAAAGATTCAAATTTTGAGTGAAAGATTAGTCAAAAATTTATACTCACTTCTTCCATGATCGATTGTAGAGTTGATTAAATGAGTCCAAAGCAAAATAGGTAAGGACAATTAACAACATTAGCTTCTGAAATCACTATTGAAAATGGTTGATCGGAATTTTAATCTTTTAAAGTAACTTAAGAGACATTAAGATTGTTACTATCAATTATCATTTGACTATATGATGAAATTTTGTTTCTATCGAAAAATTAATCGACCATCACGACAGATGTTCTTTATTGGTCAATCTTTTCCTTTTTTCTTAACTTAATTAGTTTTTTTCATTATCTTTCTCCCATGTAATTTTTTCTCTAATCTATAGAATTTCAATAGAGAAGTAAAGAAAGAAGGAATTTGTAGAAAGGAAGAAAGATAATAAAAAAACTTATTAAGATGAAGAAAAAAGGTAAAGAGTAATTAGAAAAAAACATGCATCATGATGGTCAATTTGTTTTTCAACAGAAACAATGTATCATCACATTTTTCAAATGCCTCCCTTCACTGTTTCTCTGTTTAATTTCTTCAGTTCTGGAAAATTTGCTAGTTTATTCGAAGCATGCATGTGCGTGGTCTGAGAATCAAGCATGAGAAGCAAAATGTTTGTAACAATCATAGTCAAAATGCCTAATGTTTCCACCATTTGTGGTTTTGAAGTGGCTTCCTCATAGGGTAAGTTGGTGGAAACGATTAACTTGTTAAACATTTTGACAAATTGCAAGAATCCAAAAGGAAAATAATGGAAACACTTTCAATGGCTTCAGAATCGAAAGTCGATCCTACACTTTTTCTTTGTTGACTTAATCTTTCAGAATGAAAATATTCCAGTTCGCAGACAAAATCAACAAGTTTATATCAAAATTGTTAGAGAATTTGTTACGAGATATTCTCACCATGAAATCAAATTTTGCTCCGACAATTAAATTCTCGTAAATTCTAAAACAATCCGATTTTCTTTCATTCATTCATTCATTCATTCGTAAATTCATTTTATATTTTAAAAATCGTGATCCTGATTGAACAATTAGTTTATTTTAATAAATTAATTGAGGAAATCACACTGAAACAAAATCTAATAAAATTTTATGTTTATTTATAGTTTACAATTGTTTATTCAAATACATTGTACAATTTTTCATTATGTTATTTCTAAATTTGCTTTATCTCGATTAAGTTGATCTTTGGTGAAAAGAACAGTAATCAAAGCAATTACAAGCATTAATAGAAACGGAGAAAAAGCATAATACAAATTGTAGTATTGTAAAAGATGCGAAACTAAAACTGTCGCTGGCCAACTGATCAATTGGTTAGAAAACATCATTAGAGTGACACAAACTGATTCGGACATTGGATAATTGGCCTGGACAATGAAGTCCATTCCTATTGGGTAAGTTCCTGCTAACAAGAAGCCTAATAAAGTGACCACGATTGTTACAAACAATTTGCTTCCCATTTCTAGGGAATAAATTAATAACCCAAATAATGGAACCATAAGAATGGAGCTAATCAAAGTTACCAATTTATACTTTCTCGTTTTATCGGTTACCCAGGCCAATATTAGCGAACCGAATACACTTGAAAGAGAAGCAATCGCACCGATTATACCGATCAGGATGTTTTGATTTGGAAAATATTTACTAATCATTGGACTTAATAGTCCAAGGACAACATTGGCCAGTGTTTGAAGAAAAGTAAAAGTGATTAATATAAAATTAGAGACTCGATTGGTAAGAATCACTTTCCATGATTCAATGAATTCCGTACTCTCAGCTGCTGCTTTAGCCGAGGCAAAACTTGGCGGATATTCGGGCTGATTTTTTACCAGAAATAAATTCAGAAAGTATAATAAAAACCCACTCAAAGCGTAGTAGAAAAAGAAACGTTCAAGGTCTATTTTTTGGACACTTGGTGAAGATCCATCGGGAACAGCGAGAGATGGAAGATAATAACCTAATCCATTACCAAAGAACATCGGGAAAATAGCGATCGCCGTTATGGTCGAGGCCACTTCTGCAGGGAACCAAGTCAATGCAATACTTGACGGGAGAAAAGCAAGAAAAGTTTGACCAGCAGCGACAATTGATTGGCCTAAACAAGTGATCAGAAAATTAGGATAGACGATTGAATAATATTTGATTGCGGTTCCAATGAAATTAAATCCCGATGCCGAAATCATACAAAAACGGAGGCCAAATACATCCAAACAATAAGCTGAGATGAAACATGTTAATAAATAAACTGGACACCAAAGAGTCACTGTCCAGTCGATATCCGTGTTAGAAGCGCCAAAGTAAGGCCTTAAAATGTCCGCAATCACTTGGTACTGCGTCCATTGGGAGTTTGTATGTAAACAGGTCAAACAGTAGATCGTTAAGACCAAAAACCGATGTTTAGATAATTTGATTTTAACTTCATCTTTAATCATACTATTAATACTCAAATAGTTTCATACGTTAACCTTAAAAATTGTGATTTGATTGTAACAATGACAAACTGTTTTGTTGGAAAGGTGTAAACATGAAATGAGACCTTCAATGTTAAATTAATAGTCATGAAAGCGTAACAAACAACAAAATCATTTACTCAACTGTATTTACTTTTAATCAAATTAATGACATTCAATCACCTTCCTAAAGATTTATTTCATTTATAATATAATAGACGAAAGGACAAAAATTAAGTCAATTTCGAGATGTAAATTTAGTCTCAAGATAATTAATGAAATTACCAATAAACTTAAACGCAAATCTGAGTTCAGTTCTTAATTGAAACAAATCATGTAGTCGTAAAGAAATTATTATTTTGCTATTTTGTTTATTTGCTCTTTTGAGGTACGATCCAGATCATCGAAATCTTTGATCAATACAATTAATTAATTGTTATACATTGGACATGTTTTTCGAGAAATTGTTGAGCCTGTTGTTTATAGATAGAAGATTCCATCAATTTTTTACAGATTCTCCTTACTTCAACTTTTATTTGATCTAAATTGTTTCGATTTCCTTTTGCTTTTGCAATTCGACTTTCGTAAACGTTGAAACAATGTTCCATTGCTTGTTTTCCAAGATTTTCCCGATCGGTTTCACAAAGATATTTTTCAAATGCTGATGAGCTCAGATGCATTGTGATTATGAACAATTGTTCAGCATCTCCCAAATTCTTGTTTATATTAATCAATAACAGAGTCGATCGAAGCATATGAGTAATAAAACTTCCTGGTCTGTCAAATATCGCATCTAGTCTCATTAGGTCAGGGAGTGCTAGCCAATGTGAAGTCAAGACAAAAAGACCATCAAACTTATACCTGTATTCTGAAACAGTTGAAATTTCCCCATTTGATGTAGAGCCTTGTGAGTTGGGTGGAAATAGAAAACTACCTGAGAGTACCTTTTGTGAGAATCGATAGTCTTTAGTCAGAAAATAATGATGCGCAATTCGATAGAGTGATTTGTAATGCTGAGAACGTTGTTTTAAAATATCTAAAATCGCTTCAAGACACATTTGTACTATTCTGGTGAACAATTGCTCGCTATCACTTTCGAGGATTCCATCATGGACCAGAGTAGCCAAATCAGTCACCGTTCTGTTGACATCTTGCATGATTTCATCATCTGCTTCATCTCTTAGATTAAACCAAGAACCGAAATAGCTTTTTTTAGCACGAGTTAGAAACAACATAATCTGTGATAATATTTTTGTTGGCGGAGTTTTGTGCTTATTAATATACTTGAGGACACAAGCGTGAATACGATAGTGAATTTCGTTGCCAAAACCATAACAAATTTCAAAGTCATAACCGATTCCACAATTTGCTGCACTTGAGAGCATATGAATCTTAGATAATTCATAATATCGAAGTGTTTGTAAGATGTTACTTCTTTCAGCAATTTTTCCTAAGAAATAATAATTCATCCAAATTTCATCAGCATTAGCAAATTTGTTAGCTGATTCGAAGCAAACTCGAGCTTGATCTAAGAATTTCTTTCGCCGTTGTTGCATTGCTTCTTTCCCCGAATTTTCCAACACTGGCCTGATTTTCATGATTCGAGAAATATAGCTCGCGATGTTATAAGTACACTTTCCATTTTCGAACCATACCCTTGAATTATTACTTTTAATCCGAATCGCTTCATTGAAACATCGAAATACTTTTTCTTCCAAAAGCAACATTTCTTCAGTAGATGAGCAGAAATCTCGACAACTCTGTTTTAAAAGAAATTAGAGATTAATTAAAGATTAACAAAATAAACACAAGACAAGCGGGAACAAAGTTTCTTACGAAAGTTTGTTAAGGTTGTTTGCCAGGCCCGTGGTTGGGGATATTGAAATGTGAAGCGTTTTTGAATCGAAAAATTAAAAACTAAATTTCTTTTTCTTTCTCACTACTCTCTTTTTCTCTTTCTTTTTCTTTTTCTCTTTCGTCTTTCTTTTTAGAATGCCCGCTGTAAAAAAGCGCAACTGCGTACTTAAAATAATTTGAGTCTCAATTTCTCATGAACGGCTACTCAGATTTTTTTCTGTAGTATTTTCTACTCTATTTTTTGGTACCTCAACTTCTCATAGAATCCTTTTTTCTTTACCCAAAATTTGAGCTTATCTTATTCAAGTTTGTAGATTAAATACTTACAGTCGAAGAATATTGATCGATTTGCCACGTAATTGCGAGAGCACAGCTAACCCATGAATCAAATCGACTCCGATTTAAAGTTAAATCAAGAATATAAAATTTGATGGCTTTTCTATGAATTAGATAAATAATATTAGAAATCATTTAAATTTGCGAGCTATTAAAATGAATTAACTTACTGAAACTCTTCGTTTTTGAAGTAATAATCAGCTAGATAATAGTAAAGATCTCGAGTAACATGATTTTTTGGAATACTTGTAGGTTCAATTGGTTTCCCATGATCGACATATTCTTTGACAGAATTGGAAAATCTTTCAGGATTTAAATTGTCAGGGACCAAGGGAAGTAAATTGCGTAGAAGCTCTTCAGTATTTAAATCGATTGAATTATCTGTTTCACTATCAAACTTTGGTAAAGTTTCAGGGATGAAGTAATTGTAAATAGGATGAATGTCCTTCCAACGTAGAGAAACTCCCGACTCATGATTAGCTGATAGAAAGCTACATTCTAATTGTTTGTAAAAACAACCAAGGCAGCTAAGAATTAATCTTTCTTTGATTCTGCTACATTGAAAAATCAAATAATCAAGTGCGAGGGATAAAAACTCGCCATTTGAGTGACAACATGCTCCTTTATTCCCTAGATAATCGTGAACTGAATCAATCAAACCTGTGATTTTCCCTTCGTCTAATTTACCAACTCGCATTTCATTTATGAATGTTTGTAGAATACAAGTCCAGGCCATTGCATTGTAGTCTTTAGTCCCTAATTTTAGCAATTTGATGGCCAATTCTCGATCAATTGATAGTTTATCTCCATTCTTTAAACAAGCTCGTAACAATTTTAACAATCGATCATTTAATTGCTTACTTTTAGCAATAATTTCGATTCCACGTTTCCATTGTTTTGATGACTGAATGGCGCGACAAAGGTACACTTCTTCTTGTCTAGAGAGCTCAGATTTAGATGTTAATAGTTCAACAATTTCCTCGTGTCGGTGGTGATCCAATAACGTGTCCAAATTATTTTCGTTCATCTTGTTGGTCATTGATTTAAGAATAGACGAACTAAAAAATGTTTGATTTGCTGTTTGAACCAATTTAAGGTTAGATTTTTCGAAAACTTCATTTGCCATTAGAAGATAATCAACTTTAGATTCTTTGATTCCTCGAAGAACCATGAGACGAATGAAAAATTTATCATAATCGTTGGGATTGAATAAATCTCGCAGAAATGGAATTGATTCAGTCAAAAATAATACTTCAGATTGATTAAAGTTCACCTCATTGGCAGTTAAGATCAATTTTGTCGCTAATACTCCAATACCACTTGTACAAAGCGTTGAAGGTTTGGACAATGGATAACTTTTTCGATGAATTCCATACAGAGCCATGAAATTAGAAGGTAATTTGATTAAAGGTGCTTGATCTGCTATTTCGTATAAAAGATCGCTAATAAGTAGACCGATCTGTTTTCCTTTTGAGACGAATGGTATTTGTTTCGCGCGATAACGGGTTAAAATTAAATGTTCAACTTGAGCTTCGTGCTGAGTATGTATCATTAACTCGTCGTCTTTCTGGACTATTTCACGAGTTAAAACACTTTCGGGGAACATGAAGAAAATCTTTTTGTACATATTGTCGACCGTTGCATCGGTTGTCTTCTTATTTCGAATTGGTCTCCGTTTGACAGATAACTCAGGACTTGATCCTCTTGATCCTATGTTCTTTCGCTTATTATTTTGATTTGAGGCTTTCTTGTGAGAACTACGGATAGACCGAGGAGCATTGCCATTTGGAACAGGATTGGAAGAGATAGTAATTGATATTAACTCATTTGAATCGACGCTATGTTCTGTCATTCTGTTTTTAACGTCTATCAAGGCTGAAATGACAGATTTCAAAGAATTATAGCTGGTGCCATTGAGATCAAAACTTAAAGATTTTCGAACATTTTCTCGTTTTTCTTCACTTTCCTTTCGTCGCTCATGGAGTTGTTTCAAATTCTCCAGAACTTCTAAAAGTTTCTTCATTCTTTCGTAGTCTTGCTCAGGATTCCAATTTTTTAGATATTTGAGACGGACAGGCAATTCTGATTCTAAAGATGGCAAACGTTTCAACATCTCTGATATTAATACACGAGCTTTAAAGTAATTGCCATCCTTCATTAATCCTTTGATTCCGAGTTGTAGACAATTATTGTGATCATTGAGTACGAAATAAAGACCCATTAAAGTGTCGAGAACAAACCACTTTGTTGGATCGATTCGATGAGCTTCTTCGAAACATATTCGAGCAAACGTCAAATCTACTGCTTGATTAAGAGCTCGTTTACCAGTTTCAATTAATAGAGTAACATCACCACCAGCAATGGAAGAACAGTCGAGAAAATAATCCAAATCGTTTCTTGTAAGTTGTTTCTCGTTTGTCAGGTTGACAAACTTTTGTTGGATACAGTTGATAAGATTGCCTGACTTACAGGGGCAGGATGGAGAGTTACAGTCATTTTTATGGAGAAGATGATCTTTGATAAAGTCGTGAGCCAATTTAAGTATATTATCTGGAAAGAATGGACTATGATTAGACTTCCAATTCCGTGGACCAGGAACCAACTCATGAAAATCAGTCTCTTCGATCCAGCTAAAACCCGATTTTGTTAATTCAGGAATATTATACGATTGAATGATCTCTTCAACCCACAGTCTTAATTTCGAGTCCGCAAGTTTATAGTTGAGCTTATCCGATTTGATTAGATTGATTATTCCAAGTTTATCATTGCGCTTCAATAGATCTAAAAATTGTTTTACTTTGGCAGCTTCATTTCGCAAAGAGTCTAATTGATCTTTGTTAATGTTCACATAAGATTCCAATTCCTTTTGCAAGTGGTTGATTTGCTTATCGAACTTGTCCTTTTCTTTTTCAATCTCATTCGTATACTCTTTTAGTTTTATGTTCAATAGATCCAATTGCTTTTGTACATCAGCAAGATAAATTTTAATATTTTCGGTTACTCTGATGTTGTTGGTATCGGTATTGTTGTTGTTGTCTAATTCAATTGGTATGATATTAGAAGAATTGTTATTCTTTGCACATTTTGCACAAAACAATTCACTGGTTTCATTGTCGAAAAATTGAGCGATACATTTGCTACATTTGGAACATGGTTGATCATCAGTCTCCGAACTGAGAATAACAGCACAACATCGTTTTGATGGTAAAATTGTTCTATGAAAACTAAGTAAATGAGGCTCACAAAAATCTTTTTCATCACAAAAACAATGGAAAATGGCTTGATTGTTACAAACGGAATCATCTCTACATCTTTTCCTTTCAATGGCTTTGAGATAATCAGTTTCGACGAGTTCAGATCTACACAAGACACACATACGATTTTCTTGTTTACACTTTTCACAAAATGTTTTTAAACATTTGTGAACATAAAAAACATCACTTTGATCGTGACCACAGTCCAGCTTGTCGATTGATTGACTACTCATTTCTTGTTGATAAAAAGATTCAAATTTTGAGTGAAAGGTTAGTCAATAATAGTCAAGAGATGATCAAAGGAGTTAAAATCAAAATATTGAAGGCCAATTTCCAACATGACATGAGCTTTAAAAATTGTTGTTTGGAAATTTTAATCCTGCAATGTAACTGTAGAAACGATAAGATTGGCACCATTAATTAATTACCATTTGGCTAGATAATTAGATTTAATTAATTTAACATTTTCTTGCTTGTCAGTGTTGATAATCACATCCATTTGTATAAGTAAACATTGTTATTAAACAATTAACCTCGTTAACAATTCTTATGACCACATTTCCACATCCTAAAACATCGGAAACACTGGAAACAAATTTAAAGGCTTATTGATAATTGCAAGTTGATTCAGTTTCTTGGTTAACATAATTGTTACAAATTAAAGACTCGAAGGGCAAACCAAAGTAAAGCTTAAGATTCATTAAATTAAAACTTTTCATTTAAAAGAACAAATTACATAATTTGAGGCCGAAACGAAGCTCAAAGTTTAAGGCAACGAGACTCGTTGAACGAGAGTTAAAGTAACAGTTTTTTTAATCTTCATTTTAAAAAATAGAAAAAAGAGAAAACCAAAAGGCGCGAGATTCGAATCAAATTATTTAATTAGCTACATATGAAAAAGGACTTAATTGTTCAGTTGCTTGTGTTTGTTTAAATTAGGTTAAAGGAGAAAGTTGATCAATTATTGATTCGATGAAGTGGAATTATGGAAATTTCAAAAGTTCGGTGAGTTTCTTTCGAGAAAACCAAAGATCTCAAGTCATAAAATAATAACAGAAAATGTTTTTCATAAAAATAAAATTATCATTCAAATTGAACAAATTGAGTTTCGTTAAGAATTAGAAATGGTTCTTGCAATTTAAAAAATATTGTTTAAAAAATCTCTCACCATGGAAATCAATTAATAAAATTAATCAATTGTTACAAATTCGACGTTTTTCGAGAAATTGTTGAGCCTGTTTCTTATATTAATCGATCAATACAGTTAATCAATTGTTATACATTCGTCGTGTTTTTCGAGAAATTGTTGAGCCTTTTGTTTATAGATAGGATATTCCATCAATTTGTTACAAATTCTCCTTATATCAACTTTTATTTGATCTAAACTGTTTCGATTTCCTTTAGCTTTTGCAATTCGACTTTCGTAAACGTTGAAACAATGTTCCATTGCTTGTTTTCCAAGATTTTCCCGATCGGTTTCAAAAAGATATTCTTCAAATGCTTCTGAGCTCAGAAGCGTTGTGATTTTGAACAATTGTTCAGCATCTCCCAAATTCTTGTTTACATTAATCAATAACAGAGTCGATCGAAGCATATGAGTAATAAAACTTCCTGGTCTTTCAAATATCGCATCTAGGTCCATTAGATCAGGGAGTACGTCCCAATCATCAGTCAAGTCAAAAAGACCATCAAACCTATGCCTGTATTCTGAAACAGTTGAAATTTCCCCATTTGATGTAGAGCCTTGTGAATTAGGTGGAAATAGAAATTTATTTGTAAGTACCTTTTGTGAGAATCGATAGTCTTTAGTCAGAAAATAATGATGAGCAATTCGATAGAGTGATTTGTAATGCTGAGAACGTTGTTTTAAAATATCTAAAATCGCTTCAAGACACATTTGTACTATTCTGGTTAATAGTTGCTCACTATCACTTTCGAGGATTCCATCATGGACCAGAGTAGCCAAATCAGTCACCGTTTCGTTGACATCTCGCATAATTCTATCATCTGTTTCATCTCTTAGATTAAACCAAGAACCGAAATAGCTTTTTTTAGCACGAGTTAGAAACAACATAATCTGTGATAATATTTTTGTTGGCGGAGTTTTGTGCTTATTAATATACTTGAGGACACAAGCGTGAATACGATAGTGAATTTCGTTGCCAAAATTATCACAAATTTCATAGTCATGACCGATTCCACGATTTGCTGCACTTGAGAACATATGAATCTTAGATAATTCATAATATCGAAGTGTTTGTAAGATGTTACTTCTTTCAGCAATTTTTCCTAAGAAATAATAATTCATCCAAATTTCATCAGCATTAGCAAATTTGTTAGCTGATTCGAAGCAAACTCGAGCTTGATCTAAGAATTTCTTTCGCCGTTGATTCATTGCTTCTTTTCTCGAATTTTCCAACACTGGTCCAAATTTTATGACTCGAGAAATATAACTCGCGATTTATAAGCACACTTTCCATTTTCGAACCATACCCTTGAATTATTATCTTTGAGCCGAATCGCTTCATTGAAACAACGAAATACTTTTTCTTCTAAAAGCAACTTTTCTTCAGTAAATGAGCAGAAATCTCGACAACTCTGTTTTGAAAGAAATTAGAGATTAATTAAAGATTAGAAATTTAACAAAATAAACACAAGATTAAATACTTACAGTCGAAGAATATTTTGTTATTGTGAGAGCACAGCCAGCCCATGAATCAAATCGACTTCGATTTAAAGTTAAATCAAGAATATAAAATTTGCTGGCTTTTCTATGAATTAGATGAATAATATTATTAGAAATCATTTTAAATTTGCGAGCTATTAAAATGAATTAACTTACTGAAAGTGGCCGTGTTTTAAGTAATAATCAGCTAAATAATAGTAAAGATCTCGAGTAACATGATTTTTCGGAATAATTGCTGTAAGCTCAATTGATTTTCCATGATCGATAAATTCTTTGACAGAACTGGAAAATCTTTCAGGATTTAAATTTTCAGGGACCAAGGGAAGTAAATTGCGTAGAAGCTCTACAGTATTTAAATCGATTGATTTATCTGTTTCACTATCAAACTTTGGTAAAGTTTCAGGGATGAAGTAATTGTAAATAGGACGAATGTCCTTCCAACGTAGAGAAACTCCTGATTCATGATTAGCTGATAGAAAGCTACATTCTAATTGTTTGTAATAGCAGCCAAGGCAGCTGAGAATTAGCCCCTCTTTGATTCTGCTACATTGAAAAATCAGATAATCAAGTGCGAGAGATAAAAACTCTCCATTGTAATCACAACAAGCATCTCTATGACCTAAATAATCGTGAACTGAACCAATCAAACCAGTGATTTTTCCATCGTCTAATTTACCATCTCGCATTTCATTTATGAATGTTTGTAGAATACAAGTCCAGGCCATTGCATTGTAGTCTTTAGTCCCTAATTTGAGCAAATTAATGGCCAACTCACGATCAATTGATAGTTTATCACCATTCTTTAAACAAGCTCGTAACAGTTTTAACAATCGATCAGTTAATTGTTTACTTTTAGCAATAATTTCGATTCCACGTTTCCATTGTTTTGATGACTGAATAGAGCGACAAAGGTACACTTCTTCTTGTTTAGAGAGCTCAGATTTGGATGCTAATAGTTCAACAATTTCCTCGTGTCGATGTTGGTCCAATAACGTATCCAAATTATTTTCGTTCATCTCGTTGATCATTGATTTAAGAATAGACGAACTAAAAAATGTTTGATTTGCTGTTTGAACCCATTTAAGGTCAGATTTTTCGAAAACTTCATTTGCCATTAGAAGATAATCAACTTTAGATTCTTTGATTCCTCGAAGAATCATGAGACGAATGAAAAATTTATCATAATCGCTTGGATTCAATAAATCTCGTATATATGGAATTGATTCAGTCAAAAATATTGCTTCAGATTGATTAAAGTTCACCTCATTGGCAGTTAAGATCAATTTTGTCGCTAATACTCCAATACCACTGGTACAAAGCGTTGAAGGTTTGGACAATGGATAACTTTTTCGATGAATTCCATACAGATCCATGAAATTAGAAGGTAATTTGATTAAAGCTGCTTGGTCTGCTATTTCGTAGAGAAGATCGCTAATAAGCAGATCGATTTGTTTTCCTTTTGAGACGAATGGTATTTGTTTCGAGCGATAACGGGTTAAAATTAAATGTTCCACTTGAGTTTCGTGCTGAGTATGTATCATTAACTCGTCGTCTTTCTGGACTATTTCACGAGTTAAAACACTTTCGGGGAACATGAAGAAAATCTTTTTGTACATATTGTCGACCGTTGCATCGGTTGTCTTCTTATTTCGAATTGGTCTCCGTTTGACAGATAACTCAGGACTTGATCCTCTTGATCCTATGGTCTTTCGCTTATTATTTTGATTTAGGGCTTTCTTGTGAGAACTACGGATAGACCGAGGAGCATTGCCATTTGGAACAGGATTGGTAGAGATAGTGATCGATATTAACGAATTAGGATCGACTTTATGTTCTGTCATTTTGTTTTTAACGTCTATCAAGGCTGAAATGACAGATTTTAAAGAGTTATATCTGGTGTCATTGAGATCAAAACTTAAAGATTTTCGAAAATTTTCTCGTTTTTCTTCACTTTCCTTTCGTCGCTCATGGAGTCGTTTTAAATTCTCCAGAACTTCTAAAAGTTTTCTCTTTCTTTCTAAGCCTTGCTGCGGATTCCAATTTTTTAGATAATTAAGACGGACAGGCAATTCTGATTCTAAAGATGGCGAAAGTTTCAACATCTCTGAGACTAATACACGAGCTTTAAAGTAATTGCCATCCTTCATTAATCCTTTGATTGCGAATTGTAGACAATTATTGTGATCATTGAGTACGAAATAAAGACCCATTAAAGTGTCGAGAACAAACCAATTTGTTGGATCGATTCGATGAGCTTCTTCGAAACATATTCGAGCAAACGTCAGATCTACTGACTGATTAAGAGCTCGTTTACCAGTTTCAATTAATAGAGTAACATCACCACCAGCAATGGAAGAACAGTCGAGAAAATAATCCAAATCGTTTCTTGTAAGTTGTTTCTGGTTTGTGAGGTTGACAAACTTTTGTTGGATACAGTTGATAAGATTGCCTGACTTACAGGGGCAGGATGGAGAGTTACAGTCATTTTTATGGCGAAGATGATCTTTGATAAAGTCGTGAGCCAATTTAAGTATATTATCTGGAAAGAATGGACTATGATTAGACTTCCAATTCCGTGGACCAGGAACCAACTCATGAAAATCAGTCTCTTCGATCCAGCTAAAACCCGATTTTGTTAATTCAGGAATATTATACGATTGAATGATCTCTCCAACCCACAGCCGTAATTTCGAGTCCGCAAGTTTATAGTTGAGCTTATCCGACTTGATTAAATTGGTTATTCCAAGTTTATCACTGCGATTCAATAAATTCAAAAATTGTTTAACTTTGTCAACTGAATTTCGCAAAGAGTCTAATTGATCTTTGTTAATGTTCACATAAGATTCCAATTCCTTTTGCAAGTGGTTGATTTGCTTATCGAACTTGTCCTTTTCTTTTTCAATCTCATTCGTATACTCTTTTAGTTTTATGTTCAATAGATCCAATTGCTTTTGTACATCAGCAAGATAAATTTTAATATTTTCGGTTACTCTGATGTTGTTGGTATCGGTGTTGTTGTTGTTGTCTAATTCAATTGGTACGATGTTAGAAGAATTGTTATTCTTTGCACATTTTGCACAAAACAATTCACTGGTTTCATTGTCGAAAAATTGAGCGATACATTTGCTACATTTGGAACATGGTTGATCATCAGTCTCCGAACTGAGAATCACAGCACAACATCGTTTTGATGGTAAAATTGTTCTATGAAAACTAAGTAAATGAGGCTCACAAAAATCTTTTTCATCACAAAAACAATGGAAAATGGCTTGATTGTTACAAACGGAATCATCTCTACATCTTTTCCTTTCAATGGCTTTGAGATAATCAGTTTCGACAAGTTTAGATTTACACATGACACACAAATCATTTTCTTGTTTACACTTTCCACAAAATGTTTTTAAACATCTGTGAACATAAAAAACATCACTTTGATCATGACCACAGTCCAACTTGTTGATCAATTGATCAATGTTGATAATCACATCCATTTTTAATAAGTAAACATTGTCATTAAACAATTCACCTCGTTAACAATTCTTATGACCAAATTTCCACAACCTAAAAGGAAAACACTGGAAACAAATTTAAAGGCTTATTGATAATTGCAATTTGATTCAGTTTTTTGATTCACAATAATGTTACAAAATAATTAAAGACTCAAAGGGGAAACTAAAGCGTAACTTAAGATTCATTAAATTATAAGAACACATTATCTTATTTAATGCCGAAACGAAGTTAAAGTTAAGAAAACGCGGCTGTTAAACGAGTTGAAGTAATAACAGATTTTTATTCTTAATTTTAAAAAATAGAAAAAAGAGAAAAACAAAAAAGGCGCAAGATTCGAATAAAATTGCCAGAAATTTTATTCTTAATTTTAATTTAATTGGGATTTGTTATCTGGTTCTTAGAGCTTTTCATTTACCAAAAAATTCAAATTTTTGCTGATCCATGTAAAGGTGAACTTTTATCAATAAATGATTGTATCGAGTGGAATAATGGAAATTTCAAAAGTTCGTTGAGTTTCTTTCGAGAAAACCAAAGATCTTTAGTCACAAAAAATAGCAGAAAAATATTTTCGTTGTAATAAGAATAGTTATTCAAATTGAACAAATTTAGTTTTGTTAAGAATTAGAAAAGATTCTTGCAAATTCGAGAAATATTGTTGAAAGAACCTCTCATCATGGAAATCGATTGCTAAAATTCATCAATTGCTACACATTGAACAAGTTTTTCGAGAAATTGTTCAGCTTGTTGTTTATAAATAGGATATTCCATCAATTTGTTACAAATTCTCTTTATATCCTCTTTAATTTGATCTAAATTGTTTCGATTTCCTTTTGCTTTTTCAATTCGACTTTCGTAAACGTTAAAACAATGTTCCACTGCTTGTTTTCCAAGATTAATCCGATCAGCATCAAGAAGAAATGTTTTGCTACCCAATTCGGATGAAGCATAAAACGTTGCAATTTTGAACAATTTTTCAGCATCACCCAAATTATAATTCGTCCGAATTTCGTCAGCCCTGGAAAATTTGCTAGTTGATTCGAAGCAAACTTGTGCTTTGTCTAAGAACCGCTTGTGCTGTTGGTTCATTGCTTCTTTTTGTGAATTCTCCAAGACTGGTCCAGATTTCATGATTCGAGAAATATAGCTCGAGATGTTATGAGCGCACTTTCCATACTTATACCATACCCTGGATTTATTATCTTTAATCCGAATCGCTTCATTGAAACATCGAAATACTTTTTCTCCCAAAAGCAACATTTCTTCAGTAGATGAGTAGAAAACTTGACAATTCTGTTAGAGAATAGAGATTAGAGATTAGAACTTTAACAAAATAAACTCGAGTTTTATACTTGCAGGTGAAGAATATTGTTCAATCTCATCTGCTAGTGAAAGAGCACAACCAACCCATGAATCGAATCGATCAAGATTTAGAGTTAAATCAAGAATATAGAATTTTATCGCCTTCCTATAATTTAGCAAAAAAGAATAAGAAATGTTATTAAATCAATTTAATAAATGAAGCAGAATTAGAGTAATGGATTATCATTATACTTACTTAAAGTCTTTGTGTTTTAGGTAATAATCAGCTAAATAATAATAAATATTTTGAGTAACTCGATGTTTTGGAATATTTGATGAAGCTTCAATTGGTTTTCCATTATCAATATATTCAGAAATAAATTGAGAATATCTTTCAGGATTTAAATTGTCAGGAATCATCGAAAGTAAAGATCGAAACAGCTCCTCTGTCTTTGAATCAATTGGATCAGAACTTTCGTCAAAACTTGGCAACTTTTTAGGAGTAAAGTGATCATAAATAAAATGAATGTTGTCCCAATGTAGATTAACCCCCGTTCCTTTATGAGCAGTCAGAAAGTTACATCGTAATTGTTTGTAAAAACAACCAAGACAGTTGAGAATTAACTTTTCTCTTTTGATATTTACTTGATAGATCAAGAAATCAAGTGATAGAGATAAAAACTCTCCATTGAAATCCCAACACCATCCTTTATTCCCTAGATAATTATGAACTGAAATAATCAAATCGACAACTTTTTCTTCGTCCATGTTATCAAGTCGCATCTCGTTTATGAATGTTTGTAGAATACAAGTCCAGGCCATTGCATTGTAATCTTCTGTTCCCAACTTCAACAATTTGATAGCCAATTCTTGATCAATAGATGTTCCATCACCATTCTTCAGACAAGATTTTAAAAGATTTAGCAATGTGTCGGGTAGTTTTTTACTTTGGGCAATTATTTCGATCCCTCGTTTCCATTGTTGTGACGATTGAATAGCTTGACAGAGACACTCTTCTTCTTGTCTAGAGAGCTCAGATTTAGATGCTAATAGTTCAACAATTTCTTCGTGTCGATGTTGGTCCAATAACATGTCCAAATTATTTTCGTTCATCTCGTTGATCATCGATCTAAGACTAGAAAAGCTATAGACAGTCTGATTTGCCCCTTGCACTAATTTAAGGTTAGACTTTTTGAAAACTTCATTTGCCATTAGAAGATAATCAACTTTAGATTCTTTGATTCCTCGAAGAATCATGAGACGAATGAAAAATTTATCATAATCTGTGGGATTCAATAAATCTCGTAGATATGGAATTGATTCAGTCAAAAATATTGCTTCAGGTTGATTAAATTTCATCTCATTGGCAGTTAAGATTAAGTTTGTCTCATCTGGTGTTATGTTATTGGTTGAAAGTAGCGGATACCATTTCCGATGAATTTCATAAAGCTCCATGAATTTGGGAGGCAATTTGATTAAAGCTGCTTGGTCCGCTATTTCGTAGAGCAGATCACTTATTAGTTGGTTAAACTCTCTGCCTTTTGAGACGAATGGCTTTTGTCGGAACATGTAACGTGTCAAAATCAGATTCTCTACCTGAGCTTTGTTCTGTGTTTGAATCTCTGAGTCACTTTCTTGGTGTATCTTACGAGTTAAAACACTCTCAGGGAACATCGAGAATACTTTTTTATACATATTAATACATGAATGGTTGACTTTTTTACGCTTAGCCGAAGATAATCTTAGTTTATTAGATAAACCATAGCTTCGTCCTTTCTTTTTACGCTTAGTATTATGATTCGACATTTCTATGTGCGTACAATCAATACTCGGAGGAGTAATTGGTTGAGCGATAGAACTGTTATGGATTTCTAACCTTATTACTTCATTTAAATCAACTCTGTGTTTTGTCATTTCATTATGAACAGTTATTAAAACTGAAATTAGGGATTTTAACGACGAGAGTGTTTCTGCATTGAGAGATAAATTCAAAAATTTCCGAGCATCATCTTGATTTGCTCCACATACGCTTCGTAAATTATAGAGTTCTCTTAAACTCACGAGCTCGTCCAAAATTTCTACCTTTCTATGACCTTCACAAGGATTCCAAATGTCTATGAACTGTAGGTCAGAAGGTAATTTTGATCGTAAAGGCGGCAAACGTTTCAACACCTCTGAGACTAATACACGACCTTTAAAGTAATTGCCATCCATCATTAATCCTTTGATTGCGAGTTGTAGACAATTATCGTGATCATTAAGCACGAAATGAAGACCCATTAATGTGTCGAGAACAAACCAATTGTTTGGATCGATTCGATGTGCCTCTTCAAAACATATTCGAGCAAACGTCAAATCTACTGCTTGATTAAGTGCTCGTTTACCAGTTTCAGTTAATAGAGTAACATCACCACCAGCAATGGAAGAACAGTCGAGAAAATAATCCAAATCGTTTTTGTAAGTTGTTTCTGTTTGTGAGGTTGACAAACTTTGTTGGATACAGTTGATAAGATTGCTCGACTTACAGGGCAGGATGGAGTTACAGTATTTTATGGCGAAGATGATCTTTGATAAAGTCGTGAGTCAATTTAAGTATATTATCTGGAAAGAATGGACTATGATTAGACTTCCAATTCCGTGGACCAGGAACCAACTCATGAAGAACAGTCTCTTCGATCCAGTTAAAACCCGATTTTGTTAATTCAGGAATATTATACGATTGGACGATCTCTTCAACCCACAGCCGTAATTTCGAGTCCGCAAGTTTATAGTTGAGTTTATCCGATTTGATTAGATTAATTATTCCAAGTTTATCATTGCGATTCAATAGATCTAAAAATTGTTTAACTTTGTCCACTGAAGCTCGCAAAGAGTCTATTTGATCTTTGTTAATGTTCACATAAGATTCCAATTCTTTTTGCAAGTGGTTGATTTCGTTATTGAACTTTGTCTTTTCTTTTTCAATCTCATTGGTATACTCTTCAAGTTTTGTGCTCAATAAATTCAATTGATTACCAATAATATCCCGATGAATATGAAAATTTTTGTCAATATCGATGTTAACGGTGGTATGATTGTTGTTGTCACGGTCAATGGGAACAATATTTGCTGACTTATTCTTACTACATGTCTCACAGAATAGTTCATTAGTTGTCTTGTCCACAAATTGAGCGATAAAATTGTCACATTTGGAACATGAAGGTTCATCCGTGCTCGAGTTGAGAATAACAGCACAACATCTTTTAGATGCTAAAATTTTTCGATGAAATTTGAGTAAATGAGCCTCACAAAAATCTTTTTTACTACACAAACAATGGAAAATGGCTTGATTGTTACAAACGGAATCATCTCCACATCTTTTCTTGTCAATGGCTTTGAGGTAATCAGCTTCGATGAGATCGGTTTTACATAAGACACATGGTCGGTTTTCTTGTTTACAATGATGACAAAATGTCTTTAAACATTTGTGAACATAAAAAACGTCGCTTTGATAGTGACCACAGTCCAACTTGTTGATCAATTGATTGCTTATTCCCTGTAAATAAAGAGATGCAAATGGTGATAAGTATATGATGATGTAAAATATCTTCTAATAGATAGAGTGAATTATTTAATAAAACAAAGGATAATAAAAATAGATAACAAAATCAATACTTACTTTTATCATAATTCAATGGGAATATGATCATTTTAACCATGTAAAAGTCACTGTCACCACTAAATTATTATCAATCAATTAGATAATATGAGCTAAACATGAGACTGTCCCAACGATTTTGCATAAATGTTGACAATCAATTTTTAATGAAACAAACATTTATAGTTAACAATCAACCTCGTTAACTATTCAAACGAGAAAAGTTTCAATTTCCAAAAGGAAAATAATGGAAACACTTTTACTAATTGATTCACTTTCTTAGTGGAATAAGATTCTTTTTAATTGTTTCAAATGAATATTCCAATCCACTAACAAAAGGCCTAAATGGTTAACAATTGCTATAATTAAGATAAATTTAGTTAAATTAATATTTAAAAGTTTGTAGGTTAAGGCAACAGGTTAAAGTTGACTAAATTATTTTCTAAAATTTGTAAACATTCAAAAGAAAACAAAAACAAAAAAGGCGCGATTCGAATGTTAATTAATCTAATTAAAGAATTTTCGTTCTTAATCTCAATTCAATTGGATGATATGTTTATCTAATTCCAACAACTTATAATGAACCAGCTGATTTGAATTTTTGTTCTCTTCTAATGAAATAAATTAATTGTCGTTTATTATCAATTACATTTGTATTAATCAAGAAATTAAAAATTCTAATTTACATTAAACTTTTGTGAGAATGGAAATAATAAATTGAATAAGATTATTATATTTCTTTATTATTTAGGATATTATATATTATTTTGTTTCGAAAATTTTTTTTGTTCTCATAAAAAAAAGTAAATTGGAAAATCTTTGATCGTTAAAATCAATCAATTAAAAAAGATTCACTCAAATGATGATAATTAATCAATTGTTATACACTCGACAAAGCCGCCTTATTATTTGTGAAATTTAGTTTCGTTAAAGATTCTGGCAAATTTGAGAAATATTGTTAAAAAAAATCTTTCATCATGGAAATCGATCACTTCAACTAATCAATTGTTACACATTCGACATGTTTTTCGAGAAATTGTTCAGCCTGTTTTTTATAGATAGGATATTCCATCAATTTGTTACAAATTCTTCTTACATCAACTTTTATTTGATCTAAACTGTTTCGATTTCCTTTTGCTTTTGCAATTCGACTTTCGTAAATGTTAAAACAATGTTGCATTGATTGTTTTCCAAGATTTTCCCGATCGGTTTCACGAAGAAATCCTTTGCTACCCAATTCTGATGAAGCCAAAATCGTTGCCATTTTGAACAATTGTTCAGCATCTCTCAAATTATAAGCCATCCGAATTTCATCAGCCTTAGAAAATTTGCTAGTTGATTCGAAGCAAACTTGTGCTTGGTCTAAGAATCGCTTATGCTGTTGGTTCATTTCTACTTTTTGTGAATTCTCCAAAACTGTTCCAAGTTTCATGATTCGAGAAATATAACTCGCGATGTTATAAGCACACTTTCCATATTTATACCATACCTTGGATCTATTATCTTTGAGCCGAATCGCTTCATTGAAACACCGAAATACTTTTTCTCCTAAGAGCAGCATTTCTTCAGTAGATGAGTAGAAAACTTGACAATTCTGTAGTTGTAATTAAATAGAAATTTGAGATTAGAACTTGATAGAAAAAAATAAACTCTAATATTAAAGTTTAATACTTACAGGCGAAGAATATTGTTCAATCTCATCTGCTAGTGAAAGAGCACAACCAACCCATGAATCGAATCGATTGCGATTCAAAGTTAAATCAAGAATATAAAATTTCATCGCTTTCCTACGATTTAGAAAGAAAGAATTAGAAATCATATTAAATAAATAAATTTAAAAAAAAATTAATGGAAAACATTCTACTTACTCGAAGTCTTGGTGTTTTAGGTAATAATCAGCTAAATAATAATAAATATTTTGAGTAACTCGATGTTTCGGAATATTTGATGAAGCTTCAATTGGTTTTCCATTATCAATATATTCAGAAATAAATTGAGAATATCTTTCAGGATTTAAATTGTCAGGAATCAGCGAAAGTAAAGATCGAAACAGCTCCTCAGTCTTTGAATCAATCGGATCAGATCTTTCGTCAAAACTTGGTAACGTTTTAGGAGTAAAGTGATCATAAATAAAATGAATATTGTCCCAATGTAGATTAACCCCCGTTCCTTTATGAGCAGTCAGGAAGCTACATTTTAGCTTTTGTAAAACAGCCAAGACAACTAAGGGTTAATTTCTCTCTTTGATATTTGCTTGATTGGTCAAGAAATCAAGTGATAGAGATAGAAACTCTCCATTGGAATTACAACAAACTCCTTTATTCCCCAGATAAACGTGAACTGAATCAATCAAATTGACAACTTTTCTTCGTCCGTGTTAACAAGTCGCATCTCGTTTATGCGAGAATAAGTGATTTGCCCTTTGGCAATGTGTTTCGCATCTCGTTTATGAATGTTTGTAGTAAACAAGTCCAGGCCATTGCATTGTAATCTTCGGTGCCTAATTCTAAAAGCTTAATAGCAAACTCTCGATCAATTGATAGATTATCCCCATTCTTCAAACACATTCGTAATAGATTTAGCATTTGATGAGTGTATTGATTGCGTCGAGAAAGTATTTCGACACCTCGTTTCCAGTGTTGTGATGATTCAATAGCTTGACAAAAATACTTTTCTTCTTGTTTAGAAAGTTCCGGTTCAGATGCTAAAAGTTCAAAGATTTCTTCATTTCGATGTTGATCCAATAATGTGTCCAATTTATTTTCATTCATTTTGTTTATCATTGATTTAAGAATAGATGAACTGTAAACTGTTTGATTTGTTGTTTGAACCAATTTAAGGTTAGATTTTTCGAAAACTTCATTTGCCATCAGAAGATAATCAACTTTAGATTCTTTGATTCCTCGAAGAATCATGAGACGAATGAAAAATTTATCATAATCTATGGGATTCAATAAATCTCGCAGAAATGGAATTGATTCAGTCAAAAATATTGCTTCAGGTTGATTAAATTTCATCTCATTGGCAGTCAAGATTAAGTTTATCTCTTCTGGTGTTATGTTCTTGGTTGAAATAGTTGAAAGTAGCGGATACCATTTTCGATGGATTCCATACAGATCCATGAAATTGGAAGGTAATTTGATTAAAGCTGCTTGATCTGCTATTTCGTAGAGAAGATCACTTATTAGTTGGTTAAACTCTCTGCCTTTTGAGACGAATGGCTTTTGTCGGAACATGTAACGTGTCAAAATCAGATTCTCCAGTTGAGCTTTGTTTCGTGTTTTTATCTCTAAATGGCCTTCTTGCAGTATTTCACGAGTTAAAACACTTTCAGGGAACATCGAGAATACTTTTTCATACATATTGTCGACTATTATACTTCTAACGCAAGTTGGTCTTCGTTTTAGAAATAAACCAGAGCCTGGTCCTCGTTTTTTACGCTTATTACTATCATTTGACATTTCGACGCCAGAAAGACTCATACTCAGTGGAGGAATTGGTTGAGCGATAGAATTGTTAAGGATTTCTAACCTTATTACTTCATTTAAATCAACTCTGTGTTTTGTCATTTCATTATGAACAGTTATTAAAACTGAAATTAGGGATTTTAACGACGAAAGTGTTTCCGGATTGAGAGATAAATTCAAAAATTTCGAAGCATCATCTTGATTTGCTCCACATACGCTTCGTAAATTATAGAGTTCTCTTAAACTCACGAGCTCGTCCAAAACTTTTGTCTTTCTATCATGACCATTACAAGGATTCCAGTTGTGTAAATATTCTAACTCAACAGGCAATTTTGATCGTAAGGACGGTGAAAGTCTCAATATCTCTGAGACTAATACACGAGCTTTGAAGTTATCCCCGTCTTTAATTAAACCTTTGATTGCGAGTTGTAGACAATTATCGTGATCATTAAGCACGAAATAAAGACCCATTAAAGTGTCGAGAACAAACCAATTGTTTGGATCGATTCGATGTGCCTCTTCAAAACATATTCGAGCAAACGTCAAATCTACTGACTGATTAAAAGCTCGTTTACCAGTTTCAACTAATAGAGTAACATCACCACCAGCAATGGAAGAACAGTCGAGAAAATAATCCAAATCGTTTTTTGTAAGTTGTTTTTGATTCGTGAGGTTGACAAACTTTTGTTGGATACAGTTGATAAGATTGCTCGACTTACAGGGGCAGGATGGAGAGTTACATTCATTTTTATGACGAAGATGATCTTTTATAAAGTCGTGAGTCAATTTAAGTAAATTATCTGGAAAGAATGGACTATGATTAGACCTCCAATTCCGTGGACCAGGAACCAACTCATAAAAATCAGTCTCTTCGATCCAGTTAAAACCCGATTTTGTTAATTCAGGAATATTATACGATTGAACGATCTCTTCAACCCACAGCCGTAATTTCGAGTCCACAAGTTTATAGTTGAGTTTATCCGATTTGATTAGATTAATTATTCCAAGTTTATCACTGCGATTCAATAGATCTAAAAATTGTTTAACTTTGTCAACTGAAGCTCGCAAAGAGTCTAATTGATCTTTGTTAATGTTCACATAAGATTCCAATTCTTTTTGCAAGTGGTTGATTTGCTTATCGAACTGGTCCTTTTCTTTTTCAATCTCATTGGTATACTCTTCAAGCTTTGTGCTCAATAAATTCAATTGATTACCAATAATATCCCGATGAATATGAAAATTTTTGTCAATATCGATGTTAACGGTGTTATTATTGTTGTTATTGTCACGTTCAATGGGCACAATACTAGCTGACTTGTTCTTACTACATGTCTCACAGAATAGTTCATTAGTTGTCTTGTCCACAAATTCAGCGATAAAATTGTCACATTTGGAACATGAAGGTTCATCCGTGCTCGAATTGAGAATAACAGCACAACATCTTTTAGATGCTAAAATTTTTCGATGAAATTTGAGTAAATGAGCCTCACAAAAATCTTTTTTACTACACAAACAATGGAAAATGGCTTGATTGTTACAAACGGAATCATCTCCACATCTTTTCTTGTCAATGGCTTTGAGGTAATCAGCTTCGATGAGATCGGTTTTACATAAGACACATGGTCGGTTTTCTTGTTTACAATGATGACAAAATGTCTTTAAACATTTGTGAACATAAAAAACTTCACTTTGATCGTGACCACAATCCAACTTGTTGATCAATTGATTGCTTAATCCCTGTAAATGAAGAGATAATACAGATGTTAAAGGTGATAAGTATTAATAAATGGCGATGTAAAATATCTTCTTGACTAATTCATAGAAAAACAGATCAAATTCAAGCTGAATTCAGGTTAGTTTGGTGATAGTATGATGAATAGACTTAAGAAATATTTAAAGGATAATAAAAATAGATGAAGAATACTTACTTTTATCATAATTTAATGTGAAGATCAACATATTAAACAAGTTAAAATCATTGTCACCACTTAACTTCGATCAATTAACTAGAAAATATCAACTCAACATGAGACTATACCAACGATTTTGCATAAATGGCTACAATCACATTTATCTTTAATGAAAACAAACATTTAAAGTTAACAATTAACCTCGTTAACTATTCAAACGAGAAAACTTTCAGTTTCCAAGAGGAAAATAATGGAAACACTTTTAATAATTGATTCACTTTCTTAGTGAACTAGGATTCTTCCTAATTGTTTCAAATAAATATTCCAATCCCCTGACAAAAGGTTTAAATGGTTAACAATTGTAATAGTTAAGATAAATAAAATTAAATTAAGATCTAAAAGGAAGTTTGGAGATTAAGGCAACAGGTTAAAGTTGACTAAACTATTTTCTAAAATTTGTAAACATTCAAAAAGAAAAGGAACAAAAACCAAAAGGCGCGCGATTCGAATTTTAACCAGAATTTCTTCTTGATGCCAATTTATTTGGATGATATGCTTATCTAATTCTTAGAACTTGTCGTGTACCAGCTGATTTGAATTTTTGTTCTCTTCTAATGAAATAAATTAATTGTCGTTTATTATCAATTACATTTGTATTTATCAAGAAATTAAAAATTCTAATTTACATTAAACTTTTGTGAGAATGGAAATAATAAATTGAATTAGAATATGATATTTCTTTACTATTTAGGATATTATATACTATTTTGTTTCAACAATTTTTTTGTTCTCATAAAAAAATTAAGTTAGAAAAGTTTTGATCTTTGAAATCAATCTATTGAAAAAGATTTACTCAAATTATGACAATTGATTAATTGTTATACACTCGAACGTTAATCAATAATTGATCGCGTGGAATCACGAAAATTTCAAAAGTTCGGTGAGTTTCTTACGAGAAAACCTAAGATATTAAGTCATAAAATAATAGCATTAAAATGTTTTTCGTTGTAATAAGAATAATTATTCAAATTGAACAAATTTAGTTTCGTTAAGAAAAGATTCTGAAAAATTTGAGAAATATTGTTGAAAGAACCTTTCATGGAAATCGATCACTACAACTAATCAATTGTTACACATTCAACATGTTTTTCGAAAAATTTTTCAGCCTGTTTTTTATAGATAGGATATTCCATCAATTTGTTACAAATTCTCTTTACATCCTCTTTAATTTTATCTAAACTGTTTCGATTTCCTTTTGCTTTTGAAATTCGACTTTCGTAAATGTTAAAACAATGTTCCATTGATTGTTTTCCAAGATTTTCCCGATCGGTTTCACGAAGAAATTCTTTGCTACTCAATTCTGATGAGGAAGCTACATTTCAATTGATTGTAGAAACAACCAAGACAGCTGTTGATTAGTCTCTCTTTCTTTCTGTTACATTGATTAATCAGATAATCTAATGATAGAGATAAAAACTCGCCATTTGGTCGACAACATGCTCCTTTATTCCCTAGATAATCGTGAACTGAACCAATCAAACCGGTGATTTTTCCTTCGTCAGTTTTACCAACAGGCATTTCGTTTATGAATGTTTGTAGAATACAAGTCCAGGCTATTGCATTGTAATCTTCGGTTCCTAACTTTAATAATTTGATGGCCAATTCTCGATCAATTGATAGTTTTTCTCCATTCTTCAAACACATTGGTAATAGATTTAGCAATGTGTCGGTCATTTCATTTATAAATGTTTGTAGAATACAAGTCCAGGCCATTACATTGTAATCTTCAGTCCCTAATTTGAGCAAATAAATGGCCAATTCTCGATCAATTGATAGTTTATCTCCATTCTTTAAACAAGCTCGTAACAGTTTAGAAATCGATTAGTTAATTGTTTACTTTTAGCAATAATTTCGATTCCACTTTTCCATTGTTTTGATGACTGAATGGCTGTACAAAGGTACACTTCTTATTTTTAGAGAGCTCAGATTTATATGCTAAAAGTTCAACAATTTCTTCGTGTCGATGTTGATCCAATAACGTGTCCAAATTATTTTCATTCATCTTGTTTATCATTGATTTAAGAATGGATGAACTGTTTGATTTTTTGTTTGAACCAATTCAAGGTTTGACTTTTCGAAAACTTCATTCGCCATTAGAAGATAATCAACTTTAGATTCTGCGATTCCTCGAAGAGTAAAAAGACGAATGAAAAATATATCATAATCGTTGGGATTCAATAAATCTCGTAGATATGGAACTGATTCAGTCAAAAATAATACTTCAAAGTGATTGAAGTTCACTTCATTGGCAGTCAAGATCAATTTAGTCGCTAATATTCCAATACGACTGGTACAAAGCGCTGAAGGTTTGGAAAATAGATACCTTTAACGTCTATCAAGTCTGAAATGACAGATTTTAAAGAAGCATAGCTGGTGTCATTGAGATCGAAACTTAAAGATTTGCGAACATTTTCTTGTTTCTCTTCACTTTCGTTTCGTCGCTCATTGAGTTGTTCTAAACTCTCCAGTACTTCTAAAAGTTTCCTGTTTCTTTCTAAGCCTTGCTCAGGATTCCAATTTTTTAGATATTTAAGACGGACAGGCAATTTGGATTCTAAAGATGGCAAACGTTGCAACACCTCAGATATAAGTACACGAGCTTTAAAGCAATTTCTATCCTTCATTAATCCTTTGATAGCGAGTAATAGACATTTATTGTGATCATTGAGTACGAAATAAGGACCCATTAAAGTGTCGAGAACAAACCAATTGGTTGGATCGATTCGATGAGCTTCTTCAAAACATATTCGAGCAAACGTCAAATCGACTGACTGATTAAGAGCTCGTTTACCAGTTTCAATTAATAAAGTAATATCACCACCAAATCATTTCTTGTAAGTTGCCAAACTTTTGTTGGATACAGTTGATAAGATTGTTTGACTTACAGGGGCAGAATTGTGAGTTACAGTCATTTTTATGGCGAAGATGATCTTTGATAAAGTCGTGAGTCAATTTAAGTAAATTATCTGGAAAGAATGGACTATGATTAGACTTCCAATTCCGTGGACCAGGAACCAACTCATGAAGAACAGTCTCTTCGATCCAGTTAAAACCCGATTTCGCTAATTCAGGAATATTATACGATTCAATAGATCTAAAAATTGTTTAACTTTGTCAACTGAATTTCGCAAAGTCTAATGGATCTTCGTTGATGTTCACATAAGATCCCAATCCGTCTGCAAGTAACCAATCTCTTCATTGAACTTTGTCTTTTCTTTTTCAATCTCATTCGTATACTCTTCTAGGTTTGTGTTCAATAGATTCAATTGCTTTTGTACATCAATAAGATAAATTTTAATATTTTCGGTGACACTGATGTTGTTTGTATCGCTGTTGTTGTTGTCTAGTTCAATTGGTACGATATTAGAAGAGTTGTTATTATTCGCGCATTTTGCACAAAATAATTCATTAGTGTCATTATCGAAAAATTGAGCGATACACTTGCTACATTTGGAGCATGGTTGATCATCAGTCTCCGAACTGAGAATCACAACGCAACATCTTTTCGATGGTAAAAGCGTTCGATAAAAACTAAGTAAATGAGCCTCACAAAAATCTTTTTCATCACAAAAACAATGAAAAATGGTTTGCTTGTCATAAACGGAATCATCTTCACATCTTTTCTTGTCGATAGTTTTGAGATAATCAGTTTTTACGAGTTCATATTTACACAATATGAACAGGAATGATATATTGAGCGCTCTAAATGGGCTGTATGGTGTGACTTTGATCGTGACCACAATCCAATTGATTATCATATCCAGTTGATTACTCATTCCCTGTAGATCAAACAAAAACTCGAACATTCAAGTAAAAGGTTAGTAAATAATAGTCAAGAATGCTATACTCTCTTCTTCCGTAATCAAGAGAGAAATGATCAAAAGAGTCATAAGCATAAATATTGAAAGCTAATTATCACGATTACATGAGCTTTGAAAATTACTATCGAAATATTGTTTGGAAATTATTTAAAGTAACTGTTGAGAGGTTTAAATTGGCACCACTACTTATCAATTGATCATTTGATGTAAATTTTTCTGTTGAAAAATCAATTGACCTTCACGATGAATGTTTTTCTTTAGTTACTTTTTATCTTTTTTCTTACCTTAATTTGTTTTTATGTTTTATGTTATCTGTTTTTTTCCCAATAAAAAAACACTTGAAAAATTTAGCTTAAGTTTATATAAAATTAATTCATTAATTAACTAATGATAACTAATAAGTAATAGCAATCAACTGAACCTGTTCGTTTTTCAAAAGACCAGTAAATTCTGTAATTTATTTCGTTGAAAAATCAATAGACTATCACGATGAATGTTTTTGAATTACTTTTCATCTTTTTTTCTAATTTTGATTAGTTTTTTAATTACATTTCTCCTTTACCCTTTTCCCATGTAATTTTATTTCTTTCTTTCTATTCTCTCTTTTTGCAATTCAATTTTCCTCTGTGTATGTTAAGTGATAATCGGCGAAGTAATAGTAAATCTCTTGAGTAACATGATGTCTGGTAATATTTGACTAAGCCTCAATTAGTTTTACATTATCTAAATATTTATTGAGCAGATTAAAAAATCTTTCAGGATTATAAATTCAGGATTTGTCGAAATCTGGTAAATTTTTAGGAGTAAAGTGATAATATATCAAATAAATAGTCTCCAAATGTAGATTAACCACTATTCCTTTATGAGTGGTCATTAAGCTACATTTAAACTTGTTATGGAAACATCCAAGCCTACTAAGGATTAATTTCACTATGGTGTTATAAACTTGATTGGTCGAGAAATCGAGTGATAAAGCTGAAAACTTCACCAATCTTTGTTATTCTCTAGATAAACGTGAATCAATCAAGCTCGCAGCCTTATTTTCGTCAGTGTTACCAAGTCTCAGGTCGTTCATAAATGTTTTTAGAATACAAGGCCAGGCCATTGCATTGTAATCTTCATTTTGTATGCTAAAAGCTTAGAAAATTTTCTATCAATTGATAGTTTATCTTCATTCTTCAAACACATTAGTATTAGATTTAGCATCTGATGAGTTTATTGATTGCGTTGTGAAAGTATTTCGATCCCTCGTTTCTATTGTTTTGATGATTGAATAGCTTGAGAAAAATACTTTTCATCTTGTTTAGAAAGTTGAGATTCCGATGCTAAAAGTTCAAAGGTTTCTTCATTTCGATGTTGATCCAATAATGTGTCCAATTTATTTTCATTCATTTTGTTTATCATTGATTTAAGGAAAATGAGGTGTAAACATGAAATTGGAAGCAGGTGGATTTTTTCCTTTTGAGACTAATGGTATTTGTTTCGAGCAATAACTGGTTAGAATAAAATGTTCCACTTGAGCTTCGTTTTGTGTTTGTTCCTGTAACTCCTCTTTTTGAACTAATTCACGAGTTAAAATACTTTCAGGGAAGAAAGTATTGTGAATATCTTTTTGTACATTTTGTCGACTGTTTCATCGGTTGTCTTTTTATCACGAACTGATCTTCGTTTCATAGATAACTCAGGACTTGACCCGCGTGTCTTTCGCTTATTATTTTGATTTAGGGCTTCCTGGTGAGAACTGCGGATAGATCGAGAAGCATTGCCATTTGGGACAGGATTGAAAGAGATAGTGATTGATATTAACAAGTTTCGATCGACTTTATGTTCTGTCATTTTGTTTTTAACGTCTAGCAAGGCTGAAATGACAGATTTTAAAGAATTATAGCTGGTGTCATTGAGATCGAAACTTAAAGATCTCTGAACAACTTCTTGTTTTGCTTCACTTTCCTTTTGTCGCTCATGGAGTTGTTTTAAATTCTCCAGAACTTCTAAAAGTTTACTTTTTCTTTCTAAGCCTTGCTGCGGATTCCAATTTTTTAGATAATTAAGACGGACAGGCAATTTGGATTCTAAAGATGGCGAAAGTTTCAACATCTCTGAGACTAATACACGAGCTTTAAAGTAATTGCCATCCTTCATTAATCCTTTGATTGCGAGTTGTAGACAATTATTGTGATCATTGAATAAGAAATAAAGACCCATTAAAGTGTCGAGAACAAACCAATTGTTTGGATCGATTCGATGAGCTGCTTCGAAACATATTCGAGCAAACTGCAAATCTACTGACTGATTAAGTACTCGTTTACCAGTTTCAATTTATAGAGTAACATCACCACCAGCAATGGAAGAACAGTCGAGAAAATAATCCAAATCATTTCTTGTAAGTTGTTTTTGATTCGTGAGGTTGACAAACTTTTGTTGGATACAGTTGATAAGATTGCTTGACTTACAGGGGCAGGATGGAGAGTTACATTCATTTTTATGGCGAAGATGATATTTGATAAAGTCGTGAGTCAATTTAAGTATATTATCTGGAAAGAATGGACTATGATTAGACTTCCAATTCCGTGGGCCAGGAACCAACTCATGAAAATCAGTCTCTTCGATCCAGCTAAAACCGATTTTGTTAATTCAGGAATATTAGACGATTGGACGATCTCTTCAACCCACAGCCGTAATTTCGAGTCCGCAAGTTTATAGTTGAGTTTATCCGATTTGATTAGATTAATTATTCCAAGTTTATCACTGCGATTCAATAGATCCAAAAATTGTTTAACTTTGTCAGCTGCTTTATTTATTCGCTTATTCGCTGTAAATAAAGAGATAATACAAATGTTAAAGGTGGTAAGTAAATGCTGATGTACAATATCTCTTTGACTAATCCATAGAAAATCAAATTAAATTCAAGCTGAGTTCAGTTCAGTACGGTCATAGTATGATGAATAGACTCAAGAAATATTTAATGGATAATAAAAATAGATGAAGAATCAATATTTACTTTTATCATAATTTAATGGGAAGATGAGCATATTAACCACGTTAAAGTCATTGAAGCCGCTAAATTATTATCACGTAATCAATTAACTTGGCGATTTGTTGATTACGCATTCCTTGTAGATAAAAATCAAATATTCAAGTTAAAGGTTTTCGATAATATTCAAAAAGCAGTATTCTCTTCTTTCATGATCAAGAAAGAAATGATCAGTGGTTCTAAAATTAACTTTATGAACATTTATGAACATAAAAAACGTCTCTTTGATCATGACCTTAGTCTAACTTGTTGATCAATTGATTACTCATTCTCGTTACATAAAAAATGTAAAAATCTCTGGCTATAAAAAATGCAATTGGAATCATCTCCACATATTTTCCTGTCTATGACTTTGAGGTAATCAGCTTCGATGAGATCAGATTTACATAAGGCACATGGTCGGTTTTCTTGTTTACAACGATGACAAAATGTCTTTAAACATTTGTGAACATAAAAAACTTCACTTTGATCGTGATCACAGTCCAACTTGGTGATTGGTTGATTACTCATTCCTACTTATTACTTTCATCAAAAATATTCCCTGACTATAAAAAATCAAATATTCAAGATAAATGTTAGTCAATAAGAATTAAGAATCAAAACTCACTTCTTTTATGAGCAATAGGAAAATGATCAGAGGTTCTAAAGGTAACTTCAAGAACGTTCAGCATCATTAATTAGCATTTTCTATGTGATGAAACTTCAAATCTCTCCCCCCAAATCGTTTCCTTTGTCTCTTTCTTTTTCTCTAAAACAACAAAAACATCGATTTTTTTCAAAATTATTACGTCAGCATCGATCATCGTATATCTAAATAATCGCTCATCTCTAGGGTGAGTTCACAAGAAATTTTCTTTGCTATTACAGTTTAATTGTGGATTAAATTGTCCAACTGATTTGAGTAAACGATCTCTTTCTGCTAGCAAGCTAATTGCTAATGAATTTGATGACTGCACATTCAAATATCAATTAACTTTATATTGTATTTTAATATTTTAGGCAACAGGTTAAATTTGACTAAATTATTTTCGTGAATTTGTAAACATTCAAAAAGAAAAGGAACAAAAACCAAAAGGCGCGCGACTCGAATGTTAATTAACCAGAATTTTCCTTCTTAATCCCAATTCATTTGGATGATATGTTTATCTATTCTTACTTTTTATTTGTACACATTCTCTGTATATCGGCTTTAATTGGCACCAAAGTGTCATGGTTTCTTTTCGCTGTTTAAATGTTAAATCAACTTCTCAAAAACATTTTCCAAGATTGGCCTGATCTATGTCACGAAGATATACACTTTTGATTAACAAGAAATTTTCTCTCAATAACAGTTTAATTGTCCAACTGATTTGAGTAAACGTTTTTCTTTCTCTTACAAGCTAATTTCTGATAAGTTTAATGACTCACACATTCGATAATATCAATTACAGTTAATTGTATTTTAATACAAAAAATAAACATAAAAAGAAATTTCATTGTCCACTTCCGATCGCAAAGAATCTATTTTGACCAATAAAAATATTAAAGTAACATTTTAATTCATTTCTCATACGACCAATCTCTTTATTGAATTAGGCCATATTTCGTTTTCTATCTCAATCGTATACTCATTTAGTTTTGTGTTCAATAGATTCAATCGCTTTTGTACATCAGCACGATAAATTTCAAGATTTTCGATAATATTTTCGACGAGTTCAATGTTCCACAAGAAACTTAAACGATTTTCTTGCCTGCACTCATCACAAAAAGTCTTCAAACATTTGTGAAAGAATAAGAGAAGGGGATAAAGAGATTCAAAGGTTGAATTGAGTGAAAGGTCGGCCAATGGATAAAAATGGAATGACCAAGGAAATATTCAAGAATTCGTTAAAGATTCTGGCTAATTTGAGAAATATTGTTAAAAAAAATCTTTCATCATGGAAATGGATTAATAAAATTAATCAATTGTTACACATTCGACATGTTCTTCGAGAAATTGTTGAGCCTGTTGTTTATAAATAGGATATTCCATCAATTTGTTACAAATTCTCCTTACATCCTCTTTAATTTGATCTAAATTGTTACGATTTCCTTTTGCTTTTGCAATTCGACTTTCGTAAACGTTGAAACAATTTTCCATTGCTTGTTTTCCAAGATAGATACGATCGGTTTCACGAAGAAATCCTTTGCTACTCAATTCTGATGAAACCAAAAGCGTTGTGATTTCAAACAATTGTTCAGCATCTCCCAAATTCTTGTTTACATTAATCAATAACTGACTTGATCGAAGCATATGAGTGACGTAACTTCCTGGTCTCTCTAATATGTCATCTGGTGTCGTTTGAATAGGGAATAGACGCGAAGATACAGTCAAGTCAAAAAGACCTTCAAACGTACATTCTGAAGCAGTTGAACTTTCCTCATCTGATGAAAAGCCTTGTGAAGAAGTTGGAAATTGAAATGATTTTGTAAGTACCTTTTGTGAGAATCGATAGTCTTTAGTCAGAAAATAATGATGAGCAATTCGATAGAGTGATTTGTAATGCCGATGATAATCTTCTAAAATGTAAAGAATCTCTTCAAGACACATTTGTACTATTCTGGTGAATAGTTTCTCACTGTCACTTTCGAGGATTCCATCATGGACCAGAGTAACCAAATCAGTCACCGTTTCGTTGGCATCTTCCATAATTTCATCATCTGTTTCATCTCTTGGATTAAACTTAGCAACGTAATAGCTTTTTTCAGCACGAATTAGAAACAACATGATCTGTGATAATATTTTTGCTGGCGGAGTTTTGTGCCTATAAATATACTTGAGGACACAAGCGTGAATACGATAGTGAAATTCGGCGCAAAACACATATCATTGACATTACTACTGTTACTTAGTATTGCTGGACTTGAGAGCATATGAAGCTTAGATAATTCATAATATCGAAGTGTTTGTAAGATGTTACTTCTTTCAGCGATTTTTCCTAAGAAATAATAATTCATCCAAATTTCATCAGCATCACCAAATTTGTTAGCTGATTCAAGCAAACTCGAGCTTGATCTAAAATTGCTTTCGCCGTTGATTCATTGCTTTTCTCGAATTTTCCAAAACTGGTCCAAATTTTATGACTCGAGAAATATAACTCGCGATGTTATAAGCACACTTTCCATATTTAATCATTAATTTAGATTCACCTTCTTTAAGTCGAAGTGCTTCATTGTAACATCGACTTGCTTTCTCTCCCAAAAGCAACACTTCATCAATAGCTGAGTAGAAAACTTGACAACTCTGTTTCAAAAGAAATTAGAGATTGGTTAAAGATCAGAATTTTAGCAAAATAAACATAAGATTAAATACTCACTGGCAAAGAATAGCAATGGTAGATTAGATTTTTCATTGCGAGAGTACAACCAGCCCATGAATCAAATCGATTGCAATTTAAAGTTAGATCAAGAATATAAAATTTGATGGCTTCTCTGCGAATTAGATGAATAATATTAAGAAACGTTTAAATTTGCTAGCTATTAAATGAATTAACTTACCGAACCTCTTTGTTTTTCAAGTAATAATCAGCTAAATAATAGTAAAGATCTTGAGTAACATGATTTTTTGGAATAATTGTAGGCTCAATTGATTTTCCATGATCGATATATTCTTTGATAGAATTGGAAAATCTTTCAGGATTTAAATTGTCAGGGACCAAGGAAGCAAATTGCGTAACATTTCCTCAATATTTGAGCCAATCGATTTACTTGTTTCACTATCAAAAGTTGGTAAAGTTTTAGGAATGAAGTGATTGTAAATAGTACGAATGTCCTTCCAACGTAGAGTAACTCTCGCTTCATGATGAGATATAAGCTACATTTCAATTGATTGTAGAAACAACCAAGACAGCTGTTGATTAGTCTCTTTCTTTTGTTACATTGATTCAATCGAAGCGATCACGATTCAAGTTGGTAAAATTAGCTTCTGCAAATCAAATCGAAGAAAATTGATATATATCATATTGGACTTAATGATAATCGATAAACTTACTTGAACTTTTGAAATAATAATCAGCTAATAGTAAATATCTTGAGTAACATGATGTCTAATATGATGAAGTCAATTGGACATTATCAAATATTCATTGAACAAATAAAATTTTCAGGATTTAAATTGTCAGAATAATTGTAGTAAACGTTTGAACAACTCTACAGCTTGAGAACTTGTTGATTCAAACTCTGCTTTTGAATGTAGTAATTGTAAATTATCACAACATCGTTTAAACTTAAACTAACGCTCCATGATGAGATCAGAAATTTCTAATTGTTTGTAGAAACAACCAAAACACTGGATTAGTCTCTATTGATTAATCAGATAATCAATGCGAGATAAAACTCTCCATTGTTATCACCACAAGCACCTCCATGACCTAAATAATCGTGAACTGAACCAATCAAACCGGTGATTTTCCTTCGTCAGTTTTACCAACTCGCATTTCATTTATAAATGTTTGTAGAATACAAGTCCAGGCCATTGCATTGTAGTCTTTAGTCCCTAATTTGAGCAAATTAATGGCCAACTCTCGATCAATTGATAGTTTATTTCCATTCTTTAAACAAGCTCGTAACAGTTTTAACAATCGATCAGTTAATTGTTTACTTTTAGCAATTATCTCGATCCCTCGTTTCCATTGTTTTGCAGACTGAATAGCCTGACAAAGGTACACTTCTTCTTGTCTAGAGAGCTCAGATTTAGATGCTAATAGTTCAACAATTTCTTCGTGTCGATGTTGATCCAATAATGTGTCCAATTTATTTTCATTCATCTTGTTTATCATTGATTTAAGAATAGATGAACTGTAAACTGTTTGATTTGTTGTTTGAACCAATTTAAGGTTAGATTTTTCGAAAACTTCATTTGCCATTAGAAGATAATCAACTTTAGATTCTTTGATTCCTCGAAGAATCAAAAGACGAATGAAAAATTTATCATAATCGTTGGGATTCAATAAATCTCGTAGATATGGAACTGATTCAGTCAAAAATATTGCTTCAGGTTGATTAAACTTCACTTCATTGGCAGTTAAGATTAAGTTTGTCTCTTCTGGTGTTATGTTCTTGATTGAAATAGTTGAAAGCAGCGGATAACATTTTCGATGGATTCCATACAGATCCATGAAATTGGAAGGTAATTTGATTAAATCTGCTTGGTCTGCTATTTCGTAGAGAAGATCAGAGATAAGCAGGTGGATTTGTTTTCCTTTTGAGACGAATGGTATTTGTTTCGAGCGATAACGGGTTAGAATAAAATGTTCCACTTGAGCTTCGTTCTGTGTTTGTTCCTGAAACTCTTCTTCTTGGACTATTTCACGAGTTAAAATACTTTTGGGAAACATGAAGAAAATCTTTTTGTACATGTTGTCGACTGTTGCATCGGTTGTCTTTTTATCACGAACTGATCTCCTTTTGACAGATAACTCAGGACTTGACCCGCGTGTCTTTCGCTTATTATTTTGATTTAGGGCTTCCTGGTGAGAACAATCAATAGATCGAGACGCATTGCCATTTAGGACAGGATTGGAAGAGATAGTGATTGATATTAACTCATTTGAATCGACTTTATGTTCTGTCATTTTGTTTTTAACGTCTATCAAGGCTGAAATGACAGATTTTAAAGAGTTATAGCTTATGTCATTGAGATCGAAACTTAAAGATCTCTGAACAACTTCTTGTTTTGCTTCACTTTCCTTTTGTCGCTCATGGAGTTGTTTTAAATTCTCCAGAACTTCTAAAAGTTTACTTTTTCTTTCTAAGCCTTGCTGCGGATTCCAATTTTTTAGATAATTAAGACGGACAGGCAATTTGGATTCTAAAGATGGCGAAAGTTTCAACATCTCTGAGACTAATACACGAGCTTTAAAGTAATTGCCATCCTTCATTAATCCTTTGATTGCGAGTTGTAGACAATTATTGTGATCATTGAATAAGAAATAAAGACCCATTAAAGTGTCGAGAACAAACCAATTGTTTGCATCGATTCGATGAGCTTCTTCAAAACATATTCGGGCAAACGTCAAATCTACTGCTTGATTAAGAGCTCGTTTACCAGTTTCAGTTAATAGAGTAACATCACCACCAGCAATTGAAGAACAGTCGAGAAAATAATCCAAATCGTTTTTTGTAAGTTGTCTCTGGTTTGTGAGGTGAACAAACTTTTGTTGGATACAGTTGATAAGATTGCTTGACTTACATGGGCAGGATGGAGAGTTACATTCATTTTTATGACGAAGATGATCTTTTATAAAGTCGTGAGTCAATTTAAGTATATTATCTGGAAAGAATGGACTATGATTAGACTTCCAATTCCGTGGGCCAGGAACCAACTCATGAAAATCAGTCTCTTCGATCAAGACAAAACCCGATTTTGTTAATTCAGGAATATTATACGATTGAACGATTTCTTCAACCCACAACTTCAATTTCGAGTCCGCAAGTTTATAGTTGAGTTTATCCGACTTGATTAAATTGGTTATTCCAAGTTTATCATTTCGATTCAATAGATCCAAAAATTTTTTAACTTTGTCAGCTGCGTTTCGCAAAGAGTCTAATTGATCTTTGTTAATGTTCACATAAGATTCCAATTCTTTTTGCAAGTGGTTGATTTCGTTATTGAACTTTGCCTTTTCTTTTTCAATCTCATTCGTGTACTCTTTTAGTTTCACGTTCAATAGATCATATTGCTTTTCAATAATATCCCGATGAATATGAAAGTTTTTGTCAATATCGATGTTAACGGTGGTATAATTGTTGTTATTGTCACGTTCAATGGGCACAATACTAGCTGACTTGTTCTTACTACATGTCTCACAGAATAGTTCATTAGTTGTCTTGTCCACAAATTCAGCGATAAAATTGTCACATTTGGAGCATGAAGGCTCATCAGTGGCTGAATTGATGATAACAGCACAACATCTTTTAGATGCTAAAATTTTTCGATGAAATTTGAGTAAATGAGCCTCACAAAAATCTTTTTTACTACACAAACAATGGAAAATGGCTTGATTGTTACAAACGGAATCATCTCCACATCTTTTCTTGTCAATGGCTTTGAGGTAATCAGCTTCGATGAGATCGGTTTTACATAAGACACATGGTCGGTTTTCTTGTTTACATTGATGACAAAATGTCTTTAAACATTTGTGAACATAAAAAACGTCACTTTGATCGTGATCACAGCCTAATTTGGCGATTGGTTGATTAATCATTCCTTGTAGTTAAAAAACAAATATTCAAGTTAAAGGTTAGGCAATAACAGTTGCGAATCCGTAATCTCTTCTTTTATGATCAAGCAAGAAATGATCAGAGGTTCTAAAAGTATTAGTTTAGTAATAGTTAATAGTTAATAGTTACTAATAGTATTAGTTAGTAAGTTTTATAAACTAAAATTTGGTATTAATTATAATTTTGCAATGTGATGAAACTTTTTCTGTTGTAAAATTAATTGACCATCACGGTGACTGTTTTTTGAATTACTTTTTATCTTTTATGTTTTCTTAATTAGTTTCTTATCTGTTTTTCTCACGATAAAAAGTTTATATAAAATAAATTTATTAACTATTGATAGCTATTAACTGCATACAGTCGACTAAACCTTTGCAGCTTTCAGAAGATTAGGAAATTCTTCAACAGTTCATGTGATTCTAATATCTGCAATTCCGCAACTTTTGTTTGGTTCGTTCAACACTGTTAATTTTTTTCCGATCTTTAGTCTTAGTTTTTTTATTGGTTTACCCTTTTCGTATGTAATTTTTTTTTCAAACTGCCCATTCTCTTTTTCTGTGAATTCATTCTTACTCTGTCAATACTTTTTTATCTTCCTCTCTTCGTTTTCAATCAACCGCAACGAAAAAATGTATTTAAATATAAAAAATAGAAGAAAAAGTTTTTTTGTAAAAATAAAAGATAAAATATTCCGATTGCAACAATTTTACTATAGTTATATGTAATTATTTTGCCTACTGGAAGTCTTTTTGTTTTCGAAATAATAGTCAGCTTAGAAATAGTACATATCTTGATTAACATTATTTCAGTGAATATTTGGTGAAGCCACAATTAGTTTAACATTATGCAAATATTCATAGAACAAATTGGGAAATTTTTCAAGATTGAAAATTCTGGATACGTCGAATCTGGCAATGTTTTAGGAGCAATTGTTCATAAATAAAATATGTATTTCAGCAATGTAGATCAACTGCAGTTCTTTTATCTCGAACTGATCTTCGTTTCGCAGATGAATCAGGACTTGATCTCGTGTCTTTCGCTCATTACAATTGTTTGATTTTTCTTTGGAGAATTTATATCCAATGGCAGGGACGACGTAAGGTGCTGGATTGGCAGAGACTTTCAATGTTATTAATTTACTTAAATTAACTTTATGTTTTGCCATCTCATTGTTAACATGTATTATGGCAGAAATCAAAGATTGTAACGATGAAAGTGTGACAGCATCGAGATCTAAACATAGAGATTTTATATTGTTGAGCTTCTTCAAATTCTCGAGGTCCCCCATAAGTTTTTTCTTCCTTTTAATATCAACTGAAGAATTCCAATAGTGCAGATACTCTAACTCGACAGGTAATTCTATTCCTATGGATGGAAAACGTTCCAACATCTCTGATATTAATACACGAGCTTTAAAGTAATTGCCATCCTTCATTAATCCTTTGATTGCGAGTTGTAGGCATTTATTGTGATCATTAAGCACGAAACAAATACCCATTAAAGTGTCGAGAACAAACCAATTGGTTGGATCGATTCGATGAGCTTCTTCAAAACAAATTTGAGCACTTGGTAGATCCGTAGACTTACTCAGAGCTCGTTTACCAGTTTCTATCAATAAAGTAACATAACCACCATCAATGGACGAACAGTCGAGAAAATAATCCAGATTAGTTTTAGAAACTTGCTTTTGATTCATAAATTTAACAAATTTTGTTTGAATATTGTAGATGAGATTGTTTGATTTACAGTAGCAGGATAAAGATTTACATTCATTTTTATGGCGAAGATGATCTTTAATAAAGTCGTGAGTCAATTTAAGTAGATTATCTGGAAAGAATGGACTATGATTAGACTTCCAATTCCGTGGACCAGGAACCAACTCATGAAAATCAGTCTCTTCGATCCAGTTAAAACCCGATTTTGTTAATTCAGGAATATTATACGATTGAACGATCTCTTCAACCCACAGCCGTAATTTCGAGTCCACAAGTTTATAGTTGAGTTTATCAGACTTGATTAAATTGACCATTCCAAGTTAGGTTAAATTATAGAGTTCGCTTATTTCTAGGGTGAATTCACAAGAAATTTTCCTTGCTACTACAGTTGATTGTAGATTAAATTATCCAAATAATTTGAGTAAACGATCTTTCTTGCTGCTAACAAGCTAATGAATTTGATGACTCGCATATTCAAATATCAATTAACTTTATATTGTATTTTAATATTTTCCTTTCGACTAAATCGTTTTTCGAGAAAATAATGCATTAACAATTATTGCGATATTTTCTATTTACATTAAAATCTTAGAATCAAATTTAAAATCAGAGGTAAAAAATATGATTATTGATTAGCATTAAACTCGCTTGGATGATATTGAATATTAATATATTATATATATTATAATATATTATTAATATATTGAATAATTTTATCGATGTAAGAGTTTTCTTTTTTAAATGTTTTTTTTCGTAATCGTAAGAAAATAACAAATTGAAACCATTTTCAATCGTAATAAACTTTGTCATGTTGTTGCTATAAAAATTTTATGGAATTCTCATCATAGCGATGTGATTAATCAATTGTAATACAGAGAGGACCACTTCCATGTTCTCCAAGAAATTTTTCGGCAGATCGTTTATAAATAGGAATTTCTATCAGCTGATTACACATTTTCTTCAAATCAGCTTCAATTGGCTCCAAATTTTCATGATTTCTTATAGCGTCTGCGATACGATTCTCATAAATACTGAAACAATATTTCATCGCTCGTTTCCCAAGATTTTCCTGATCTATATCACGGAGATAACCTTTGGCAGGTTGTTCACATGAGCCCAAATGTATTGCGATTCGCATTAATTGTTCAGCATCACCCAAATTCTGGTGGACATTAATCAATAAATGAGTCGATCGCAGCATATGAGAAATAAAACTTCCTGGTCTTTCAATATAATTGTTCGGTATCTTCCAGATTCCATTGAAGAAATTGCTTGCGTTGCTACGATAGAAAAGACCAAGAATCAAATCAGATTCACGGTTTTCTTCAGGTCGAAAATAAGTTTGAAAATCAGTTGGAAAGTGGAACATATTAGTTAATATCTTTCTGGAAAGCAGATAATCTTTAGTAAAAAAAAAATGATGGGCCATTCGATAGAGTGATTTGTAATGATTAGGAAAACGTTTCAAGCACCTATTCATTGCTTCTTGGCACATTTGTACTATTCTTTGGCATAATCGTGGTCCATCACTCTCCAGAATTCCATCACTGACCAAACCGACCAAATCAGTCACCACTTCATTGACATCTTCCATGATTTCTTCGTCCGTGAATTCATCACTTGGCAGTTCCATTTGCTCAACGAAAAAGCTCCTTTCAGCACGAGTTAAAAACGCCATAATTTGTGATAATGTTTTCGGGGACAATTTATCGCTATTGCGTCGGATGTATTTAAGAACACTGGAATGAATTCGATAATGGACTTCTAGAGCTTCGATTTCATAGCGGGTATAATATGAACTATAATAACCGAGTCTACAAGGATAAGTTGCTCCAGTTAAGGCCAAATGCAGGTCAGATAATTCATAATATCGAAGTGCTTGTAAGATGTTGCTTCTTTCAGCGATTTTTCCCAAGTAATAATAGTTAAGCCAAATTTTATCGGCATCAACAATATTGTTTGCCGATTCAAAGCAAACTCGAGCCTGCTCGTAAAATCGTTTACGATGTTGTTTCATTTCTTCTCGATTTAAGTTCTCTGGTCCAAATCTCTTTACTCGAGAAATATAACTCGCAATGTCATAAGCACACTTTCCATATTCGGCCCATACCTTGGACTTGTTATTTTTCAATCGAATTGCTTCATTGAAACATCGACATGCAGTTGCTCCTAAAAACAGCACCTCATTAGTATATGAGTAGAAAACTCGACAATCCTATTTGAATAATAAATTTGTAATTAGAAATCGATGAATGTTAATAGCGAATATGTACTAATACTTACCTTGGAAAAATATGGAATCATTGAATCTGCCATGAGAAGAGCATAGGCTGCCCAAGAGTCGAAGCGATCACGATTCAAGGTTAAATCAAGTTGGTAAAATTTTTTAGCTTCTCTGCAAATCAAATCGAAAGAAAATTGATATATTAATAATACACATATTGGACTTAATGATAATCGATAAACTTACTTGAACTTTTTGTTTTTGAAATAATAATCAGCTAAGTAATAGTAAATATCTTGAGTAACATGATGTCTGGGAATATTTGATGAAGCCTCAATTGGTTTTACATTATCCAAATATTCATTGAACAAATTGGAAAATTTTTCAGGATTTAAATTGTCAGGAATAATTGCTAGTAAACGTTTGAACAACTCTACAGCTTGAGAACTTGTTGATTCGTTAGTTTCAAACTCTGGAAGCTTTTTGGGAATGTAGTAATTGTAAATTATCACAACATCGTTTAAACTTAAACTAACCCCCGCTCCATGATGAGCAGGGGTCAGAAAGCTACATTCTAATTGTTTGTAGAAGCAACCAAAACACTGTTGGATTAGTCTCTCTTTCTTTCTGCTACATTGATTAATCAGATAATCAAGTGCGAGAGATAAAAACTCGCCATTTGGGTGACAACATGCTCCTTTATTCCCTAGATATTCATGAGCTGAGTTGATCAAACCGGTGATTTTTCCTTCGTCTGATTTACCAACTCGCATCTCGTTTATGAATGTTTGTAGAATACAAGTCCAGGCTATTGCATTGTAATCTTCGGTTCCTAACTTTAATAATTTGATGGCCAATTCTCGATCAATTGATAGTTTATCTCCATTCTTCAAACACATTGGTAATAGATTTAGCAATGTGTCGGTCAATTGTTTACTTCGAGCAATTATTTCGATCCCTCGTTTCCATTGTTTTGACGATTGAATAGCTTGACAAAGATACTCTTCTTCTTGTTTAGAGAGCTCAGATTTAGATGCTAATAGTTCAACAATTTCTTCGTGTCGATGCTGATCCAATAATGTGTCCAAATTATTTTCATTCATCTTGTTTATCATTGATCTAAGACTAGAAGAGGTATAGACAGTTTGATTTGCCGCTCGCACTAATTTGAGGTTAGTTTTGGTAAACATTTCATTTGCCATTAGAAGATAATCAACTTTAGATTCTTTGATCCCTCGAAGAATCAAAAGACGAATGAAGAAGGCATTATATTCATTGGGATTGAATGAATCTCGTAAATATGGAATTGATTCAGTTAAAAATATTGCTTCGGATTCTTTAAAATCAACTTCATTTGCTGTCAAAATGAATTTCGCCTTTTCCACTGTCATAGTATGATGCTTAGAACACGTTAACGGCGATGGTAATGGATACCATTTTTGATGAATTCGGTACAGTTCCATAAAATTAGAAGGTAATTTGATTAAAGTTGCTTGATCACCAATTTCACATAAAAGATCTCCAACAATATTGTAAATTTGTTTTCCTTTTGAGACAAACGGCTTTTGTTTCGAGAGGAAACGAGTAAGAATTAGATCCTCCACTTGATCTTCGTTATGTGTTTTCATCTCTAACTCGTCGTCTTCTTGGACTATTTCACGAGTTAAAACACTTTCGGGGAACATGAAGAAAATCTTTTTGTACATATTGTCGACTGTTGCATCTACTGCCTTTTTATCTCGAACTGATCTTCGTTTCGCAGATGAATCAGGACTTGATCCTCGTGTCTTTCGCTTATTACAATTGTTTGATTTTTCTTTGGAGAATTTATATCCAATGGCAGGGACGACGTAAGGTGCTGGATTGGCAGAGACTTTCAATGTTATTAATTTACTTAAATTAACTTTATGTTTTGCCATCTCATTGTTAACATGTATTATGGCAGAAATCAAAGATTGTAACGATGAAAGTGTGACAGCATCGAGATCTAAACATAGAGATTTTAAAACATTTTCTTGTGCTTTTTCCGATTCCTTTTCTATATTGTTGAGCTTCTTCAAATTCTCGAGGTCACCCATAAGTTTTTTCTTCCTTTTAATATCAACTGAAGAATTCCAATAGTGCAGATACTCTAACTCGACAGGTAATTCTATTCCTATGGATGGAAAACGTTCCAACATCTCTGATATTAATACACGAGCTTTAAAGTAATTGCCATCCTTCATTAATCCTTTGATTGCGAGTTGTAGGCATTTATTGTGATCATTAAGCACGAAACAAATACCCATTAAAGTGTCGAGAACAAACCAATTGGTTGGATCGATTCGATGAGCTTCTTCAAAACAAATTTGAGCACTTGGTAGATCCGTAGACTTACTCAGAGCTCGTTTACCAGTTTCTATCAATAAAGTAACATAACCACCATCAATGGACGAACAGTCGAGAAAATAATCCAGATTAGTTTTAGAAACTTGCTTTTGATTCATAAATTTAACAAATTTTGTTTGAATATTGTAGATGAGATTGTTTGATTTACAGTAGCAGGATAAAGATTTACATTCATTTTTATGGCGAAGATGATCTTTAATAAAGTCGTGAGTCAATTTAAGTAGATTATCTGGAAAGAATGGACAATGATTGGACGATTCCGTGGGCATGGGACCAGTTCACAAGGATCACTTTCACTTTCCTCGCTCCAATCAGCACCCGATTTTGTTAATTCAGGAATATTGTACGACTGAAAGATCTCTTCAATCCACAACTTCAGTTTCGAGTCCGCAAGTTTATTATTGAGCAGATCAGATTTAATGAGATTGCTTATTCCATATTTATCATCGCGATTCAATAGATTCAAAAATTGTTTAACTTTGTCCACTGAATTTCGTAAATTGTCTATTTTGACCTTATTAGCATTCGAGTAAGACTCTAATGCTTTTTGCAATTCGTCGATGGTTTCATTGAACTTGCTCTTTTCTTTTTCCACCTCATTCGTATAGTCTTCAAGTTTAGTGTTCAATAACTCCAAATGATTTCTAATATCAACACGATGAGTGCAAATATTATTGTTCAATGTGGTGTTGATGTTGTAATTGTCGGTGTTGCTGTTGTCAAGTTCAATGGCCACAATATTAGATGAGTGATTATCCTGTTTACATGTAGCACAAAATAACTGATTGGTTGTCTGGTCCACAAATTTAGCAATGAACATTTCACACTTTGAACATGATTGAGCTTCAGTTTCGAGATCGATAGCTCGGCATCTCTTAGATGGTACAATTAAATTGTGAAATTTAATCAGATGCAGCTCACAAAAATCTTTATTACCGCAGAGACAATGAAAAATGGCCTGGCTATTGCAAACGGAAGTATCTTCGCATCTTTTCCTGTCAATGGCTTTGAGATAATCATCTTCAATCAGTTTAGTTTTACACAAGACACACGAGTGATTTTCTTGCTTGCACTTGTCACAAAATGTCTTCAAACATTTGTGTATATAGAAATGTTCACTTTGGTCGTGACCACAGTCCAACTTGTTGATTGTTTGATTACTTATTCCCTGTGAATGAAGACATTTAAATGTAAGAGGTGAGTGAATAGTTGATAATAGAAATAGGAAGCTGACGAGTCAATACTTACTTCTGTCATGGTGAATTAAAGGTAAAGCCGATGCGAGGAATCAAATGGACAACATTTAAGTGGCTGTATGTCAACCATATTTTAAGAAAATGTCACAATAAATGATAGAAGTACAGTAGATTGAGAACCAACATTGAACTGCAAAAATCACTTCAAAATTTTCACCGTTAAAAGTAACAATTGAGAAAATTTGATTGGCACCAGAAAGTGATAATCAGTTAACTAGATGATAAATAGAAGACAAAAAGATTGTCAAATGATTTCTTATCCAAAGATGCTGCTAATCGCATCCATTTGTAATGAGTCAACATTAATTGTAAACAGTTAACCTCGTTACACATTTAAAAGACTAAATTTTTGACAATTTTAAAACAAGTTAGGTCTTCTCATTGGAGGCTGGTTGAGTTTTGATGTTCACTTAAATGTTACAAATAAATAATCGGTAAGATGTTGGTTATGATCGCACTGGTTTGACTTAATTATCCCTCTGAATCTTAATCCAATTGGAATTGATCAACAGTCTTGGTAAGTAAACACGCAATTAACTTAACTTAGGCTCTTATTCACCAGCCGAGATCAAAGCTGAAATCAGGACCCCGGTAAAAGACAAAGGCCGAAAAGAAACAAAAAAGGCAAAAAACGGTCGAGATTCACAACCATCAAGCAGAATTGAAATGAAAGAGCCTCAAGACATTTAAATTTGAATTTTTGGCGAAATAATCATAAAAATAACACTTAAAGTTTAAGCACAAAATAGTAAAACAATAATCACCAAAATTTAAAATAATTTTTTTTTCTTATCTGATTTTTGACGCGCGAAGTTTGAATGTAATTTATCGATATTTTTTATTTTATTCCAACCGAGAACTTAATTTTCTATTAATCGATACCTTGACCAAACTGACCTGAGTTCATTTCAGAATCGTAAAAATTGAGTGAAAGTAAAAGTATTTTTCCCGTAGTGAAAATGAAAGCAACTAATCTCGAGATCATCTGATTTCAAGATTAACAAAAAAGTTATTTCAAGTCCGATTAGCTCATCTTGAGATGACGATTTCTTCAATCAAGTTGATTTCAAGTCAATTATATTAAAAAACTGTCCCTAAATTTTTAATTGTTTTGCTTACTGATCATCAAACAAAACAACGGTCACAACGATACAAACGTGTTGCTCTTTAGATGCGAACGGATAATTGGAAGGGAATAAAATTAATTAATTGTTTATGGGAAAGAAAGCTCACCAAAAACAACTGCAACAAGTTCCCATTTAATTATATTAATCTAACTATTTGTATCAACATCGGCAATTGATATTTTCCCTACAAGAAAAACTGGATTAAATAGTTGATATAATAAAGTAATATATTAATAATAAAGAAAATTGATCCAAATTTATTCAAATCATCCAATTTCTATGTAAAATTGCATTAGTTTCGTTCATAATCAGTAAAGATTTTGCGAATTTAAAAACTTTATAAGGAAAGATATTCGTCATTAAAGTTAGTGATTAATCAATTGTTATACATTCAACGCGATTGTCATGTTTTTCGAGGAATTTTTTAGCAGAATGTTCGTAGAAAGGATATTCCATCAATTTATTACATATTTCCCTTAAATTGGCTTCAATTGACTTTAAGTCCTGATGATTTCCTTCCGCCTCTGCAATTCGACTCTCGTAAATACTAAAACAAAGTTCCAATGCTTTTTTCCCAAGATTTTCACGATCGGTTTCACGAAGATATCCTTTGCTTCTCAATTCTAATGAATTCAAAAATATTGCGATTCTCAATAATTGTTCAGCATCACCTAAAGTTTTATTCACATCAATCAGTAAATCTGTCGATCGACGGATGTGAGTACAGAAACTTCCTGGTCTCTCGATAAAGATGTTCGATGTCTTCAGGATTCCGTGGAATATATAATAGTTACATTTAGTCGTGTCGAAAAGATCTTGAATGGGTGAAGATTTTACTGTTTCAGTTGAATTATCCCCAATTTCGGAAGTAGTAGAACTTTGAGGATGAGTTGGCGGTTCAAATGGCTCGGTTAGTATCTTTCGAGCGTTTGCAAAATCTTCAGAAAGATAATGAAGATGAGCCATTTGATAAAGAGCTTTGTAATGACCTGGAGAACATGTTAATATTCTAAGCATCGCTTCACGACACAGATTTATGATTTTTCGATTTAATCGTTGGTCTTCACTTTTCACAGTAGCCAAATCAGAAATTCCCTTTCCGGTATCATCAATGGTTTTATTATTTCTTGACGCAGAATCAAAGAGAGTAATACTTTTTTCTGCACGAGTTAGAACCTCCAGTTCTATTTCGATGATAGAATTTTATCTCTATGAATATACTTGAGAGCATAAGCATGAATGCGATAGTGAATTTCAATGCCAAAACGATGCTGAATAGAATTGGGAACATTAATTCCAGAAGTTGCTTCACTTGAGACAAAATGTGACAAAGATAATTCGTAATAACGAAGTGCCTCTGAGATGTTACTTCTCTCAGCGATTTTTCCTAAGAAATAATAATTCATCATAATTTCGTCAACGTTAGAAAATTTGTGAGCTGATTCAAAGCAAACTCGAGCTTGGTCCAAGAATTTCTTTCGTTGTTTTTTAATTTCTTCTTTTTGTGAATTCTCCAAAACTGGTCCAAATTTCATGACTCGAGAAATGTAACTCGCAATGTTATAAGCGCACTTTCCATATTCGAGCCATATCTTGGATTCATTATCTTTCAATGGAGTCGCTTTATTGAAACAACGAAATGCTTTATTCCAAAAATTCAACGGATTATAAGCAGATGAGGAAAAAACTCGACCATTCTATTCGTGAATGTAAATATGAGATTAGAGCTTTAACAAAATAGGTGGTTTTAACACTTACAGTTGAAGAAGATTGATCAATTTGACTTGTTATTGCTAGAGCACATCCAGCCCATGAATCAAATCGATTGAGATTTAAAGATAGATCGAGAAAGTAAAATTGGACGGCTTTTCTATGAATTAGATTAATAATAAATTTATGAGAAATCATAATATTTGAGTAGACGTTAAATTATAAACTTTTTCTTACTGAAACTCTTCCTTTTTAAAGTAATAATCAGCTAGATAATAGTAAAGATCTTGAGTAACATGATCTTTTGGAATACTTGATGACGGCTCAATGGATTTTCCATTATCGACATATTCTTTGACAGAATTGGAAAATCTTTCAGGATTTAAATTTTCAGGGACCTTGGAAAGCAATTTGAGTAACAGCTCTGCAGTATTTGCATTGATAGAATCACATTTTTCACTATTAAAAGTTGGCAAAGTTTTAGGAATAAAATGATTATAAATAGTATTCATGTCCTTCCAATGCAAAGAAACTCCCGATTCAGGATGAGCTGATAGAAAGTTACATTCTAATTGTTTGTAAAAACAACCAAGGCAGCTAAGAATCAATTTCTCTCTCATGATATTTGATTGATTGATTATATAATTGAGTGAAAGAGATAAAAACTCTCCATTGGAATGACAACAAACTCCTTCACTCCCTAGATATTCATGAATTGAGTTAATTAAATAAGTGATTTGCCCTTCGTCAATGTGTCCACATCGCATCTCGTTTATGAAAGTTTGTAGAATACAAGTCCAGGCCATTACGTTGTAATCTTCAGTTCCTAATTTCAACAATTTGATGGCCAATTCTCGATCAATAGATGTTCCATGACCATTCTTTAGACAAGATCGTAATAGATTTAGCAATGTGTCGGTTAATTGTTTACTTCGAGCAATTATTTCGATCCCTCGTTTCCAATATTGTGATGATTGGATAGCTTGACAAAGATACCCTTCTTCTTGTTTAGAGAACTCAGATTTAGATGCCAATAGTTCAACAACTTCCTCGTGTCGATGCTGATCCAATAATGTGTCCAAATTATTTTCATTCATCTTGTTAATCATTGATCTAAGACTAGAAGAGGTATAGACAGTTTGATTTACCGCTCGCACTAATTTGAGGTTAGTTTTGGTAAACATTTCATTTGCCATTAGAAGATAATCAACTTTAGATTCTTTGATCCCTCGAAGAATCAAAAGACGAATGAAAAATTTATCATAATCTGGAGTAATCATCAAATCTCGTAGATAGGGAATCGATTCAGTCAAAAATATTGCTTCGGATTGATTGAATTCAACTTCATTAGCAATTAAAATCAAGTTTGTTCTGCCAACATCTATATTCATGATTGAACACGTTAAGGGTGTCGGTAATGGATACCATTTTCGATTAATTCTATACAGATTCATGAAGTTAGAAGGTAATCTGACTGCGGTGGCTTCGCTTGCTATTTCATAGAGAAGATCAAGAATCAGCAGATGGATTTGTTTTCCTTTTGCGACGAATGGTATTTGTTTCGAGAGGTAACGGGTTAAAATTAAATGTTCCACTTGAGCTTCGTTCTTTGTTTGTACCTGTAACTCCTCTTCTTGGACTATTTCACGTGTTAAAATACTTTCTGGTAACATTGTGAATATCTTTTCGTACATGCTGATGGCTATTGGATCTTTCGGCTGTAAATCTTCGCCCGATTTTCGTTTCGCTGAAGGATCATGACCTTGGCTCTTTCGTTTATTATTTTGATTAAGGTTCTCTTTTGAAGAAATTGTATTAGCATTGGACAGAGGATTAGAAAATGGATTGCCAGTGATCTTCAATGGTATAAATGTACTAAGGTTGAGTTTTTGTTTTTCGATTTCACTATTAACAACTATTAAAGCTGAAATCAAGGATTGTAGCGAAATCGTTTCGATATTGAGGTCTAATAGCAGAGATTTTCGAACATTTTCTTGCTGAGTTTCAGTCTTCTTTTGTCCATCACGAAGTTGTTTCGTCTTGTTGAGTTTGTCTAAAATTTTTGTTTTTCTTGTCAAATCATCTTCGGAACTACAATCGAGTAGATAATCAAGACCAACAGGTATTTCTGATTTTAAAGTTGGTGTTGATTTCAAAATCTCTGATATTAAAACACGAGCTTTGAAGTAATTAGAATCTGCAGTCAAACCTTTGACCGCAAGTTTTAGACAGTTACTGAAGTCATTTAGAACGAAATAAAGACCCATTAAAGTGTCAAGAACAATCCAATTGTTCGGACTGAGTCTATGAGCTTCTTCAAAACAAACTTCAGCGACGACAAAATCAGACTGATTAAGAGCTCGTTTACCTGTTTCAATCAATAGAGTTATACAACCACCAGCGATTGATGAGCAATCGAGAAAATAATCCAGATTATTTTGTGAAAGTTTACATTCAGTCTTAAGGTCGTAAAATTTTTTCGTGAGACTGTTTTGTTCACAGTAACAAGATGAAGCTCTACAGATAGTTCGGTGGAAAATTTGTTCTTTGATTAAGTCGTAAGTTAATTTGAGAAAATTGTCAGGAAAAAAAGGACCATGATTAAGCTTCCAGTTCCGCGGACTAGGAACCAACTCATGAAAAGCTCTTTTAGATTCTTCAGTCCAATCTACACCCGATTTGGTTAATTCAGGAATAACATACGATTGCACTATCTCTTCGACCCATAACTTTAATTTCGAGTCCGCGAGTATATTGTTAAGCTTATTCGACTTGATGAGAGTGATTATTCCAAATTTATCACTGCGATTCAATTGATTCAAAAATTGTTTTACTTTGGTTACTTCCGCTCGCAAAGAGTCTATTTTGGCTTTGTTGGCACTCAAGTAACTTTCTAGTTTACTTCTCATGTGACCGATGCCTTTATTGAATTCTGCCTTTTCGTTTTCTATCTCAATCGTATAATCTTTTAGCTTGTTGTTCAATAGATCCAACCTTTTTTGTACATCAACTCGATAAATTTCAACACTTTTGGCTATGCTTGTGTTGTCGGTATCGTTGTTGTTATTGTCTAGTTCAATGGGCACAATATTAACTGAGTTATTATTCTGATTACATGAAGCACAGAAAAGCTCATTAGTTGTATTGTCCACAAATTCAGCGATACGGTTGTTACATATGGAACATGGTTGGTCATCTAAGTCCGAACTGAGAATCACAGCACAACATCTTTTTGATGGTAAAATCGGTCGATGAAATTTGAATAAATGATCCTCACAAAAATACTTTTTACCGCACAAACAATGGAAAATGGCTTGATTGTTGCAAACTGAATCATCTTCACATTTCTTCCTGTCAATTGCTTTGAGATAATCAGTTTCTAAGAGTTCAGATTTACACAAGACACATGAGCGATTTTCTAGTTTACACTTTCTACAAAATGTCTTCAAACACTTGTGAACATAAAAAACGTCACTTTTATCGTGACCACAGTCCAGCTTGACGATTGATTGGTTACTTGTTACCTGGAGGGGATAAAGAGATTTAAACTGTTGAATTGCACGAAAGGTCAGTTAAAGGATAATAATAGAAAGAACAACAACTAATACTTACTTCTGCCATGAGGATCAAAGGTAAAGATGAATAAAGAAATCAACTGTATTTATGGAAAACGTATCAATAAATAATCAACATTCACATTCAAAGACGAGATGATTACAGTTCAAACAACGAACAGCTACCAAAGGCCTTTTAATTAAAGGCCCAACTATTTTCCATTTTCACTTAATTGTTACAAACAAGTCTTTCGATTCACTGGTTTAAATGGTTAATATAAGTAAATATCTTTTGGAAATTTCAGTTTGACAAAAAATGAAACATTCTGTCAGTTCTTTTCACGATAAAAAAAACACTCGAAATTTATAAACAAGTTAATATAATGTTAATTTATTAACTATTGATAACTAGTAATTACAATCAACTAAACCTGTTCATTTTTCAAAAGAGCGGGAAATTCAAAAGAATAAACAACAATCTTTTTACAATCACAAACAAAGCATTTAAATTGAAACAATTTTAGTGTCGGTGAAAATCATGAGAACTGAAAAAGAAACTTGATTATGAGACTTTCATATCGTGAAAACAGTGGTTAGTTAATTGTTACACATCATGAAATCGTTCAGCGTATTCTTCAGACAGGATGTTCCATTAACTTGTTAAACATTCTTCGTACATCAGCTTTAATTGGCCGTTACGAATTGTTATCGATACTAAAATACGATTCTCATGTGTTACAATGTTTCATTTCTTGTTTGTTTTAGATTTTGTTGATATGCAACACGCAGAAATCCTTTGCTACTCAATTCTGACGAAGTCAAAAGCGTTGAGATTTTGAGCAATTGATCAGCATCATTAATAATTCTTTTTAACTTTGATCAATAACTGAGTGGATGGAAATGCATGTGGGTAATAAAACGTCCTGGTCACTTGATAATGTTGTCTGATAGTAATTACAATCAACTTGATAAAACTTCATTTTTCATATGAGCGGGAAATTCAAAAGGCTCGAAATTAATAATGATCTCGATTAAAAAAACTTTAAACTTATCGGAATCTTTGAAATAGAAAATGAATTAATTTTGAATGTTTTACATCAATTCGATTAAATTTAAATAAGAAAAAAATTAGTTGTTCGTATTGAAACAATGGAGATATTTTCATCGGTCAGTCTTTTCCTTGAAATTCAATGTACAATTAAATCATCTAACTTATGGAGATAATTTTTCTAAATTGTTATTACCTGTTAACAATCAACGTTCCGATCAACATGCTATCAGATGAACATCAATAGATGATAGTCTTTAATTGTTAATCTGACAGCATTATGATCTAAACTTAGAGATTTTGAAACATTTTCTTGTGATTTTCCAATATTTTTCCATTATTGTAATATATTATTGAGCTTCTTCAAATTCTCGAGGTCACCCATAAGTTTTTTCTTCCTTTTAATATCAACTGAAGAATTCCAATAGTGCAGATACTCGACAGGTAATTCTATTCGTATGGATGGAAAACGTTCCAACATCTCTGATATTAATACACAATCTTTGCAGTAATCGTTGTCTTTCATTAATCCTTTGAAATGATAAAAAAACTGATCCAGATTTATTCAAATTATTCGATTTCTCTGTAAAATTACATAAAATACTTTTTTGTATTCACAAAAGTAATTAGTCAAAAAATATTAGTTTCGTTCATAATCAGTAAAGATTTTTGCGAATTTAAAAAACTTTGTAAGGAAAGATATTCGTCATTAAAGTTAGTGATTAATCAATTGTTATACATTCAGCGCGATTGTCATGTTTTTCGAGAAATTGTTTAGCAGAATGTTCGTAAAAAGGATATTCCATCAATTTATTACATATTTCCCTTAAATTGGCTTCAATTGACTTTAAGTCCTGATGATTTCCTTTTGCCTCTACAATTCGACTCTCGTAAATACTAAAACAAAGTTCCAATGCTTTTTTCCCAAGATTTTCACGATCGGTTTCACGAAGATATCCTTTGCTTCTCAATTCTAATGAATTCAAAAATATTGCGATTCTCAATAATTGTTCAGCATCACCTAAAGTTTTATTCACATCAATCAGTAAATCTGTCGATCGACGGATGTGAGTACAGAAACTTCCTGGTCTCTCGATTGAGTAGTTCAATGTCTTCAGGATTCCATGGAATATATAATAGTTACATTTAGTCGTGTCGAAAAGATCTTGAATGGGTGAAGATTTTACTGTTTCAGTTGAATTATCCCCAATTTCGGAAGTAGTAGAACTTTGAGGATGAGTAGGCAGTTCAAATGGCTCGGTGAGTATCTTTCGAGCGTTTGCAAAATCTTCAGAAAGAGAATAAAGATAAGCCATTCGAGAAAGAGCTTTGTAATGACCTGGAGAACATCTTAATATTCTAAGCATCGCTTCACGACACAGATTTATGATTTTTCGATGTAATCGTTGGTCTTCACTTTTCACAGTAGCCAAATCAGAAATTTCCTTTCCGGTATCATCAATGGTTTTATTATTTCTTGACACAGAATCAAAGAGAGTAATACTTTTTTCTGCACGAGTTAAAACCTCCAGTATTTCCGGTGATAGAGTTTTATCTCTTTGATTATACTTGAGGGCATAAGCGTGAATACGATAATGAATTTCAATGCCAAAACGATAATGAATAGAATTGACATTATTAATTCCAGAAATATCTCCATTTGAGACAAAATGAGACAAAGATAATCCGTAACATCGAAGTGCCTCTGAGATGTCACTTCTCTCAGCGATTTTTCCTAAGAAATAATAATTCATCATAATTTCGACAGCATTGGCAAATTTGTTTGCTGATTCAAAGCAAACGCGAGCTTGTTCTAAGAATTTCTTTCGCTGTTTATTCATCTCTTCCTTTTGTGAATTCTCCAGTACTGGTCCAAATTTCATGACTCGAGAAATATAACTCGCAATGTTATAAGCGCACTTTCCATATTCGAACCATACCTTGGAATTATTATCTTTCAATGGAGTCGCTTTATTGTAACAACGAAATGCTTTTTGCCCAAAAAGCAACACCTCATGAGTAGATGAGTAGAAAACTCGACCATTCTGTTCGTGAATACAAATGAGATTAGAGCTTTAACAAAATAAGTTTTAATACTTACAGTTGAAGAAGATTGATCAATTTGACTTGTTATTGCGAGTGCACATCCAGCCCATGAATCAAATCGATTGAGATTTAAAGTTAGATCGAGAGTATAAAATTGGACGGCTTTTCTATGAATTAGATGAATATTATTAGAAATCATTTAAATTTGCTAGCTATTAAATGAATTGACTTACAGAACCTCTTTGTTTTTTAAGTAATAATCAGCTAAATAATAGTAAAGATCTTGAGTAACATGATCTTTTGGAATACTTGATGACGGCTCAATGGATTTTCCATTATCGACATATTCTTTGACAGAATTAGAAAATCTTTCAGGATTTAAATTTTCAGGGACCTTGGAAAGCAATTTGAGTAACAGCTCCGCAGTATTTGCATTGATAGAATCACATTTTTCACTATCAAAAGTTGGTAAAGTTTTAGGAATAAAATGATTGTAAATAGTATTCATGTCCTTCCAATGTAAAGAAACTCCCGATTCAGGATGAGCTGATAGAAAGTTACATTCTAATTGTTTGTAAAAACAACCAAGACAGCTAAGAATTAATTTCTCTCTCAGGATAGTTGATTGATTGATCGAATAATCGAGTGAAAGAGATAAAAACTCTCCATTGGAATGACAACAAACTCCTTTATTCCCAAGATATTCATGAATTGAGTTAATCAAGTAAGTGATTTGCCCTTCGTCAATGTGTCCACATCGCATCTCGTTTATGAAAGTTTGTAGAATACAAGTCCAGGCCATTACGTTGTAATCTTCAGTTCCTAATTTTAACAATTTGATGGCCAATTCTCGATCAATAGATGTTCCATGACCATTCTTTAGACAAGATCGTAATAGATTTAGCAATGTGTCGGTCAATTGTTTACTTCGAGCAATTATTTCGATCCCTCGTTCCCATTGTTGTGATGATTGAATAGCTTGACAAAGATACTCTTCTTCTTGTTTAGAGAGCTCAGATTTAGATGCGAATAGTTCAACAATTTCTTCGTTTCGATGCTGATCCAATAATGTGTCCAAATTATTTTCATTCATCTTATTTATCATTGATCTAAGACTAGAAGAGGTATACACAGTTTGATTTGCCGCTCGCACTAATTTGAGGTTAGTTTTGGTAAACAATTCATTTGCCATTAGAAGATAATCAACTTTAGATTCTTTGATACCTCGAAGAATCAAAAGACGAATGAAAAATTTATCATAATCTGGAGTAATCATCAAATTTCTTAGATATGGAATTGATTCAGCTAAAATTATCGCTTCGGATTTATCGAACTGAACTTCATTAGCAATTAAAATCAAATTTGTTTTGTCAACACTTATATTTTTGATTGAGCACATTAAAGTTGTCTGTAACGGATACCATTTGCGATAAATTCTGTACAGATCTCTGAAATTAGAAGGTAATTTGATTGCAGTGGCTTCGTTTGCTATTAACATAAAAAGATCAGCAATAAGCAGATGAACTTGTCTGCCTTTTGAGATGAATGGTATTTGTTTCAAGCGATAACGGGCCAAAATTAAACGTTCCACTTGAGCTTCGTTCTTTGTTTGTACCTGTAACTCCTCTTCTTGGACTATTTCACGTGTTAAAATACTTTCTGGTAACATTGTGAATATCTTTTCGTACATATTGTTGACTATTGGATCTTTCGGCTGTAAATCTTCAACTGATCTTCTTTTCGCTGATGGACCAGGACTCGATCCTTGGCTGTTTCGTTTATTATTTTGAATAAGATTTCCTTTGGAAGAAATCGTATTAGCATTGGAACGAGGCTTGCCAGTGATTTTCAATGTTATTGATTTACTACGATTGAGTTTTTGTTTCTCCATTTCACTACTTACAATGATTAAAGCTGAAATTAATGATTGTAGCGACGAAAGTGTTTCGGTATTGAGGTCTAATTGCAAAGACTTTCGAGCATTTTCTTGTTGCGTTCCAGTTTTCTTTTGTTCATCACGAAGTTTTTTCATCTTCTTGAGTTCGTCTAAAGTTTTTGTTTTTCTTGTCATAACACTCGCAGAACTACAATCGAGTAGATAATCCAGACCAACAGGTAATTCTGGTTTTAAGGTTGGTGAAGATTTCAAAATCTCTGATATTAAAACGCGAGCTTTAAAGTAGTTGCCATCTTTCATTAATCCTTTGATTGCGAGCTTAAGACAATTACGGTAATGATTAAGCACGAAATAGAGACCCATTAAAGTGTCGAGAACAATCCAATTGGTCGGACTGATTCGATGAGCTTCTTCAAAACAAACTCGTGCGATATGAAAATCAGACTGATTAAGAGCTCGTTTACCAGTTTCAATCATTAGAGTTACATCACCACCAGCGATTGATGAGCAATCGAGAAAATAATCCAGATTATTTTGTGAAAGCTTATATTCAGTCCTAAGGTCTTGAACTTTTTTCATTAGACTGTTTTGTTCACAGTAACAAGACGTAGCTCTACAGATATTCTGGTGCAAAAGTTGTTCTTTGATTAAGTCGTAAGTTAATTTGAGTAAATTGTCAGGAAAAAAAGGACCGTGATTAAGCTTCCAGTTCCGCGGACCAGGAATCAACTCATGAAAAGCTTTTTCAGATTCTTTTGTCCAATCTACACCCGATTTGGTTAATTCAGGAATAACATACGATTGCACTATCTCTTCGACCCATAACTTTAATTTCGAGTCCGCGAGTTTATTGTTAAGCTTATTTGACTTGATGAGATCGATTATTCCAAATTTATCATTACGATTCAATTGATTCGAAAATTGTTTAACCTTGTATACTTCCGATCGCAAAGAGTCTGTTTTGGACTTGTTGACACTCAAGTAACTTTCTAATTTACTTCTCATGTGGCCAATTCCTTTATTGAATTCGGATCTTTCGTTTTCTATCTCAATCGTATAATCTTTTAGCTTGTTGTTCAATAGATCCAACCTTTTTTGTACATCAACTCGATAAATTTCAACACTTTTGGCTATGCTTGTGTTGTCGGTATCGTTGTTGTTATTGTCTAGTTCAATGGGCACAATATTAACTGAGTTATTATTCTGATTACATGAAGCACAGAAAAGCTCATTAGTTGTATTGTCCACAAATTCAGCGATACGGTTGTTACATATGGAACATGGTTGGTCATCTAAGTCCGAACTGAGAATCACAGCACAACATCTTTTTGATGGTAAAATTGGTCGATGAAATTTGAATAAATGATCCTCACAAAAATACTTTTTACCGCACAAACACTGGAAAATGGCTTGATTGTTACAAACGGAATCATCTTCACATTTCTTCCTGTCAATTGCTTTGAGATAATCAGTTTCTAAGAGTTCAGATTTACACAAGACACATGAGCGATTTTCTCGTTTACACTTTCCACAAAATGTCCTCAAACATTTGTGAACATAAAAAACGCCACTTTGGTCGTGACCACAGTCCAACTTGACGATTGATTGGTTACTTGTTACCTGGAGGGGATAAAGAGATTCAAATTGTTGAATTAAACGAAAGGTCATTTAAAGGATAATAATAGAAAGAGCAACAACTAATACTTACTTTTGCCATGAAGATCAAAGGTTAAGATGATCCAAGGAATCAACTTTGCTTAGAGAAAGTGTCACAATAAATTGTCAAAATTCACATTCAAAGGAATAGATGATTACAATTAGAACGAAAATCTCGAAACAGCTACCAAAGGCTTTCCTAATGAAGGTCCATTTATTTTCCATGTAAACTTAATTGTTACAAACAAGTATTTCGATCCACTGGTTTAAATGGTTAATAAATTATCTTTGGAAATGATAGTTTGACAAAATCTAACATTTTTATCAGTTGTTTTCACGATAAAAACACTCGAAAATTTTAGCTTGTAAACAAGGTAGTATAACGTTGATTTATTAACTATTGATAACTAGTAATTGATTACAATCAACTTGATAAAACTTCATTTTTCATATGAGCGGGAAATTCAAAAGGTTCGAAATTAATAATGATCTCGATTAAAAAAACTTTAAACTTATCGGAATCTTTAAAATAGAAAATGAATTAATTTTGAATGTTTTACATTAATTCGATTAAATTTAAATAAGAAAAAAATTAGTTGTTCGTATTGAAACAATGGAGATATTTTCATCAGTTAGGCTTCATTTTTAAGGGTTTGTGTTAGTGCTGAATAACAAACAAAAGAAATGATCTTTTATCTCAGCCAAAGCAAAAATGGACTAAATATTTAATATAATAAAGTAACATAACCATTATCAATGGACGAACAGTCGAGAAAATAATTTAGTTTTGGTTAAGTTAGTTGGTATAATAAACAAAAATGATCCAAATTTATTCAAATTATCCGATTCATCATCAAAATTGCATAAAATATTTTTCATTATACAATGTAATGTAGTTATTCACAAAAGTAATTAGTCAAAAATATTAGTTTTGTTCATAATCAGCAAAGATTTTTGCGAATTTAAGAAACTCTGTTAGGAAAGATATTCATGATTGAAGTTAATGATTAATAAATTGTTGAACATTCTTGCCCAGTCTTTTGAGAAATTGTTTAGCAGAATGTTCGTAGAAAGGATATTCCATCAATTTGTTGCACATTTGCCTTAATTCAGCTTCAATCGACTTTAAATTGTTACGATTTCCTTTCGCTTCCATAACTCGACTCTCGTTAATACTAAAATAATGTTCCAATGCTTTTTTCCCAAGATTTTCCCGATCGGTTTCACAAAGATACCCTTTGCTATTAAACTCTGACGAGCTCAAAAGTATTGCGATTCTCAATAATTGTTTAGCATCACCTAAACTCTTATTCACATCAATCAATAAATCTGTCGATCGACGGATGTGAGAAAAGAAACTTCCTGGTCTTTCGATAAAGTTGTTTGATGTCTTCTGGATTCCGGGGAATATGTAATATTCGCATTTAGTTGGATCGAAAACATTTTGAATCGAGAGAAATTTTTCTGTTTCAGTTGAATTATTCCCAAATCCAAAATCATTAGAACTTGGTGGACAAGCTGGTGGTTCAAATGGTTCGGTGAGTATCTTTCGAGAGTTTAGAAAATCATTAGAAAGATAAAAAGATGAGCCATTCGATAAAGAGCTTTGTAATGACCTGGAGAACATGTTAATATTCTAAGCATTACTGTACGACACAGGTTTACGATTTTTCGATTTAATCGTTGGTCTTCACTTTCCAAAGTAACCAAATCAGAAATTCCGTTTCTGGTATCATCAATGAGTCTATCATTTCTTGATACAGAACCAAAGAAATTACTTTTGTCTACACGATTTAGAATCTCCAGTATTTCCGATGATAGAGTTTCATCTCTTTGAATATACTTGAGAGCACAAGCATGAATGCGATAATGAATTTCGATACCAAAACGATAACGAGTAGAATTGACATTATAAATTCCAGAAGTCACTTTACTTGAGACAGAATGATATATAGATGATTCGTAATATCGAAGTGACTTTAAGATGTCACTTCTTTCAGAGATTTTTCCTAAGAAATAATAATTTAGCCAAAGTTCGTCAGCATTGGCAAATTTGTATGCTGATTCGAAGCAAATTTGAGCTTGGTCTAAAATTGTTTTCGTTGCTGGTCCATTTCTACTTTTTGTGAATTCTCCAAAACTGGTCCAAATTTCATGACCCGAGAAAAATAGCTCGCGATGTTATAAGCGCACTTTCCATATTCGAACCATATCTTGGATTTGTTATCTTTCAATGGAATCGCTTTATTGAAACAACTAACCCTGTCTTTTAGCCGAATCGCTTCATTGTACAATTGACATGCTTTTTTCCCCAGAAGCAACACCTCACAAGTTGATGAGTAGAAAACTCGACAGTTCTGTTCATGAATAGAAATTTGAGATTAGAAGTGTAACAAAATATTAATTATAAGTAGTTTTAATATTAACTAATAATACGCACAGTCGAAGAATATTGATCAATTTGACTTGTTATTGCGAGTGCACATCCAGCCCATGAATCAATTCGATTGAGATTTAAAGTTAGATCGAGAAAGTAAAATTGGACGGCTTTTCTATGAATTAGATGAATAATATTAGAAATCATTTAAATTTGCTATTATATGAATTAACTTACTGAAACTCTTCGTTTTTCAAGTAATAATCAGCTAGATAATAGTAAAGATCTCGAGTAACATGATTTTTTGGAATACTTGTTGTAGGTTCAATTGGTTTCCCATGATCGATATATTCTTTGACAGAATTGAGAAATCTTTCGGGATTTAAATTTTCAGGGACCTTGGAAAGCAATTTGAGTAACAGCTCCGCAGTATTTGCATTTATAGAATCACATTTTTCACTATCAAAAGTTGGCAAAGTTTTAGGAATAAAATGATTATAAATAGTATTCATGTCCTTCCAATGCAAAGAAACTCCTGATTCAGGATGAGCAGTGGTCAGGAAGCTACATTCTAATTGTTTGTAGAAGCAACCAAAACATTGTTGGATTAGTCTCTTTTTCTTCCTGTTACATTGATTAACCAGATAATCAAGAGCGAGAGATAAAAACTCTCCATTGGAATGACAACAAACTCCTTTATTCCCAAGATATTCATGAATTGAGTTAATCAAATAAGTGATTTGCCCTTCGTCAATGTGTCCACATCGCATCTCGTTTATGAAAGTTTGTAGAATACAAGTCCAGGCCATTACGTTGTAATCTTCAGTTCCTAATCTTAACAATTTGATGGCCAATTCTCGATCAATAGATGTTTCATGACCATTCTTTAGACAAGATCGTAATAGATTTAGCAATGTGTCGGTCAATTGTTTACTTCGAGCAATTATTTCGATCCCTCGTTCCCATTGTTGTGATGATTGAATAGCTTGACAAAGATACTCTTCTTCTTGTTTAGAGAACTCAGATTTAGATGCCAATAGTTCAACAACTTCCTCGTGTCGATGCTGATCCAATAATGTGTCCAAATTATTTTCATTCATCTTGTTAATCATTGATCTAAGGGAAAATGAGGTGTAAATAGTTTGATTTGCTGTTTGAACTGATTTCAGGTTAATTTTGGTAAACATTTCATTTGCCATTAGAAGATAATCAACTTTAGATTCTTTGATTCCTCGAAGAATCAAAAGACGAATGAAAAATTTATCGTAATCTGGAGTAATCATCAAATCTCGTAGATATGGAATTGATTCAGTTAAAAATATTGCTTCGGATTGATTGAATTCAACTTCATTAGCAATTAAAATCAAATTTGTTTTGTCAACACTTATATTCTTGATTAAGCACATTAAAGTTGTCTGTAACGGATACCATTTTCGATAAATTTTATACAGATCCATGAAATTAGAAGGTAATCTGACTGCGGTGGCTCCGTTTGATATTTCATAGAGAAGATCAGTAATCAGCAGACATATTTGTTTTCCTTTTGCGTCGAATGGTATTTGTTTCGAGAGGTAACGGGTTAAAATTAAATGTTCCACTTGAGCTTCGTTCTTTTCATGTACCTGTAACTCCTCTTCTTGGACTATTTCACGAGCTAAAATACTTTCTGGTAACATTGAAAATATTTTTTCGTACATATTGTGGACTGTTGGATCTATTGTTTTTTTATCTCGCGCGGGTCTTCGTTTTGCTGATGGATCATGACCTTGGCTCTTTCGTTTATTATTTTGCTTTTCTTTGGAAGAAATCGACTCGTTACTCGCATAAGCAGCCGAAAGAGGGTTACCAGTGATTTTCAATTGTATTAATGTACTAAGATTGAGACTTTGTTTTTCCATCTCAATACTAATAATTATTAGAGCTGAAATCAAGGATTTTAACGACGAAAGTGTTTCGGTATTGAGGTCTAATTGCAAAGATTTTCGAGCATTTTCTTGTTGAGTTTCAATTTTTACTTGTTCATCACGAAGTTGTTTCATCTTTTTAGTTCATCCAAAAGTTTTATCTTTCTATCATGACCTTTACAAGGATTCCAATTGTGTAAATACTCAACAGGTAATTCCTTTCCTATGGATGGAAAACGTTCCAACATCTCTGATATTAATACAAGAGCTTTGAAGTAATTGGCGTCTTTCTTTAATCCTTTGATTGCAAGTTTTAGACAATTATTATTATCATCGAGTACGAAATAAAGACCCATTAAAGTGTCAAGAACAACCCAATTGGTCGGACTGATTCGATGAGCTTCTTCAAAACAAACTCGTGCGATATGAAAATCAGACTGATTAAGAGCTCGTTTACCAGTTTCAATCATTAGAGTTACATCACCACCAGCGATTGATGAGCAATCGAGAAAATAATCCAGATTATTTTGTGAAAGCTTATATTCAGTCCTAAGGTCTTGAACTTTTTTCATGAGACTGTTTTGTTCACAGTAACAAGACGTAGCTCTACAGATATTCTGGTGCAAAAGTTGTTCTTTGATTAAGTCGTAAGTTAATTTGAGTAAATTGTCAGGAAAAAAAGGACCGTGATTAAGCTTCCAGTTCCGCGGACCAGGAATCAACTCATGAAAAGCTTTTTCAGATTCTTTAGTCCAATCTACACCCGATTTGGTTAATTCAGGAATAACATACGATTGAACGATTTCATTAACCCACAACTTCAATTTCGAGTCCGCGAGTTTATTGTTAAGCTTATTTGACTTGATGAGATCGATTATTCCAAATTTATCATTACGATTCAATTGATTCGAAAATTGTTTAACCTTGTATACTTCCGATCGCAAAGAGTCTGTTTTGGACTTGTTGACACTCAAGTAACTTTCTAATTTACTTCTCATGTGGCCAATTCCTTTATTGAATTCGGATCTTTCGTTTTCTATCTCAATCGTATAATCTTTTAGCTTGTTGTTCAATAGATCCAACCTTTTTTGTACATCAACTCGATAAATTTCAACACTTTTGGCTATGCTTGTGTTGTCGGTATCGTTGTTGTTATTGTCTAGTTCAATGGGCACAATATTAACTGAGTTATTATTCTGATTACATGAAGCACAGAAAAGCTCATTAGTTGTATTGTCCACAAATTGAATGGTACATTTTTTACATTTGGAACATGGTTGTTTATCGGTGTCCGGGTTGTCAATGGCTTTGAGGTAATCAGTTTCGACGAGTGTAGATTTACACAAGACACACAAACGATTTTCTCGTTTACACTTTTCACAAAAAGTCCTCAAACATTTGTGAACATAAAACACTTCACTTTGATCGTGACCACAGTCCAACTTGACGATTGATTGATTACTTGTTACCTGGAGGGGATAAAGAGATTCAAATTGTTGAATTAAACGAAAGGTCATTTAAAGGATAATAATAGGAAGACCAAGAACTAATACTTACTTTTGCCATGAAGATCAAATGTAAAGATGATCCAAAGAATCAACTGTATTTAAAGAAAATGATTCAATAAATGATAAAAATTCATCGAAAGGAAGTTACAATCAACAGTCACAATGAAAATCAAGATAAAATGGTCACGAAATGATAAAATTACTTTAGGAATGTATCTTAATCTTCACTTAATCTCTGGTAAGATAGTCTAAAACTGTAACTTCCCTTTTTGTCTGAAATTAACCCTTTAAAAGATCAGATTGAAACGTAAAAATGGACTTTCACTTTCAAAGGATCTCTAATTGAAGTTCGATTCATTCTCCATGTTCACTTAATTGTTACTAACAGCGATCTCTTTCACTGGTTTAAATGGTTAATATAATTATCTTAACGTTAGTTCAACTAGTAACTCACGAGAGGATGTTAAGTTTAAAAAGTATAAATTATCTTACCTAAAAATGTGACAAGATGACAATTTATTAATAATTCAATTGTAGACATTTTTCATTTTCTTATCACAGTTTTAGGTAAGATAAAAAGTCTTTAAAATAGAGGATGAATTAATTTTTAATGTTTTACATCAATTCGATTCCAATTGTGTAAATACTCTAACTCAACTGGGAATTCTATTCCTATCGATGGAAAACGTTTCAAAATCTCAGAGATTAGTACACGAGCTTTGAAGTAATTGCCATCTATCTTTAATCCTTTGATTGCGAGTTGTAGACAATTATTGTGATCATTGAGCACGAAATAAAGACCCATTCAAGTGTCGAGAACAAACCAATTGGTTGGATCGATTCGATGAGCTTCTTCAAAACATATTCGAGCACTTGGCAGATCCGTAAACTGAATTAGAGCTTGTTTACCAGTTTCGTTCTATAAAGTAACATGACCACCATCAATGGACGAACAGTCGAGAAAATAATTTAGATTAGTTTTAGGTTAGTTGGTAAACAGAAATGATCCAAATTTATTCAAATTATCCCATTCATAATCAAAATACATAAAAATATTTTTCGCATTCACAAAAGTATTAATATTAATAGTTGTCAAATTACAAAAATATCAGTTTCGTTCAAATCGGAAAAGATTTTTGCAAGTTTAGGAACCTTTGTTACGAAAGATTTTAATCATTAAAGATTAATAAATAATTGATTAACAATAATAGATTTTGAGGAATTGTTTAGTAGAATGTTCGTAGAAAGGATATTCCATCAATTTGTTGCACATTTGCCTTAATTCAGCTTCAATCGACTTTAAATTGTTATGATTTCCTTTCGCTTCCCAAACTCGACTTTCGTAAATACTAAAATAATGTTCCAATGCTTTTTTCCCAAGATTTTCACGATCGGTTTCACAAAGATATCCTTCGCTATTAAACTCTGATGAGCTCAAAAGTATTGCGATTCTCAATAATTGTTTAGCATCACCTAAACTCTTATTCACATCAATCAATAAATCTGTCGATCGACGAATGTGAGAAAAGAAACTTCCTGGTCTTTCGATAAAGTTGTTTGATGTCTTCTGGATTCCAGGGAATATGTAATATTCACATTTAGTTGGATCGAAAACATTTTGAATCGAGAGAAATTTTCTGTTTCAGTTGAATTATCCCAATTTCGGAAGTAGTAGAACTTGGTGGATAAGTTGGTGGTTCAAATGGTTCGGTGAGTATCTTTCGAGAGTTTAGAAAATCATTAGAAAGATAATAAATATGAGCCATTCGATAAAGAGCTTTGTAATGGCTGGGAGAACATTTTAATATTCTGAGCATCGCTTCACGACACAGATTAACGATTTTTCGATTTAATCGTTGGTCTTCACTTTCCACAGTAGCCAAATCAGAAATTCCGTTTCGGTATCATCAATGGTTTTACCATTTCTTGACTCAGAAACGAAGAAAGTAATGCTTTTTTCTGCACGAGTTAGAACCTCCAGTATTTTCGATGATAGAGTTTTATCTCTTTGATTATACTTGAGGGCATAAGCATGAATACGATAGTGAATTTCGATGCCAAAACGATATTGAATAGAATTGGAACATTAATTCCAGAAGCTGCTTCACTTGAGACAAAATGTGACAAAGATAATTCGTAATAACGAAGTGCCTCTGAGATGTCACTTCTCTCAGCGATTTTTCCTAAGAAATAATAATTTAGCCAAATTTTGTCAACATTAGCAAATTTGTTAGCTGATTCAAAGCAAGCTCGAGCTTGGTCCAAGAACCGCTTTCGTTGTTTTTTAATTTCTTCTTTTTGTGAATTCTCCAAAACTGGTCCAAATTTCATGGCTTGTGAAATATAACTCGCGATGTTATAAGCGCACTTTCCATATTCGAACCATACCTTGGATTCGCTCTCTCAACCCGATCGCTTTATTAAACAATTTACATACTCTTCCCCCCATAAAAAACACCCTTTTCATAGATGAGTAGATAACGTGACAGTTCTGTTCGTGAATAGAAATATGAGATTAGAACTTTAACAAAATAAGTGTTTTTAATACTTACAGTCGAAAAATATTGATCAATTTGACTTGTTATTGCGAGAGCACAACCAGCCCATGAATCAATTCGATTGAGATTTAAAGTTAGATCGAGAAAGTAGAATTGTACGGCTTTTCTATGAATTAGATGAACATTATTAGAAACATTTAAATTTGCTATTAAATGAATTAACTTACTTAAACTCTTCGTTTTTCAAGTAATAATCAGCTAGATAATAGTAAAGATCTCGAGTAACATGATCTTTTGGAATACTTGATGACGGCTCAATTGGTTTCCCATGATCGACATATTCTTTGACAGAATTGGAAAATCTTTCAGGATTTAAATTGTCAGGAATCAAGGGAAGTAAGTTGCATAACAACTTGGCAGTATTCAAATCAATTGATTTACTTATTTCACTAGTAAAAGTTGGCAAAGTCTTAGGAATAAAAAAATTGTAAATAATATCAACGTCCTTCCAACGTAAATTAAGCCCCGCTCCTTGATGAGCCGACAGTAAGCTACATTTTAACCTCTTGTAAAAACAGCCAAGACAGTTGAGGATTAATTTCTCTCTCTTGATATTTGATTTATTGACCAAGAAATCAAGTGATAGGGATAAAAACTTTCCATTGGAATGATAACAAGCTCCATTATCCCCTAGATAAAAGTGAACTGAATCAATCAAATCAACAACTTTTTCTTCACCCGTATTACCAAGTCGCATCTCGTTTATGAATACTTGTAGAATACAAGTCCAGGCTATTGCATTGTAATCTTCGGTCCCTAATTTTAACAGCTTAATGGCCAATTCTCGATTAATTGATAGTTCTCCATTCTTTAAACAAGATCGTAATAGATTTAGCATTTGATGAGTGTATTGATTACTTTGAGAAAGTATTTCGATTCCACGTTTCCATTGTTGTGATGACCGAATCGCTTGACAAAAATACTTTTCTTCTTGTTTAGAGAGCTCAGATTTAGATGCTAATAGTTCAACAATTTCTTCGTGTCGATGTTGATCCAATAAAGTGTCAAAATTATTTTCATTCATATTGTTTATCATTGATCTAAGACTAGAAGAGGTATACACAGTTTGATTTGCTGCTTGAACTGATTTCAGGTTAGTTTTGGTGAGAATTTCATTTGCCATTAGAAGATAATCAACTTTGGATTCTTTGATTCCTCGAAGAATCAAAAGACGAATGAAAAATTTATCATAATCGTTTGGACTCATCAAATCTCGTAGATATGGAATTGATTCAGTCAAAAATATTGCTTCGGTTTCATCGAATTGAACTTCATTGGCAATTAAAATCAAGTTTGTTGTGTCAACACTTATATCTTCAACAGAGCACGTTAAAGGCGTCGGTAACTTTTTCCATTTTCGATGAATTCCATACAGATCCATGAAATTAGAAGGTAATCTGACTGTGGTGGCTTCGCTTGCTATCTCATAGAGAAGATCAGGAATGAGTAGATGGATTTGTTTTCCTTTTGAGACAGACGACTTTTGTTTCGAGAGGAATTGGGTGAGAATTAGATTTTCTACTTGAGCTTCGTTCTGTGTTTCCATCTGTAACTCATCTTCTTGGACTATTTCAGGAGTTGAAATACTTTCTGGGAGCATATAGAAAATCCTTTGGAACATAATTTCAACTGTTTCATCGATTTCATCGATTGTTTCATCGATCTTTTTATCTCGTTTTGCTGGTGGATCATGACCTTGGCACTTTCGTTTATTATTTTGCTTTTCTTTGGAAGAAGGGCGAAGATTAGAAAGAGGATTGCCAGTGATTTTCGATGTACTAAGATTGAGTCTTTGTTTTTCCATTCCCCTGTTAACAGTTATTAGAGCTGAAATTAAGGATTCTAACGACATCGTTTCGGTGTTGAGGTCTGATTGCAAAGATTTTCGAACATTTTCTTGTTGCGTTTCAGTCTTCTTTTGTTTATCACGAAGTTGTTTCATCTTCTTGAGTTCGTCTAAAATTTTCGTTCTTCTCGTTTTATCACTTGCGGCCCTACAATCGAGTAGATAATCAAGACCAACAGGTATTTCTGATTTTAAAGTTGGTAAAGATTTCAAAATCACTTCTATTAAAACACGAGCTTTGAAGTAATTACAATCTGCAGTCAAACCTTTGATCGCAAGTTTTAAACAATTACTGAAGTCATCTAGAACGAAATAAAGACCCATTAAAGTGTCAAGAACAATCCAATTGTTCGGACTGATTCGATGAGCTTCTTCACAACAAACTCGAGCGACGAGAAAATCAGACTGATTAAGAGCTCGTTTACCAGTTTCAATCATTAGAGTTACATCACCACCAGCGATTGATGAGCAATCGAGAAAATAATCCAGATTATTTTGTGAAAGTTCACATTCAGTTTTGAGAACGTAAAATTTTTTAAAGAGATTGTTGTGTCCACAGTAACAAGATGAAGCTCTACATACATTTCGGTGGAAAATTTGTTCTTTGATTACGTCGTAAGTTAATTTGATCAAATTATCAGGAAAAAAAGGACCATGATTAAGCTTCCAGTTCCGCGGACCAGGAATCAACTCATGAAAAGCTCTTTCAGATTCTTTAGTCCAATCTACACCCGATTTGATTAATTCAGGAATAACATACGATTGAACGATTTCCTTAACCCACAACTTCAATTTTGAATCCGCATGTTCATTGTTGAGCTTTGTCGATTCGATTATATCGATTATTCCAAATTTATCATTGCGATTCAATTGATTCGAAAATTGTTTTACTTTGTTTACTTCCGCTCGCAAAGAGTCTGTTTTGACCTTGTTGACACTCAAGTAACTTTTTAATTTACTTCTCATATGTCCGATTCCTTTATTGAATTCGGCCCTTTCGTTTTCTATCTCGATTCTATACTCTTTTAGTTTTGTGTTCAATAGATCCAATCGTTTTTGTACATAAACACGATAAATTTCAACATTTTCGGCTATATTTATGTTGTTGGTATCGTTGTTGTTATTGTCTAGTTCAATGGGCACAATATTAACTGAGTTATTATCCTGATTACATGAAGCACAGAAAAACTCGTTAGTTGTCTTGTCCACAAATTCAGCGATACAGTTGTTACATTTGGAACAGGTTTGGTCATCGGTGTCCGGGGTGTCAATCGCTTTGAGATAATCGGTTTCGACGAGTTCAGATTTACACAAGACACACGACCGATTTTCTCGTTTACACTTTTCACAAAATGTCCTCAAACACTTGTGAACATAAAAAACGCTACTTTGATCATGACCACAGTCCAACTTGACGATTGATTGATTACTTGTTACCTGGAGGGAATAAAGAGATTCAAATTGTTTAATTAAACAAAAGGTCAATTAAAGGATAATAATAGAAAGACCAACAACTAATACTCACTTTTGCCATGAAGATCAAAGGTAAAGATGATCCAAGGAATCAACTGTATTCAAAGAGAATGATTCAATAAATGATAAAAATTCATCTAAAGGAAGTTACAATCAACATTTACAATTAAAATTAAGATAAAATTTTATTATTGTTGATAAAATGGTCAAGAAAAGATAAAATTTTTGTGATTGTCTTTTTCTTTAGGATTGTATCTTAATTTTCACTTAATCTCTGGTGAGATACTCTAAGAATGTAACTTTCCTTTTTGTCTGACCCTTTAAAAGACCAGATTAAACGTAAAAATGGACTTTCACTTTCAAAGGATCTCTAATTGAAGCTCGATTCATTCTCCATGTGCACTTAATTGTTACTAACAGCGATCTCTTTCCACTGGTTTAAATGGTTAATACAGCCACGAAAAATGAGATGAGAACAAAATTTATATCAATTGCGCATAAAGAGATAATTTAATCAAAATTAAAAGTAAAATTGAATTGATTTAAATGGAGAGTAATAGAAAATGTAATCACAATTAGAAAAAAATTATCACTTTATGCGCAATTGATATAATAAATTTTCTTATAACGTTAGTTCAACTAGTAACTCACGAAAGGATGTTAAGTTTAAAAAGCATAACTTATCTTACCTAAAAATGTGATAAGAAGATGACAATTTAATTCAATTGTAGACATTTTTAATCTTTTCACAATTTTAGGTAAGATAGTAGTAATTAATTTACTTAATCTGAATTATGGAGTGTTTTAGATAAGAATATCTAACCCTCACGACGATTAAATGTTGTGAAAACGGCAAAAGTTTCGGGGACCGTGGTAAAAGAAAAAAAAAGACAAAAAAAAGCAAAGAAAGTTCTCAACCGTCAATTAGAATTGAAGTGAAAGAGTCTCAAGATATTTTATTCTGAAATTCGGTGAAATATTCACAATAATAACACTTATAATCATTATAAAATTGCATAAAATACTTTTCATATTCGCAAAATAATTAATCGAATCACAAAAATTTTAGATTCGTTCAGAATCGGAAAAGATTTTCGCAAGTTTAAGAAACTTTGTTAGGAAAGATTCGTCTTTAAAGTTAGTGATTAATAAATTGTTATACATTCTTTGAAATTGCCATGTTTTTCGAGGAATTGTTTAGTAGAATGTTCGTAGAAAGGATATTTCATCAATTTGTTACACATTTGCCTTAATTCAGCTTCAATCGACTTTAAATTGTTATGATTTCCTTTCGCTTCCATAATTCGACTCTCGTAAATACTAAAATAATGTTCCAATGCTTTTTTCCCAAGACTTTCTCGATCGGTTTCACAAAGATATCCTTCGCTATTCAACTCTGATGAGCTCAAAAATATTGCAATTCTCAATAATTGTTTAGCATCACCTAAATTCTTATTTACATCAATCAATAAATCTGTCGATCGACGGATGTGAGAAAAGAAACTTCCTGGTCTTTCGATAAAGTTGTCCGATGTCTTCTGAATGCCATGGAATAAGTAATATTCACATGCCGTTGAGTCAAAAACATTTTGAATTGAGAGAAATTTTTCAGTTTCAGTTGAATTATTCCCAAATCCAAAATCATTAGAACTTTGTGGATAAGTTGGTGGTTCAAATGGTTCGGTGAGTATCTTTCGAGAGTTTAGAAAATCATTAGAAAGATAATAAAGATGAGCCATTCGATAAAGAGCTTTGTAATGACCCGGAGAACATTTTAATATTCTAAGCATCGCTTCACGACACAGATTAACGATTTTTCGATGTAATCGTTGGTCTTCACTTTCCAAAGTAGCCAAATCAGAAATTCCGTTTTCGATATCATCAATAGTTTTATCATTTCTTGATACAGAACCAAAGAAATTACTTTTGTCTACACGATTTAGAATCTCCAGTATTTTCGATGATAGAATTTTATCTCTATTAATATACTTGAGAGCATAAGCATGAATGCGATAGTGAATTTCAATGCCAAAACGATATTGAATAGAATTGGGAACATTAATTCCAGTTGCTTCACTTGAGACAAAATGTGACAAAGATAATTCGTAATAACGAAGTGCCTCTGAGATGTTACTTTCTCAGCGATTTTTCCTAAGAAATAATAATTCATCATAATTTCGTCAACGTTAGAAAATTTGTGAGCTGATTCAAAGCAAACTCGAGCTTGGTCCAAGAATCGCTTTCGTTGTTTTTTAATTTCTTCTTTTTTTGAATTCTCCAGGACTGGTCCAAATTTCATGGCTTGTGAAATATAACTCGCGATGTTATAAGCGCACTTTCCATATTCGAACCATACCTTGGATTCGCTCTCTTTCAGCCCAATCGCTTTATTGAACAACTTACATACTCTGTCCCCCATGAAAAACAAATACTTACAAATAGCTGAGTAGAGAACGCGACGGTTCTGTTCGTGAATAGAAATATGAGATTAGAGCTTTAACTTTAGAAAATAGTGTTTTATACTTACAGTCGAAAAATATTGATCAATTTGACTTGTTATTGCGAGAGCACAACCAACCCATGAATCAAATCGATTGAGATTTAAAGTTAAATCAAGAAAGTAAAATTGTTCGGCTTTTCTATGAATTAGATGAATAATATTAGAAATCATTTAAATTTGCAGTCGATTAAAGTGAAGCAACTTACTGAAACTCTTCGTTTTTAAAGTAATGATCAGCTAGATAATAGTAAAGATCTTGAGTAACATGATGTTTTGGAATACTTGTTGTAGGCTCAATTGGTTTCCCATGATCGACATATTCTTTGACAGAATTGGAAAATCTTTCGGGATTTAAATTGTCAGGAACCAAGGGAAGTAAATTGCATAACAACTTGGCAGTATTTGCATCAATCGATTTACTTTTTTCACTTGTAAAAGTTGGCAAAGTCTTAGGAATAAAAAAATTGTAAATAATATCAACGTCCTTCAAACGTAAATTAAACCCCGCTCCTTGATGAGCCGACAGTAAGCTACATTTTAACCTCTTGTAAAAACAGCCAAGACAGTTGAGGATTAATTTCTCTCTCTTGATATTTGATTTATTGACCAAGAAATCAAGTGATAGAGATAAAAACTTTCCATTGGAATGACAACAAGCTTCGTTATCCCCTAGATAAAAGTGGACTGAATCAATCAACTCAATAACTTTTCCCTCGTTCGTGTTACCAAGTCTCATCTCGTTTATGAATGTTTGTAAAATACAAGTCCAGGCTATTGCATTGTAATCTTCGGTCCCCAATTTTAACAATTTGATAGCAAATTCTCGATCAATTGATAGTTTATCTCCATTCTTTAAACAAGATCGTAATAGATTCAGCAATGTGTCGGTTAACTGTTTACATCGAGAAAGTATTTCGATCCCTCGTTTCCATTGTTGTGATGACCGAATCGCTTGACAAAATACTTTTCTTCTTGCTTAGAGAGCTCAGATTTAGATGCTAATAGTTCAACGATTTCATCGTGTCGATGTTGATCCAATAATGTGTCCAAATTATTTTCATTCATCTTGTTAATCATTGATCTAAGGGAAAATGAGGTGTAAACAGTTTGATTTGCTGCTTGAACTGATTTCAGGTTAGTTTTGGTAAGAATTTCATTTGCCATTAGAAGATAATCAACTTTGGATTCTTTGATTCCTCTAAGAATCAAAAGACGAATGAAAAATTTATCATAATCGTTTGGATTCATCAAATCTCGCAGATATGGAATTGATTCAGTCAAAAATATTGCGTCGGATTGATTGAATTCAATTTCATTGGCAATTAAAATCAATTTTGATGCGTCAACACTTATATCTTCAACAGAGCACGTTAAAGCGTCGGTAACGAATACCGTTTTCGATAAATTTTATACAGATCCATGAAATTAGAAGGTAATTTGACTGCGGTGGCCTCGTTTGCTATCTCATAGAGAAGATCAGGAATGAGTAGATGGATTTGTTCGCCTTTTGAGACAGACGACTTTTGTTTCGAGAGGAATTGGGTAAGAATTAGATTTTCTACTTGAGCTTCGTTCTGTGTTTCCATCTGTAACTCATCTTCTTGGACTATTTCAGGAGTTAAAATGCTTTCTGGGAGCATATAGAAAATCCTGGAACATAATTTCAACTGTTTCATCTATTGTCTTTTTACCTCGTTTTGCTGGTGGATCCTGACCTTGGCTCTTTCGTTTATTATTTTGCTTTTCTGTGACAGAATAACGAGGATTAGAAAGAGGCTTGTAGAAGGGAATGATTTTCAATGGTATTGATGTACTAAGATTGGTTTGTTTTTCACTGTTAATAATTATTAGAGCTGAAATTGTGGATTGTAACGACGAAAGTGTTTTTGAATTGAGGTTCGATTGCAAAGATTTTCGAACATTTTCTTGTTGCGTTTCAGTTTTCTTTTGTTCATCACGAAGTTGTTTCATCTTCTTAAGTTCATCTAAAGTTTTTGTTCTTCTCGTCTTAGCAATTGCGGTCCTACAATTGAGCAGATAATCCAGATCAACAGGGATTTCTGATTCTAGAGTTGGTGAAGATTTAAAATCACTTCTATTAAAACACGAGCTTTGAAGTAATTACGATCTGCAGTCAAACCTTTGATTGCGAGCTTAAGACAATTATTGTTATCATCTAGCACGAAATAAAGACTCATTAAGGTGTCGAGAACAAACCAATTGGTCGGACTGAGTCGATGAGCTTCTTCAAAACAAACTCGTGCGATATGAAAATCAGACTGATTAAGAGCTCGTTTACCAGTTTCAATCATTAGAGTTACATCACCACCAGCGATTGATGAGCAATCGAGAAAATAATCCAGATTATTTTGTGAAAGTTTATATTCAGTCCTAAGGTCATGAACTCTTTTCATGAGATTGTTGTGTTCACAGTAACAAGACGAAGCTCTACAGATAGCTCGATGGAAAATTTGTTCTTTGATTAAGTCGGAAGTTAATTTGAGTAAATTATCAGGAAAAAAAGGACCATGATTAAGCTTCCAGTTCCGCGGACCAGGAACCAACTCATGAAAAGCTCTTTCAGATTCTTCAGTCCAATCTACACCCGATTTGGTTAATTCAGGAATAACATACGATTGAACTATCTCATCGACCCATAACTTTAATTTCGAGTCCGCAAGTTTATTGTTGAGCTTTTTCGACTTGATGAGAGGATTATCCCAAATTTATCATTACGATTCAATTGATTCGAAAATTGTTTTACTTTGTTTACTTCCGCTTGCAAAGAATCTGTTTTAACCTTGTTGGCAAGCCAGTAACTTTCTAATTTACTTCTCATGTGACCGATCCCTTTGTTGAATTCGGCCTTTTCGTTTTCTATCTCAATCGTATAATCTTGTAGCTTGTTGCTCAATAGATCCAATCTTTTTTGTACATCAACACGATAAATTTCAACGTTTTTGGCTATGCTTGTGTTGTCGGTATCGTTGTTGTTATTGTCTAGTTCAATGGGCACAATATTAACTGAGTTATTATCCTGATTACATGAAGCACAGAAAAGCTCATTAGTTGTCTTGTCCAAAAACTTAGCGATACGGATGATACATTTGGAACAGGGTTGGTCATCGGTGTCCGGGGTGTCAATCGCTTTGAGATAATCAGTCTGGACCAGTTCAGATTTACACAAGACACATGAGCGATTTTCTCCTTTACACTTTTCACAAAACGTGTTCAAACACTTGTGAACATAAAAACGTCACTTTGATCGTGACCACAGTCCAACTTGGCGATTGATTGGTTACTTGTTACCTGGTGTGGATGAAGAGATTCAAATTGTTTAATTAAACGAAAGGTCAGTTAAAGGATAATAATAGAAAGACCAACAACTAATATTTACTTTTTCCATGAAGATCAAATGTAAAGATGATCCAAGGAATCAACTGTATCCAAAGAAAATGATTCAATAAATGATAAAAATTCACCCAAAAGACCAGATTGACACGTAAAAAATGGACTTTCACTTTCAAAGCCTCTCTAATTTAAGTTTGATTTATTCTCCATGTTCACTTAATTGTTACAAACAAGTATTGCGATCCACTGATTTAAATGGTTAATATAATAAATCGTCTTTTATAAATGATGATTCGACAAAAAACTAAACATTTTATCAGTCCTTTTCACGATAAAAAACACTTGAAAATTTTACCTTGTAAACAAGTTAACATAACGTTAGTTTAACTAGTGATAATTAGTGATAACTAGCAGTAACTAGTAATTAATTTACTTTAATACATAATATATGTCATACAGTCAAGGGAAATGATATAAAATTACCCTCAAACTCAGCTGCTTTTCCATAAAATCAATATGGTTAATTGGAATTATGGTGAGTTTCAGATAAGATTATCTAATCATCACTGCGATTAGATTAATTATCGGTTATTTGAAAAGCACAGTGGAAGCTAATGGAAAAGGTAAAGCTCGTGAATTGTGGTAAAAGACGAAAAGAGGCAAAAAAGGGACGAAATTCTCAACCGTCAAGTAGAATTGAAGTGAAAGAGTCTCAGGACATTTTATTCTGAAATTTGGCAAAATATTCACAATAATAACACTTACAACATAATAAACAAAATTGCAAGGTAATTCAATTTTCTGATTTTTGATGCTCAAAGTTTGAACGTCAATTTAAATAATTCAATTTCAATTTGGAAATTTGATTTTTTTTGTCGATACTTTGGTCACATAAATTGATCTGAATTTATCTTAAAATCATAAAAATTCAATATTTAAGTAAAACAACTAAATTTGAAAAGTTTATTTGCCTCTCTTTTTGCTTCTTGCTTTTCTCTTTTTTCGCCTTATACCAGAGTTTAAGCTTGGTTATTTTTCGCAATCAACTGACAATTAACCAACCGGCTGATTTTTCAACCAACAATCACGAGTTTAATTCGGTGGAAGTTAATGATAGTTAATGTGCAGCTAATGGAAAAGACCTTTAAATTATTTTGAGTTTTTTACTCTCAAATTAAAGGGAAAAAAGAAGCTCCTCCCCTTTAACCAAAACTTCACTAAAAAGTAGCTCCATCTGTGGAATACGAAAAAACTCAAATTCCACAAAAGAAGCGCTTTTTTCAAAAACTTCGAATCAGCGATTTAATGAAAATACTAATTGAAAATAAATTAATTAGTTCAAACTTGGTTTTGGATTCAATTAAATGAACATCATATTAACTATCAACTCATTTTTCATATTATTCAGTTCGGTTGACTGAGTTTTGGTTTATTGAATTTAATTATTGATGACGATGGTTAACTATCAATTCAAATTTTGATTTAATTGGATTACAAATTACTTTTGATTGGTAAATTTCATCATTAACCAACTTTTAGATGTATTAAATTAAATTTGTTCCGATTGTTGCCTCAATTCAAAGCATATACATAATATTAATAATAATAATAATTAAGCAATTTGAGTTAGATAATATTTCATAATTTGATTGTTTCATTAATTTCCACTATAATCAATCAGGATTTAAAGGAAATTATTATTAACTCATTCGGATGATATTTCGTTGATATTAATCAAAATATAATAATTTCTTTCAATTGATTACCTTGTATCAACAATTTAATCCTAAATTGCTATTTCAATTAGTATCTCTACTTTGTCCAGCAAAAAACTTGACCTCAGGATATTAGCTAATTTATTTGATTATGTAAGTTAATTTCATCTAACAATAAATCAATCACTTTATTTACACAATAATCATAATTAAGTTACAGACCAATTATGTCTAATTTTAAACAGTTTTATCCAAACAACTTGATCATCAAAATAAGTAAATTGTCACTTAATTGTTGTCACCTGTTTCCATCAATTAAAAACAATAACAATACTAATCTACTGATTACTCTAATTATAATAATGTTAATCGCTTATTCCTACAGCTATTAACTTGATAAAAATTTAAACGTTGATCAATTGATTAGCCACAATCAGGATCAATATCAATTGTTAAAGAATCAATCAAAATGATTATTGTAAATCAAGTAAACTTATTTCAACTTTCTAAATTGATTTAATTTAACATTAACCAGACTAGACAATTTAATGTTATTTGATGGAAACACAAAGACAATTAGTAAATAAAATCGTAACCATTTTAATCAAATTCAAGCAACTATTAGTTAACACGATAACCTTAATAATAGTAAACATGAACATCCAGAAAATAACGGTAAATGATTAACGATTAATACTCACTAACAATCAATCAATACAATTTAGTTGTCAATGGTAACTTAATGGATAGAAAATTAATTTTCCATCTCATCCAAGTTAATTCATTTAATCATGAAGATGAGGATGATGAGGAGGAAAAAAACAATGACCTAAGCCTGATAATCATCATGATAATCAACAAAATGATTATCGTTGTGTGAATAATTAAACTGTTAACACAATTCAATTTCCACATGAATCTTCAATCATCTTTATGATAATTGAAGTACATATAAGATAATCAATTTGAAGATGATGATAAAAGATGATAAGAAAGAAAGAGAGAGAGAGATGATAACTTACATTAGCCATATTCATTGGGTGTGGTTATCATCATTTTCATGATAAACACCAAACAGGAGTAATCATAATTTCATTCCCAATGAACTTGACAATATCAATGATGTTTAACTAATTTCAATCATCTTCAAACTCCTAATGACTTGAACATGACTTTAATGATAATTTCATGGTGATTATCAACTAAATTAACATTTTATCATAATAATTATCATAATTTAAAAGTTGAATATGATTTTCAGTTTCCATGATAACAAACAAAGTTAATCATGTTAAAAAAAACAATATTATCATCAGAATCTAATTTTTAAATTATCATGTCAAGTTATATGAAAAAACAAATGTTCAATCAATCAATATCAATAATAATCATGATCAAAATGGTAACAATCAATGAATCATTTCAGTTTACATGATATTAATTTCAAAAAATGATAATCAAGTTAATATATTAATTCAGAAACTTTTACTAATATTTAATTTTCACTTGGATGATTACTAAAGGTATTATTTTTTTCATCTCTCATCATGTTAATATATTTAGCATGATGATGATGATGATGATGACGATGATGTAAATCATTATAGCTTGAAACTCATGATGTTAAATTTGATTCCTGAACAACCATTATCATGATGATGATGAAAGGATGACAAGTAATAGACTCACAAAAATGGGATGAGGATGAAAATGATAAAAGTTTACCAACAATGAAAACAGTGATTTAGTCAGAAATGATCATGTAAATTGTTGTGAAAGCTGAAAGTTATTATGATAACTATTATTATGACCTGAACTTTTTTTTCAATTGTTATTATTACATGAAAATTGAACGATAACCATGAGACTTTTTCTCTGGCAACTTTTACCATCTTTTCATGATCATCAAGAAAATATTTTCACTGAATATCGAAAGTAATAGTTACTAATATGATAAAATAATTCCATCGGAATCAATGGATTAGCCTGAAGACTTTTATTTTATCTCAGTTGATTTTTGCGTTTTTGTTTACCTTTTATGCCTTTAAGATAAGAAATTAAATTATCATCATGAAATGATTTCCTTTCCTCATGAGGATCAACTGAATCAGAATTATATCATTAGATTTATACAAAAGAAAAACGTTGAAATGTAAAGAGGAAGATGATGATCAGGATGACAGAAAATTAAACGAGACTTTTTGTTTCACTTGACATGGAAAATATAATATTCTTGATTGAATTGATAGAAAACAATGATGAACATGATGAAAAGAATGATGATATTTGTTAGATAGAAAAGGAAATTGACGAATAAGAAGAAGAAGAAAATTCTTTTTAAAATCGTAATTCTTTTCTTTTCTATTCAATTTAATTTCTTCAATTCTGATGATTATCTCATCCGGTTCCTCCATCACCATCACATCCGAATGCTAGAAAGTTCTGATAATTATCATGATAATTTTTTAAGTATTTTCGATTCTCTCGGTAATTTTCAAAAATAACCAATCGATTTGACTACTAAAATATGATAACATTGATCAGATGAACATGAAATTACCTGATAGATATTAATAGTGCTTATTATCATGATAATAATGAATTGAATCAACACAAAGCCACTGGGAGTGAAAATGAATGAATGAAATGAGAAAGGAAGGAAAAAGTTTCTTTTTTTTCATTCCAATGAGAATCATTGTAATATTTTGTTTCCATGGATTGACCTTGACCTTATTTAACTTCAAACGTCCTTTGGTCTGATCATCAAGTATTTTTTATCTTCTTCTTCCTTCCCTCTCTCTCAAAAACCTTCATCTTCAATCTTATCTAATCATCATCACTTATACTAATAAGTTCAGTTGTTTTTTTTTCTTATTTCAGGGTAAAAAGTAAAAAGGTGTATGAAGAAGAGAGATGAAAGACAAGGATGATCACCGGATGATAATGATGATAATATGAGTTGGTTTTCAGTGTTCTCGGGTCGATAATGCTAAAAATAAATTTTCTCACAAACATTGTTGAATTACTGGTAAACCATAGACTCGAATTCAGCTTTTACCATATTAGTTCAGTTCGAAAATCATCAACATAGAAATAATCTGTTGGTCCATTTGGATGATGATAATGTTGATCTTCTTTCATTATCATCATCATTCTCTCTCTTATTCCTATGGTTATTTTGATAATATTAAATGTTCCAGAAAGTAGAAGATGTTAAACTTTTAATGTTTAAGGAGTTGAACAAGTAAAGGACGAAGAAAATGTTTCCATCCTCATCTTTTATCCCTCTGGTGACTTTCAACTCTTTCATTAAAGTAAAATTGTTTCATTTATTAGGCTTGGCTTGTTTTCTCAGTAAAATCTTTATCCTCATCATTTAATTTCCTTGTAAATTGTTATCTTCTTGTCTTAGAGTATTTTTCCCATTAGGAAAACTTTTCTCTGTTCGATCTTAGCTCAGAGTTTCCCGATTTCACCCTGAATCCTGGGGTTGACTCTTCGTGTTTGCATTTTGGTTTAATTGAATTATGTATAATTAGTGACAGTTTGTTACCTTAATGTTACCTTAAGCCTCTAACAAGAGAGGAATTAACGTAAATTTGAGGGAAAGTTGATCAAATGGAATAGACGTTAAGTCCTTGTCGTTCATGAAGGATATCTGACTGAATTTACATCGCGACTACTACGAGAACTTTTCATGAAGATCATCACCTTCGTCTAATTAATTAATTTTCTCAATCGATCCTCTAATTTGCCTTCACTTTCTCCTTCGGTTCCAGGCAAAACCCGGAGCATTAACAGGAAAATTTTTGAAAACGGCTTCTTTAACTTTCTTGGTTAAAGCTGAAACATTGACTCCCTCAACTCGAAAAACTCTTTGCCATCTACAGCGACATATGAAGCGAAAGTATTTACTCTGATTTGTGGTTAATCTACACCATGTAGAAATCATCTTCTCATGATGGTAATGATGATGATTTTTAATTGCAATCAAGAAACATTATCATTATCATAGTAGCTTTTACTTATTATCTTTTAAGTCAATAGTCTTAGGCGAGGATAAAATCAAGGGAAAAGAAATGAGTTGTTGATGGTGATTAGATTCGAGTGAAAGTGTTTCGAGAATGGAAGCCTCAAGAGAGAGAGAGAGAGAGAGAGAGAGAGAGAGAGAGAGAGAGAGAGAGAGAAAATTCTGTGCAAAAAATGGAGGAGAACAAATATATGGATGAAGAACTGAGGAAAAACTGTTAGCCGAGAGAAAAGAGAAAAAAAGATTGCTGATGATTCAATGGAATGAGATGGAAAAAACGGTTTTCATGAAGAGGCAGAACCAGAGAATAAGATGATGATGATGATGATAAGGCAGATGAATACAGGGAGGGAGTGCAAGGGAAGATGAGGAAGAAAAAGAGGCATAAAGATGAAGGAGAGAAAGAAACAGCATCAGAGTAAAAGAATCAGTAGTTTCATTGGAAACTCATAAAATCCAAGGAAACATTGGGAGAAGAGAAAAGAAAGAGAAAAGAAAGAGGAGAGAGAAAGAGAAAGAGAAAGAGATATGATGATAGAAAATAACGGTAAGATGAAGATAGAAAGTGAATGAGAGAAATTAGATAAACTCTCATGAGAATAAGATATTAGCAGAAAAGAGAAAGAAAGAAAGACAGAGAAGAAAAGAAAGAACATAAAATGAACAGAGAAAGTTGGACATTCGAAAAAGAAGAAGAAGAAATATAATATTCAATAGAATATTGTGAGTTCGAAAAGAGTCGAATCATCTGCGAGTTTCGTTCTTTGTCTACTACACGAAAGATCGAGACTTCGAAAGGGAAGACCATTGAGTCGGCCTGAAACCGAGAAGAAGAGAAACAAACCAAGAACTTGAATATTGTCTCGAATTGCGAGTTTCGTTCTTTGTCTACTACACGAAAGATCGAGACTTCGAAAGGGAAGACCATTGAGTCGGCCTGAAACCGAGAAGAAGAGAAACAAACCAAGAACTTATTTCTCTCTTTCTTTTTTCCCTCTTTTTTCAATTTCTCTCTTTCTCGCACCTCTGTCTCTCTCTCTCTTTCTCTCTCTCTCTCTCTCGTAAGAGATTTTAATGTGACTGTTTCTCTTTCTCTTCTCTCTCCATCCAACACTCTCACAGCCTCTGTAACCCAAAAACCTTAAACATATTACATTGGAAATTTGTTCACCTCCTCCTTTCATTTTGTTAGTTATTACCTAATTGTGTTCATCATCATTAATTGTAATCATCATTAGAAGCAACAATCATGGGTAGCGATAAGGTAAGTCACCGTTAATCCTAATCCTTTTTTAATTTTGTTTTTCTTATTCCAAATTATAAGTGAAAATTCAATTGGCTTGAGTCTCTTTTGTGTCTCTTGATCAATTTTTTTTCTCTTTCTTTTCTTTCTCCCCTTTCTTTTAACCAGAATTTTTTTCTCTTTCTCTTCTTTCTCAGTCACAATTTCTCTCTGTCTGTATATGTTTTATGTCGATGGTGAAAAACTGTACAACTTGTACAATTTGGAACAATCAATCCTCTCGACCTTTAGATCTCCTTGTCTTTTTCTTTCTTTTTTCTTTTTTTTTCTTTCATTTTTTTTCTCTACCAAACTGTTTTCTTTTCTCTTTTTCTTTTGTTACCTGTTAACATTTGATTCTTTTTACCTTTTCTATTCTCTCACCTTGAACCATTTCCATCTTTGCCCTTTACTCTTCCATTTCCATTGAACCAAAAAGGAATATGGACTTTCACTTATCATGCAATATGCATGAAAAGAATCCAATGAATTTTCCCTCCCTTCCATTCCTTGGGTGTGAAATTTTACTTCTTTAAAGCTTCTTACTCTCCTGTGCAAGTTTCCATTCCTCTTCCTTCATTATCTTCATCAGTTGTTACCATAACATGAACATGGCCTTGTGAGCCTTCACTTCACTTTCACCAGAAAACCTTGACTGTCTTTCTTTACTCTTAACCCTTTCTTTTTGTTTCTCTTTCTTTTCTCTCTTTCTCTCTCATCATATCACCATATTGGATTAAATTTGGCTGGTCAATCAATTTAATTCCTTGTTGATGTGATTAATTGTACCAACAGAAAGATGGCAAGAGAGCAAAAAGTCAGAAGAAAAAGGAATTGGATGACCTCAAACAAGAGGTGGACATGGTAAGTCCACCGCCTTCTTTACCTTTTTTTTTCAAGAGAAAATCTCACCTTCAATGGCTTCTTCTTCTTCTTTGCTAATACGTTTTTCTCTTCATTTTATTTTTATGTACCTTTTTGGATTTACCTTGGACTCTATTTGACTTTGGGTGAATTTACCGGTTAAACATTCACCTTGGTTGATTTTCTATTGTGTCCCATTGGCATTGAATATAATCTCCCTTTTTTCCTTGACTATTTTTTTCTTCTCTTTCTATACAATTTTTTCTTTCTTTTCTTTTTCTGGTTCGATTTTCATCCTTTTTTTTGCTCAATTGTCCTAATCATCTTCCACTTTCACCTCCCTTTGCCCTTGGAATTTGATTATTCTTGGTGATTTTGCTCTAACAGGATGAGCACAAAGTCCCTCTGGAAGAATTGTATGCTCGTTTAAAAACCAATAGTGAAACTGGATTAACCGTAGCTCAGGCGAAAACAGTACTCGCACGGGATGGGCCAAACGCCCTGACACCTCCACCAACAACACCAGAATGGGTTAAATTTTGTAAACAGCTTTTCGGTGGTTTCGCATTATTATTATGGATTGGTGCCGTTCTTTGTTTCTTGGCTTATTCAATTCAAGCTTCTAGTTTTGAAGATCCATCCCCAGATAATGTAAGTTTCAATTCTTTCAAAAAATATAACTTATTTCGCCCCTTGGAATCTTCTTCTCTACAAATTGGGTTGGTTTAGGTTTCATTCGATTACTCAGCTCTTCATATTATTGTTTGTGCTTCTATCCTTTAGCTTTACCTTGGTATTGTATTGGCTGTTGTCGTTATTGTTACCGGATGTTTCTCTTACTACCAAGAAGCCAAAAGTTCAGCTATCATGGAATCTTTCAAGAGTATGGTACCTCAATATGCTACTGTTATTCGAGAGGGAAAAAAGAACACATATCCAGCTGAAGAAGTTGTAGCCGGTGATTTGGTTGAGGTTAAAGGTGGAGATCGAGTTCCAGCTGATATGAGAATAATTAAAGCTCATGGATGTAAGGTTGACAATTCATCACTTACCGGAGAATCTGAACCACAAACTCGATCTCCAGAACTAACCAATGAAAATCCATTAGAAACTCGTAATCTCGCCTTCTTCTCAACCAACTGTGTTGAAGGTACTGCCCAAGGTATTGTTATAAATACCGGTGATCGCACTGTAATGGGCCGTATTGCTAATCTAGCCTCTGGTCTGGAAATGGGTCAAACTCCCATTGCCAAAGAAATTGAACATTTCATTCACATTATTACCGGAGTTGCTGTTTTCCTTGGAGTCTCTTTCTTCATAATTGCTATTATATTAGATTACAATTGGCTTGATGCAGTTATCTTCTTGATCGGTATTATTGTCGCTAATGTACCCGAAGGCTTACTCGCCACTGTGACAGTATGTCTGACCCTCACTGCCAAACGGATGGCTTCCAAAAACTGTTTAGTCAAAAATCTTGAAGCTGTTGAAACTCTTGGTTCAACTTCAACCATTTGTTCAGACAAAACTGGTACACTGACCCAAAATCGTATGACCGTTGCCCATATGTGGTTCGATAACCATATCATGGAGGCTGATACCACAGAGGATCAATCCGGTGTTCAATATGACAAGACTTCACATGGATGGAAAGCAATGACACGAGTCTGCATGTTATGTAGTCGAGCTGAATTCAAACCTAACATGGAAAATGTTCCCATTCTTAAACGAGAAACAACTGGTGATGCATCTGAATCGGCGATTCTTAAATGTATGGAACTTGCTCATGGAAATGTTCCTGGTTATCGTCAAAAGAATCCCAAAATCTGTGAGATTCCCTTCAACTCAACCAACAAATATCATGTTACCATTCATGAAACTGATGATCCAAATGATCCAAGTTACTTATTATGTATGAAAGGTGCTCCTGAGCGTATTCTTGACCGTTGTTCCTCCATCTACATTGGTGGACAAGATCGACCATTAGACGAGGAGATGAAAGAAGCATTTAATTGTGCTTATCTTGAATTAGGTGGTTTGGGTGAACGTGTAATCGGTTTTTGTGACCTTAAACTACCAGCTGATAAATATCCTCCTGGTTATCCATTTGATGCCGATGAAGGTAATTTCCCTCTAGATGGACTTCGTTTCTTAGGTTTGGTTTCCATGATTGATCCTCCACGAGCTGCCGTACCCGATGCCGTAGCCAAGTGTCGATCTGCCGGTATTAAGGTTATCATGGTTACAGGTGATCATCCAATCACTGCAAAAGCCATTGCCAAAGCAGTTGGTATCATTTCTGAAGGAAATGAAACTGTTGAAGATATTGCTCAGCGTTTGAATATTCCCGTTGAAGAGGTTAACCCAAGAGATGCCAAGGCCGCTGTTATTCACGGCGGAGAATTGAGAGACATGGATGTTGTAACTTTAGATGAAATTCTCAAGTATCATACTGAAATTGTTTTCGCTCGAACTTCACCTCAACAGAAATTGATCATCGTTGAAGGCTGTCAACGTCAAGGGGCCATTGTCGCCGTTACCGGTGATGGTGTTAATGATTCACCTGCGCTGAAAAAAGCTGATATCGGTGTCGCCATGGGTATCGCTGGATCTGATGTATCCAAACAAGCTGCTGATATGATCTTATTGGATGATAATTTTGCCTCCATTGTTACCGGTGTTGAAGAGGGTCGATTGATTTTCGATAATCTTAAAAAATCAATTGCCTACACTTTGACCTCCAACATTCCTGAAATCTCACCTTTCCTATTCTTCATCATTTTCAATGTTCCCTTACCTTTGGGCACTGTTACTATTCTTTGCATCGATCTTGGTACTGACATGGTTCCTGCCATCTCATTAGCTTATGAGCAAGCCGAAAGTGATATTATGAAACGACAGCCCAGAAATCCCAAGAAAGATAAATTAGTCAATGAACGTCTCATCTCCATGGCTTATGGTCAGATTGGTTTCATTCAAGCGGCTGCCGGTTTCTTTACCTATTTTGTTATTATGGCGGAAAATGGATTCTTGCCATCTTTTCTTTTTGGCCTTCGAAACGATTGGGACTCAAAGGCCATTAATGATTTACAAGATTCTTACGGACAAGAATGGACTTACAAAAATCGTAAAGTTTTAGAATTCACTTGTCATACTGCATTTTTCATCGCCATCGTTATTGTCCAATGGGCCGATCTGATTGTATGTAAAACCAGAAGAAATTCACTTGTTCACCAAGGAATGAGGTAAATCAAAATTATAATTAATCTATGAAAGTTGAACAATTTACTAATTTGCTATCATTTTTTTTCCCAACAGAAATCATGCTCTTAATTTTGGATTGCTTTTTGAAACTGCTTTGGCCGCTCTTCTCTCTTATACTCCAGGAATGTCAGTCGTTCTTAAATTGTATCCAATTAAGTAAGTTAATCATTTCAATCCAATGTTTGATCTGTTTGATTAATTTTTCTCTCTCATTTCTCTCTTTCAATAAGGTTATCATGGTGGTTCCCAGCGATGCCATTCTCCTTACTAATTTTCATCTACGATGAAGCTCGTCGTTTCATCATTAGACGCTGTCCAGGCGGTTGGGTTGAAATAGAGACTTATTACTAAAGTCAGAAAGAGATAATTTCTTTTTCATCTTCACCTCTCTCTCTCACACACATCCCTTACCCCACTCTTTTCTCCTCTTTCCGGTTCCACTTCCTTCTATATCCTTTCAGACTTTTTCCTCTCTCTGTTTCTGACTTAATTGTTTACGAACTCTCTCATACTCACAATCAACTCAACTCACTTCATTTACTCATTATCTCATTTGTTTGTTAATATTTTTATTTGTTATTTTTATTTTGATTTGTTTCATTCTCATTTTTGTTTTTATTGTTTTTTTATTTGTTATTTATTTGTTATTTTTTTTTGTTCTTGATTTTTTTAAAACAAAAATCTCCCTTTAATCAGATTGAGAAATTAATTAATTAATGTAAAACTAATAGGGGTTCCTAATAATTGCATAATATTATTTTAAACATGATTATTAATCGTCATCATCTTCATCATAAGTTGTTACAAATTCAATTTTAGCTAATTTACCAAACAAAATACATAACAAACCAACACCAAAAAAAACCAAATCAATGAATGGAAAATGAATTGCGATTTAATTAATCAATTAAAATCTTTTAGGACCTTCCAAGTTTCTTAAAAGTAATTTAATTTTATTCATTCAATAATCACAATTATCCCCTTCATCTTTGTTGACAATTAAATCAACTAAAAATCAAGACTTGGGATCAATCAAACTTTCAAAAATTCAGCGGTAAAGTTTTTTAACTCTCTAAAAATAATCAATCACCTCATCTAATCCTAATTTCTTAATTGTTTCTCTCTCTCTAAATAGATTTGGTTTCTCACAATGATCAACCAACAATTAACCGTAACAACTATTGACAAAGCTCACAATCCACCACCAGCAACCTGTTCCCACCCTGAAGCAAAAGTCCTGACGAAGGAGGGAAAACGATTGACCCAAAATCAATTGAACAATTAATCAATTAATCAAGAAAGGACAAAAATAGTCTGAGAGGGAAATCTATTCCCACCTCTGAAAACCCACCACTGGACAAGAAGGCAAAACCATAACACCAATAACATTTCCCACTCCAAGTTCAATCACCACCTCGACCTTAACCTCAACCTTAACCTTTTCACTTTCACTGCGACAAGAAAACAAAAAGACAAAAAAACTAGGATTTATAAATTTTTTCCCGCTCATAGATAATTTAGAGAAAGAAACAATTAAGAAGATGGTGATTAATTAACCAAATCTCAATCAATTGGACATTCTAAAAGAAAAGCTAATCATCTCAAACAATTGTAAACAATTAATCACAATTGGCTTTATGGATAAAACATCTTAATCAACATGATCATTTTACCGTTACAAACACCAAACAATTTAAAATGAGACTTTATTGTAAATCTAATTGTTTCTTTTGACAACAATTTATCAATTGAAAAGAAAAACAAAAAGCTGATACAACAAACGCAACCATTTATACATTTGCCTGATCAATGAATCAATGATTTGTAGAAATTTGTGTTTTTAGTTTATGATGATAACTAAATCAATTAATAGTTGGATTACCATGGATGGAGAGTTAATCCCTCTTTAATTAATCTTTATCCTGATTCTATATATATTATTATGTTATTGTCCATCTCGATAATTTAATCTGATAATTTGAGAAAACAAAACAAATCAACTTTAATTTACATTCCGAGGATTAATTAATGAAATTGCTAAGAAAAAACCAATTGAAACAATTGCTCACCAACAACACAAACAATTAACCAACAACAACAACAACAACAACAACAATTACATTGTTCACAATTAAGATTTAGTTAATTTTTATTAAATTGTTCAACAGACCAGCGGTATTAATTACTTAATGATAATAATGATAATACATATAAATAGACTGATTTTAATTTCATTTGATTCACTTGATTTATTAATAATCAAAGTTAACAATTAAATTTACTTTCAACTTTTTGTTCAGTTTCATTTTGTTTTACTTTTAATCATGATAACAATTAATTATAACAATCGTACTAATTGCATCAACATCAGCAATTGATAATTAACTTACAATTAAAAATGAACTAAATAGTTGGTATAATAAAAATTGATTACAAAACAAAAACAAATTATTTTAACGATTTAATTATTATTTACAATTAAGATCATAATGGTTATGATTATACAATATTGCAAATATTTATTTAATTGTCTCAATTAATAATTGCAATCAATAAATTGATAATCAACTCATCCAATTGGGATTTAAATTTGATGATTACAATTAAAGAGCTAAATTATTAAAACATTGAAATGTCAATTATAACAATTAAATGAACATTAATCACAAATTTAATCACAGGTTTAATCAAACATGTTTAGTTGATCAATTTATTGATTGTTTGATCAAATAATAATATTTAGATGAGTAAAATTGGTTCAACAATTAACTTGATTCAGAATTTGGTTCATTATTTAGTTATAATGATCAGATATCAATTGGATAAGATGTCAACCTCAACAATCAAATTAACTGATTCAGTTAATCACTATTACCATAATATAAACTTGAAGGTTAATTTACAATCAAAAATTAAATCCTTTCTATCTGATGATTCAATTAAATTAACCATGTTAAATTGTGAACGAATTGCATTCATATTCAATGGTACATTAATCGGTTATCAAGTTAATTGTTTACCCTCTAAATCACAATTAACCAAATTCAAGACAATCAAAGTGTTCATGTTAATTGTTCTGATACGATCAGTGTTAATCAGTTTGTTATCATCAAGTGAAAAACAGTTTCTCTCAATGACTACAATTAACTTAATCCTCGGTGATTCAACTAATTGTTTGTCTCAACATTTAATCATCAAACTAATCATATTATTAATAACAATTTGCTTCACAATGTTGTTCATATCTTGTCATCAACCATTTAATTATAAAAACAATTCAAATGATTTAAAATTATTTCACATTTGCAATCAAATCTATTCAACGGGTTCGTTAATTGCTGACCAAATTAACCTTCATCAACCTAAAAATTTACTACAATTAAGATTATCGCTTAAGCTTTTAGTATGTTATCAAGGAATCACTTTAACTCTGGCCACTGGGTATCTATTGTTTTATATTAATTGTTCATTTCGATGTCATCTAATTACCAACCAATTGTCACAATTAACATATCCAACGTTGATTAGTTCAACTTTCTGGATAACAATTAACTCAATTGTCGCAGCAACTGCTTTGTTTAGTTGTTTCTGGTTCTATTTTCACATTTTCATTTTCATTCTTTACATTAAATTAAGATTAAAAGAGTTAATTAACGTAATGAGAGCAATTAACTGTACCTCTAATCGTCAATCTGATCATTTTAATAACCTACAATTCCAGTGTTTAGTTAATTGTAATCGTATTCTTAATGATATTGAAAAGGCAAATTGTGAGATCAGATCATTGATTCTAACTACTTTCTCATCATTAGCTTTATTTACTGATTTTGTTTTATTTGCTTGTTTGATTATCGGAATCGATGATCCATTAATTAAATGGCCAATCTTAATTCCGGCAACAATTACGTTAATTGGTATTAATGGTTTCTCAAAGTTTCTCTTGATTCCAGTTAATAGTAAGGTTGATGAGTTAATTGTTTTACTTCATAATATGTCAGCAAACAATTGTTGCTCTGATCAAAATGAATTGTTAATCATTCAAATCAAGGTAAAAAAATTAGTTAATTTGGTCAATCAAATGGTTAATTGTTTCAATTGTTTTGCAATTAGCTTTTGGCAACCCTGGACCGGTTAAAGGTCAAGCCAATTGGTTTCTGGATTGGTCAAGTTTTAAGAATTGAATCTTATTGCTTATTAAAGGTAAAACAATTTAAATTAATCAATACTTTTTTTTTAATCTTGATCATTAATTGTTTTGTTAATTTACAGATAATTATTGAAAATTCAACAATCTTTTTACTAATGATTAACGCTTACAATCAAGTTGGGACAACTTAACTAATTGGACTCAATCAGTTTGATTAAAATGATGAATCTAGTGACAATTACTTAGACAATTTTGGACAATCAACTAATCATTAGAAATATTAGCTAAATATTACCATTATGAATTTCAGCATTTTGATGATACAATTCACAATTTGATTTGAATGATTATTATTAAGATATAGATGAAATTGTGATAAAAGGATGATAACAATTTAAGAGGATGATGAAGATGATTAAATTGTAAAATAAATGATTCAACTGTTTGACAATAAATTAACAGAGACAATTTAACATTGAATCCAATGAGATTTACTGAGCAAAAAGATTGACACTTCAAGAATTGTATTCCAATGTTAAAGTAAAACTTGTCAAGTGAAAGTGATGAGATTGACTCGAGAAGATATTATCATCCTTATCATCATTCCTTTATAAAGGCTTAAGCCTTTAACAATCCCAATAACCATCATTAACAATTTGATAAGTTTACTAAGTAATTAAACAGAAGGGGCAATAAAAACAACAGACTAATAATCAAGATTTTAATTGTAAAACAAAAACAGAAAACAAAAAGTTTCTTAAACCAATTTTCTGGTGATTAAGAAACTGATAAGTTATCAGATCAAATTGAGATCAGAAATTGAACAATAACTAATTAAACAAACTAACTAAATGATTTGACTAAATTATCTAATCAAATATCAAATGTCGAGTGAATGTTTTGATAATTTCTCATAATAGTAACTATTAGTGATTAATATTCATATGAACATTTTGATAAACAAATGAATTATCATCTTCATCCTGATCATCACTCCCAGTCTACCAAAGGATTCCCATCATCATCATTATTAAAGTAACTTAAGATTGATGATTGAAAAGGTTTCATCCTCATCCATTGATCAATATACAAAGTGATGAAGATGAAGATAAAGAGAGAGAGAGAGAGAGAGAGAGAGAGAGAGAGAAAGTATTTTGATGAAGAAGATGATTAAATTAGTTTGCTAAGAATGAAAATTAAATGTTGATTAAGATCAAAAATCTAACACAATCAATCTCAGTCTAACAATTTAATGAATAGAAAACACCAAAGTGAATCTTTACTTTCTCAATACATTAGTGGTTTGTTTTTTTCCTTATCAATTTAAAACACTAGTGATGATAATTTGATGATGATTAAATGATGATGAAACTTCAACTTGATGATAATGATTATAATACATGATGATGATCAGCATAACAATTGATAAATTGTAAATAATCAAGAGTATCCAAGAGATAAAATCTCAAATGAAATGAATGAAAACCCAGAAAAAAAACATCACCCAAACAAAATGCAATCTATAAATTGTGAAAATCAAATTAAATCTTTCATTCTGATTCCTCAATCTTTATCTCAATTTCATCCTCATGTTAGTGTTTTCCCTGAAATGATTCATGGTTACATTTTTTATTGTTGTTCTGTTCACAATTTATAAACATCAACATGATAAATTGCTGAAAACTGGACAATTCAATGTGTATAACATGAAGTTCAAAATATATTTCAAACGGATTAACCTTTTTGTAAATCATCAAGATGATAATCATCCTCATCTCGATGATAACATTTTCATCCGAAATCAATAATAATAAATGTTATCCAATAAGTTATCCAGTTAATTCTGAGTCTATTGTATATAAATTTTGATTAACTTTAATCATCATGTTAGGTGACGATAAACATGATAACTTTTGAATGAAGATGTAACTTTTTCTTGGTCAATTTTGTTTACTCAATCATCTCGATGATTTAGATTCACAATCATTTTTGATTTACTATTAATACAATTGTAATAGTTGAATTTTGAAATTTTTTCTTGTGACTCAATCAACGTGGTCTGAATTGTAATTAGATGACAATTAACTTAATTCAGTATTTTTTTTCCTATCCCATTTCAATTGATTGTATTAGCAAGTCTTAAGAGGTTGTTCATTTAATTAACTGATTAGTTGTTGATCAATTATCACTTGCCTTTTTCTTGCTAATTGTAACAATTTGTGTAACATTTATTGATTAGTCTGAGATAAAGTTAATTCAATTTGGCAATATATTAATTAGAGTAAATTAAATTAACAAATAATTAACCAAATTTACCTTTTTTTTCAACGCCAACCCAAAAGATTAGTAGTATTTTTTTGATTAACAACAGTAATCAAACATTGATTGTAGTCTAATTTAATTAGTTATATTGTATTCATTTGTACATGTAATTATTTGCAACATCAAATTATCAGAAAAAAACCATAACAATTAAAATTCAAATGTGATTTGATTGATGACAATTAGCGATGAAAATTAAACCACAAGAAAAGTAACATGAATGAAAAGTTAATCGAGTGATGATAATTTGATTATCAAAATGATTAACTTTGATTATCATGTAAATTAAACCAGTTTATTGATCATCAATCTAAATCATAATCATAAAACCATAATGGTAACAATTTAAATTCAGTTGTATAACAAAAAAGTAATGAAACTGATAACTAAAAATTGAAAAACTTAAAAAATTTCCCGCTTTTAGTATTCATTTCATTGTTATTTAATCTGATGATGAAATGTAATCAAGTGGGAGGGAAATGATGAAAGTTGATCTGATTATATTGATTGTTAATTATAATCGGATAATAATAAATACAATCAAAGTTTAGGTCATTTCTTTTGCCTCCAGGGAAGCTCAAAGTTATTTCAATATAACATTCATACCCACCATCACATCCCACCCTCACCTCACCTTCACCCTCATCATCTCATCTTCATCCTCATCTTCATCTTCATCCTCATCCTCATCCTCCTACTGATGATAAAGATGACAGATCAAGATTAGGATTAGAATGATGTTTAATCAATAGTTAATATGTGTATCAGGTTAACTTAAATAACTATTAAGATGAGCACGTGTTGGCGCGTGTTTTTGTTTAAACATACGTTTGGATTACATGTTATTAATTGTTAGCCAAACAATTGTGAAAATAGTTATTAAATTGTTGCTTTACTTATGATTAGTTTGGTGAATAAATTTAGTTTATTGACATCTTAATTGTTACAATTGTCTGATTTTGGATACAACTAATCAACAATATAACCATTTAACATATCATTAATCAATTAATCAAGAGAAACATAAAGTTAATTTTGATAAGAATAATAATTAACATTTACTAGTTGAGTTTGGCTGCAATTTAATTGTCAACAATTAATTCAGTTCAGACAAAGTGAATGTTAATCAGCTACAAGTTTATTTTATTCGTCTAATTACCTTTGAATGATTAGAACAAAAAAATTTTTTCCATTCGATTTGGAATATTTTTTCCTTCTCATTCAGTTACACAATCTTATGGTGGGAAAAATTATCGACGGTGGAACATGATAATTATGAAGATAAGGATGAGATGATGATGATGATGCTGATGATATTTGGATAAGGAGGAGGAAGAAGATAAATAAACCACCCTGAGAGGCGGAACCTTTACTTTTATTGGTTCGATGGGAGGGAAACTCAAGTTTCCCATTGGTTCATTGAGAAAGTCAAAGGAAAATGGTTAACACCCTATACCCAAGGAAAATACCTTATCATCATCATCTTCCTCATCTTCATCACTTTATCATCCTTTATCTTCATCTTCTCTTTCTAATCTATCTTTCTTTTTCACTTTACTAATGAAAAAAAAACTTTTCATCTTAAACCATCAGAAAATGAGAGATAAAAATTTTCACAATTATCTTAATAGTGTCATCTCGTAATAATATCATCCTATTCATCCTTATCCTCATCATCATCATCATCATCATGTTATATCCTGAACCTTGAATTGTATACCGATCATCAGATGATATTTGAATTTGAAGGGAAGAAAAAAACTTCCACTTGAAATTTTTTTTCCTTGACTCTTTTTTTCTGTGGTTCCATCATCATTTTTATCATCATTCTCAGTTTATCATCATCCTCATCATCATCCTCATCATCAGTAACTATATAAACTGAATCAGTTGATTGTAATCAGTTTTCTGTAATAGTTTCCAACTAATATCATTTGGTAAATAATAAAAAGTTAAAAAAGTTTTTCATCTTAAAAGTTTTAATCAGACAAAAGTAATCACAACAATTGATTGTTGTTAAGTGTGTATGTGTAATTAAATTAAATTGTTAACTGTTTTTAAATTAGCTTCAATTAAATCAATGTGTTCTGTGTGTAAATACATTATATATTATTTGGGTGTTAGTAGTTAATTTAAATTGTAATCATCTGATTACCAACATCAATAATTAAACCACCAAACCGATAATAATAATAATAAAACGGTAATGATGTTTTCAATTGATAACAATTGGTCAACAGTTAATGGACAATTAACTAACCATTTAAACCATTTAAACAATTCAAATGAATCAGTTAATCTTGATACAAATGAAGTAAATACAAGTAACAGTAATCTAGTGATTAGTAAATCATTAAGCTATTCACCTTCATCATCATCACCTTCACCTTCAATAGGTCAAGGAGGAGGAGGAGGTGGAGGTGGAGGTGGTAATCATGTCCATCATTCCCAACAACAACCTCCACCTCATCCACTTCATCATCAGAATTTATTTCAAACTCATCAATTTATCAATCATCACCATCACCATCATCCCCACACCACATCTACATCTCACCATCATCATCTTCCACCTACATCCTCCTCCTCACCACCACCACTTCAACCTCATCTTCATCCTCATCATCAGCATCAACAGAGTCAACACCATCCTTTACACCATCATCTTACTTCATCATCTTCATCTTCCTCCACAACAACAACTGCAACCACTTCGACCACCTCAACGACAACCACAGCAACAACAATCAATGGAAACTCAAATTCAATTCAAAATGGTTCCAATTCCCTTACCCCCAATTCATCATCTTCCTCATCTTCATCAACCACTTCCTCATCATCCACACCCAACAACAGTCTAACCACCAATGGTAATCAGAGTCACCACAACACCTCAAGTGATATAAGTAAACCATCAAAACAAAAGCGACATCGAACTCGTTTCACTCCAGCCCAATTACAGGAATTGGAACGTTCATTCAGTAAAACTCATTATCCGGATATTTTCATGAGGGAAGAACTTGCACTCAGAATCGGATTAACAGAATCAAGAGTTCAGGTAATTTCAATTTCCATTCAGAATAGAACAGAGTAAAAAAGATCAATATAATTTTCCTTTTCCTTTTGCTAAAGAAGCTTCAACATTAAGTCAGAATTTTGTAAATAGTATCAATATCTTTATCTCTAATGATGATAACATGGTGTTGATAATAAAATGCTGACATAATTAAAGTGTAACTGTTAACAAATAACACTCTGTGTGTATTTATGGATCATTATCAAGCTAATATCAAACTTTTTCATCTATTGGTTAACATTTAGCTTAGATTATTTTTTTCCTATTCCCATTAATTCTTGGTGACATTATTGTTCACTTTTGCTTTCATCACATCCACAGGGATTTAGTTTGGGAAGGATGAGAAAGAGTAAGGTGAAGATGAAGGAAGATGGTGGAGGAAAATGTGTACTCTCCCTATCGAAAAAGAAACGAGAGAGAGAGTAAAGAGAAAAAAACATTTACCGTTATCATATTTGTAGATAAACATTAAAAGACCATGAAGAAGAGAAAGAAGAAAAGAAAGAGGAAGATATATGATGATAAAAGAGTGAGAATATGAATTCTGATAAACATTATCATCTTCAGTTTCTAAAAATAACAATAACAGAAGGATACAATCATCATTGGGTATAGATAATATTAAGAGATGAAGATGATATAAAAATGATGAGAGAGAGAGAGAGAGAGAGAGAGAGATGATACACCTTCTATCGACCTGATTTTTTTTCTTCTTTTCATCCTTAGGGAGATATTTTTCCATAAATAATCTTCCCTCTATCTCTCTCATCAAGGATGAGATGATGGTAATCATTAGAGAGATGATGATGATAATGATGATAACATTGTCATCAATTGTAAATAACAATTATTATTCAATCTCATCTATCAAGTGTTAGTACAACTCTCAGGCAAATTAATGATTAACAATAACATAATCATCTGGATCATCATGATGATCATTTCATGATGGAAATAATATTTTTTTACCTTTTCAACTTACTCAAAGATAAACATGAAGAAATCATCTTAATCATCATACTAATGGCTTCATCTGTATCGTTAATTATTACATAATTATCATGTTAACTAAACCATGTTTAGTTAAGCAGTATATTGAACATGATGTTTTCCATGAATTCATTTCACAGTTTATCATGTAAATTACTGTTACTGTTAAATTACTTTTTATCAACATCATCATCACCAGCAGCACAAATAAGATGATCAACATTAGGATGATAATAAGATGATGTTTTTGTTTGTGATAATGATGACAGAGGAAGATGAAAGATGTAAAAATGTATTAAATCAGTTGAATGAATGATATTCATGTTACTTTTTAATGGGACAGGAAAACCACATTAATATGAAATGTACATTCCTTGTCCATCTCCCTAAGGTAACTTTTTTCTCTCTCATCCTCATCTCATCCTCATGATCCATCTATTTATCATCATTGAACATCCGAACATGAATCTTATCGTGTGTGTAATTCCCGCATCCAAAAACATTATGACACAGGTAAAAAATGAAGATGAGGAAGATAAAAAGATGAAAAGAAAACATTGAAATTGAATGAAACTTGAAAAACAAATGGAAACAATAATCATCCCAATTGTCCATTACAACTTGACCAAAACTTTTAACCTCAATTTTCATGAAATTTACTAAAAATTTTCACCATGAAAAATGATTGAATAACGATCATCACTTTTTCCCTCAACATTTTCATTCATCTATTCAAGTAAACAATAAAATTCACCTCCCAGTGTCTATTGATGTTCAATGATTACAATGATAATCTATTGATTATCATTTAAAGATTAGATGAGATTCAATTTTGAGAAAACATTTCAGATGATAATGATAACTTCCTCTTCCTCATGGTGAACCTAATTTACTTTAATTTCCGGTCACATGTACAGTCTAATAATATACATACAATCAACTGATATTTCCATCATGAAATCAACTAAATCCTCCTGATATGGTAATCATATACATATTTATATCCATTTATGTTTTGATAACAATTAGTTAATCAGCTGTTTAACTGATCCTTTGACAAATAATAGTAACAAAAATATGACACATACTAACACAGTGAATGCAATAAATTATTCACTGGTGACAATATTTAAATATAAATTATCATCAATAGTCTGTGACTTTGAAAGCATTTTCAAGTTTACTTTTTGCCTTTAAATTCCCACAGGATTATCATTGATATTACAGTTTCAATATCACCAGGGAGGGTTATTATTATTTCATCTAGCAATTCCTCCAGCGAGTTTCCCTCCACCATCAACATCTCCCACCTTCCAATATTATATATATTTAGAACAAGATAACTAGTTACTTATGTTTGATATTCCAATGCTACATATTTATACTTCTATTTGTAATCTAATCAGATGAATAATTAATTGATTGTTATTTTTCTCTTTGATTGTTTAGGTTTGGTTTCAAAATCGTCGAGCAAAATGGAAAAAGAGGAAAAAATCAGGAAATTTTCTTCGAAATCCCACCGGTGCTCTTCTTCCCTCCCACCCATTGCCCACCTTTGGTTCCGTTTCCTCTCCAGCCGACGGACTTTGTTCATTTACCGCTGGACATCACGATCCAAGGTGGACAATGACCACAACAGGTATTACAAGCACTACTAATAACAATAACAATACCAATGCTAATCAATTAAATCCTAACATCATTCAAACATCAAATTTTATTTATCCTAAATTATTCATCTAATTAACACTCAAAACCCAAACTAATTATTATTATATCTTCATCAATACAATAACAATAACAATAATAATAATAATAACTGCTAATCAAATAAATTGTTACCCAAATTTTGTTAATCAACTCACAATTAATATTATCAATGATGATACATAATCAATAAATCAAACAAACAACCAAAAAAAAAATCCCAAAAACAATTACTAACAATCAGTTTCGGATAATTGATTAATTAAACCAACGAGAAAAAAAACAACAAAAATCAATTAATTAATCACATATATGATTTTGGTTGGATTGAAATTTAATAATAATCATCATCATGATTATCAATCAATTGATTTGATCCAAGAGACTAATGATTAAGGTAACAAAATAAGTAAACAACGTTACCAAATGATTTATTAAATTGTTTCAACTTCCGTTTAATCATTTATATTGTTGAAAGTAAACAAATGAAAACGAAAAATAAAAGATTGAGACAAAGATAAAAAGGAAACGGAAATGGAGCATGTTGAAGGTAAAATTGTAAAAAAATGATTTCCAGGTAAATCGTGATTGTTTTTCAACATTAATAATGGGTTTACATATGTGATAGCTTAAAGTCACGCCAATGGTCATGATGAAATTGGCTAGTTTTTAATAATGGACTCGATCATCAGTTATCATCATTTACTTTTCATCTTCATCTTCATCTTTTACTTTCTTTTTTTCTTTCTCTTCCATTTTTAGGTTCTACTACTCTGAGTTCTTTAACTCATCATCATCATCATCATCATCTTCCTCATCTTCCATCACTTTCCCTTCAATCAACTGGACAATTTTCATCGACCGCCACCGGAATGGGAGGGCTTAATCATCATACTTCCGGTTTCGGTTCATCATGTTATCAACCATATCAGATGAATTTAAATGATGATGATCATGATGATAATCAAGTTAATGGTAATCAAAATCATCACCATCATCATGATAATTCAATAGGAAATGAAGTAACCCCAATAACAACAACAACAACAAGACCAACATCATCATCAACTCCAACATTATCTTCATTACCTATTGGATCTGCAACTCCAACGATAACGACCATTGAAACGACCTTTGGACATAATAATTTACCGTTATCTTGTTCATCACCTTGTTCATATTTATCTTTATCACCTTCATCATCCTCTTCTTCCTCATCATCTCACAATCAAAGTCATCCAACTAATCTTAATCTTCCACCTCCAACAAGTTCATCCCTTGCATCTTTAATCTTACCTCAACCCTTGACCCCTTCAAATGAAGATGACCAATCGCCCGATATTTGGAGAGGTACAAGTATCGCAGCGCTAAGACGTAAAGCCATTGAACATACAGCTTCGATGTCGGTGTTTGGAAGATAATTAATCATCATCATGATCAATAAAATCAAAGGTATTAACCAAAAAAAAATCAACTTTCTTAAACTTTTATTTCATAAAACTTTTCTCTCCCCATCAAACCAATTAATCAACTAATTAGCTGTAAGTCAAGTACAACAATCAAATAATCAAATAAATGAAAATAATGTTACTAATTAACATTAGCAAACAAGTAGGTCTCCCTTTCCACACAACAAAATCTTCAATGGTCATTTTGTTTGGTCATTTAACTTATATATATAAATCGTACTCATATCATCATCATCATCATCACCAAGAACAAAAATTCACCTTGATAGAGATTAAAAGAGGAAGACAATAAAAATGAAGGTGGAAAATTGATCTTACCCATAAAAAAAGATCAACAAGAAACATTTCTTTCCAATAAACGATATTTTCTCTTCTTAATCATCTTGAAAACTTCTTATCATCCGCGTCATCATCATCATCGGCAGTTGTTTATCCTTCCCTGGTCACCTATTACCACCCCAATCCCACCTTCTCCAGCAAAGGAATGACTTAAGATTCATCTTATGTTTTTGCTGTTCTCATCTTCATCACTTGAAGATATTATCTGAGATGAAGAAAAAGAAAAAAAAATCAATCCTATAAAAAGATACTGAAAGAAGATGATGATAAGGTGGGAAAGAAGATGAAAAAACCTTTTTAACTCTCATCATCATCTTCTTCTTCCTTTTACCTCCCATTCAGTTGCCTCCCACTTTCGCTCAGAAAGTATAACACAAAAAATATAGTTTAGTCTGAAAAAGTAACTGTTTATTTCTGATTTTCATTCTTGTCACTTTGAATCTCTTTGCGCACTTTGAATTATATCAAGTTTATCACTTTCTTCATTTCCATCATCAGCATCATCATGTTTCCCTCTCCATCTCCCCTTGTGAAATTGATCATTTTCAGTGTGAAAAAAAAAATACGACAGTCTACTGAGAATATGGATTTTCTGAAGTGTATCAAGAATAAGAATGAATGAAAAAGAAAATCTACAAAAATGATGATAACTGTAAGAGAGAAAGAGTTACATGGGGTGAGGTGGCAATTCTAATGAAAATCTCAAGGTGACAGACAAAAAAATTCTGATAAACATGTAACATTAACTCTGACAGACAGTTTGATATGAATTAAGTTTCCAGGGTAACTCTTGATGAGTAGATAATAATAATTAACGATCAGTAAACTTGATCATCAAAAGATGAAGACAATCTGATTGAACCATTCTCTCTCTCTCTCTCTCTCTTAATTTCTATTCTTTTATCAATTGAATTCTCTTAAATAATTTCAACCACCACCAAGACAATCACCTCTTCATGATGATGTTCATTCAATAAGAATAATCTAATGTTAATCATTGAAATGAAAATTGTTTTCAAATTATGGTTAACACAATTGGATTGTTACGTTTGATTACAAGTTGACTGTCTAACAACCAAACAAATATTTGCAACCTGATCAATTGTAACTATTTACTGATTAACATTCTCATTCTGATTCTCATTTTGCTCATCCTTTTCATTGAGATGAAGAGCAAAAAAAGGAGATGGAAAAAATTCTGATTCCATGGAGCTTCATCAGGAACTTTTATCGGTTTTCCTTCAATTATATAATAAAGACAAAAAGTGGATCAAGATGAAAGACCGAAAATCAGGTGAAAGTAGTAGAAAATAAGAGAAATAGAGAGAAGAAGAAGAAGAAGAAAGTTTTCCGAAGACTTTGAAGATGAACAAGAAGATGAGGATGGATAAAGATTCGGTGGAAAAGGATGAGGATGATAATGTTTGTCTTCTAATAAAAATGGACTTTGTTTTCCTTCAACAAGTAAGTTAATCCAAAGACCGAGATGGATCATCAAGGTTTGTATTATATGCAAAAGGATGAAGTCTAATGAAATCAAAGTGTAAGTCTTGTTTGTTACATCACCATGAATACTCACTGAGTACACACATGAATATATACATATTAGGTGTTGTTGTTGATTCTTAGATCAGTGGGAAGTAAGAGAGAGAGAGAGAGAGAAAGGGAGCAGAGATTAATCAGATGAGAAGATGAAAAAAGAAAGAAAATACAAAAAGATTGATATATTATCTTTCTCTTATAGGGAGAAAACTCTATAAAACAATTTCGAAGATGATAATGAAGAAAAGGGTGAAAAAATGACCTGAAAGTGATGAGGAAAAAAAGTTCTATTCTAATTCGAACAAGAAGAACAAGGAAAGAAGGAAAAAAAATAAGATGCATAAATTATTCCTTGTAAATATGAGCATCTTTCTCATCAGAGTAGAAAAGGAGTAAGAAAATTTCAATGATGAAAAATGATTCAAAAGGGAAGATAAAATGAAGAAGAAAAGTTTTCACCTCAAGAAAAAAGTTGAATGAAAATTCATAACTTTAAATGAAACTGAACATTATTACTTAGTTGATGGACGAGGAGGAGGAATGATGGTGAAGATGATGAAGATGAAGATGAGGGAGGTAAAAATGATTTTCAAGTCAACGGGGTTCTGACAATGATGTTGATGATAAAGAAGACGATATGATGATCAATATGATCGCATGCTCGGTATAGAGTCAAATGTTCATCTTATCAATAGAATCCAAGGTAAAGATGATAAAATAAAGAGAAAGAGAGCAAGAGGAAACTCGTGACAAGATTTAACTCCATCCACCATCCACCACCCACCACCCACTTTCCACTCTCCATCTCCATCTCTTTCTTTTTCTCTTTCTCCCTGTTAATAAAACTAACAGCAGGCAATTTTATATTATACAGAAAATGCGACTTCCCCTCCGTCTCCATTTAACTGTTGTTGCTTTTTTCCGTCTCTCATGTTAGTCTATGTAATATATTTACCTTTTTTTATTTGATTCACTTCCACTTTATCCTTAGCATTCCCTGAATCACTCACCACCACCAACACCACCATTCAGTTGATACACACTGGTAACACAGTGAGGGTATGCATCTCTCTCTCTCTCTCTCTCCATGAATGCATACCCTCTTTGTATCCAGGATACTCTTAGCATCTTATCAATTTCATTTTCATTTTCTAGAGGAAAAACTTTTTACTTTTGTATTTTTGTTTCTTCTCTTCCTAGTTTTTACTTTATCATCATGATTATCTTCATTGGAATTCCTATTATTATCTTTATGACGATGATGAAGATGATGAAGATGATAATAATATCCATCATCTATCAATCAACTTGAATCTCTTTATTAGTTGTTAAACAATTTTCATTTGCTTTTCATACATAGAAAACAATATTAACCGATTTGATTGTTCAGCTTAATCACTTGAAAGAATCGCTGATTATTTATTGATAATGATATCGGATTAATTGTAACAATTGATGTTTTCTTTTGGTGATTTAATCAACTTGATCAAATTGTGTTATTAACGATTTAACTTTTAACAATTTATTGCTTTTCTTAATCACTAATTTTAATCTACTCATTGTTGAGATTTAACTTGAGATTTCATTTAAATTGTAATCAATACTTAAGTGGTTAACACTTGAGCTAAATGAATGAGCAATTTAATTGTTAACAATCAGATTAATGTTTAATTTTGAGGATTAACTTGAATCTTATATTATAAATCTGTTATATAATAGTTTTAAATTTGGTTACGTTTGTTAATTAACATGAAATTATTATTTAAATGCATTGAGAAGCTTCAGTTAATTGTTAAACAATAAGAATTATTAATAATATTGATTAACCACAATTAAAGAGGTTAAAATTGAGAGAAACATTTAATCAACTTTTCCTGTTGACTAAATAATTTTGTATAATCTCAAAGGTAATCAATTACAACTCACAATCAATAATTGATCATTTGTATTATGTTGATTATCATCTGAATGCAATTGATTATAATATGATTTTAATGAAAACATTTTAATCATCGTCATGATAATAATCAAAGTAATCAAAGGCTTCCAATGTTAATCAAGACAAACAAAAAGGGTTAATAAAGAGGAAGCCTTAATTAAGATGAAGATGAAGATAAAAAAGAAACCTAATCCAATCCTTTCTTTCATCCTCATCCTCATCTTCATCATCATCATCATGTGAAAGATGATCAACAATCAACTAAATATCCAATAAACTTCAGATAATCTTGATTGAAAAAATTGAATTCTCGATATGAAGGAAACGTAATCAATTGGTAATTTATTTTTTGATTATCATCCAGATTCTTGAGCTGATTAATAACAATCAAATTTGTAGCAAAATTGGCAACATTGATTTGAAGAATTTAGGAAAATATTAAATTTGATTACAATTTATTTCTATTATCATTTTTAAATGATTAACCAACAACAGAATCAAAATTGAATCATTGGTATTGGTGAATGAAAAAAAAGTTGATTATTATATTTTGATATCTTGCTGAACATGATGAAAATGATTGAACAAAATTGAACTTTTATTCAATAATATCATAATCATCACCTTAATCAGCTAAATTGTTAGATAATCATGATCATGGTCAAGATGATAACGGTTGGTAATCAAAAATAGAAACATTTTGATCAAGATGAATTTGATCAGTTTGATTCCTTGGAGATTCAATACTTTCAACAATCTTAAATGGACTTTAACTTGTCTCTTGATTTAATCTTATGAAAAGACGAGCAGATTAAGATGATAATGATTAAGGTGATGATGATGATGATGATGATGATAGTGAGTGGGTGGATGGCTGGGAGTGGATGATAATCATCATCAAGACAATCGGACCATTTATAATGGTTTCTCTGGGAATTGATTTACTTACTCGTTACCTTTGTGGTTATTGGGAAAAAAAAGTTATCACAAACTAAATTGATTGATGATTAAGGATTAACTATGTTACAATCAATCAATAGACGAGTAAATTATACAGTTAACTAATCACCAAGTGATTATTGGTATTGGTAATTAATTGGATGAAGTCGCAAAATCAATTTGATTGTTGATTCTTTCATCATCTTTTATATAATTTGTTGAATGATTATTGAGATTCAGTTGTTTTCACTCAATTTAAACTTTTTCGTTTTAATTGTAGCTGCAATGTCTTGATTAAATTGTTTTTTTTTGCATATTTAGTTGATTCAATTAATTAATACAAAAGTTTTGTTTCTTCGTTGATTACAATTAATGAAAAAAGGATTTTTTTTTGTTCTAAATAAAATTGTGAATGTTGAATTTTGTTGATTAGGTTTGAATGTTTTAAATACAAAATAAGATTGTCTAATTTATAAATATGATGATTAGATGATGATGATGATGATGATGATGATGATTAAGATAATCAGGATAATATAAAAGTATTGATTTAGTAACAAAAAAGGGATAATTTGGTTTTCTTCATGTTAACACTTAGACTAATTTGGTAACAAATTAATTTTTTGGCTTAAATTGTGTCTCTCCTTTGATTATCAAGTTATGACTGGTGATGAAAGGGATTAATTTTACAGTTGATAATAATACATTAATCAGAGTTAATTGTTTCAAGATATCGTGAGAAAGTCGTTGAAAAACTGGGCCGAGATCTTGATGAGATTATATTGGCCAAGGCCTAAGAGAGACAAGGGGTTAAAAGCCTTGATGATGAGAGTTAATCTTTGGGATAATAAAAAAGTGATGAAAATTTGATTCAAGTCACTGATTGTTTGATTGGCTTTTTGATGGAAGATGATTACAAAAAAAAATTGACCATTTGATTCAATGGTCATTGACTGGTCAGCGATTTTCGCTCTTTCATTTCTAAATCGCCGTTTTCTGGTTTGTTTCCGTTATGGTTTAACATTGAGGCTGCTTTCCTTTTAGCGGTTCGATAGCGACACCAAATCATCAGGATAAGGACAAACACCATGTAAAGTGTTACCACTCCTCCGGTTATTAAAATGGTCTTGGTCATTTTATCATCTCCTTCGAGTTCGGTTGAAGTGGCTGAATAGCCGTTCGCTGATCTAACTGAAGATGACGAAGTTCCAATGGCCAAGTTAACCTCAGCTCTTTCCAAGCCCGCTGAGTTTCCAGCGATGCAGCCATATTTTCCTTCGTCTTTCTGTTGAAAATTACTAATCAACAATGACCCATTCGGATAAGTGGTTATCCGATGGTCAGCTTTGAAATCATTGAATTCTTTATTCTTCTCCCAATGAATGATCGGTGCTGGATCACCTTCAGCGGCACAATGAAGCTCAACAAATGAGCCAACTTCTGATTCCACATATTTAGCGGGTTTCTTAGTGAATTTCGGTGACTTGACCACTTCCACACTAACAGTTGAGTTAATTGTTGTCAATGAATCACTGGCAATACAAGTATATCTTCCTGCATCAGTTGACAAGACACCATTGAACATAAGGGTTCCCCTTTCTTGTTTAATGTGATCAGGTAAAAATTTGAATCCATTTTTAATCCAAGTAACAGTTTGAGGTAAATGACCACGGGTCTTACAATGTAACTTGGACACGGAATTTAATTCCAGTTTCTTGTCCTTCTGAGGATCAATAAATTTCAGCTTTTCTTTAACTCTAAGACGGATTATCCGACCACCGCCACCATTGGGATTAACAAATTCATTGAAACACTGATAATGACCATCATCTGAAGCTGTGACTTTCTTAATGACCAGACTGTGGTTCAATTGGATCACAATTCGAGGATTGTCCATTATATTCAAAGGTTTTCCATCCTTCTTCCAATCGGTGCTAATAATTGACTCATTAGGATCTCCATATGAACCATCATTCCTTTCACCAGAACTATAAGAACCTCTAATTGGGATACAATCAACAACAGCATCTCCACCCTCATCAACACTGATTGTTTTCCGGTCATCTCGTGAATGGCGTGAATGCCCTCGACCATGAGCTGACCATGTCAAGTCAATAGTTAATAGAAAACCTAAAAAAAACAATTAAACGCAAAAAGAAGTAGCCAATTAATAAACCAAATAAAAAAACAACAACAAAAAGCCAAAAGCCAAAAGTAAAAGCCACTTGGCAAACAAAAGTCAAAAGCTTGACCACAAAGATTGACCATTACTTACCCAATGTAAAAGATAACTAGATAAGATGAGGTTCATGACTGTATTTCGAACCTAATTAACCAGGTAATTAAAAAAATAGAAACAAAATGATGAAAGGTAAGTTAATTACTCCACAGTTGTTGATGTTGTTGATGGGCAACAATAGTAAGAGAAGTGACAATTTGTTGAGATTTAGAACAAAAAAAAAGAGATTCAATTGGATTCAACGATTAATTAGTAAATCAACTGATTCTAATTATGACCATGTTGATTAACGGTGGAAGATGAACAACAATTAAGAAAATAAAGATCAACTATTGACACCAGAGAGAGAAAAAGGGAGAGAGAGATGAAGATGAAGAGACAAATGTGAACCCAAACAAAGAGACATTAAAAACATCCCAGGCTGTTTCTTTTTCTTCTCTTTCTTTTTCATCTTCTCTTCTCTTTCTTTTCATCATATTTCCAAATGGCGCTAAGTGATTGAGCGAACGCATTAAATACTTTTAACTTTTTCCATCTTCTTGGCTCATAAATTTGTCTTCCTCATCATCGCCATCATTGTTATCGAATATTGAAAAATTGTTCTAATTTCATTAATCCGAAAATGGAATCTCATTTGTTTGTTTCCATTTCGAGATTTCAATTTTCAATTTTCGGTTTTCGAGTTTAAATCAATTTACTAATTAACTCGAATTAGTGTTTTCATTTACAATCCATTAAATTGTTCTTCTCACTGATTAGTTGGCTAATTAAAGGAGAAAAACAATATTAATGAAAATCGAATCGCGAATTTCAATTAGTATCATTGAGAGATTGAAACAACTCCTTCGAAAAGCTTTGACTGATTAAATTGAGAATATTTTATTTTCATTCTTATTCAATATTGTTGGTAAATTATTAATTGTAATTAGTGTTTCGTTTTCTATGGGAAAATGTTATCTCACAGGAAATGAATTAACAATAATTGTTGTTAAACGAGACGATTCTTGGTAAACTAATCAAGTAATGAAGACAATTAATTTTGTGAGAATTAAACTCTCTGAGTGTTTGTTGCCCAAAATGAAATGGGATCTTGGCTGAGAAAATTAATTCTACAATTAATTAATTAACTCGAGAAGATCTTGGACAGTTCGTCGTCGAACTGTCACTGAGTAAGTAGATCCGAACGCGAGTACCAGTAATTTTTAATCGAAAATCTCTCCAATCAAACTTTTTCTCCAATAGTTTCTTAATAGTTTCGCATGCGACTAATTCACTTTAAACCTAATTAAACAATTAAAAACTGGATAGAATTTATTTTTGTTAATTCTGATTGTGATTGTGATTCTATTATTGGTCTAATTTGCCAGGGAAATGATTGAATGCCTGATGGATCCGCTGATAGATAATTTTGACGAAATTCATAAACGACTTGTAGTGACAATGGACAATTGGAAAACTATTATAATCAATAAAAGGAGAAATTAAATTTTAATTTCATTGATCGATTTAAATTGCGAGTAAAATACAAAAAATCAAAGAAATAATTTGAATTGTTTTAATATTTATAATTGATATTTCTTGAATTTGTCTTTTTGTTTATAAGGGAAAGGGATATGAGAAGATTGAGTTTGACTGAGAACAAAAAAGTATGAAAGCAAAAATTGTCTTTGCTCTCGAGTGGTCATTTCATGAATGTCCATTTAGGTTTTAAATCGTCGAAATGTAAGTAAGAAAAAGATAGAGGGACAATTCAAATTAGAAATGCCAAGAACAATGAGAGAGAGAGAGAGAGAGAGATAGTAAACTGGTCTACAAAAATCACCTTTTGTGGGGGTTTAACATGAACAAAAAACGGAAATAGAAAGAGAAAGAGATCAAAATAAGATGATGGTGTATAGTCTCAACTTAATGTCGATGAGTAAAAATTATCAAAGGAAGACAAAAGCTTGAAAAAATACCTAAACCACCACACGAAATAGAGAGCGAGAGAGAGGGAGAGAAAGAATAATTGATATTGGGATCGGGGGGTGTACACATTGATTGACATAATTTAAGTGTGAGTGAATTAGATATGCAAAAGTTTTTCTCATGTGTGAGGTGCACGCATAGATTATGATGCAAAAAAATGTTTCTTTTTGTGAATAGAAAAAAAACTTCAGCTTCTTCTTTCTGATGTTGGATTTGGTTTTTTCTGCCAATTAAAAATTTCCATAATCGATTAATCAGTCTTTTGGTTTTTCTTTTAAAAATTTCTAAGCAAAACTATCATCAAACGGTCATCGGGTTGGTTTGTAAATAATTGCTGACCAATTGCCATAACTCTTTTTTACAATTCTTTGATCGTCTTATTGTTTGTATAACATCAGAAAATTGAGTAGGTCCACCAGCGGTCAAATAAAATGCTTGACGAGCTTGACGAATGAGAATAAGAAACTCCTCTGATTCAGCATCGCTCTTGGCAGCTGAGATATTTAACTTGGCGTAGATTCCTTGAACAAACCTAATTAGAATAAAGGAAAATTTTTTTATCAGATTAGCAAAAGTTATTAAGATAAGAGTATAATCCTTGAAAACATACATTTGTTGACATTTTTGAATTAATGGGACTAAAATTGGTGATCTGTATGCATTGGATATATTCATTGAATTTGCTGATGATTGTGAAATATATTTGGCCATATCTTGTAAGATGTCGAGCAATACAAAGGGACTCGTGATACTGTTAACAGTACAAATACAAAAGTCTTGGAAATAAGATGTACCTGGATGAATAATTAGAAGATAAAATTAGTAAAGATTGTGATTAGTAATCATTGATGATTGTTTTTCTTTTTGCTAATTCTTACCCAATTTTTTAACTACTTCTAGTAACCATTTAACATCATCTTCATATGATGGGTTACGAGCAAATTTGGCCGTTGGTCTTTCGTCGTGATTTTTACGACCCAATGCCTCCATTGCAAGAATGGCGACTCTGTAAGCTGATAATAAATAAAGCAATTGCTTTTGTGTAAGCTGTTGGTGTGGTTGAAGTTGAGGTTGATGGGCTAAACTTAGAGCTTGTTGTTGAGAAATAAATGGATGACCAGCATGCTGAGGGGCAAATGGATAGACAATTGGTCCACTGGCGTTTCCTCCGGCTACAGATATCATTTGGGGTAACCTTTGTGATACTTGCGGTGCAATTATCATGTTGGATAAAATTGATTGACCAGTTACCGGATTGAGTAAAGTAGCAGCATGAGGATGATTCAAATGATTACGGAAATGAGCATTATTTGGATTGGCTGGTGGTGGTGTTGTTGTAAAGTAAGCGGCTGGAGGATATTGATGGTGGAAATTTGGATTTGAACCTGGAGGTGTTTGTAAAAAGGCTGGATGAAATGGTAGAGTTGGTGGACCCGGTGGAAAGGTTGCCAATCCATGAGGGAAAAATCCATATGAATATGGTGCGGTTGCTGGTGACAGTGCATAAGGTGGCGGTGGACATGGTAAGGATTGGATAACTTGAAGTGGTCCCTGAGGTAAGGAAACCATTTGACCATTTGAACCATTTGCTGATCTCATGTTAATAAAATTATCAATATTAGGATTACCAGTGTTGGATCCAAGTTTATTGTTATTGTTAATCATGTTTATATTGTTATTTGGATTACCGGTATTATTATTAACACCAACAGAATTGATTGAGTTACCTAATGAACAATTGTAACCAAGACGCTCTTGTGAAAGAGAGGTGACAACATTGATACCAGAAACATCACCAAATGAATGATGATGATGACTATGACCATGATGATGATGATGGTGATGATGGTGTAGTGGATTGGGTGAACTTGAACTTGGAACTTGAAATTCACCCACACTTGCTTGTACATAAGGAGGTCGATTACGATGATCACGTGAATTGGATCGACTCTCATTGTTTGTCTCACCAGAACAAGCAGCTTCATACAGTTCGTACCATTTACGAGAAACATGGAAAAGTACTTCAGGACAAACACCGCCGCCTTTAGCAGCCGTTTCAACAGCAAGACAGGCTTCCTGGAGCATAGAATCACTTGATTCTTTACATTGTAAAATTGCTCTATGAATTTCTGTTGGATTGAGAGCTTGTGCCTGAGGAAGACAAGAAAGAGCCAATTTGGATGCTGCTTTCTTGGTTATCGGATCATTACAACCTGACGCTCGATCAGCAAGAGTCGCTGCTTCGGCTGGAGTTAAATGACCTTCCCAGGTATCAATTAAAAAGTTAATCGCTTGTGCACCAATTTCAACCGTTTGATTGGTTATCCAAGAAACATGATGACAGTATGTTCGGGAAAGCCAATTAGGTGAGACTGCATTATGTAAACCTAAGGAGTAAAGGGCAATCTTTAGGGCACACATGTGAAGATTACGATGTGGTGTCTGATGATTCTGGTTAACAGTTGATTGAGAAAATAGAACAGCTGATGTTGAACTACCACCAGCCTTTTCCAATATGGTTTTAGCCAATTCATGCATAAAATATGATGAAGCTTCACTTGGTTGATTAGGTACAGTTGGGTACATTCTTACCCTTCCTTTGAATGAACGTGAATGTTTAGAGGTCCCAATGGTTGATGAAGGTGTACAATTGTTATTATTGAGCGTATTTGATGATGATGAGGGTGCAAGAGGAGCTGAAATAGAAACAGAAGGTCCAGCTGATGAATTATCTTGAACATTTCCAGAACCACAATTTCCTACTGATGATAATGTGACATTATTCACATTAACAGAGTTATTATTATTACTAATGTTAGCATTTTTGTTAGCATTGTTATTGTTATTATTATTATTATTATGATTATTACTTGATGCATTATTATTGGGATTATTGTTAATTGAATTAACATTATTATTATGATTGTTATTGTTTGAGATTTGATGTTGCATTAATAATCTACCTGCTGGTGCTGATGACGATGCTAATGATGGTGTTGCTGTTGTTGTTGGTGCCGATGTGTTGACCTTACTGTTGTTATTATCATTTATTGAACAAGCGTTCATACGAGTAGTTAAGGTGACTCGTGAATTTGAAGGTAATGATGAATTGTGCATATCTCGATTAGCGTTGGAAGATGTTGACGCAACGCCCGCTGCTGATGATAAATTGGATGCTGAAGTGGTTGACATTTTGTTTTTCAAATTTTTATCTCCAGATGAACTTGAGGCGAAAGAATCACTTGACTCTCCACTTGAACCCGAATCACTTCCTGAACGAACCCATAAAGATCGACGGACAACTGTTGGTGAATTGTCACTTGATGTTGTCTCGGGTGCCGATGAGTCAATACTCGCCATACCAATAGAATGTTGTTTCTTGTTAGTTTTAAAGTTAATGCATCTAAAACGAGCTTCCCAAGCTTTGAAACTCTCATCCCAACTTGGACTAGTAGCTCCTTCACTTCGTTCACCGTCTGAATTGCGACGATCTGAAGGGCCGATTTTACGAGGTTCGATTGTTGTTGTTGTGGTTGTAGTTGATGATGATGACGATGATGATGACGAGGGTTGTGGTGGTTGCTGTGAATTACCTTCAGAGGTTGGAAATGATGTTTTTGGTACTACCGCTGCTGCTGCTCCTTCTTCAATGGCTCCTTCTTCATCATTCATTTCTGTTGACGTCTTTTTGATTGATTGACAATCATTTGGTTCCTCTGAGTTTGTCACAGGACCCATGGTTTCAGTAGTTGTTGTAGTAACTTGGCCAGAGGTTGAAGCAATTTCAAGATTACTTGTCTTATTATTACAATCTACATTTGGTGATCCTGAGGGTGAGGTTACACCACTTGGACTTCCGGTGTTGATGTTATACTTATTATTATTACTATTATTATTAACAGAGTTGTTATTGTTACTATTATTAGCATTTTGATTATTTACAGATGAACCAGGAGGTGGATTTTTGTACAATTGATGTACTTCTTGATCAAGTACTTTGTCCATAATTTTGTTTAATTTATCAACTTCATCTCGATAATGAACTAGTAGCTCTACGATAAAATCTCCCCTTTGTTTGCGAGTTCCTTCACATAAAAGTGGATGTTCTGCCTCTGAGACATTCGCTTTCATCCCGAGAGCAGAAATAGATGCTTCTAGTCCAAGAAGTTCGTCACTTTGTTTCCTTTCGCATAAAATGACACAAGGTTGAGGGGTTGGAGAACTGAATGAATCATGAGACCAAGGGGAGGCACTATAAACCAAAGCATCGAAGATGTAGTTTGCCAGAGCGATAGGTAGAGCTGCATCACCACGAGCTCGGTAATTTCCTTGACTCAGAATTTCAGCTTTTACTCGAAGAATATCAAGTTCAGCGTCTTTCAAGGGTATCTTTTTAAGCAGATTAACTAATTCTTGTTCTTGATGAAATAATTTCACCTCCAAAGCCTTGGTTGAGGCCGGAGGTCGAGCCAACTCAAGTCCAAAGACACCGATTTTAAATGCTAAATGATGATAATTTACATTCTCGGAGAGCACTTGACAAAGGAAAGCGGCCTTTGTCATGGTTGCCGAAGCTAATAAACTGATTTGATGACAAGCTGGATTAAATCGACGTATCTTCTTATTACGAGAAGGAGGATTGGGTAAGTCTAATAATAAATTAGGAGGATTAATTAACATTTCTTCAGCCAGTAGAACCGCAAGGTGACAAGATTCTTGCATAAATCCATGAGCATGTAAAGCCTCTGTTCGAGCTAATAAAATCTCCAATGGATCAGTCATAGATTTAATTGTTACTCTAATTTGTTCCTCGCCTAATGTTATAATTGAAGTTGATTCTGAAATTGGTTTACTATTAGTTGAGGTTGATGATGTTTCTTTACCAGTGGTTGATGTCAATTGTGGTTGTGAATTGTTTACTGATGGTGTTGATGTTGATGAAATTGATTGTGAATCTGATGGTGTCGTTTGTTGTGATGGTAATGAAGGGGATGATTGTTCACATTTTGTCGGGGTTGAAGATGATGAGGGTGGAGGTGAAGTTGATGGTTGTGTAGCTGAGGTTGGCTGTGGTCGTCGATTCTCAGAATCATGACCATTTCTTTTTACAAGAGATTCTTTCTTAACATTACAACTATTATTAGAACAATTTTCTGGAAGCCTTGGTTTAGTTTTCTCTTCACTAACCAACTCTCTCCATTTATGAATGTGAGGACATGGACAATACCATGAGCGAACCGGATCTTCAGAGTAAGTAACACCAGGAATTTGATAATCTTCCCAATCAAGAAGACAAGCTTCCATGGCGGGTTTAAAGCCAGGGAAACTTTCAAAGTCTGATTTCTTGTGGAAATTGTTGTTCCCATTATTATTATTTGAATTGGATAGACGAGTTTTCCAAATTGTCTCTAAAGTTGTGATATGCCATTCTCGCAGTTGTTTGTGAAAAAGATCTCGATCATTTGGAGTTAATCCGGGATTAAGACAAGCTAATCTCCAAAGGGATACAATCTCATCGCAAATGCTTGTACACGCATGTTGAGATGCATGAGTATTACTTTGAATGTTGTTACGATTATTATGACCCGAGTATCCTGAATTTAGAGACATCTTGGTTTGAAACCACCAAGCGACTATCTGAGGACGGGTTAAAACCTCTTCGGTTAAAATTTTCAACAAAGGTACAGCATTTCTATCACCTCGCATGAAAAGTTCTAAAACGATTGCCAGTAAATTCCACATTCCTTCAGGTTCTCGAGCTCTTAAAGGTCTAAGCCAACTTGCCCATTCAACGGCTACCGAAGGTAAACTTAATTGAAGATAATTAGGATCACTAAAAACAATCGGCATTGGGGTAGACATTTTAACCAAAATTTTACGAATATTTTCATGTAATTGAGATTCATCTAACCACCAACTTGTTTGATCATTTATTGAAGCACCAGCGGTTGGATCGGGAGCCCCGCTGAACTTGTTAATGTCAGTACTTTGTTTGGAGAGTAAATCATCGAGAAGTCGTTGAGCTGTTGGTAAAATTTGCTGTGGTAATTCACTAATCAAATATTGTGCAAATTTTTGCAATTCATCGCGTTCAAGTCTAGAAAGTGATTCAGAAACAGGAGCTCGAAGGCGAACTTGATTTGGTTGATAAATACGAAATAGACAAACTGCAACTATGTGTGAACACCAAGACGCTGAACTGGAACAAGTACAATTACAAGTTGTAATTCTACGACGATCAAAAGTGACCGCAACATTATAAGATCCTTTGTGTGAACTTGGCATTTGACCTTGAATAATGGTAGCACTTAAATGGAAACCAATTTGTAGAAGTTCTCGAACACATCCTTGTTTAACCAAAGTTTCCCCTTTCATAAATTCAAGATCACTACTGTTTGCAAGACAAGAGTAAAGACGAATATCTTCCTCTGATTCGGGAAAAGACCAAAAAGCAATTCGTAATTGTAATTCAGCTGGTATGGGTGGATAAAAATGTTCCACAATCTCAAAGGGAATATGACATGCAACCTCTTTAGCAGCAATTTCAACCAAGGGTAACACCGATTGTTTAGCTAATTCACCCGAAGTTTTTGGATGTGGAGGCCAAACAGGTAAGCTGGTATCTCTCTTCCAGCCCCTCCAATGGTTTGTTGATGCTGGATCATGATCACTGGCTGAGCAGATGGATTCATCCTCAAACCTTTCAGAATCTTCAAAGGAATCATCTTCTTCTAGCATCTCCAACAAACCAGGAGTCAATGATAAAGAATAAATTATTAAATACTATTAGAAAATATCAACACTAATTAAACTAATCAACACAAAATAGACGAAAAAAACAATCACAATGAGGATGAAAAAATTGATGAAAAAGAAACAAAATTTTCCCAATGAGAGAATTTGTTTCAATAAAGAAGCGAAAGCGAAAACGAAAATTGATATTCGGTCAGCGGATCCGATTCGCTTTTCATTTTCTCTTTCTTTCATTCCCCTCTCTTCAATTTATTCTCTTTCTCTTTCTCTTTTTGTTTCTGTCTTTTCTCTTTCTTTTATCTTCATCTTCTTCTCTTTTTTCTCTCTCTTCATCTTTCTTCTTCTTCTCCCTCCCTTCTTAACTTTTCTTTCTCTCGCGTTTCCCATCCCTTCCCTTTTTTTGTTGTCACTCCACTTACAGAGTGAACCTAAAGTTGCCTCTTTAACTCAGGGAAAAAGGGAGAAGCTGCGCTGATAAAATATTCTATTCTAAAGGTAAGTTTATCATCATTTCTACGCATTGTGATTCCTTGTCTTCCCCATAAGAAAATATTCTTATCACCCTGTAGAGTTTGATGTTCATGAGCTGCAGAGTAATTTTAAATACCCAAGTTTCTACTACTACAGGTATTTTAACTTGTGTTTCTCTCTTTCATCTTCTTCTTTTCTCTCTCTCTCTCTCTCTTTCTCTCTTTTTCTCTCTTTCTTTGCTCACTATTTTATCTTTTTGTTTTCATTTAATGGTTTTCATTTCTTAAAGTTTTATATTTTTTTGTTTATTTCTGTCATTTGCCTTGGCCATTAGTTTTTTTGTGATCTTCTGGAAAGAGAAAGTTAATTCACTGGTTACCAATGCCCATGATGACCCGTAGAAACGGGAAACGGCGAAAATATGAGGTCAAACCTTCGCCTTCCTCACCTTTACCTCATGAATCACCTCAACAACTTCAATCACAACCATCAACTTCAGCCAATGAAACCTCAAATTCTTCACCAGGATCAACATCTACTACCATTTCACCGTCAACCACAACATTCCAATCATCAACAACCACTATACCTTCATCATCAATAGCCGATGTTAACAATTTATGTCCACCTTTGTCTTCAAATCAACCAAATCAACCTCAAAGCCAATGTTTGTCGTCCGTACCTCTAGTATCTTCAAATAATAATCAATTAACAAACAAAGATAACACCTCAAGTCAAGGACGAGTTGTAGGCATAGCTTGTAATACTGATGACGATGATGCTCATGAAGAAATAGTCAATCAACCACCACCACCATCATCATCAGCTTCATCTTCATCTACATCGACTTTAACTAACAAAAAAAATGATAGTTCCCCAAGAGTTTCCTTAGATAAGATTGCAAATGAAGTTTGGTTCACTATATTTTCTTACCTTTTGGAGCAAGATTTGTGCCGAGTATCTCAAGTTTGCCTAAGATTTCATACCATTGCCAATGATTGTGAGCTATGGAAAAATTTGTACAATAGTGTCTATGAATATGATTTACCTTTATTTCGTAAAGGACCAACCGAATTTGAATTTATATCTCCAGATGATTGTGATGTTGTAAATCCATGGAAGGAAAGTTTCCGTCAATTATATGGAGGTGCTCATGTTAGACCGGGTTATCAAGAATTAGTTGAAAGAAATCCATTTAGATACAAAGGACGAAATGTAGTCTATTTTGATACAATGGAAAAAGCTCTTAATTATTGTGAAGAGACTGAAGGTTTACATGAAGTAGATACATCACTTACTTCACCTTCTGGAACTTGTTCATCTTTACCTTCTAATCACAATCATAATAATTCTGGACAACATTCATCAGCTTCTCCAACAACCGTTAATTCAACCCTAAGGAAGGAAGATATTTCGATCAAAGAAAATTTTAATCCACCAATAATTTTCATCCATTCGGGTACATATAAACCTGAATGTCTTTTCATTGATTCGTCAGTTGCAATGATTGGAGCTGGTTAGTAACTATTGTTTACTTTAGTTTTATTAATTCATTAATTTCCCTAATCATTAATGTTAATATTGTTAATTACCTTCTCTCTCTTTTTTTCATATAAACAAAGCTCCAGGAAATGTTGCTGAAAATGTTATTCTAGAAAAACATTCTGATTCAACGATAACTTACATTGAAGGATCACGTCGAGCTTATCTTGGTTATGTTACTCTCAAGTTCTCACCCGACATAACCTCTTGTGTACCTCATCATAAACATTACTGCCTCGAGATCACCGAACGTTGTTCACCAATAATTGACCATTGTATCATAAGAAGTACCTCTGCCGTTGGAGCGGCAGTTTGTGTTTCTGGACCAGAAGCATCTCCTGTAATTAAACATTGTGACATCTCTGACTGTGAAAATGTTGGTCTTTACATTACTGACCATGCCAAGGGAATTTATGAAGACAATGAGATCAGTCGAAATGCTTTAGCCGGGGTTTGGGTTAAAAATCATGCCAGTCCAATTATGCGTCGAAATCACATCCATCATGGACGTGATGTCGGTGTTTTTACTTTCGATTATGGTCTAGGATATTTTGAAGCAAATGATATTCATAATAATAGAATAGCAGGTTTCGAGGTGAAGGCCGGTGCCAATCCAACTGTGGTCGGATGTGAGATTCATCATGGCCAAACAGGAGGAATATATGTCCATGAGAATGGAGGTGGACAATTTATTGAGAATCGAATTCATTCAAATAATTTTGCTGGTGTTTGGATAACTTCCCATTCTGATCCAACAATTCGCCGTAATGAGATTTATAATGGACATCAGGGTGGAGTTTACATTTTTGGTGAAGGCCGAGGTTTAATTGAGCAAAACAACATTTATGGTAACGCATTAGCCGGTATTCAAATTCGTACCGCAAGTGATCCAATTGTGCGTCACAATAAAATTCACCATGGACAACATGGTGGTATCTATGTTCACGAGAAAGGTCAAGGGTTAATAGAAGAGAATGAAGTTTATGCCAATACATTAGCTGGGGTGTGGATCACCACCGGATCCACGCCTGTATTACGAAAAAATCGTATCCACAGTGGTAAACAGGTGGGCGTTTATTTTTATGACAATGGTCATGGTCGGTTAGAAGAGAACGACATTTTCAATCACCTTTATTCAGGAGTACAAATAAGAACCGGAAGCAATCCAATGATTAAGAAGAATAAAATTTGGGGTGGACAAAATGGAGGTGTTCTAGTTTACAATGGAGGTCTTGGTACCTTAGAACAGAATGAAATTTTTGACAATGCAATGGCCGGAGTTTGGATTAAAACAGATTCTTGTCCAACCCTTCGGCGTAATAAAATATACGATGGTCGGGATGGTGGTGTTTGCATTTTTAATGGAGGAAAAGGTGTCCTCGAAGAGAACGATATTTTCCGTAATGCTCAAGCCGGTGTTCTAATCTCAACACAAAGTCATCCCGTTCTCCGGCGTAATCGTATCTTTGATGGCCTTGCTGCCGGAGTTGAGATAACCAATAATGCCTCAGCTACACTAGAAGAGAATGAAATTTTTAACAATCGTTTTGGTGGCCTTTGTTTGGCCAGCGGAGTAAATCCTCACCTTAAAGGGAACAAAATTTTTGACAACCACAATGCTGTTCAAAAGGCTGTCTCCAATGGTCAGTGTCTTTATAAAATATCAAGCTATACAAGTTTCCCAATGCACGATTTTTACAGGTAAGTGTAAACAATTTAATTATCTTAAATCATCACATTGAACATTTATCGGCCATTTGAAAAAATTTCAACCTTTTGATCATTGAATGATTAATCTTGACAATAAAATTCCAATACAACATCAGGTATCACCTTTCAATTCAATTTCATATCTCATCATATTCTCTCATTTCTTGATGATCAAATGAATGATAAGCATAACATAATCCAAGAATTTCCGTTATAATTGATGAGATGAAAGCTTAATCATCACGAGAAAAGATGAGAAGTAGAAAAAAGAAGATGGAAAGGTGATGTTTAATGGTAGTTGAATTTGGAAAAAGTCAAAGATTGAAATAGAAAAAAAAACCTGAATTGTACAGTTGAAAATCTTAATATAATAGAAAGAGAGGGAACCGAAAATTACTGAATCCGTTAACCCTGTGTTATTCAATGATTGATTCCACTATCATGATTTGCTTGATTCATTTCTTTGACCTCCAATCGCATATCCATTCTTAATCTTCTTCTTTATATATCATCATTTTCTTTGTCGATTCTTTTCTCAGTTTCCCTCTAGAAAACTTAGTTCCCTTTTTTTGTTGGTGTGTGAGTGTGAGGACTTATTGGCTTATGATTATTTTTCTTTTCTTTTTTTTGATAAGATTGAAAAGAATTGATGAGTGAGAGAATAAAGTAAGATGATGATGACGATAGTAATGATGACTTTTATCATTCGTATTGAATCGTATACATAAAAAGATTGAATGAAAATCTTGCTTGTAACGGATGATCGGTGTAGGTTTCACCATTCAGCCAGTTGAAAACGGACTCGCATGGGTAGACTCCCCTTCCAAGGAGAACGGGATAGACCTAGATATCCTTTCGATCTGAGTGAATGGGCTTGATTAACGTCAATACAATTAACAATTCAACCTTTTTGCCAATAGATCGAAGTTTAAATTTTTAATTCCATTCGTTGTTCAACTATAAACTAATACACTTTAAATCCATAAAGGTGTAAACAAGAAACTGAAAAAAATATAAGATAAAATCAAAGTTTCAATCTTCATAATTAACTTCATTTCAGAACATTTTCCCATTACTCATTCGTATCGCATGAACTTTCCTCTCTCTCTCTCTCACACACACAGAATTAATCCAATCTTCAGTGTTAAGTTTATTCTAAGATGATGAAAACAATTTTCGATATATAAATATATTTATAACGTTAGATTGTTAAACTTCATTAGATTTAAGAAATAATTAACTGATTGATTGCACAATTTTATCTCTAAAATTGATTAATAAATGAATATTAATTATAATGCTAAACAGTTACAAATCTCTCAACTATCAATAAGGTGAAGATAATTTATTTCGTTCTGCATTCGCTTAACATTCATTCCCAAACATTACAACAATCAACAGATCACTTTTTTTTCATCACTTAAATCCCGTTAGCTCGTTATGCTTTCATTGTGCTCCTCTTTTTTGTTGTCATTATTTACTTTTACAATTGGCATGAAAAGAAAACAATTCACAGTAACATGTTGATTGTTACCTTACAATTATAATTTCTGTAAATTGTTATTATTTACTTTTCTCAATCTTTACCATTAACCATAGAATTTAATTGCAATTAACTTTTTTTTTCTTCATTCTTTTTATATTTATTAATCACTTTCAAAGTGAGAAGTAAAATTTCATTCATATGTTAATCATCACGAATGTTATTGATCAATTCATCATTTACTTAGCTCATTAAACTTGTTGTTGTTTCTGCCCTACCTATTGTATATCATGACGATAATCCAGTAAAGTTACATGATCTTAAGCCGTTTCTTTTAAACTGTAAACCCTTCTAACCAAAATGATCTATCAAAAAGATAGCGCTTTTTTCATTCAATCCAATGACATGGAACCGAACCACAAATGACTGATCAGATGTTTCAAAGTTTTTTTCATCCATTCATTCATCTAACTTTTTTCTTTTTTTCTTTTCTTCCTTTCTTTTTTTCTGTTGTCATCGTTTTCACCACCTCCCACTCACTAAAGATGTCGGACTTGTAACACATCAGATCGGAACGCTATTTGTGTCAACTGTATAAATACTTGTCACGCGGGACACGATCACGAATACATCAGGCATGATCGGTAAGAGTACAGATGATAATGATGAACGATGTTCAGCCAGCTATACTGCTTCGTTCTCTAAAATTTAACTTCCTCGGTTTATCTCTCATTTCGTAATCCTAATAACTTATTTCGATGCGAAAAATAGATAATAGAAAGAAAAACTAACTGTTACCAACTTTCCCTGGCTCTTTCTTAATTGCGATTGTCACTAATTTTTATCTAACAATTTTTTGATTCTCTTCCAGGTTCTTTTGTGATTGTGGAGCTGGATCGTTGTCTAATCAATGTCATCTACAAGGAGAACCCACTCAAGACACTGATACTCTTTATGATTCTGCTGCTCCCATGGAATCTCATACATTGATGGTTAATTGACACCTCGTATTCTCATAAACTCTATAGTTGATTAATTTTTCTATCTATTTAATCATTCTCATCATTATTCACGTCGTCACCATCTCATCACAATCATCAAAATTATCACATTAACATCAATTACTGCGTTTTTTGAAATCGTCATTAACACACACACTCAGTCACTCACTCTCTCTCTCTCTCTCTCTCTCTCTCAATATAAACACACTTATGAACTTGTGTTCCATCTCATCTCCTCTTACTATCACTCACCCTGATGATGATGATCATCATCATCATCTGCATATTACAATTAATCATCTTTAAATTCACTCTCTCCTAATACATTGCAGCTCCTTTTCATTGAGTAATACTCCCTCTCTCTCTCTATTTTTCTGGTCACCCTTCATCTTTTAATTTAACAACTTTTACTATGTTATATTTACAACTTTGTGTCAAAGACTTTCCCAAGAAAAGTGAAGAAAAACTTTGATCTGCTCGCTTCTTATCATCAATCACTCATCACAATAGACTAATTGAGAAAAAAATCTGCTCACCTGTAATAATAATCATGATTAGTTTCCTTTAAGGATATTTAGCTATCACGCTTCTTGCTAGATTGGTTTTTTATTCTGTTTATTGCTCAAAAGCTAGAAAATAATTAGTTTACTAGATTCATTCAATTATAGTAGCAAAATATAATTGACAGCAAATCTTTGTCAAAATTAATATGATCATCGATTTGTTTAGATTTTTTATCTAATCCTCATAATCAAGTTTATCCACAAGAAAATTTTGTCCACTCTTTTTATTGCTCTCTCCCTCCCTCACTCCCTTAGCTCCTCTTTCTTAAGCTTTTCCTAAGCTCAATCATCCAAATTGTGTGTTGTGTGTTATAAGTAATACGAGATGGATGATGATCATGATGGAGTCTTTTTCAAACCAAATTCATCAGTAACATCAAGAGGAAAGCAAAAGCTAATCAGCTAATATGAACATACCCTGTAAGAATTGGATGATATCACTTTTTTTTTCTCTTGCTACAACTGAATTCAAAATGGAACCTGGATAATCAAGCAACCAAGCCAGTACTTAGTCCAATATATCTAAATGAAATTGAAACATTTTCATTCACCAATAATCACTGATTACCTTCAATTATAACGTTTTAAAGATTGAAAAAAAAGAGTTAACAACTACGGATGCTTGACTAATTTCGCATTAATTTTGATCCTGTTATATTTGATTCTTTCACAACCAACAATTTACTTATCACTTTCATCGTTAAAAACATGAAAACATCTAATATAGAGACAGAATGAACATTTTCTCTACATGGAATAATAATAACAGAATTATTATTCCAGGGCGATTCCTGCAATAACTATGAAGAATTTGTGATTTATCGATGATTTTAAATTATCATCAGAATTCAATTTTCTTCTGAAGAACTTGAAAAATATCTCTTCACTCTTCCTGAACTATTCAAATTATTCTGTCATATTATCTAAACTCTAATTCCAAACCTAAAGTGCGTTCTATCAATACTTTTAAATTAATTGCAAATTAATTCTCTTCCCATGAAAATCATACTCAGTATAATCTCCAATTCAAATGTTGAACTTTACATGATATTAATTGTAAACGTTTCATCAATTGAACTTTTTTTTTCTATGCTACAATCAATCAACCAATTGAATTTCATCGCTAAATAGTTTCAACTGATTAAATAGGTGGACAAATTAGTTTGAAAATCATTGATTGTTTGATTTAAAGCACTTAAATCAGAAAACCAGAACTTTCTGCTCTTTCAAATTGTAAATGTATTGATAATAGTAATCAAATAACCCTCATTGCTACCGATAATCATCTTAATCATAATCATCATTCTGCAGATGCTTTTCTGTTAATTAACTTAGTGATACATAATGAAAGAAACTAATCAACGTAAATGGATCAAGCTGAATCATCAAGAAGCAACTTCAATTCGATAACATCATTTGTCGATGTTTTTATTTCAATGGAAACAACAATTGGATTAAATTACAATCAATAGATTGATAACTAACTCTTTTCACATGATTTGGAATTGGAAGACTTGAATCATCACAATTTTCTAATGCAACTTAAAAGACATTCAAAAAACTTTTTTCTATCATCAGTTGAATAACATTTCGTATTGATGAAAATTTGAATCAATTTTCAATTCTCTATACTCACCTCACCACCTACGCCAACAACAATTTAATCAACATCTTCCTGAAATTGATACGGATTTTGGTGCAATTATTATTTTTGTGACTTCTTTGATTACTATTTTTTTTCCTCCTCATCTCAGTGCAAATTACGATAATTAATCTTTATCCTCATTAATGGAAGCAAACAAAATTCACAGGAAACAAAGGAAGAATCTTAAAGAAAAGGATTGAGCAGAATCAACATTTGAAAAATAACTTCCATGATTTCCTCATGATCTGAACTAATCTGAACAAAATAGTTCATAGATTCTGACTCTTGCAAAGCTTTACTGGAAAATACACCAATGGCAACTAGAACCCACTCGATTACTCCACACAAATAGATGCATATTAATACCATGAAGAGAGGAGATAGAAGACAAAAAAAAAGCTTTAACAATCAAACCCATAGGAATTGAATTCGAAATGAATTTTTTTTCAATCATTCTTTTTAGATCTTGGAATCTTAAAGAAAAATCGGTGAAGGATAACACTAAATACGTGCCAATATGTTGAAACACTTTAATCTCAATTTCCTCCGATCTCTTGTTCGCTCTCCTTTTCCTTTTCCTTTTCCTCTTCATAGTAATTCATCTTCATCTTGAATAATTAATTCTCTCTCCCTCTCTCTTTCTACATTTATCATCAGCAATTAACTTTTTTCGCTCTTTTGTCAATATTTTGTTTTCTCTCCTTCTCATCATCATCCCACTACTAAGAAAGTAACACCATTTTTAAATTAATCTTCCAAATCTCTTCCAATTAACCTCAATATCTTTACATATGCAGCCTCTGCCTCCATCATTCAATTAATTGAAATGTAATAATATGAAAATACACCAATCATTGTATCATGATTGTAATTGAACAATAACAATCATATCAAATCATGTAAGGTGATCCCAAGACAATATACAGAAACATTGAAAATAAAACCTTTTTTAATTCAAATTTGGTATCACTTCAAACAGTTTAATTGTAAATTAAACTATCATTCAGATTGCGATAAATTTAGCTACTTGAAACTTGTGGAAAATTGTTCAGATTTAATTGTTTCATTGTTGATTCTATGAAAATTTACATGGTTAATATCAATAGTCTACAACAATTAAGTTTAATAAATATTCAATTTTCAAGTAAAATCAATTTACTTGGATGATTGATAAAAGGCAATTAAGTTAATTGTAATGTGATTATAGTTGGTTATTATTTTTTTTTTACTTTGATTGTAATCACTTGTATATTTTACCTTGGATCATGTTTCAATCAATACATAACCAATTAGTTGAGTGATTAAGTAATTAAATACATATGATACATTAGTCTTTACAAACAATTTAGATTAGCAGTTTGAGTGAACTTAAATTAACTCTGATAAGTAGCTTGATTGTTACAATTATGTGAGAATGAGTAAATTGTTAGTATTTAAATGAATATACAAAAAAATAGGATTAAATTAAAAATGATGAGGATGATTAAAGTGATTTAATGATTAAGGAGTCAATGGTAGACCAGCGATGTAGGCTGAGAAAGCGTCGTTATTGTCAAGGCCACTGTAATGTCCAATATTTGAGCTGAAAACAACGGGTTCAAGTCCAGAATTGGAGCCGAAGTCATTGAGATCACCTGATCCAACATGGGAACCGATTCGACTGACAAATTCAAGGGAACCTTCGGGATGTGATCTCATCAGAAAGTCGGATCCATCTTTCTTGTGGAAGGGAAGTGGAAAAGTGTAACCTTCATCTCCGGAACCACCGTCATCAGAATTTGATCCAAGAAAAGATCCACCCTCGTAATCACCAGCACCGAATCCACTTGGTCCATCGGGCTTACGATTTTCACTTTCATCGTATCGGGGGTTATACATTCCACTTTGATATTCATCGGAAGATGATCCATCTGATGATCGACCTTCATCAGAATTTCCAGAATAGAATGAACTTTGAGGTGGACTATCCGAACCCGATTCATCTCGATACTCGGATGTTTTCTCATCACCTTTAGGTGCATACTTAGCAAATAGATCAGCAAATCGAGATGAAAGGGGAGATTGACCTTGTAAAGGTCGAATAGCAGGAGTATTGGACATTACGAAAGGAACTCGAGAAAAGTAATTATTTGTCTCGGCAGCGGCATAAGGAGAGAATCGTTGATCGTAATAAATTTTAACATTTCCATCCTAAATTTCAACAGAACAATAAACAAAAAACAAAAACAAACAATTAGAATCAAATAAAAGAAACCAAATTACCAAATCAAATTAAACGAATTACGATAAATCAAATCAAACGAAAAAAATTTAATTCGAAAATTAAATAAACAGTTAAAACTCTTCTCATTTAAAAGACAAATGTATTCACCATTTCATCACAAAACACACCGAAAACTAGACGTTCACTTGACAGAGTTTCTAACACTCGTCAACTCGAACCGTGTCCCCGTGAAGACCCAAAGTCCGAAAAAAAACTCTGCCCTCTCGGTTAGGGTCATCCCTTTTTTAGTTGGTTTTCTCTCCGACAGATGTCGCTCTTTCTGGAACAAAAAGTCGCCGTTTTTTTCTTGTTGTTAGAAACTAGTTGTTGCTTTTTAAACGTTGAATTTTTGTTCATCATTTATTATCCTTTGAAAATGTTGTAACTGTTAATTTGTTTGTATTCCTTTCAATCAGTTAAATTAATTGTTCTCTAACCCTTTTCTTCATTAATTGTCTTGTTTAATTATATTTAATGGGTTCCGTTGTTGGTAAAGGAGGTTCCCTATTGGATATACTTTCACCTTTCCACCAGATTCATATTGTTATGTTAGGCCTTGACTCAGCTGGTAAAACAACAGCACTTTATAGGCTTAAATTTGATCAATATTTAAACACTGTGCCCACCATTGGATTTAATTGTGAGAAAATAAAAGGTATGCAGTTTAAATTTAATTATTCTCAATGTTCTCCATCTTGTTCTTTGGTTATTTCATCTTTCTTTCGAAGATTTCTATTTATGTTATCCTATTTACTTCTCTCTCTCTCTCTCTCTCACCCACTCAATATCTTTTCAGAATTTGTTTCTTGTCTTTTTTATTTTCTATTCTCTTTGAGTATCTTTTGTTTTCGTATTTTACCTTACTAGTATTTTCTTTATTATTTTTTTTCTTTCCCTTAAGTGTGTATTTATGATTATCTTAGTTGATTTTATTCTCATCTGCTGAGTCGATTGATTTGATTATCACTTGTATATGAAAATGTAATCAATTCTAATCATTTTGTTTTTCTCTTCTTTCTGTTTGTATGTTTTTCCTTTTCTGTCTACAGGACAAACGGGTAAAGTAAAAGGGACTAGTTTTGTTTTTTGGGACATTGGAGGGCAAGATAAATTACGTCCACTTTGGAGGTCATATACAAGATGTACTGATGGTATTGTTTTTGTTGTTGATTCGGTTGACGATGAGCGTATGGAGGAGGCAAAAATGGAACTATTAAGAACCGCTAAAACTCCTGAGAATTCTAGTGTTCCTATTTTAATATTAGCCAATAAGCAAGATTTACCTGGTGCTAAGGATCCTAAAGAAATTGCCAGTTTATTGGGCCTTGATAGTCTTAACCCAGGTCAACTTTGGCATGTTCAACCTGCTTGTGCAGTAATAGGTGAAGGGCTAAGTGATGGACTTGAGACACTTTATGAGATGATCTTAAAGAGTCGCCGAATTGCCAAACAATCTAAAAGAAAAAGATGATCTTGTTCCCTCATAAATTACTCGAGACAAACACATCCAATGCATTTAAAAAAAAAAGTACCAAAGCAAACATTCCACCAATGGAAAACCAAAAGAAAACTATAACAACCCAACAACTAGAACAGCAAAACAATAAACCTTAAAGAACATCGTTAGCCCAATCAACATTTGTACTAAAACCAAAATCAAGCAAAAGGAAAGGAGTCAAATTTCACGATGAATTGGCAACTTTAAAAACCCACTGGGTGGAAATTTAAACAATATTGGATTAAATTATTTATGGGCAACTAATATAACCACACACATTGAGAACGAGGAAGTGGAAAAATCGATTTGAACCTCATCTTTTTTTTTTGCTGAAACAACAACCAATTGAAAAAGCACAAGAAAAGAAAAGCAATCATAAAGAAAAAGAAAATAAGTCTTCTTCTTTGTATACTAAACAGAGAGAAAATTATTTAAGATGTAATTAGATGCGTAAATTAATATTATCACTCTATATATATATATATTATGGATTGGATTTCAATTTCAATCGAAGTATAAAAAGAAATCATTTTTGATATAATTTGTATGATTGTCGAGAAAAAGAAACTGAGATAGAGATGAGTGAACAAACTATATAATTAATTTCTTGATTACTTGTAAACTGTTAACTCTCTTGGTTATATCTCTGTGATTAACAATAACAATCAGAATTTAAACTGATTGTTATTGTTAGTGTGTTAATTAAAATACTACTAATAATAAAACGAGTTAAATATTTATTTTGTAACCAAAAGTAAAAGAGAAAGAAAAAAAAACTTCGTCAATTGATTTAATTTTCAAATCGAAAACATGAAAACACTTTGACTAACCTTTGAATCGTGTGGGGAATCAGCGTAATTTGGTTGTTGATCTTGTTTGGGTTCTGGGTGGTGATTGTTTGTCAGAGAATAAGAGAATCCGTTTGACCGGTGGTCAAAGTCAAGTCGAGTTCGTCCATCGGCACCGAATTTCTGTGAATAAGAAGGAGCCAAAGTTCCTAAACCGATTGAGAATCTCGGTTCATCACTAGAATATTCTGAGTGAGAAGGTTTTCTCGGTGATGGAGGTGATGATGAGGGAGATGATGATTTACCACGAAATTCTGATCGAGGTGATGATTGACGTGAATGTTGATTGTGGTGGGAAGGTGAAGAAGAGGATCGTTGATGGTGAGAATGATGAGGTGAATGGTCACTCGCCATTGCGATTAATTCAATATTATCAGGAGCAGCATAGAAATTAGAAAATCTTTCCTTTTCTCCAGCGGTCAATTTACTCAAATTAATTAAGATCAATAGTCCAATTAGAGAGGAGAACACACTTATTCCATTGGAAAACATGTTTTATTACTTTTCGAATGGTCAACTTTTTTTCTTCTCTTCGAAAACCACCAATTAATCAATCACTGTCCAGTCTAAAGATGAAAAGTGGATATAAAATGAAATTATAAATAAACGATGATAATCAATTAACTTTTTAGCGATCAAAGTAAATTAAACAATCTAACTAATGGTGAGCGATTATATTTCGTTAATGAGAGACGATGATCAACTGTTGATTGGAATTGTAGACATTTGATTATTTATAAATGATCAGAAAATGATGAGGGAGATTGGGAGAAAGTGTTGGTGGACAATTTGTTGTCAATTAATTAGTGAAAAAATTAGTAGGAGGGATTGACCAAAACTAAAGGCGGGTAAATGATTGAGAGAGTGAGAGGGTTTCACTTGGAGATGAGTTTTTTTAAACATCAAAGAAATTAATTAACTATTGATGTTGTGGGGAGAAATTTAACTTTTTCATCAATTACCATTAATCTTATTAGGGATTAGGATGAATCAGTTAGGAGGGATTTAAAAGTCGAAATGTTTGATTTGATTAAACAAAAGAAGGAAAAACAAAAGGATAGAAAAAGATTGTCACTTTAAGTTAATTGTTACCTTTTCTTAAACCACTTCCTTCTTGTTATTCCAAATTACTGATGAAGGTTGAATGTTAATTAAAGAGAAAGAAAAAGTTGATTAGACCTTTGATTGCTGGTGATTGGATTAGATGATCCGAAATTAAGGTGAAAACTTGTCAACATTGATGCAAATGTTGTGGTGGAAAAAAAAACATTTTCCCTCTCTCACAATCTTCATCATGTTGATCTGTTACAATTTAACTGAAAATTTGTCCAGGTAAAAAGAAGATTGTTTTGTTTACTGTCAAATAAGGTAATTGACAACAAGCAGAAGAAGAAGAAAAAAAAAATTAAATCACCAATTGATTTAATTGAGAAAAGAAAAAATAATTTTCTCAATCACCATGTTGATGCCAAGACACACAACCAACATCGACTTGATTGCCAGGAAGTTGTTACTCTTTACTTTTTTTTCGCTTTCTTGTTAACATTTTTTTCTCCTCAATCAATTGACCAATTTTGTGACTAATTGTTAGAATTAAAAAATCAAATGACAAACAATTAAAATATTAAACAAAGAAACAAGAAACTCAATAAGTAACAATTCATTTTGTCAAGTTAATCAAAATAATCCAACAGGAGGGTAAACCCTTTTTTCCCCTGTGAGAAAAGCGGTAGATTTGAATTTTAATTAATTCCAATTCGATTATTTCAATTTAATTAATTAATTTCTTTTTCGTATCAGTTATTATTTTTTTTTTCTTCTTCATTAGTATAAATTGTAAAGTAATTGATATTCATTTGTGAATAATTGAAAGATTGTAGATTTTTAATGGTAAAAAACGCTGAGAAAATAATTTAAACTTCTCACTAAATAATTGATTGTTCTGATTGATGTTTCTAATCAATTTGATTGTTAATTCTTAATTTTGTTTCAATTTTTTTTTATCTCTATCTACTTCTGGTTAATTGTAAATTTATGTTAAGCATTAACGAATCACTAAATTGATCTAAATTGCTTCTGTTTGTGTGATTAAACTGATTGAAATTAGAGAGTAAAAAATTAGTTAATCCGAAAACAGAAAATGTAATCACTTTTTTACATCGTTTTCACTTGAAAATTTAGATGATTTGAGACAATTAACAATTAAATTAACTGATGATAATCTTCCTGATTTAGCTGTGAGTATTTTTTTCATTTGATTCGGAAAATTAAACTCGAAAATAAACAAATTGTCAACAATCAATTGATTATTTGGCTGGAAAAAGGGAAACAATTTTTTCACTTCCATTAATTTGAATTATGATTATTAATTGTTACTCGTCAAGTTAATTAATCTCCCCAATTATTTAAAATAAAAAATAGTATTTATTGTCCTAATCATTAATCACAATCAGAATTGCAAGACGAGTAAATTGTTGACAATTAAAGTTTCAGAAAAAAAAGTTAAACAATATAAATGATAAATTTTTTTCCATAACAATCCAGTTAATTTGATTATCGGTAAAATATAATTGAAAACAATTTGGACAATTTAAACGGGTTCATTTAATAGTAAATGTTTAATCACGTTAATTTTTTAATCCAATTAGTTAATTCAATTGACTAACAATCAATGACAATCATTTTGATTGTTGTTGTCACTTTGATTGTATTAATTGGAAAAAGTTTTTCCAAAATGACTTTTTTTTTGTATTCACAATCAGTAAAGTGAACTTGATTTAATTGTAATCAAATCGTAATTGTAAATCTAAATCTATGGATTATCAAGTTGATTAACTTGTTAATCTATTATATTGAAAACGATTAATCAATTAATTGCTAAATAATAATACGAAATAATAATATCAGTTAATTCAATTTGTAAATGTAAACAAATGTTACACTTAGATTGAGATAAATTGTGACAATTAAAAAGCACAAGGTTAATACAATTAAAAAGATAGTAAAGTGATAAAATATGATTACAATCAAATTACTACAAAGATGATAAGTAAATTGTCAACAATCAACAATGAAACAAGATGTAAGACAATTTCGTTGATCAATTAGTACAAAAATCTAACAAAGAGTAAGATGATGAGTTCGATAAAGATGAAGATGAAGATGATGATGATGCAGAATGAAAAAAATAGACAGAGAAGAAAAGAAAGAGAAAAGGAGAGAGAAGAAAAAATAGAAAGAGGATTCTGGTCATTTTCGTGAATGAACAAATGCTCAGTTCACTCGAAGCTTTGATATAACTGCTCAGATTCATTTCCACGAATAAACCTCCAAGTGATCTAATCAATTTTCTGGAATAATTTATTAATCATCCATTAAAAATAATCAGTGAAATCATATCAATAGAATCAATTATAGAAAAATACTAAATTGTGAAATCAACAATCAAAAATCAAATCAACAATCTAATCAACAATTAAATCAAAGACGAAGCTCAATTTGCCTTAACCTCATTTGTTTACCTTTCAGATAAAACAAAAAGTGTGTGATCCTTTTATTGGTTATTAAAAGAAACCATTTACATAATCAAATATTATTATTGTTGTTGGTTTAATCTAAATTGTTACAATTTACAAGCATCATATTAATCATTGAGATTGATAATTGGTAACAATTAAAAAGGTGATCACAATTACAAACAATGAAAAATGGGTGAAAGTAGGAACAATTTTAAGATTATGCTTTTCATACGAAGTGCCAATGATAATGATATTTTCTTTAAGGTAAGAGTTAATTGTGTTGTCGATTAATTGTTAATTTATCTTTTAATTGTTTATCTGTTTTCCATGTGATCACTTGATTACTCTTGATATCTTTATGTCTGGATTATGAAGATAATTAGTTGATTGTTTTGTTTTGTGTATTTCCTTGTTTACAGAGAGATGGAAGACGATTTGAGTCGGAAAATACAATTAAATTGTTGGTGGAAGCTAATTACAACTTTACGATAACAATTAAACCTTCATTACCTTTACAGTAAGTGATACAATCATCACAATTAACTTTATCATAATTAATTATCATTTTAATTGTAAATTTCAACTCCAAAAATAATCATTACTTCATTTGTAATTGTACCTTTTACTTTTTTTTTATTTTACTTTCATTATTAATTGTTCAACAATTTAAACTAATTTAGTTTCATTTGTTTAAACTTATATAGATTTAGTTGTTTATTAGAATTGGAAATTAGTAAGTTACAATTAGTTCATGGTGATAATTGTTATCCAATAATTAGTGGTTATTATTATTCACTCCCAGGGATTAGGAATCAATAACAATTGATTTTCATATTTAATGATTCAGATTAAATTGTCACAATTTGTACAATTGATTATTTTAAGATTGAATATTTGATTGATCAACATAAAAAAGTTGATTAACTATTTGATTCTTGATTAAATCGTTGGTGTGACAATTAAATTCAATTGAGAGTCTCAAGTAAACAAAACTGATTTTGTTATAACGCCTGATCATTAAATTGAGTTGTTCATTAGTTAATTGCTTATAATTAGCACAATTAGAAGGTTGATTAAGGGAATTTGCGTTGGAATTAAGTTTTAATTAAGGTTATCACGAATCGAAACGGTTTTCTCATTGAAAAGTCAATAGTTGTCACGATAATATTTTCATTCAATGATAATTAACTGAGCTGATTGTTGATTGTTAATTGTTTAATTTAATCAAATTGTTCAACAGGAGCGTCTCTGTTTCTGGTGTCGGTGTTTCCGTGACTGATTTATCTCAACAGGAAACTGAAGGTTCCAAATATACATTTTCTTGGGGTTCGATTAAGGTCAATCCGAACAAGAAAAAAGATCGAACTACCGTTCAATTGTTATTCCAATTCCAAGATGGCCTGACTTTGGTTCTACCGCTTCAGGTCAAATTTTACCGACCCGAAGAGACTGACCATCTAATCTGGGGAAGTCCATTAAATCACATTGAATATAATTGTATCGTTAAACCAGGACAGACTTATGTTGATATAGTTAAGGAAATTTTCAGATGATTAGTAAATCATTTGGCGATTTTTAATCAAAAACTTTATTGGATCAATGGTCAAATCCTCTGGTCAAGCAAAGTAAACGAGGCAAAAAAAAGTACGAAACAATCACAATTAACTAATCATAATCATTATCATAATCTTTGGAAACCATAATCATACGAAACTGTTAATTATTATTAAGCCAAATCATTACAATCTAATTATAATTGAACAACAATTCTAGTCACCAATTGAAATACATTCCTGGATAATTTTGATTGTGACATTTGATTAACTTTAATTGTTTGCATCAAATTATCAATCAAATGTTTTTATTTATTTGCTGTTTTTACTAATAATTAATTGACCAAATCAATCAATCAACTACCTCATAATGATGTTGATAATATTGGGTAACAATTAATCAATAATAATGATGATAATTAAGATATTAATATATATAAATATGAAAGGATTTAAGTGTGTTGATTAAAACTCGTTGTTAATTGTTAGAGTTGATTAGAGTTATAAAAACTATAATGGTTAATTGTTGGATAGAAAAACAAAAAGATATTGATTGTTATATGAATAAACTAAATTATATCTCATTATTAATTGTTATTAGTGTTACAATATCACAATTCTGTAATTATGTTCAAATTTGATTCTCATGAATCAAAAGATTCGGGTACATGGTAATGTTATTAAACCCTCTCAACGAATCACAATCAAAATTGATTCGATTCATATATTAATAATTAAATTGTTCTCTTTTCTTTTAAATTTAATTTCTTGTTAATTGATTAAAATAATAAAATTAGTTGACAATTACAATGTTTACTTACTTTGTGATTGTTTAAATTGTTAAAAAATGATAAATATATGTTAATATGTACAGAGTATGATTCACAATTAAAAATGGTTTACAATCAATTTGAACCAATTAAGATTATTGTTTAAAATTTGTTACAATCAACACAATTTAAAAGGTAGGTGTTTGTTTGCCATAAATGGATTAACCTTGACATTAATTTTCAAGTATTCGTGACAATTAGATAATTAGATGAAGTAATTTAACATTTAGAAAATGATTAACAATCAACTAATCATCATCTTAACGGATAATCGTCCCAACTGATAACTTTGGGTCTAATCTTGAGTGGAGTTTGTTTCATAGACTCGATGGTTCTAAATTTTCTTGATGATCCAGAGCTTGATCGTCGATTTTTCAACTTGGACTTGTTCTTGTGGCCTAAATTGTCTTTTTCTTTTTTTAGTATGTGCCCTTTGGCGGGTTTAGATGAGGTCAGAACTCGAAGAAAGTCAAAAAACCATTTGAATATCATAGGTGATGAGGTGAGAATACTAAATCCGAACCAAGTACCAAGAATGGAGCCAATGTAGATTATGTATTCGAATAGCGGCAATTTGGGCTGACAAGTATTGGATATGTCGGGCTCGGTGGGCATGGAGAGACAAAGGATAGAGTATGAGGAATCGATTCGAGCCACTTTCTGGATCCTCGGGACAAAATATTTCTGCTTACAATCGGGTGCCCAGTGAAGTTTACTACAATTATCGTAGATCTCATTGATAACCTTTCGTCGTCGGGGATCACCATAGTTAAGGTAATAATCGGAAATAGCAAGTCTCGCATTGGAATCAGCCGATACAACGTCAGAGTAAAAGCTGCACCCGAAGCGCTCAAGGGATGCGTTGTTGCGACAAGCCTCAAGTGCGTGAGCCTGAGACTTGAAACCTTCCACAGTGTAATCTTTGCATTGGGTCGTATATGGTGGGGGCAGTAGATTCGCTTCGAACCCTTTATATTCAATGTAAAATTTATGAGCATTTTCCTCGGTCACTATGGTCACTGAGGACATTTGGGTGCCATAAGGAAGTGTCCCTGCGGGGTGGAGATAAACATAATACTCTTCGGTTGCGATAAACAGTTCATGTTTGAAGTAGATCGCGATTACAGTTCCAAGATATTGGGTCAATTCAAGATCTTTTTGTTGTAAATGTCGAGCCTCTAGAACGGGGCAACTGACCGTCATGCAAACATAAGGCTCTTTAACTGAAGTTGTGACCACACAATCATTTACCTCGTCCAGTTTAACGTTCTCAACCAGGTCCATTTGTCGGATTGTCGGGATTATCTTGTCAATCAGAAGGTCAGTTTCATGCATGATCTCCATCATCTGAGAAATGGTCAAGTGGGAAAACTCAATGGTCATAAAGGTAATTGCATCAGCAGAAAATTTCCATTCATTGAAATTACTTTGATTCGTAACCGAGGGAAACTTTCCCTTTAAACGGGAAAATATTTTCGGTGCTCGAGTCTTCAAATTCTGGTAAGAGACAAAGTTGTAAAAGTAAAGACAAATGGACAGATCAGGAATTCGAACCACCTCCGAAAATTGGATTCTTATATCGGTGATCACTTGTTTCTCAAGGTAAACGGCGGTCACCAAAATGGTCTGATAAATACATCCAATGGTAGCGGTGATTAAGATGATTAAGTCCAAAATTTGGTACCAACGCTGAATTTTCTTGATTTGTTTCTGTTGTTCTTGCTAAAAGTAAATCGGAAGAAAATTAATCGGATAAGTTTCAATTAGACAATTAGATTTGATTGTTTTCTTACCAATTTTTGTGCAGTTTTCGGTGAAATTGATGATGAAATTGGCTCAATTGTCCTCACTGAATCTTGCCAATTTGATCTCATGATAACATAATTAGTAAATCACTGATCAAATTTGATTAACTTTTCTCTCACACCAGAAAATCAAACAGCTAAATCACTGAACATTGAAATGTTGTTACTTTTTCTTCCTGATTAACATAATCAATTTTACTAATGTGATTTATATGATTTGATTAACTACATTGTAACCATAGATAATAACTCAATCAATGATTTTTCTGTATTGGTGACATGAGAGTATCGACAAAAATCAAATCAATAAACAAGAATGAAACAATCAATCAAAATTCTATTCGTAAATCACCAGCAAAAACAATATTCGTTTTATCGTAATTCAGAGTAATAAGAATTTCATATTTTCCTAAGTTTAGAAGAGTAAAAGATTCGATCGAACTCCCGCCGATCGCTCATCAGAATTTTCCGAGGCCGGATTTTCCGAACATGATTCATTCTCACCATAAGTTGATGTAACTTCATTACTGAGCAGATCACCTTGATAACGAAAAAGAAAACAATTAATTCCAACTAAAATCAACTAATTGCAATAAACATAATCTTAAGTAGAAAATCAAAAATCAAAAAACAAAACTCAATCACTATTAATTTCAATGTACCTTTGATGAAATTAATCATTCAGGATGATTAAATCCCGTTTACTAATCATTAGGCAGTAATACTAATTAGTAATATAACTTGAACACCTTAATGACAGGATGAGATTCACAATTAGCTAATTTAAGCCTTGATTTTTTTACTTCGATCAAGATGAGGATTAAATGCCAATAGAATTGAATAAATAGATTGACAAGGACAATTAAGAGCTGGTTCCATTAATAGTGATGAAAAAAGAGTCAATAGTGTTAATTTGTTTGAGAAATTTAGATTGAATCAATTGTGTTATTTACTCAATTAATTGCTGTAAAATGAGTAGCGATCACAAATAGTCAGTTAACAATAATAACAATCTAATTGTGATGATTGTTTTTATTTGTATACAAAAACAAATTAAGGAAATGTGAGAGAAATTATAATTGTTCAAATACATATTATAACAAAAACAATTAACTCGAAGTTTAAATTGTTAATAAGGAAACACAAACGGTAATGTTACTAATGTTCAATATTGATAAACAATTAACGAAGCCACAAATTCACATAAACAATTGTATTCTCATAAAAATAAACTATCAACAATTTAGACAATTAACAATTAACGATTAACGATTTCCCCTCTTCTTTGAGACTTGACGATTATTGTTGATGATCATCCATTCACAGGTAATTAAAGGTAAGTATATAAAACGAAACCATTGTCGTCAATTTAAATCATTTGTCTTATTAATGAATTAAAGTAACAATCAAATGAATAGAGAAAAAATTTTGTTCCAAGAAAAAAAAAACTCGAAAAATTATCAATGGTGCTTCTTATTATACAATCAATCTGTTCATCGGATTAACTGATTAAATGAGATATTTTATCTTAATCACAATTAGATTGATTCAACTGTTCGTGGTTTCATGCGATTGTGGTAAGTCCATTTTCTTTACTAAATTTATTGATTTAAACGGGAAAATTTTCCATTCGAGTTGCTGGTGTTTCTTTTTTTTCTATGTGGTGATTGTTTCGAGAATCGATATTGAGATTCACGAATATTGAATATCTTTTCCTCTTTCAGAATGTGGCATAGAAGCCGGTGCTCAGAGTCGCATATTCATGGGGAAAGAGACGACACCCAATAAGTACCCGTGGATGGCTCATATAAGGTACATAATATGTTAGCATGAATACGAATTTTGGTCAATTAATTTTCTTTTCGTTCTTTATTCATAGAATCAGATTGAATCTACAAAGTGATATGTATGTTAGATGTGGTGGAAGTTTAATTGACAATCAACATGTGATGACAGCGGCTCATTGTATCTTCGATGAGTTCGGAATCCTAAGGACATATGAATCAACCGAAGTGTACCTTGGATCTCATGCTATATCCAAAGATTTGCAAAATAAATATAATGTTTCTAATTTTTTTTACGATAAACGTTTTGATATCACACAGCGAAAACTTAATTTCGACTTTGCTTTACTCAAATTAAGTGAACCTGTTAAATTTACCGGAGATATTTATCCAATTTGTATTCCTGATTCAAATATCAAAAAGTATAAGAGCTTAATTGTTGCTGGTTGGGGTAAATTGTCCGAGATTGAGGGTACGCCAGATAAACTTAATGAAGTTGAAGTGGATTATATTGATAGTAAGTATCTTAACTTGACACACACTTAATGCGATTCATCAATTGATTAAAATCATCTTTCCATCATTATCTTTAGGGGAAAAATGTAATAAAATGAATTACGATTTTGTCTTGAAAGTTCGAGGTATCGTCGAGTCTTATCCAGGCCAATATACCAGTTTGATTTCGCCGATTCATGAGAGCCATTTGTGCGCCATAAACACCAAAACTGGTGGCAGTTCTTGTATAGGTGACTCGGGTGGACCTTTGATGTACAAAAGCTCAAAAAATCATCGTTGGTACGCTGTGGGTCTCGTTTCGGGAGGTTACAGTGTTTGTGGTAACATAAATATACCAACACTTTACACCATCGTTGCCAAATACAAGAAATTCATTAAAAACTATGCAACCGGAAGTCAAATTTGCCGTTTATAAATCACCACAATTAAGAAAATCAATCATCAAATTGATTTTATTTCTAATCATCTTCATCACTTTATCCCCGTTTCTAAGTCAAAACATTCAACCTCATTCGGAAACTTATCGCTAATTGTTACTTTTTTTACTAATTATAAAAACGAAAACAATTGCTAATAATTTCATGTTAATTAACAAACGTAACCAAATTTTAAACTATTATATAACAGATTTATAATATAAGATTCAAGTTAATCCTCACAATTAAACATTAATCTGATTGTTAACAATTAAATTGCTCATTCATTTAGCTCAAGTGTTAACCACTTAAGTATTGATTACAATTTAAATGAAATCTCAAGTTAAATCTCAACAATGAGTAGATTAAAATTAGTGATTAAGAAAAGCAATAAATTGTTAAAAGTTAAATCGTTAATAACACAATTTGATCAAGTTGATTAAATCACCAAAAGAAAACATCAATTGTTACAATTAATCCGATATCATTATCAATAAATAATCAGCGATTCTTTCAAGTGATTAAGCTGAACAATCAAATCGGTTAATATTGTTTTCTATGTATGAAAAGCAAATGAAAATTGTTTAACAACTAATAAAGAGATTCAAGTTGATTGATAGATGATGGATATTATTATCATCTTCATCATCTTCATCATCGTCATAAAGATAATAATAGGAATTCCAATGAAGATAATCATGATGATAAAGTAAAAACTAGGAAGAGAAGAAACAAAAATACAAAAGTAAAAAGTTTTTCCTCTAGAAAATGAAAATGAAATTGATAAGATGCTAAGAGTATCCTGGATACAAAGAGGGTATGCATTCATGGAGAGAGAGAGAGAGAGAGAGATGCATACCCTCACTGTGTTACCAGTGTGTATCAACTGAATGGTGGTGTTGGTGGTGGTGAGTGATTCAGGGAATGCTAAGGATAAAGTGGAAGTGAATCAAATAAAAAAAGGTAAATATATTACATAGACTAACATGAGAGACGGAAAAAAGCAACAACAGTTAAATGGAGACGGAGGGGAAGTCGCATTTTCTGTATAATATAAAATTGCCTGCTGTTAGTTTTATTAACAGGGAGAAAGAGAAAAAGAAAGAGATGGAGATGGAGAGTGGAAAGTGGGTGGTGGGTGGTGGATGGTGGATGGAGTTAAATCTTGTTAACTTAATTGTGTAACCAAAGAACAAGCATTGAATATGCAATCATCGATATAATTAATAATTGGTCAATTTCTTAATTGTAATCACAATCAGCGTATAATTAAATGAACGTAAAACAAGTTGATTTGTAACAAGATTAAGATTAACATGAAATTGATTGGCTTTAATTGCACTTAAGTTAATATTGTTAATATAATTTGGCTTTTAATGTAAATGATTAGTAAATTAAATCCAAAATCATTTAATTGTTTAATCCTTTGAGGGCATACACTTGAGTCTTTCGAATGCAGCTTTTTCAAGACTTTCACGATGATCAGGATGAGCGATTGAAATTAATTGATGAGCCCGTTGACGATTAGATAGTCCAAATAAACTGGCGATTCCATATTCGGTGACAACATAATGAACATGAGCTCGAGTTGAGGTCACTCCAGCTCCGTGTTTAAGGTAAGGTACAATTTTAGATTCACCTTTATTGGTGGTTGATGGAAGAGCCAAAATTGGTTTACCTTTACCATCAAATGAAAGAGCAGCTCCTCTTAGGAAATCAACTTGACCACCAAAACCTTTAAATGGAAACAAAAAATAAACAGATAAATCAATAAATTGAATTGTGGCCAATTCCTTCACCAGAAATTAAAACTAACCAGAATAAATTTTAGTTCCAACGGTATCAGAAGCCGCTTGTCCAGTAATATCAATCTCTATACATGAATTGATCGCGGTCACTTTAGGATTAGATCCAATTACATGTTGATCGTTAGTGTAATCACACGTTTTCATGACTATTGATGAAATTGAGGATTCGATTATTTTTCCATTCGATTAACGATTAACAATCAATAACTTACTTAGATAAGGATTATTATGAAAATAATCATAGAATCGAGTTGAACCGATAATAAATGTAGCCGTTAGAAAACCTTTCTCGGTGTTTTTCAGTCGATTTGTAATGTTACCGTTTTCAATTAGGTCAATTACTCCATCGGAAAACATTTCCGTATGAATACCAAGATCTTTGTGATTTTTACATTGCGCTAAAACGGCATCGGGAATACCTCCAATACCCATTTGAAGAGTGGCCCCGTCTTCAATTAAATTGTCGGCGATGTGTTTACCAATTTGTTTTTCAACATCGCTCATTGGTTTAGGATTAAGAGCATCTAATTCAGTCTCATTCTCAACCAAATAATCAAATTGTGACTCATGAATTGTTGAATCTCCAACGGTCCTTGGTAATCTCGGATTCACTTCACCGATAACATATTCTGACACTTTAATTGAATCACGAATTGATGTGACCGAAGGTCCCATTGAATGGAAACCATGTTCATCAACTGGGGTCACTTGTAACATGGTCACTTTAGGTTTTAATATATTTCGTCTGAAAAGTAGTCCCGTTTCCGAAAGAAACATTGGAATATAATCAGCTCGACCTGAATTGATCGCTTCTCGATCCAGGCCAGAGGTGAATGAAGCTCTTACTCGGAAAATTTTAGAATATTCTGGTTTCATGTAATCGGGAATGGTAAGTGACATCAAATGGAAAACCTTAACATCGGTTAAATTGTTGGCAATTCCAACTTCCAGCATTCCCTTGGCTAAGGCTTTCGGTGCACCAGCAACCGCTTGCATGGAAACCAAATCACCTGTTGATGGAAAGGAAGAGGAAAAAAAACATAAAAATTAATAGACACAATTAAAGGTTAAAATTTAAACACAAAATTTCCCGTTAATAATAAATCAATGGCCAATAATAGTTGACCAAAAGACGAAACAGTTTCTATAAACAATGTAAACAAAAAGAAATCATAACAAAAACAACCCAAAAGGAACCAAAACTATTCCAAATTTTGTCCGTTTTTAGCTACAATTAGGTAAAACTAGTTAATTCATTAATCATCTTAATCGCCAGAGTTAAGATTGTGATAAATTTTACTGAAATAAAATCAAAATAATTACCTGATTGTAAGACGGAAAGAGCTTCTTTGGCACTAACATATTTAGGCTTTCGTCCGGGAAGCGGTTGACTTGGTTCACTCCTTAAGGAGCACAATTTGCGACAGTCAATCAACTGATTTAATCTTCGGCGGTGATAATTGACTAATCTGGTGGATCTAAACACAACCATAATTGATTGAGAATAAAAAAAACACAAGAAAACAAAAGAAGTAAACAAATGGCAGAGAAAAAAATTCAACAACTAAACCAGAATTCAAAGTAACCACATTAGCAACAAGTCTATGGGAGACAAATTCATTCATCTCTCTAACTTTATCTTTACTTTCTTTTTCTCTTTCTTTTTGAATGATGTATCTTCGCAATCATCATCTTCACAATAAATTAAATGTTTAATCTTGAGATAATTGTTTATCTTACTCACCTCAAGATATTGAGATTTCATTGATTAAATCAGAAATCAATTGTTGAACAGTTTACACAATAAGAATTAAATCTGATTCTAATTATCATCTATTAATAAAAGATAATTAATCTTTCCTACAAGTTTTTTTTGGATAATTTTTTTTCTATGAGAATAAAATCAAGAATCGAGTTATCAGAGTTTGGGTGCTACTCAATTATCATATTTATTAATAAGGTCATTCTATTAGGGTAGAGATTCAAGGTCATTTGATGGTCAAAAGATGACACTAAAGATATAAAACTTATATGCCTCGGAAGTTTTCAATATTTGGCCTAAAAGATAGTTGCTGAGGTTGATCTTGGGTTTAGTTTCTAAGACAAAAAAATTATCTAAGAAAAACTGATTGGAAATTTAGTGTGTGATTGAGAGAGTAATAATTAAAATTAGAAAGCAAATAATTGAAAAATACTTACCAACAAATACTATTCATCATGAAGAGAATCAGTGATTTATTGATTTGTTTTTATTAGTTAACGAGATTCTCCATTCAATTAATTTGATCTTTTTAAAGTGTTGTTAATAATCAATTGTATTGCTGATATTTATCATCAACAACAGGAATGTACATTAGTTAAAACAACAAGTTGTAAAGGAAAAACAGAAACAGTAAAACAATTAAGAGGTTGAAGGTGATAGGAAACAATTTTTTCTAGGAATTAGTTACATTAAATTGATACGAAACACATTTGACCGAAAAGTTAATTAACTTTACAAACAATTAACATTCACATTTGTTTCATGTCAATATCAACGATCAAATTAAATTTCAAATAAAATAACAATAATAATGATAATTGGAGAAGAAATGAACACTTTGATCAAAATCACTTTTTAGGAAAAATATGACAAAATTAGTTGATTGCCAACCACAGATACGCCTTTATACCAAATTACTGTTATGTATTAATTGATTGATGACCTAAGGGTAGACAAAAAAATGAGAAAAATCAAAACAATTAAAGTTATTAATGAATCAAAGGTTAATTTTTCTAATTCTATTAGCAATAATGTTAATTGGTTAGATAAACGGTAGTTAATATTTAATCACCAATCAAATTACACATCTTGATTACTTTACTCTCTCAGTCTCTCCCTCTCATCATCATTTTCTATAATCTCTCTGACCCAATCATTGTATTTAAACAATTAGCTTTTTTACTCATTTCTCATTGATCATCAATAGTCATCACGTCAACAGTTGATTCTCCAATAGTTCAATTTAGTTTAGTTAGTTTTCAGTTTTCTTCATCTTTAATAAAGTGTAAAGTTTTTCCAATAGTGAAGTGAAGTTACAATAGTGAAGTTTTAATTGTGATGTTTTCTTCTGTTTCTTCAACTAATAAAAGTGAATTTTCCAAAGGATATTAGTGATTAGTGACTTTCTTCAACGAACTTCGACAACTAAAAGTTAACAATTTCCAAGGAAAGATCGGGACGACTGACTTGTTATATTCAACTAGAGTCAGTCTTCCCTCTTTCTTTGAAAATTAACTTATCAACAATTAAATTGTGATTCATCTTTAAAAACTCTAATTACTATTTTTAATCATCAAGTGAATCAACAATTTGTCCAACAAACATCAAGAAAAAAGTTTTGACCTGTTTTTTTGTATCTTTTGTGTCCCTTTTTTATAACTATTATTGTGAATTTTATAATCGGTGATTGTTGGTGATTAGTTAATTGTCTTGGTCATGAACGCGTGGTTGTGATATAATATTTCCATCTAAATTCTGTCAACCTTAAATCCTTTGGGAGGATTAAGAATAACTGATTAAAACTTTTAGCCCTTTGGTCAACGTTCCATGTAACTCTTTTTACTTTTGTCATCTCAACCACTACGCTGATTTTCAGGTAACAATTAACCAACTGATTCCAATTAATAACGGTTTTATTATTCAATTAAGACACTTTTTCATTCTTAATTGTTGTCAATTTGTAGTAACTCAAAGGAAAAGGGTCAGTAGAGATAAATTATAAATACGAGTTACGTATTTATCATGCTCTCTTTTTTTTCTTCATCTCTCTCTCTCTCAAGTAATTCATTATTAACTACAATGATTAAGAGAATGAGTAATAGTACTGAATGAGTTAATCAAAGTGGTTTTACAAATTGTTTAACTAATCAACATAATAGATTATCATTTTGTGCTCAAATGTTTGACTGAAATTTTTCTCGATTTTTACACTGTGATTAAAGGTTCAGTTTACAATTAAGAATCGGAACAACACATCATCGTTTAAATGACTTTTCTCTAGTTAATCAAAAGTAACAATCTACTAACCTGAGGAAAATAAAGTTTTTTCTTTTAATTTAAAAATTGTTAATCGGTTAATCGGTTAATCCAGTTTGCAATATGTATCTTCGATGTGTTTGTTTGTTACTTTCTATTATTTGGTTGCAAGGTCAGTTTGATGATTTAAACTTGTAATTGGCAAGTGGTTCGTTTTAATTGTAGTAGAATTAAATTTAATTCTCCTCGTGTAATGAGTGCATTTCTTTAGCCAACTGGATTTAAATTTTTTTTTTTTTCAACAGTAGCAACAAGTCGACCAGTTAATCAAACTAATCAACTAACAACAGTGTTTCCAGCCAAAGGTTAGTTCATTTTCACAATATATCACAAAAGCCTGAGCCTGAAAGTGAAGAGGAAAAGATTTAACAATTTTTTTAAACAATTAACGTGCTTGTAAATCAGCAAACAAGTGGCTTCATTTTGATTTACCTTTGACATAAACAATATAGTTACAGCTCTTGTTAATTGGCAACAATTAAAGTTTGCTTTTTAAAGCTTTGAAAGTAATGGTGAAGATTAATTTTCTTTTTTTTCCATATCATCAGAAAATTACTTGATTCGAACAACGGAAACACCGACTTATAATCAGATTCCTCCCCCGTGGTTATTTCCGGATTCTGATTCTTCATAAAGAGATCACTTTTCGAGGTCGAGTGTAACATCGCTCCATTATAGTGAAAACACCTTTAGTTTGATTGAATCGACGAATCGCCTCTCGAATATCACAAGGAGTAATACATCCACTGGTTGATTCGTTTGTCATTGTTTTCAATCTTTTCGCTGGTTGGTCAGAGTTAATATTTTCATCTGTACTTGGCTCTTCGGAATTGGTTGAATTAATCTTTTGATTGTTTACGATTGGAACAGCAAATATATCAGGATAATCTGGATTCCGCATCTTGAATGTTATTAACCCTGAAACTGGATCATTTTCTTGAACCTCTCGATCTTGTTTAACTAAAAGTGCGATATCAACAATCTTGGAAACAAATAAATTATTATTATTACAAGTAAATATTTGCTTTTAAAATGATTTTATCCACAAGTCTCACCTCAGCAACTGTCTCGTAGGCTAAATATTGAAAAATTTCCAAGGCATATGGATTCAGTTTAATATCTTGAGTGTCATTTTTTAGCAGCCATTCCTTGAATCTTTTAGGTTTTGCTTTATTGGCGAAAGTTGCTTGTCGAGCCTCACTGTATCGTAGATATTGAATTTTGGTCATGTTGAAGGTCATTCGATCCATTCTCTGTTAAAATAACAGTGATTAAAAGATGAGATCACTTGAAAAATGCTGTAATCTAATCAAGATTGGAAGGTTATTGTGATCGGTGATAGAGAAAAAAGCACAATAGAAATTTACCAGATTACGTTGGTGTCTAATCTCATCGAAAAAATCTTCATTGAAAGCAGCCACTAAATCACCTGTATGATCAATCGATGTAATAAACTCATAACAAAGTTTAATTCGTTTTGATGAAAGTTGATTATTCTGTGACGATTTATCTGATTGTGGAAAATTGGACGATTCTATCTCTGCAGAGTTTTCACCAGAATGATTGAATTTTGTCGCTTTAGATTTTATATCCTTAATAGAGAGGTAACGTAATAATCGAGCCAATTTTACTTTATCCTTTCTCATGAGAAAAATGATTTCCTCCAAACCGATCACTTTGGTTCCTCTGACGTAGGCAATTTTATTGGCTTCATTAAGCTGAACAAAACAAAAGAAAAAACCACATGATGAATACCAATAAATTAACAGGTTACAATCATACGTTGAATGAATACAAATCAAGTTAATCACAAAAAGAGTAACTCACCAAGTGGCTCATCTGTTGATGAACAATATCTTCAATTAAAAAAGACGATTCAATCATAGGTCGAGATGAGTCACCAAAACCATGCCTACGACCATCAAAGAGCCAGAATGACATCAAAAACGATCCCATTGAACACATTGAACGTTCCAAATTCCAGATTAGACATGGAATCAACCGAAACAATAAAAATAAAAGAAATAAAAAAAAATTGAATCAGTTTAAACCACAGGAATCAACAGAAAAATTGAAAAGTTCAATGGACAATTTTTGGCGGCATGGGTTGGAATCAGGTCGAGGTTACTCACATTATATTTTGGATCTCAGTTGTGTACCACCGAGTGATTGATGATTTCCCGGATTTGAACATAATAAACTATCGAAAAATAACAATTTATGTACAAAAATAACAATAGAATATAAAATAAACTCTAAATCAAAATGTTGATGATTCTCAATTTGCGATCATATGGTGGCCGAGGGAATGTCTATAAATCTACAAGTGTTTTTTTCTTTTCTATTTCAATTTTATCCCTTTTTGTTTTCTTTTTTCTTTCCCATCAAAATTAATTGTTTTTCTCTTTTCCTGTGATTAATTGTTAGTTTCATGTTACCATCATAATGTCTAACAGGTATCGGAACTCTCGAGCTAACAGGTGGGAGGAAATTACTCACCAAGAACAGTTGATTTTGGCAAAGAAACGAGAGATTGAAGAGCGATTAAAATCAACCGATGTTTCATCTTGTAATTCACCTTCTACGATAACATCGTCATCATCACTGCCACCGTCTTCGAATTCATCATCATCATCTTCGTCTCATTCTCAAATCGATCCAATAACCACCACAACAGTATCACCTTCAATCTCAATAGTTAATGATTCAAATAACTCTGATATCGATAACAGACCAGCATTCATTAATAGATTTTCAAATGATGGCAGTTTCATGGAAATGTTCAAAAAGATGCAAAATCCAAATTCATCTTCCAGGTATGATGACGAACTGATGGTTGCTTGATTTAATCTATTTCATGTTCTTCTCTCTCTCTCTCCTTGAATTTAGCTCTCCGGTCAAGTTTGTTAAAAGTGAAGAGGAAGGACAATTAACACCAGTAGACAATGAACAGAGTTTAAAGCCCAAATTGGAGGACATTGATGAGAGAGTTAAACTGCCTGTTAATCAGGACCATAATCTTCAAGAGGAACAACAATCAAAGAAAGGTATTGGTGCAACTTTTAATTTGAGTGATTCAATTGTTAGAACTGAAATACTAATCATGTGAGAATGAGTGAGATCACTGATTACATCTAATTATAGTGGACTTTTGAATGAAAGGGTCAGTTGCATCAATTTTTGAATTTGTTTATCATCATCCATCATATTCCCCACACTCTCACTCTCACTCTCTCTTTCTCTTTATCTTATTAATCCTTTATCATAAAACTATCAATCTATTTGTATAATATTTGATACTTATGGTTATTCCGTTCAAGTCTCTCCATCAGGAGATGATGAGATAAGAATGGCGATTGAAAAAAGTGCCATCTATGTCGCTATGAATGGTTCAGAAGCTGAAGCCAGATTAAAAAGTGATTGCATCAATGATTCAGACTACAGGTTTGTCTTAAACAAAAAAAAACTCTCATCCTATTGTAACAATCAAAACTAATATGATAAAAATGAAGATGGTTATACCAGGAAGATAATGTGAACCACCAGTATTACAAGCGACGAGTAGAGGAGTTGAAGGAGGCCAAAACGAGAGCAGCCGATTTTGAGTTATCTGCATCATCGCCGTCAACTTCAACAACAACAACAACAAACAATCCTGAAGATACTTTATCGTCACTTGCTGATTATCATGATTTAGATGAACGTAATCCGATTGATATGAAAGGTAGAAAGAGGAAAGAAAGTCGTTGGTCGGAATTTTCTTCAAATCAATCAGTGAACGAGGATGATGATCAAGAAGCATCAAGTTCATCAATTGTGCCTCCACAAGATCCTGAATTGATTAAATATGCGATCCAAGTGTTTGGAAGGTGTAATTTAACTGCTGAACAGTGGAAACAATTGGAAGATCAAAGGAAGATGAAAGTTCTGGTCGCCATGGTACAGAGAAAGAAAGCCAAGAGAGCTAAATTCGAGGCCAGTGGACGTCCGATGTACGAATATGATTCAGATGAGGAGGTTGACGGTGGAACTTGGGAACATAAGAAAAGAATGGAGGAAATGGAGAAAACAAGAGAATGGGCCGATAAAATAACAGAAATGAACAAAGGTAAACATCATATTGGTGATTTTCTACCACCTGATCAATTGGAACGGTTCATGAAAAAATGGGACTCGATTAAAGATGGATCAACTTCAATACTTTTCGATGAAGATTATCAAGATTTCAAGCTTCAATCTCAGAATAAAGGTTACAAAATGCTGGAGAAAATTGGTTGGAGCGAAGGTCAAGGGTTGGGGGTTGATAGTAAAGGAACTACAAAGCCAGTTGATGCGTAAATATTATTTCTAATTTAGATTGACAATTTAATTGAGTTTTTGTTTATTTTTTATCCTCAGCGATGGAGCTTGGGGTGAACGTGCTGGTCTAGGACAAAAACGACCTGATCAGCTTGAAGCTGATGATGATGAATACGAAGCCTACCGGAAACGGATGATGTTAGCCTACCGATTCAGACCAAATCCATTGGTGAATAATTATATTATTGTTATTACTTAACCGGATCAATATCAATAATGAATTTCCTTTTTTTCTTTACAGAATAACCCACGAAGACCTTATTACTAAAATTAATAATATAATCTATAAAATTGAACAATTTAATTGGATCGCAAATAAATTGTACGTTTAAAAAGTTCTTCTCTTAAATTAAATTTAATTGTTGAAGATTATCACTCAAGTTGGATTTACAATAACTAATTCCTGTTGAAATTTTTCCAAAAATGAAACACAAAACTAGAAGTTTTAAAAAAGTTTAATTCTACTAATCTTAGTTTTCTGTAAGAATAACTTATAGTCATTAAGGCAAATTACTTAATCCAACGATATATTAATCTCTGAGTTGGAATCAAATGGAATGGCAATTAAGAGAGAGAAAGACACACACACAGCCGAATGGCCTTTAGATAATCGAGAGATAAATAAATACTTAAATTCGTCACCAGTGAGCTTTGTACCTGAAGGCATTTGAAGATTCATACATGTATTAAATGTTAAATAAGTTCTGTACCAAAACTCTGGTGTTTAGAGAATCTTCATGACCTGATGCCTCAGAGGTCAAAAATTTTCTTATCAAGCGCATTGCAAGCCCACGATTAACTCGAAAACTTGAAAGTTCTAACATTAAAGTCCATTTCAGCGTATCGACCATGCTTACTATCAACTTGTATCTCCATCTTGTTCATTGATGTGAACCAATTTTCTCGTGAGAGCTAATCAACTGCTCTCTTGTTATTAGGACGAAGAATTGTTTTAATTTTTATAATTACTTTTCGTTTTCTCACAAATTACTTTGTTTTTCTTTTCTTTAATTACTCTTTTCTCTCTTGTAATTTCTTTTCTAATCAATTTGTTTAATCGCGCCAGGCGAAAGAAAAACGAAGCTTGTAATCTGATTACTACGATGAATGAATCTTTTTACTCTTCTGATTCTGACCAAATCTATTTCATGCCAACTAGACAATCAACCAGTCGACTTAGTCGATTATCAATCGACTAAGTCGAACTTGAGCTAAAACTCAGTCGATCAACTGTCGACTGACTGACTCACTCGACTCTGTTCGGTTTTCTAATTCCACCATTTTGAATTGTAAACTAGTGATGGGCGATATTTAGACTTTAATTATCGATAGAATCGATTTACTAGCGACAGAGAAAAAGACAGGAAAAGAAAGTGAAACATTTCAAGTTGTCCATTTCGATAGTGACCTGCATTCGATTGACAAAATCTTCTCTCTATCTTTGGATACACAAAATTTGTAAGTTTCTTTTTTATTTAACTTACTCTAGATAAGATTTGTTCTTAAAAATCAGTTGATGGATATTATTGTCAATAGATTTTCTATGTCTTAGTTACTGGAAATTTGGAGGAAAGAAATGAAATTTAATAGAAAAAATAACAGAGGGAATGTTATTAGTTTCTTTTCTATCAGCACCAAACTTCATTTCATTTTCTTCTTCTTCTGGATCATTTATGTTAGATATCAAAATTGAATTCGTTTTGAATCAAGAACTGTATTCACAACATTTCTCACCAACATGGTTACTCAATGAATATACAAGTTACAATGTCCATCATGATAATAATCAATTTAACACCAAGTTAAGTGTATAATCATGTCCATCCAAACACTTTTTGACCACAAGTCTTTAGTTTTATTCAGTTTATTTATTTAGTTCACGAATTAAGGTGATCACTTGATCAGGGGGTCAATGAATTGAATTTGATTCTCATTGAATTTATTTATTTTCAGAAAATGGCCATAACCAAATAGCGAACAAATTAGATCTATTTTTGGTTATTTTACTCGCGATTCAGATGAGGAGCTAAATCTTGTTCAAATCATGAATGCTGTTCGTGGAAACACTGAAATGTGAACAGATGACCAGGTTCACTCCATTTATCGGCTGGTGATAAAAATAACTCGCCGTTTTAATCTCATGGAACCTCGGCCTATCAGACTCTATCAAAAAGAGCTAATCTAGAAATGGATCTTTATTTCAATGAAAAACAAAGCGAAAATTCAAAATAATGTTAATAAACTAATGAATCCATGGTGATGAATATTGACCAATTTAATTTCAATGGTGAAACCAAAAACTCCTGAAACTTTATATTAGTGTTGTGATGGTTGATGATGATCAAATTTCATTCTTTTGTTAACATGAAAATATTACTTTTTGATATTAGGATATCACCAAACATGAGTAACAACATAATAAATCAATGAATAAAAGGAAATCATCGATAAAGATTACGAATCATTTGTCACCAAGATCATAGATTATTATTGTTTGTCTTTACTCGTCTTCTTTAAAAGGACTCATTAAACTGGACACACTTCGAATCGAATGAAATCCATGGCAGTTAAAAGAGAGATAAATATACCACTGAATTTCCTCTAGAGAGATCCTTCGGCTCACGAAGGTTCTCCCAGCGCAGATAAAAAGTTCACTCGAGACTCAAGCTACCTGACGAAAGAGACACTGAGTTTATACCGATCTTCTAAATTTCTGTTCTTCTATTCGGATAACATAATAATGAACATAAAGAAGCCGAATCAATACCAAAAGTCGAATTTCTTTTCGATATTTCAATCACTCTGATGATCCAGGATTAGACTGTCAAGTTAATCAATAAGACTACATATCAGGTCTATTCCACTTATCGTTTTATGGTCTAACCAACCGAATTGTTCATAAGTTACAACAGACTAAACCTTCATCGAGCTCAGCAAAAAATACAAAGAGTAGATAATTTAATCCACTATCAGTAAATTGTCAAGAGGAATCACGAAATACAGAAATTAAACCTCAGAACAATTGGAAAGTTCAACGGACAATTTTGGCAGCATGAGCTCGAATCAGGTCGAGTTTACTTACATTATATTCTGAATCTCAGGTTGTAAAGACCAATAAATGATAAATATTTACATTAATTGCTTTGAAAAATTTTTCTAAAAAAATTCGAAAGAGACAGAATTAGAAAGTTTGAAAAAAAATGATAAACTAATCACAATTGACAGTAAATCGTGATAATCACTATGAAAACAAAACAATTATCGTTAATTTTGTTCATCTCAGAGAATTATCACCATTCCAGTGTTTATACATATTTAATCCCATGTTAATCCAAAGAGATGTGATCATGTAATGAGGGAATCGTCATGAAAATGGAACAGAAAACTTATCCTTTGTAATCCAATCTAATTGGAAAACTAAATGATTCTCATTGGGGGAAAAAAAATGTGAATCATTTCAAGAAATTACAATAAAGTAAATTAATATTATGTACAATTGAATTGAATTTCCAAGAATATCAATAATTGACTGAGATAAATATTAAGAATCATGATTATCTAATATCAATAAGAATACATGAATTTATGAAAAGGTTGAAAAATAATTGGTATTAAATTTAGATTAATGAAAACGAAAAGTAATTAATATAAATTGAGTGCGAAAATTATAATCAATAGAAAAGGCAACCCGTCATGATTAGTTTTTGATACAAATAATTACCCATCTTAATATGAGATAAAATTAATATCAATAATAACGATGATGATAAATTATAATACATAAGGTAATCTAACGGTTCATGAGTATCATGATAATCTCTGGGTTGGAATCAAATGGAATCCATGGAGTTTGAGCAAATAGAAGTGGGGAAAGAGAGATGAAGATAAAATTCAACTGAATGGGAGCAAAAGGAGAAAGAGAGAGAAACAGAGAGAATCGGGAGGATGATGATGATGATGATAGAGAGCGAGTGAGAGAGATTGAAAATGTTGGAAGCAACAAATTATTTCATGTTAGCATCTGAAGGCAGTTGAAGATTACGATTCATATTAAATGTTATATGTTTGCATAGTCGTTTTATCATCCATTCAACACTCACCTTCATCTTCATCAGTCTCACTCTCTACCTTTCCACCTCCTCCTCCTCCTCTTTTCTCCTCCATCACTAATATTACATTGGCTCTCTCTCTCTCTCTCTCCCTCTCCCACCAAACTCACAATTACCATTATTATTGATCAATAATAATGATCATCACCATCAGTTTCATCATCACTTAGTTTAATTGAACTTGTGTGAGTTGATAGTTATATGTTTTTTTTGCCAACGTTGTGTTTTAACAACAATTAACCAAGTTAACCAAGAATCATATTAAATATATATTATTATTATTATTATTATATCTAAATTGTTGACTATTAAGGTTGAGAGTATTAATCAATATTATTTGATATGTTTGGGACTTTGGATTGCCATTGGTCATCATCTCTATCATTATGATTACAATTAAAGTTTTACTTAATTGTTTAACCAAATATGCAAACCATATAATCATAATATAATAAACACAACAACAATCAACCAGTTTAACCGAGCCAGTTAATCAATTTCGTAATTGTAACTGTTAATCAATTTTACTTCCTATTGTTTATTATCATCATCGTTTCTCATTCAACATTTTCTTGATTGTCTTTTTGTGATCATTATTGAAATTGTGTCTCCACATTGTGTTGTTATTATAAAAGTTAATTAATTTCTCTCTGTGCTCTAGTTTTCGGTTAATCAACAACAACAACAACAACAACAACTTCGTTAGTTTAATTGTCACTGATCAAAATTTAACGATCAAAATCAATGGGCAAGAAAAACAGTAAATTGAGCTCGGACGTTGTCTTCAAGCTGACCAAAGAAACTTATTGTAAGTTATCATGATTAAATTAAATAGTAATAACTATTGTCATTAGATAATATGATTCTAAATCAGAAAACGTGATTTGATTGTTAATCTTAAATCAAATATTAATAATGTTCTCATCAATAGTAAATAAAACTAGTTGTAAGTCTATTTTTCCTTCAACCTAATTTCGTTGCCAATATTGTGATTGCAAAATCTTATAATAATTTTATCAATCAATCGTAATTATGATTACTATTTAATGGAAGAAAAAAAAATCACAGAATTAAATTAAGTTGATGATGAGAGAAACTGAAAGTAATCAAGTATCTAAACTTACCTTTAACAACGTGACTCCAAAAATCCAATGATTATGTTGATTATAAATCCTTTATGTTTCTTCAATCTAATGAGTAACTTAATCACTATAACCAAATAGTGATAATTATTAGTACAATTAGACTTGATTTTAATGAGATTCATAGAGTTTTTTTTTGTTCTGTCAACTATTTGGTGATCAAAATGAATCCATGGTGATGAATATTGACCAATTTAATTTCAATGGTGGAACCAAAAACTCCTGAAACTTTATATTAGTGTTGTGATGGTTGATGATGATCAAATTTCATCCTTTTGTTAACATGAAAATATTACTTTTTGATATTAGGATATCACCAAACATGAGTAACAACATAATAAATCAATGAATAAAAGGAAATCATCGATAAAGATTACGAATCATTTGTCACCAAGATCATAGATTGTTACTGTTTGTCTTTACTCGTCTTCTTTAAAGGGACTCATTAAACTGGACACACACTTAATTGGGGTGGGGTGGGATGGATATACTTGCAGTGGAAAAGGCAAAGTGATTAATTTGGAGAGGTGGTGATGGTGAAAATTGATGTTCAGGCGGAAGATGAGGATTAGAGGAGAGAGAGAGAGAGAGAATTCAATCAAGTAAAAGGAGTAAACCAGTAAAACCAACATGTAACAGTTAATATATTACAGTTTTTATCTGGTGTTTATTATCATCACCTTTTAGTTATCTTCTTCATCTTCATCCTCATCCTCTCTCTCTCTCTCTCTTTACCTCCTGCTCTCATCTATTAACAATTTGCATGTTTTTCCCTGGAAACAATTTAAATTGTCTTCTATTCTTGTTAACATGGTTATGTATTATTATCCATCATCTTCATTACTCATTAGAATATAACATGAGAGAGATTGGGAAGTGGTTGATGAATTTCCACCATGGATTCAGTTTACTGGAGTTGGAAAAATTTTCACTAATTTCTTTTACATCTTTGAATTTTCACCAGAACAACACCAAGGCGAAATCCTCTTCCATTAGTTTTTGAATCCACTTTCTCCCTCCCTCTCCCTCTCTCACTCACTCTTGTACTTTATCTGAATACCAAATTGTTAATTCAAGCTTATTAATGATAAATAAGTTTACTCACACATTTTTGAAGTAACAAACTCAATTGTATTAGATAATAACAATAACAATGGCAATGATAATAATGGTTTGAGGAAGAAAATAATAATGATCATCATCATCATGATAATAGATGTTAACTGAACAACAAGCTGTTTGGTTGAATTATTCAGTTACATGGACTGAGAAAAAGGAAAAGAGGTAAGTGAGAGAGAGAGAGTGAGTAACACATCGTTCCACCAGGTTACTAGTTAATTCAGTCAGTTGAACATGAATGATGATGATGCCCAGAATATCAGCATCAGTATCAACGATCATCATCCATACTGATTTTGTAGATGAGAGGATGATGGAGATGATGATAACAATAAATACAATCATGTAATATAATAGCAACAGTAAGAGGATGGTAACAACATGTTGCATGTGTTGTTGGGGTTGTTGTTGATGATGATGATCATGTTGTCGTTGATGGTGGTAATGTAAAAATGGTAAACAGCAACAGCATAATAACAAAAGATAGTCAAAAATATCGATCAGAAAAGTTCATACCTGAGACTGAATAAAGAACGAAAAATATTTACATCAACAGTTGAAGAAAATAAAAAAATATTAGAATTCATGGTAATCCTGTTATTGTTTCTTTTCCATATCCAATACTTTTGATTCATTTCCATGTAGAATCTTAATTTTTTTTTCTCTTCCATCCAAACTTTTGCCTGTAGTTTTTTTTTATTGACGATTCTTCCTGGTTTACCTTAAGTGGAGAGAGAATAGAAAAAAAAAACTAATAAGAGATGTTAATGTTTCAGTTGATGAGAATTTCAGGGAAAAGTTGATGAACACGCAAAGGTGAAAATGTCTGAATACTCAGAGAATAGAAAATGTTTGAAATGAAAATTTAATAGAAAAAGAAAAAATAACAGAGAGAAAAGTTATTAGTTCCTTTTCTATTTCTATTTCATTTTCTTCTTCTTCTTCTTCTGTATCTTCATCTTTTCGTTGTTTACTTTATTCTTTTTGATACTTTTACCGTTACACATTCTATTTACTCATTGATTAACTAGATTAACATAATTTTCTTTCCAAAAAGATAATCTCTCCTTTGGATGATTATGATGATTGGATATAAATTGCTGAGAGTTTGATAGAGACAAACACCTAAATACTATTAAGGTGAAAGGTAATTTATGTTAGATATCAAAATTGAATTCGTTTTGAATCAAGAATTGTATTCACAACATTTCTCACCAACATGGTTACTCAATGAATATACAAGTTACAATGTCCATCATGATAATAATCAATTTAACACCAAGTTAAGTGTATAATCATGTCCATCCAAACACTTTTTTGACCACAAGTCTTTAGTTTTATTCAGTTTATTTATTTAGTTCATGAATTAAGGTGATCACTTGATCAGGGGGTCAATGAATTGAATCTGATTATAAAGGCAAGTTTAAGTTTCTGAAGGAAAATTAAAAAAAAAGAATAGAAAAAGTGAAAAAATTTTATTCTGTTTAATCTCTTCATTGTCATACATTTGATGACATTTGTTGGTTTAATTACTGTTTGTCATTAATGTTAAATTGTCTTTGAGAATCAGGTGGCTAAGTGTTTTTCTTATCCATTGTTACGTTTGTGACTCCATTTTTTTTCTGCACAATAATTGATCGAGCTCAATGTGACACTTAGATGAATCGAGAATTAATTTCATGATAGTGATCTACATTCAGTTTTTTCCTCTCTCTATCTCATCTTCTCACCTTTTCTGATGACCACCTCACTCTTTCTGCAGGGCAATTCGGCTATTACTCAAAATCCACTTGACCCATGGGCTTCAGATCGAGTCTATAAATGTATTGATCGATATTTATTTCATTCCAAACCCAAGGTCATGAAGAATAATCAACAATTCCGAAAGTAGGCTTGACCTTCAAGGTCATTATTTGCTGAATAATTCAATGGTCAAACAGTTTTAAGTAAAATCTAAAAGAAAACAACAATTGTAGCTAAATTGTCCTGTTTCTCATTTTGTATCATTTTGAAAACGAGTTAATTGTTAAGCCTTAAGCTATAAAACCAAAGACTACGAGTTTGCAACCACTTGTTAAATCATTCACACAATTAAATATAATCAATGAGAGATCAAATTAACCCAAAGATAAGACAATAATCAATATCCTCTCATTGAAACGCTGTCATCTCTTAAAATTGTCATCAGATTAGATATTGAAAGTTACCTTTACCTGATTGTCGTTAACTTAATGAAAACTCAAACTTCTTTGGCTGCATAGCCAATGAAGGAAAATATAATTCATTTGTCTAATAATTTATCTTTTTTTCTTATCCTAATCTTCATCTTGATTATCCTTCTCTCTCTCTCTCTAATCTCTCCCTTGGATATCTGGTTATGTGAATCTACACCTTCATCAATCCAGTTACGGAAAAGGAAATAAGAGAATGGTTTGTAATATTTCACTTTTTTTCTCCTTAATCTTAATCATTTCCCTCTCTATGTCTCTTTTATGTGATCCTTTAATTGTTCCAATCTAATAGAGAGAAATTATATAAAAGATTGTGTGATATTTGGACCCAAAAAAAGATGATTGTGATGAGAATTAACTTTTCGAGCTCTTCCTTTTCCTCTCCATCTTTGTTCCGACGTTTATTGTTTATCCTCTCATCGTCTTTTTATTCCTACTAACTCATCATTATTATAACCATCATCATCATCATCATCATCATCATCAAACAACTCTAGCATCCTCATCCTCTCAGTCTACCTTTTTTTTTATTTTCGTTATATCTGATCCTTTATTGCTTCCTCCTTAAGACTGTGTCAACAACATAATTTATTTGATTGGATTGCAAGACAATTGAAGCTTCTGTCACTGCAGCTTAATTAAATAGCTTCTTATATCAACTCTTACACATTTATATACAATTAATGATAATCAAATTATAACCCACGGTTCTAATAATACCACCAAAACCATTATCATCATATTTATCAATAGCAATTAAACATCAATCCAATCATTACAACTCATTTCCATTAGCATCCTCATCTCTCTCTCTCTCTCTTTCTCTCTCACCTTTATACTAACCTTAACTTTCCATATATATATTGATCTTTCATCCATGATCCCGCCAATATCATGATCAGAGTTATTCCACCTTCCAAGCTACAGGGTAATTCAATCTCGTTTATAACTTGTAAACCAATCGGCTCACAAAGCTGTCTCTCGATATATTCATAGACTTAATTTAAAAGTTACAAGGTATCGACAAAAAGTTTCGAGATTGATCAAGGTCATTTGATCGTGAACACGGTACGAGGTTATTTACTGTAATGATGAAACTTTTTCGACCTTTTTTTGAGTTTGACAACGTTGAACAAACGTTGAAATTAGTTTACGAATCATTATATTAATATAAACGTTCGTTAAATGAATAACCCTGTATGATATTAATAAGATGTAATCAATTTAACCATTATAATTAATTAAATACGGAAATGGTTCATTGTATCAACAACAAATGATACATATGATATCCATTAGTGGTAAGAATAAGGATAAAATGAAGAAAGTATAATTAGTAAATGATCAACCAGATAATCTAAGAAGTGATGATCTTTAATTGATAATAATAATATGAAAATCCTTATACAAGTAATAGATAAACTTGATTTCCATGTAATAATAAGCAACGAGTAACCATAAAAATCTAACTGTATTTATGAATTTAGTTGGCATGTTACATGATTTCTGGTTTCAGTATAAATGGTTAACCAAGAAACAGAAGAAAATTATATCATAATGATAATCATCCAGTGTCAGGAAAACAATACAATTTGTTAAATCGTAAGGTGAACATGATAATATACATGATAAGGTTAAGATAAAATCTAAGAAAATGAAAGCAAGAAGCAAATGAGTAACGTGATTTATAACCATTTAGGGAGTTGAGGTCACAAGGAAAAGGAAAAGGAAAAGATGAAGAGAAATAACTGAAAGAAAATGATAATCATCATCATCATCATCATCATCATCCCATAATCATTGATAATGATGATACTCATGATTAGATTCGTAGGGTTATAATGTACTTGGAGAACCAGAAATGAGAGAAAAATTCTGGTTAAATATGATAAGTTAAACATGCGAATTGACTTGATGACAGTTTCCTCTGATTCTTACTATGAATTATTTCATTTCCATGGTGAATATCATTCTCATTGAATTTAATTTAATATTTAGTTTACATTCACATTTCCAATGTTTATAATAATAAGCATAATACATAAATCAACAAATGTAGATATGTTTATCTATGTAACTGTTTATTATGTATTATCATTTATTGTAACAAAATAATATCTCGCTTTCACCCAGATATCATGAAGATGATCATTCATGATAAATTGATGATGCTGATTATTATTTAAATGGTTAAAGGAAATATAAATAAGTGTAGATCTGCAAGAATTTATCTTTTTATTCCTTATACCTGTCACCTTGTATCCAAGAATATATCGATTATATTCTGATGCAGTTGACAACACTCATTCTTTACCTTTCTTCATATATCCATCTATTTTTATCTTCCTTCTCATCATCATCATCATCATCTTTTTTTCTGCTACTTTTCTATGAGAAAAAAAAATCGTATCAATTTGATTTCTTACTCTAAGATGATTTATCTTCACCTACTTTTTGGTATATTAACATAATATAAGTGATATTATTAGTATAACTGTGAGCATTGATAATATATTATTAATAATAATATGATAACAATAACATTGTAACCACAAACAATTATCGTTGATGAAAATTATCATCGTTAACTTTAATTGTACTTTTTTTTACCAATTAGGTTTAATTGTGTTTGGTGATTTTATATTTTTGGCTCGTAAGTGTTTTCACATTTTCAGTAAAATGCATTAACATTGTAAGGGAAATTGTTCAATTTTCATGAGAGATTTTTATGATGATGAAAGAGTAAAGTGAAAAAGATGAAAATTTAAATAAAGTAAAATCAATGAACCATTGGAACAGGTTGCCTACTGACCTGGGAATGATGATGATGAGGATGAGGATGAGGATGATACGCATGGGTTGTAATTCCTCTTTCATCTTCATCATCTTCCTCTGTATCTTCATCTTCTTTCCAGTTACCTGAAGAAGGAGAAAAAAAAATTCTTTTTTTGCTCAATTCATCATTTTTACCTTATTTCCAACTTATCTCTTTTTCTAAAGAACGAAATATACCTTTTTCTTTTCTTTTCTTTTCTTTTCTCTTCATCATCATTTTCATTCTTCTTCTCATCTTTTACTTTCTCTTTCTTTCTCTCTCTCTCTCTCTTTGTTTGATGTTTTTGTTGCTTTTCTCAATGAAGAAAAGGCTTTAACATTGGCTTTAAATCAAAGGTACAGGAATCAGGGAGTTTCAAGGTAAATTGGGAGTGAAAGGTTTATTCTTATATACTGAATATATCTATAGATGTTTGTATTACCTGATGGAAGAGGTAAAGATGATAAGAAAACGATGATGATGAGAAAAGACTGAGAAATCATGGAAAGCTCAGTTACATGAAATGAATTGAATGCATTAGTTGTATTCAAAAATGTATCTCTCTCTCTCTCTCTCTCTCTTACTTTTTCTCACCTTGTATACAGAAATGTTGATAGAATGTCTCAAACTAAGAAAATACCCTCAGGGCATTTGTCAATTTCTTTGCTCATCTTTTCATCTTCATCATTTAACCACTATATTGACAGTTGCCTATCACATGTTAACCTACTTTTCCACCATGAAAATCATGTTTTTCTCGGTGAAATTTACCACTAGGATCATGAGAAAATTATTGTCACAATCAACTGATTCTAATATGTTGAACTGAGTTTTATTTAGTTTAAGAAACAGACAAACAAAAACAACTAAAGTTGATCATCAGTCAACATGAAAAAGTTTCAAATCAAAATGTTTATAAATATTTAACTTTGCAAATGTTGATTGTTATTATTATTATTTAAACAGCTGATTGAGTCCATGATGTTCATCTTAGATATTGACTTTGATTAACTTAAATGTCACCTTTGATACAACTTGTCACAAAGATAAAGATAATAACAATATCTTAATCATTACATTTTCAGTATCATGTCTAATCCAATAAATCCCATGATAATCAATACGATGATATTTATCCTTCCTAAATATGACATCTTAATGGATTTAAGATTAAGATGAAAAGAGGATCAAGAAAAAAAGATGAATCATTTTTTTCTGACGATAACTTAATTGTCTCTCTGTTATTAATCACTATCATCTGATTAAAGTTAATCAACCAAGGTAAAAATCTATCAAAAGTAAATCTTATATTAGTTGAATATCAATTTAAATTACCAACAATTTAAATTAATCTCTTTGTTTTGTTTTCCCCTTACAATTAATCATTATCATCTCATGTCAACTTTACCTTTTTAATTGCCATTTAAATTGATTGTTGATTATCATTAATATCACAATTGTGTCATTTAAAAATGTTGATTATCATTTCTAATAGTAGTAATCTATATGTGGAAATGTAATCATTAAATAACAATTAAAGATTGGTAACAATTAACCAGTGATGATGATTTTCCAATTACAATTACATTTGAAAGCCTCTTCCTTTCAATTGTCTGTTAATTAACTATTGTTAATCAACACCAGTGAAAGATGAATCAATTAATGTTAAAGTTGATTGTTACCAATAGCCAATAATCAATTGATTAGGTGATTAACAATTACTGTTAGTAAATGTACATATTAGATTAGTCAACACAAGAAGCGTGTATCTAATTATTAATTAAAAAACTGTCGTTTTGTTGACACTTAATCGTTACCATAGGATCAGATCTAATAATTAACATCATCATCAACATCATCATCATCATGATTATCAGGTTAAAATACATTAGATTAATTAATTGTTGCAACTACAATTAAAAACAGTTCGACATGAATTTGTTATCATGGTTTTCATTGAGTTTTTTTTCCCGTTGTTTTCTGGTTAACAAAATTGGTGAACCATTAATTGTCTGAATCTACCTTTAACCATAGATTGTAATTAAATAATTGAGTCAACTATTATTTTGATGATGCTGATAATCAGTTGATTATTATATTAACCAGACATCATTGATAATAATAATAACTATTAATATGAATGAGCTGAAAACCCAAAATCTATTATCTTTTTCCTGAATCAACCTTCAGGGTAAACAAAAGATTCACAGATCATGATTATGATAATAACGGTTATTTGTGAAAAGAAAATAATATCGATATTATTAATTATCATTATCAATGAATTAATTGATTTTCTTTTACTAATTAAAATGATCAAATTTAATCTAATCTTGTGAGAAGATGAAGTTTTTTTTTCTTCCGTTGAAAAGCAAAATGAAAGTTCAATTAATTAAGTTGATTTTCTCATCATGTTGATGTTTCTTTCAATTTTCATCTATTACAAGTCTTTGGAAACGATAATATAAATTTAAGGCTATTGAATGAACATGATGAAGGAGAAGATGATGAGGATGATGAGGATGATGATAAGGAAGATGAAGTTCTGAATCAGTTTCATGGTAAAATAAACTTAGTTAATCTTTTTTTTTTCTCATCTACTTTTTGTTACCCTAAGACTTTTCATCTTGATTATCAACATGATATACTATTAAATAATACTTCCTGTTATGTTAAACCTTAATCATCATGAAATTCATCATCTTAATCAGCTTTATTTTATAATCATAAATGAATAGAAATCAATGTTAAATATAAATCACAATTGGTGAAATTATTCAATTGACTCACATTTCTACAACTATTAATAATAGAATCACATTAATTTGATTAACTTTTTTGCTTTCTTACAAGGTAATTAACTTGTAAAGGATAAGACAATAACAATTAAGGAACAAAAAAGTTGAACCTTTTTAATTGTTATTAGTTAACTAGTTTTTCAACTTATCCTTTGGGTACTACAAACATAACCAGAGTAAAGATTTACTTTATCATTAAAGATATTGAAACATTCATCTTATATATGATGATGATGATGATGAAATAAAATTGAAAGTTGTTATTAGATGATGATGATGATGATGATGATCACCTTTTATCATCTTATATACATTGAAGATGCTTTTATCTTGATTCATATTTACTCAGAGCTCAAGTTATCATGGATTCATCTTCATCCTCATCTTCAATTCTTACTCATTTTTGTCCTTTTATATTCAACCTTTAACCAGGTTTTCCCTATTATCATATCCACACAAACATTACTTTCTAATGTACATTTACCGTTATTTCATATTTTAAGAAAAGGAAACTTTGAAAGATGATCAATAATAATAGCCAATTGTTTCAGTTAAATTATTCACAGTGAGAGATGCAAATTAGACAATCAATTATTAATACATTGATTTAGAAAATGATGTTATTTAATTTTCTCTAAATACATTTTTTTTTTCCTTTCTCTTCATTCATTATTTGCCTGATTGTTTTACCGTTAACCAAATTGTTTTACTTGATTCTTGGAATAGGTAAATGTTATATATTGTTAATATAATAAGTAATTCCCTTCAGGGTTCTTGAATACAACCAGAAATCAACTTAAAAGATTAGTAAGAATCTCAAAGTCCATAAGAGGCTCTGTAATAATAGGGAAGCCAAACGATTCTTGTTACCTTTGGATCTACATCTTTTCTCGTTGAGTATTTACTTGACTGGATAAATGTTACTTTCTATCATCTTATAATTTACTTTTATCATCATCTTCATCTTCATCTTCATCTTCATCTTCGTCTTCATCTTCATCATTCTATGGTTCTGTTGATTAATCAACCTTGAACGATCATCTTATTGTTAAAGTAAATCCGATTTGGGGCTGAAGTTATTAACAATCAACTTCTTGATAAGTTTTATATTCAATCTTGCGATTGAATAATGATTATCATTGAAAGAAAGTAATTGTAATCATAATGACAATTTAATCTTACAATCAAATAACGGGATTTTCAAATCCTTCAAATCTTTATCATATTAACTCATCTTTCCCTTAGGTAATTTATTGTTATTGGATTTTGGTTTTTTCTATTTCTTTCTTAATTGTTGTTCAATATATATAATATTATTAGATGAATTTACTATTAATATCATGATAGTTAATTGTAAATCTCTTCCTTTGAACTTTTTTTGTTTCTCTACGAATTGATTAACTAATTTGATTATTCTGATAAATTTTATTCTCATTTGTAATTAAGAAAAAAAAAAGTTAACCAAGTAAACATAATCTAAATTGTTACATTAACTGATTGTTACAAGTAGAAAGTTAAATTAACAATCATGAGCTGAGTTAATCCTTAATTAACCTTTTCATATCCTTTTGTCAATTGTTTTGATTATATTAATTGTGATTAGCATAAATACAATTAATCGTAATTATTAATCTGATAATCAACATATATACAATTCAGTTGGTTGTGATTTACTTAATAATAATTGTTCAACAGATTAAATTGTTAACCATTATGATTAAAACTATTACCATAATGTTAATTAATGATTTCATTGTAACTTTGGTGACATTGATTTAATAATATTATCAATAATAAATTATTAATCAGTTACTAAATCACTGGTGATGATTTATCGCCACAACTACAATTTAACTTGATTATTATCATTTTTTGACTGGAGATTACATTTGATTATCATTGAAATGATAGACTGAAAGTTAAATAATAATATTGGGATAAAACTCAATTTAGTGAATTAACTAATATACTAATCACGTTCAAATACCACGTAATTAACTTTGATTGCATGATTGAATCGTCTATTCATTTACTTTTTATTACCTTCATTAACGATTCTCATTATGACCACCCTGATCATCCTAATTATCATCATTAGAATCATTTTCTTTAAACAAACTAAGCTCACAATCAGTAATCAGTAATTTAAAGTATTAACGTTAATACAATTTAGAATACACAATTTTCACTGCTTATTATTAGCAAAATTATACTTAATTGTTATCATTAATTATAATTAAATCTTCCATTCTTTCACTGTAACATTTCCTAATCATCAATGGCCAATGTTACATATTTGAAATCGAGAATTGAACAAAAAAATTAACTCAGTATCTGATTTCCAATGTTTTCATATTGTAATTGATTTACTGATTTAATTAAAGTCTCTCTATTTGTGTATGTCTAATGATAGAGTAACAATTTACTCCTCCTCGGAAATCCGGTTCTGTTATCAATATTGATTGATTGTTGACTTATCATCAACAATTAATCACAGCAAGAAAGAGATACAAATAATCAAACTGGTTAATCCTCTGGAATGATTAAAATTACCTTAATCATCATCATCATCTCTCTCTCTCTCTCTCTCTCTCTCTCTCTCTCTCTCTCTCTCTCATTCATCACCACGATGATATTTAAATGCTGGGAGAATGTGAGAATGTGATAACTTAAAAACATCATGTGTTCCTATTAAATGAACCATGAAAATGATTCAAATTAGAAAACCAGATCACATAATAGAAGAGGAAAATCAGATTAAATCAACTAATCTTGTTCATTAATCCAAAACAAACCATTTTTGAAAACTTCTAACATCTAATCCTTGTGATCTTATTTCCCACAGGTATAAAGGATTCAAAAAGGATTGTCCAAATGGTCATTTAACAGAACAGGTAATTACTTATATATAAACTACAGAGATGATTAAAGGATAATAATTAACCTTTTCAACTTTTTTTCCACTCGAAAAGTTAATCACCAATCAAAATCAGTGTGAAGTTGAAAATTGGAAATAATAAATAAATGATAAACACACACACAAGAATAAATTATCCATAACTATTGATTATTCAGTTTGTTCATGTTGATTATCTTGAAATTGTATCGAGAATATAATTTCTGATTCAATAATGAAAAGATTCCGATGTTGACATGAATCTAATATTTATGGTGAAAATGAGTCAACAAGATTTTCATCATTATCATTGTTATTATCTTGAAATTAACATCTCAAGATGTTGATAATAAAAATATGATGAGTTTTATATATATGAAGAGAGGAGGAAAATGATGATGAGGATGATAATCTTCATCTGAATATAGAAATGCTAATATAACAATAATATATATCAACAAATGTTGCAAAGTTATATCATGAATACATGATAATAATAGTACTATTAGTTACACCCAAAGTAATAATTTCTTACGGAATTTTTTTCCTTCCCTTTATTTCATTCATAACTTTATATTTTTGAAAGTCATTTTTCATCACAATCTAATCTAACAATTGACAACTTAGTTAATCATGAAGATGATTAGAATATATAAATTGTATTCCATTATATTTGGATAGAGAAACGATTTGACATTTATATTTATATTAAACAGAATTGAAATTTAGATCTCAAGAATGATGAATTAATTGGATCAATTTGAAAACTTGTAATACCTTTGTAAATATTATATCCAGACAATCAATTGATTGTTTGAGTGTGTCTATTAATAAATTAGTTTCCATTGTAATAATATAATCATCAATACATTTTCCATTCTCAATAATATTAACTGTTGATAAGTTAATCGTCATTCTGATTAGCATATTGTTACAAGTAAATTGATTGATTATTAATCTGATTCTCATTTTATCTCATGCTTCATGTATTGATAATTTAATAACTAATCACTCGTAAATAATAATAACATACGAGATTTAAATCAAATTAAATATGAAAAATGAGTTGCAATCAAGTCAAATTAATCTGATTAATGAACATAAACTTAAATCAAATGATTAATAATTAATCCAATGAATGATTGTTCAGATAATCATGATGAAAGTAACAAACTTTTTTTCGAGGTTAAAGTTTACTTTTGGAGGTTCGACCTTTTTACTTTACTTTAAATCCTTTTATCAACTAATTGTAATCTCTCTAATTGTTATAATCTCATTTTCATGAGAACTAATTGCTTATTCTAATTGTTTCAATTGTTTCAATTCTCTTTTCTATTCTTAGGGATTTTTTCGCATTTACAAGCAATTCTTTCCTCATGGTGATCCTTCAAGATTTGCATCTCTTGTTTTCAGAGTTTTTGATGAAAATAAGGTGAGTCATTTCATTGATTGACTTTAATTGTTTAACAATTTCAACAAAATGATGAGAATCCATGGCGAGGATGATGAAGATGATCAATCCCATCATCACCTGATCATCATTAGCATCCAAGTTTTATGTAAAAGTTTACAGGTCAATTGAATTTCAATCTAAAGGGAATCAGAAATGATGACGATGAAGATAAATAGAAGACAAAAGTTCTATCATATCCATTAGTAAATAATCCAATTGAACTGAGTTCTGTGTAAAAGATGATGAAAAAAAAACAGGAAGAGAATGAGCCTAATAATCATCTTCATCTTCATCCTCATCTTCATCATGGTCTTGTTATTATGGTAAAATTGTTGAAAACTAATGGAGATCAAGTTTTTCTGTGTCATTTTTTTTCTACTTCGTTTTTGACAAAATTTTAACTTTATCTTCATCTTCATCTTCCATCTTCCATCTTCCATCTTCCTCATCATCTAAAAAACTTTCATCCAATAATTGGTTCTCTCTCCCATCGATTCCCAGGATGGTTCCATTGAATTTGAAGAGTTTATCAAAGCACTTTCTGTGACATCTCGTGGTAATCTTGAAGAGAAACTAGTCTGTAAGTAGTTACCTTAATTATATTAAAAAGAAAATATTCTAATAATAATAATAATGATAATCTAATGAAAACAATGATAGAATTCACCATTTTCATGATCATCATTATCTATTCATATTCATCATCATCACTATTGTTCATCAAGTCTCAATGAGTAACATGAGTCTTATGTTTTCACAAGTTGCAAACTTCTAGTAATAAGAGAGAGAGAGAGTGAGAAAAACTTGATCACTCTAATGATCTAATAATGAACCGATAAAATTACCAATTGTAATAATTTCCAATCAATCAACACTCTCATCATTTACAGGGGCATTTAAATTGTACGATGTTGACAACGATGGTTTCATAACTCGGGACGAAATGTATAATATAGTTGATGCTATTTATCAAATGCTTGGTACTCATGCAAAGCCTGGAGAGGAGGAAGAGGAAACACCAAAGGAAAGGGTTGATCGTATCTTTGAACAATTAGATAAGGTAAATATCTATCAAACAATTAATTGTCACCATTTAGACCTTTTTGTTAATACATAAAGTTAGTTTTCATTCGTCATCAAAAATCAATAATTTCCACAATAATCTAGTTTATATCTTATGAATTATCAATCATTAAATGATCAATTTTTTTCATTTTAATCATTTGAATAATTTAACAGGTAAGTTAATGATGATTACTTTGATAATCATCAACTTAGAGGTTACTTGATTACAATTAATGATTGTTTTATGAAAACATTTCATTTGCAAGTCAATTGTCAATAAGTTTGATTAGCTTTTCATCATATATACCATTTATTTAACTCATTTATTCAAATGATAATGATGATGTTATCATTACCATTATCATGATAATTTCAGTAAACATTGAATTATAATATTTATCTAATTTAATCAACTTGAATTTCATCCATTATTATTAATAAATAATCATTTCAATCATAATTGTAAGACTTGAACTTAAACCTTTAAAGTATTAGCGTAAAGAAATCAACTAATTATCATTAAATTTTCATAGTTGGTTAACTTGATTGGTAGATTTTTATGACAATTATCAATAACAATTGATTGTTAATGATGATGATAGTTTATGAAAACTGTAGTTATTGTGGTTTTGTATATTTCTCAATGAAAGAGAGAGAAAGAGAGAGAGAGAGATGAATGAATGAATGAATGAAATTCGCAATATAAACACATAGATGAATGATTCGTTTCCATGGAAACCGTTTTTCAGAATTCTAAAATTGAATGAGTTCTGAGAAAAGAATAAGAAACTTTCCAACTGTATCAGAATCTTCGGAAGAAGAATTGAAAAAGAAATCATCACATTGTTTTCTCTGTAAGTGTTTTCCCCAAGAGTAAGAAACAAAGAAGAAAAATGAGAATTTCTGATTTCTGGTTAACATGATGATGGATCAAAATAAATCAAAGTTAAGGATTTCTGCTTCATGGTGATATTATGATAACCATATTATCAATGACATAACTGATTCACTCAGAATATTTGAAACGGTAGACAAAATTTCACTTTTCTCGTTTTTCTGGTTAATATTGAATTCCTATGGTCAAACAAATAGAGAGAGAGAGACAGAGAGAAATAAAAATGGAATTGATTCTAATCATATAAAAGATTATATATATTAATAAATGATTAACTTAATTCCCAAACGAATGATTTAATATATTCATGGAATAATTTTCTTTCTTTCTCTCCTAACAATCCGTGAGTGTTTCCAATTGAAATTGACACATTACAATTTAAATTATCCATCACCTTGAACTCGCTCATGAAATTTACATTTCAAGAGTTTTTCTCAGTTATAGAATATAAATAAATTCAATTTCTGTTTCTCTAAATTGTTGTTTGTTGTTTTGACAATTGATTGAAATGATGATGATTGTGACAATTTCTCAGTGTATATAATACATTTTGTTTTCACTTAGGAAAAGTTGTTGTTTTCTGAATAATAATTTCAATCTAAATTTTACAAAATTGAACTTCCAAATTCATGGATTTGAATGTTTATCTCTCTCTTTCTCTGAGAGTTTATTTCAAATCATCATCATGATGAAATTTTCATCATGTCACTTTAATTTTATTCATTTCATTTATACATAATGTTGATTGTTACCAAAACATTGAGTAGGAAGTAAATACGAAACTATCACCCTGAAGATACCGATAACTTCAGATTAACCAAGAACTTTTTTTCCCCTCTTCTTCTTGGTGACTTTGATAGAGTACAATTGGAAACCATTTACTTTAATCATTCCCATGTTACCTTCATTCAACTGGATCATGATGATTTCATGATCATCATGAAGATAGAGTTGAAGTCCAAAGGATGATGGAAGATGATGAAAAAAAAAGAAACTACAAAAAAGGTTATCAGATGAATAAGATAAAGAGTAAAATCAATTACCTCGAAGTGAAAAAAAAAGACTTGACCTTTATTTTCATTGCTCTTCATCATCTTATCAGTTCTGTAACATGGCTCAGTCTTCAACTCTACTCAACTTGATCATCTTTTTGATTAAGATAATTACGATAAATTGTAATGAACAATTTCAATTGTAACGAGACATTTACATGGTAAACAAACTCATTACTTACACATAGTTACATTATTATCATTGTTATTTGTACATCTCTTCACTCCCAGTTAAGTTAAACTTGGATTTTGTTTTCGTTACTCTAATTGCAATTAGTTAGTTGATTAAGTTTAGTCTTTAGTTTATTTTGATAAAGGAAAAAACTTCAATTATGATCATTAACTTAATCACCATTCGTTGTGAATAATTTTCTTACCATTTTCAAACTTGTAATCACAATTAACTAATGACAACGATGTTTATTATTGTTGTTTACATTTTAATGTGTTGAATAAATAAACAATCAAAATGAAGACGAGGAAAATTGTTAATTATCATTCATCATATTGACATTTTCCAAAGTCATTCAACATATTATATACACACACAATAATTATCTGTTAATTAGGTTGATTAATAATAATCAACCATTTAAACCGTGATAATTTGCGTCTCTGATTAATTGTTATTGTAAATCATAAACTCATCTACACTATTAACTTGAAGTTTTATTGTAATTAATATGATTTATTAATATATCAACAGTTAATCTGTTATCAATTATTATGTTGGATTAACATCATTAAATATGAATGATATTTACAACAATATCATGATTAAGATAATCATTGTAATCAACATTATTATTAGTGAATTAAGGTCAATGGTTTAGATAATAAAAGTGAATTTAATATAATAGGTTGATAATTGTACTTAAGAGGATTGAAGCTCAATCGTTGTTATTGTTGTATTTTCGTTGGAAAATAATAATAATAAATAAAATAGAGAAAAAATTTTTTCGAAAACAAAGTTTCCAACATTATCGTAATAACTTACGGTTGAAATTCTGTTGCTATTCCAATGGTTTTCCATGAAATAATCATGAAAAAACATCTTTCGTTATCTTTTACTATCTAAATGTTACCTTGTAACCTTCTGGTCAGCTGATTGGTATTGACCTTTAGAAGGTTTTTTTCAGTTTATTAAAATCTTTGAAAATTAGGTCATATTGAAACTCAAACTCCCAAAAATAACTGGGAGTGAAAATAATTTACTATTATTAGTTTTTGATAGTAAAAAAGTGTCAATAGTTTTACAACTGACCTGTGATCATTCATTGAGTCCATATATTATATCAGTTATGTATTTATGAGTAGATTTGACATTGAAAGGTGAAATGTTGATTATTATCAATTGAATTTGATTAGAATCAAAATTAATGATGAAAATGTTATTTTCAAAGCTTGAGGGTAAAATAAATACTAAGAAATGAATGTTCATTAAAATAATATCAAGTTTATCATTATTAAATCAAATTATGGAAAAATTGTCTCACTCAATTATTAGCATGATAAGTATCATAATTAACTTGATTACCAAACAATCAACAGATTATTTTACCATTAACAATGATATTAAAATATCATAATGAAGGAGATGATTTCAATTGTTGTGAGAATTAAGTTTGCTCCAAATATTATAATAGTTTAATCAACTGTTGACAATTTCACCATTTTTATCAATACAATTAACGTTAAATTGTTTCTATTTTGTATTCCGACTATGTTGATTTCTGTTTTATCATCATCATCATCATCTTAATCATGATGATTGAAATGAAATTAAATGACAAGAACAGGAATTATCTTTATTATTAGTTTCCATTATTATCTTGATTGTTATTCATGGGTTTTTGTGTTTCTATTTGATTTTGTTATTACGATTTTCACATGAAAAACTAGGATTTTCAATCATCATCATCTTGAGTTTCATTTCATTTATATCACTTGATCATCATGATGATTCAAACTGAGTAAATATAAAGAGATGATGATGATGATGATGATGATGATGATGAGAGGAAATAAAAAACGAGAGCAAAAGAGACCAAGAAGATAACCTTATTATTATTGTTATCAGCATGTGAGTATTTTCACCATTCAGATAATGAGAACTTTTTTCCTTCCTTCAGAATTGAAACAAACAATAAACATTCAGAGAGAGAGAGAGAGAGAGAGAGAGAGAGAGAGAGAGAGAGAGAGAGAGAGAGCATTGAGTTTGATTCTTGGAAAATAATCATTATGATCATCCTCATGGTGATGGAGAAACAAAAACAAAAATAACATAAATGTTTCAAATCGATTGAACTTTTTGTTGTTCAGAATGGAAAACATTTATTCCTATTGACAAAAGATGATTTTCTCTGTCGCATTTTACTTTCTATCATTTTCTTTTCGTGAATATTATTACTTTACGAACTGTAACTGTAAAGGACAAGCGAGTAATCAGTCAAATTAATCAGGATGATTAGTAGCTGATATTATCATTTAAGTCAATCCAATTTAAATCTGTCGATGTACAATCATAATCATTTGAACAAACATTGAGTAATATTATGATTCAATTCAGTTGATGGTCACAAAAGTTTACTTTTTTTTCCAGAATTATTATTGTGTAACATGGTAAATATATATTCTACCGAATCCATATCAGAACTTTGGGTTTTACTTGTTACCTTCTTTTTTTTTTGAAATTTCAGGTGGAAAATTGAGATTATTTTAATGAATCGAGAATTTGAAATGAAATGAATTCACAAGTTGGTATAAAGTTACCATGGATGTTAAGATGATATTTCGATGATAATAAAGTAAAAGTAATAATATAAATGATGATAACATTTTCTCAATCTAATCTAATGATTTTCATGGTGATGATGATTAAATTCCGACAAAATCACCAATATTTTCATTCACCATGAAAACATTTATTCTGAATCCAAGATCTGTGATCTTTATAATCGGGTCATTAAGATCAGTCGATTGATATCAATTGTAATCTCAATACAATTGAGATTCAAGTTTGTTGATCATTTTTTGATATTTTCCATCAGAAATTCTGACCATTCTGATGAGAAATCATTAAACTAAAAGTATTTATCATTAAGGTAGGAAACGGAAACCCAATTTCATTTCCTATCGAATTTTTTTCTTCATCTTCTCTAGTGACAATATTAAACTTCTTCCACTAAAAGTTCGTCTTTATATACACAATCATTATTAATATTTCTCTTTATATTATCTTCATTTTCTCTTCATTTTTTTTTCTTCTTCTCATCATCATTATCATCTCTCATTTTCTTTTTTTTTCTTTCTCCTTCAGAACCATGACAACAAGCTCACCTTGGATGAATTCAAAGAGGGATCCAAACAAGACCCGAAGATTGTTCAAGCTCTTTCACTTTATGCACCTTGAGAAGGATGATTAAGGTGGAAGATGAAGATGATGATAAAGGGAGAAAAAAAGATAAAAACAAAAACAAGGATGAGAGAGATGAAGATGATGATGATACAGATGATAACATGGTGATGCCAGGGAACAAAAGATTGAAGGGAAACAACAACAATCAACCAAGAAGATGATGATGATGCTCATGATGAATGATAAACAACAACATTCAGAGGAAAGATAATGATTATATATTAACGATCAAGAGGAAGATGAGTTATCATCATTATCTTCATCATGTATTTACTCAACTTTTACCATTGGAACATGAAAACGGAACTTGTTGAGTTGATGGAAGCGAACAATTAGTTAATTGTTCTGCTGACAATTAACATCTTTTTAATGGATCGTTTAAAAGCAATGTAATAGTAATACAAATATACACACACACACATAAAGAAAAAGCTTTTAATCAAATTAATACTCTTACAATTAACATTTCACTTTTGACCGAAGGTTAATCATGTAATTCTGATGGTCATCGAATCTTTATCATCCTTATCATCTTCCTCTCATCATCATCTCTCATCTTCATTGCCGATATTTTTGTTTCCTAATTTTATCCTTTTCGTTAATTATTATCATTATTATTGTTGTTTTACAATTTTAATCATTGTTAACTTAACAAACTCACCTTAATTGCTTAACCTTCAACAATTATACACATTGACACAATTCAGATTTACACTAATTACATATGATTATCATGATTAATATATTATGGTTACTATATTATTGTTATTATCATTGTTATTATCAATATTATTATAAATATTATATATAACAATTAAGGAAATCACTGAAAAAGCCAAGACAAACTTTCACCTCTCTTGTGACAAGACAATTGAATCAACAATTAATAAAATAACTAAATCAAAAAGAATCCAATTCTCTCATTCTGTTATTAGATTTGATTGTTTGATATTAGAAACTTTTATTTTCGCAAATAATTTACCTTTCAATTAAGTTTTCACATTGAATTATCAACATTTAAATTTAATCACTAGATTTTTAATAAGAGTTAAAAAAATATATTTTTAATGATTTTTATATAATATAAATAAATAATTTAAATTAAACTTTTATAAAAACACGTTGGTCACTGTCATCCATGTATTGACCATAAAGTGGATTGCTAAAACTACGGCCATCAGTTGATTGTTTTTGTTTGCCATCGTCCAAACTCACTGGTAGCATTGGAGCGCTAGCATCATCATTAAGACCATCGCCGTATTCACTTTTTTTGAGATTCCCGTCGAAAGCTGGATTCTTAAAACTAACGGCGACCTTTTTATCACTATTGTAACGTTTAAAGATGGATGATCCGAATGGCTCTAAATGTGTCGATAAAGTTTTAAGACTTTGCAAGCTTGAAAAAGAGAGAAAGAGAGAAGATGACAAAAATATGGAATTAGATTAAATTAAATTAATATAATTATTATTATCATAATTATAATCATTATGTAAAATGTATACCTTTGAGTTCTGTAAATAATGATTAACATGAGTAAGACAACTATGAGTATAATTAATATTATTATCCAAAAGTGTGATGTTTGGTGTAAGCCAATAGAAAGTTTTTCCTGCTTCTTTTCACAGGACGAACCAATGTACTCATTTGGACAATCACATTTCCAACCGATAACATCGTTAATTGGTGTACAGGTTCCGTTATTTTGGCAAGGATTAGAGTCACAGGCTTTGTTAAATTTACTAATCTGAGGTATTGATCGTTCAGCAATACAGGTATGATTATCTTTGTTTAGTCGATAATTAAAAGGACAGGAGCAAGTGTAAGTGTTATTGACATTGTTTCGCAACAGGCAAATGTGTGAACAGTTTGAATTTTCACATGGATTTGGTTCTAGATTATCATGGAGAAGAAAATTAAGATTACAAATTTAATCTAATTTAATAGAGATTCGAAACTTACCTGCTCGTTGTAAGACTTCATGGAAAATTTTCATTGCATGAGCTTTAATGTTTCCTCTATGGACAATGACACGAGCTTTACCGGTGAATTTGTTGCATTTCATTAAGTTATCGGCTCCCGTGTTGGCCCAGTAAATATAATCTTCGAAAACCCCAATGGACAAAGGTTTAAGAAGACTGTAATCGAGAAGTCTATGGATATTTTTACCCTTGAAATTACAAGAGTACATTTCTTGCTGTTTGGTATCAACCCAATAAATCATTTTCATCACTGGATCAACGGTTAATCCACTTGGTGAATTTAAATTGAAAGCGATGATTTTTTGTCTATTACGACCATCCAAATCGGCTTTTTCAATGCGCCCGTCAGAAGTTGAATGAGAAGCTGACCAGGATGACCAGAACATTACTCGATTTTGAGGAGAAGCAACAAAACTGTCAATTTTACTTAATTCAGTTGCAACTACCAGGCCACAATGTTTATTTTCAGCATTACAAACAGCAATTCGAGAATCTGATTCGACGAAATAAAAATTACGACCAATATAATCCCAAGAAAGATGACTTGGTCTCTCAAGGCCAGAAATTATCTCAAAATCAGATTGTCCACCAGCATAATGAATTCCTTTAATTGTACCCGCTTCACTGTCGATCCAAAAAACAGTTCGATTTTGATAATCATAATCCATACCTTTCATGGTTAAAGTCCGTATACGAACAATCGAATGTTCCGTTTGGGTGTGAAGACTAATCGATTTAATTGCATTTGGAAGCATATAAAGTAAAGAGGCTTCGGTGCCATTAGCTTTACATTTATGACCCTCCGAAACTGGATAATAACCCTCGGCACAGGTACATTTAGCACCACCCGGATAATTGTCACAAAATTGGGAACAGAAACCATCTTGAGCACATTCATCGATATCTGTACATGTTTTACCATCAGCACCCAAGAAGAAACCAGGTCGACATGAACATATTGCTCCTTTTGGTGAGGGATGACAAATGTGCGAGCAATTACCATTGGAATAGGCACATGCAACATCACAGTGATCACCTTCATCAGACTGATCTAAACAATTAGGAATACGATCGCAGACATTTTTAAAATCGACACAATCACCTGATCCACAAGGGAAACTACCATCTCGACAAGGTTTACCGGTTGTTGTCTCTGGATTTGGTGCTGTACATTGGGGACTTGTTTCATCCCACCAATCGCCACAATCATTGGCATTATCACAAAGCCATTTACGTGGGATACAACTGACCGATACATTGGGTGATCCACAGCGAACTTGATCAGGTGGACAATCAATTCGTTCAGGACAATTTTCCTCGTCCTCCTGGTTAACACAATCATTGTAACCATCACACTTTTCATTTGGATAAATACAATGACCATCAGAGCAACGGAATAAATTAGGTGGACAGGTAATTGCGCTGTATTGACAATCAGCGTGTTCATCGGAATTATCTGAACAATCAAAAAGACGATCACACTCCATTCGAGCATCAACACATGTACCTGATGTACATTTGAATTGACCAGAGCTACATTGAACTTTAGGACAATCAATTTCATCTTGACCATCGTTACAATCAATTTCACCATCGCATCTCCAAGTAAGTGGGATACATTTTGCATCGGAACATTGGAATTCAGATGAGCTACAAACTTTTGATGAACAATTTTTTTCATCACTTCCATCAGAACAATCATATAAACCATCACAAACCCATTTCTTTTCAATACATTTACCCTCAGGACAACGGAAAAAGTTTTCTTTACATGTATCAGAAGTACAATTACCCTCATCTGAATGATCCTTACAATCACCGATTCCATCACAGAGCCAACCTCTAGGGATACAATGTCCATCATTACAACGGAAGTTGGAATCAGGACAAGCAGGGCCACAACCATCTTCATCGGTACCATCTTCACAATCAATACGATGGTCACAACGAAGTTCAGGAACTAAACAGGTTCGATCATTATCACAAGAAAACAATGAAGGAGCACAATGTTTTTCCAACTCACATCTAGTACCATCGATCAATTTATGTTTAGGTGGACAAAGGCACTTGACCCGACCTTCCAATGAGACACAAATGTGACTACAACCTCCATTGTCTCTTAAACATTCACTGGTCAGTTTTTCATCTCGAGCGTATAAAATGAACTTAATGATGGTTCTATTCTCGGCCACTCTTAAAGCGATTCGACTAAGTTGACTACTGCCCAATTTAGTGAACCACATTGAACTTGATTGCATTGATGTCCAATAAATGGTATCATTATGGACCACAAGAGACATCGCTTGACCACTTTTTGATAGAACAGTTGATCGAGCAGTGACATCTCCTGCCAGGTCAATCTTTTCAATGGTTCCTTGTTCCTTGGCATTTGACCAATAAAGACGCTTACGATGTTTACAAAGGAACAGAGATGTTGGTGAATATCCGGTAAGAGAAAGATATTTAATCTTATGTGAACCATCAAGAGCAGTTTGAATTATGTGAGGATCTGAACCAAGATTTGCAATGAATATTTTATTCACTTCCTGATAGAGAGCCATATCAGTTGGCCTTTCGAGGTTGGATAAAAGCGTTGTTCTTGCGGTTCCATTTGAATTTCCAATTTCTAAAAGTCCAAAGTTAGGATCAAGCCAGTAAAGGTTATTGGTAAAACTATCGAAAGTTAAACCAAGAACAGTTTGATTTGCTAAGGTGAATACTTTCCTTACTGATTTAGAATGATGAATATCAGTTAAATTAAGAGCAAGAATCGCGCTTTTACCATAATTGAAAACATAAATTGTCGCCGTATTCCAATCATAAGTTAGAGAACCAAGAATATCATCTGATGACCAAACAGGGACTAGAACATTTCTTCCAATAGATTCAAAGTAGATTCGATTGATTTGATTGGCAGCAGAGACGAGGAGGAATGGATCTTTCAACTTAGGAACACAATTGTAATCACTTGAATCTAATTCAAGGTGGTTTGGACAAGCACATGAAAATCCAGTACCTTGAAGAAGACAAATATGACTACAGGGATTGTCCCAACAAGGGTTATCTCGCTTCGGGGATAAAACTGGATGGAATAGGTGGAAAGCAGCGATATCAGTTGGATGAATTAAACGAGTCCGCTTTGTACCAGTGTTTTTGTCGATCATTTCAATTGAACGACCACGACGAGAAGTGAAATAAATTTTATCTTCAAAAATACCAATCCTTTCAGGAGCTAAATCGTGTTCATGGAAAAATTGAACACGTTTTCTTGTTGCAAAATCCCAATATTCAATTCGATTAACCTTGAGATCAGCCCAATATAAACGATCAAGAACTCGGTCGATTGTTAAACCCGAAGCATGAATTGTATCGTTTTTAATCAGCATTTCGATTGATGAACCATCCATATTGGCTTGATAAATGTTGGCACTTCTTCCCCAATCAGACCAGAACATAAGACCTTTCTCAGGGTATAAAACAATTGATTTAACTGATTCAATTCCATTACGAATTAAAACAGAACATGGATTCCCTTGTTTCTGACAAACAATAATCTGCTTTAATCCATCATCAGCAATATAAATGTTGTTTGCGACTGAATCAACGGCAACATCAATTGGATCTTTTAAACCATCCATTACAATGTCACGTTCATCTCCATTAAAACCAACTGATTTAGCGTGCACATGACCAGCGCCATCACAGGCTTCAACGAAATAAACACTTCGCTCAGAAGAATCCATATCAATACCCTTTACCTTACATTGACCAGATTCTGGTGATTTACCGATCTCAAAGTAACGGCGACTTGTTAAATAGTAACCACGGATTTGACTTCCCTCTGAGAAGACAATCAAAGCTTCATGATTTTCAGCGACACATGAACCCCCTGTGATAATCTGTAACCATCTCGACAACTACACCTGTAGCTACCTGGATGATTAGTACAAATATGGGAACATGGAGTTCGTGGTAATGAACATTCATCAATATCGACACACTTTTTACCAGTATTATCAAGTTCATATCCTTGCTGGCAAAGACAACGTGGACCTGAGGGCGTTTGTTGACAGTCACCTTGACACCCAAATGATTCACATTCTGGTGAAGCACATCGAGGTGATTCATCGTCACCGTGTGGACAATCAGTGTTATTATCACAAAGACATTTAATATCTAAACATTTAGATGAAAGGTGACATTGATAGTGATTAGCAAATTCGTGACAAGGACTGTGACCTTCTAGATCACAGTCCAATTCATCTGAGCCATCGAAACAATCCTTTTTACCATCACAGTGTTGAAGCTTTGAATTCAAACAGGTACCATCGTAACAGCGGAAAGAGTTGATACATTTAGGGATTGAACAGCCAAGTTCATCATCATGGTTCGGACAATCAAAGGAATGGTCACATTTTTCATCCTGTTCAATACAATAAGTTGTATTTTGACAATTGTAACGATGTTCACTTTTACAATCAGTTTCGGGATCATAGCCTAAAATTGGACAATTTGACAATAATTCGTCTTCACCTTCCTCACAATCTCGATGACGATCACAAACGCTAATTTTAGATATGCATCGACCATCATTACACGCAAAGTAAGAAGCTGGATCACAAGTGAATTTCCAAGAATCATCGGACGATGGAGATAAATGTTCCTTATGAAAAGCAGAATAAGCTGAAGGTTGTGAGGGTTGTGGATGATAATGAATACCTTCAGCGTTACGATCATCACGAGATAAAGATGAAGATGAACCTAATGACTTTTTAACATTTGCTAAATCACGTAAACGATCAGCGGGCGATTGTTTAGCCTCAGGATTTTGATTAAATGTACTAAACACAATGGGTTGACCATAAGGATCACCAGTATCCACTGAACGAGGTTTAAACCCTTCAACCCTAATAAAGGAAATAACAAAAAGCAAAGAAAAACTAATCGAGTATCCGACTAGTTTAGGCCACATTTTGAGTCCCTTTTATTAAACCAATTTGTCCAACAAACTCACAACAGGAACCACACAATCAAAATGGTGGAAAATGACTAAAAGAACAATCAAAGAAAAAAAAAGAAACAAACAAAATTAAAATTAAAAGAACAAAAAAAAAGCCAAATACAAAAGTGATGAGTTTATGAGATGATGAGGGAAGAGGTTAAACTGATTAATAAAGAGAAACAAAATAACCTAAAATTAACTGAGACATTTTCTTAAATATATTCAAATTAACTGACCATTTACGTTTCGACACTTTAACCAAGGTGAATTAAAGGTTAATCGTAATCTATTAACTAATCAAATGTAAGATTAAGTGTAGAGTTGAAAAGTGAACAAAATGAAAAAAAAAAAAATTTTCTTTTCTAAAAGAGGGAAAATAGTCGAATGAAGTGACGCCCCCAATGTCACTTGTTCTCTTCCAATGGTTAATCATTTCCATCGAAAGAAGAGAAACTCTCACATTTTAATTGTTCCTTTTAGCCAAACAATCTAATCAAATGATTTGCTAATTATCTTAATTGTTCAAAGATACGATCAACCCTTTCCTTTGGTGTTTCCTCTTCCTCCTCTCCAGGCTTTGCATGAGTACCAAGCATTTGATAAATAGCATCAACTATATTATACATTTCGTCCCGAGTTATGAAACCATCGTTGTCAACATCGTACAATTTAAATGCCCCTGTAAATGATGAGAGTGTTGATTGATTGGAAATTATTACAATTGGTAATTTTATCGGTTCATTATTAGATCATTAGAGTGATCAAGTTTTTCTCTCTCTCTTATTACTAGAAGTTTGGAACTTGTGAAAACATAAGACTCATGTTACTCATTGAGACTTGATGAATAATAGTGATGGTGATGAATATGAATAGATAATGATGATCGTGAAGATGATGAACTCTATCATTGTTTTCATCATTATTATTACTATTAGAATATTTTCTTTTTAATATACATGTAATTAAGGTAACTACTTACAGATTAGTTTCTCTTCAAGATTACCACGAGATGTCACAGAAAGTGCTTTGATAAACTCTTCAAATTCAATGGAACCATCCTGGGAATCGATGGGAGAGAGAACCAATTATTGGATGGAAGTTTTTTAGATGATGAGGAAGATGGAAGATGAAGATAAAGTTAAAATTTTGTCAAAAACGAAGTAGAAAAAAAATGACACAGAAAAACTTGATCTCCATTAGTTTTCAACAATTTTACCATAATAACAAGACCATGATGAAGATGAGGATGAAGATGAAGATGATTATTAGGCTCATTCTCTTCCTGTTTTTTTTTTCATCATCTTTTACACTGAACTCAGTTCAATTGGATTATTTACTAATGGATATGATGAAACTTTTGTCTTCTATTTATCTTCATCGTCATCATTTCTGATTCCCTTTAGATTGAAATTCAATTGACCTGTAAACTTTTACATAAAATTTGGATGCTAATGATGATCAGGTGATGATGGGATTGATCATCTTCATCATCCTCGCCATGGATTCTCATCATTTTGTTGAAATTGTTAAACAATTAAAGTCAATCAATGAAATGACTCACCTTATTTTCATCAAAAACTCTGAAAACAAGAGATGCAAATCTTGAAGGATCACCATGAGGAAAGAATTGCTTGTAAATGCGAAAAAATCCCTAAGAATAGAAAAGAGAATTGAAACAATTGAAACAATTAGAATAAGCAATTAGTTCTCATGAAAATGAGATTATAACAATTAGAGAGATTACAATTAGTTGATAAAAGGATTTAAAGTAAAGCTAAAAAGGTCGAACCTCCAAAAGTAAACTTTAACCTCGAAAAAGTTTGTTACTTTCATCATGATTATCTGAACAATCATTCATTGGATTAATTATTAATCATTTGATTTAAGTTTATGTTCATTAATCAGATTAATTTGACTTGATTGCAACTCATTTTTCATATTTAATTTGATTTAAATCTCGTATGTTATTATTATTTACGAGTGATTAGTTATTAAATTATCAATACATGAAGCATGAGATAAAATGAGAATCAGATTAATAATCAATCAATTTACTTGTAACAATATGCTAATCAGAATGACGATTAACTTATCAACAGTTAATATTATTGAGAATGGAAAATGTATTGATGATTATATTATTACAATGGAAACTAATTTATTAATAGACACACTCAAACAATCAATTGATTGTCTGGATATAATATTTACAAAGGTATTACAAGTTTTCAAATTGATCCAATTAATTCATCATTCTTGAGATCTAAATTAAGATAATCAATTGATCTTCATTACCATTTTTTCATTATTTTATCAAAATCAATTTTATTTATTTAGTTTAATTGTTACAGAATCAGTTTTCTAATTGTTATGCTGATTGTTTTGGTGATTGTTTAGATGATAGAAGAGCCATCGTGACCATAACTGAGCTCTTGTAATGGTGATCTGGTTTATCATTTCCGATTCCGGTTTCATATAATTTTCTCCATGTGACTTCATCTAAATCTTGTCTACATTGTGATACATTTCTGAATCTAGTGCAAGCATAATTAATTGCTTGTGTTGTCTGTTGGCGTAAAAATAGTAAATTAATTAGACTTCAATGTAATTAACTGTGATTTCTTTTGATTTCTTACAGTTGAATGGACCATTTTGTTGAGATAATCCATAGTATCTTCCGATGGTGAACAAATTGTCGCCGTTTTCTGATTAAGACAATCCTGAGTTTGGGCGTAAGCACAACAACCTGCGATTATCTGATCCTCCGATCTAACATTATCCATAATCCACTCTAATTGTATAACATAATTATCTTTACATTGATGGATTGACTCAAGATCATCAGCTGATGCATTCCTAAGACAAGCTATATGATTGACGAAGGCTGAAAATTACAAGAAGAATCAAAAGGTTTCCGATTAATCGTTAGAATCAATAAAAGTTGATCTTCTCTCACCTTCTCTTCCGGTTTTTGAACATCGTTGCTTCAAATCGCGTTTAACGTCGTAAAGAAACGAAACGAACAAACTTTTGGCCACAGTTTTCATACAATTTCTCACGTAATTTCGTAAACAATGATAATTGTCGTACATTGTTCTGGGTAAAGGATTAGATTAACGATTAAAGGAGTGGAAAATTGGATTAGTTAGATAATCTTACCTGCAATGGATTTCCATTTGTGTATTATTTCCTGGAATCAGAACATCTCGATCACCGATGAATGCTAATTTAAGGCCACATCGATCTGATTCCTCGGCAATAGCATCACAATTAACTGATTCTGCCACCTTAATAATCCAACACTGAGCTGTTATTTAAGAGACACACCAACAGTTAGCAATTAATCAACAATCAAAGGGAATTTGATTTTCTTTCATGATTCTGATGATGATTGATCAACTTACCGATAATCAAGATTAAAACAAACGATGTAACAATTAAGCTCATCTTTTACTATTTGATCTTTGATTTAATCAGATAGAAAAATGGTCAACACGATAAAATTCACTTCGATTGTCTCCAACTAACATCACAATTAAATTTGATTCAATTGTTTAATTTTTCATTTCTATCTCACTCTCACTTTTTCTCTCTCCTTTCGTTTGTTAATTGTCGTCTCTCAATTTCTTGAATCAGAGACAATCAATGATGCAAATCATTGTTTACCAATAGTTAATTGTGTTCCTTATTAATCACGCAAATTGTTAATTAAAGAAATGGTTTCAAATTAAAACCCTTTTCTTATGTATTGTGATTAACGATAATAACCTTGCCTACGATTGGAAATTGAAATTTAGTTTAAAATTAAGTGAACCTTATACACTTGATTGGATTAGACAATTAACTAGAAACAATTAATCATCAATGAAGAATCATAATTATCCAATGCTAAGACAATTGCTACGGTCAAATATCCTAATCAATTATACTTCTGGTACAAAATTACATTGATTGATTCACTGATTATCGAAATTGTTCATCAGAACAATCAGAACTTGTTCATGAGAATCGAAAAGGGGGAGGAGAAACTCATGAATTTGAATCAATGTTTCAAAGAAAGAGAAGAATAAAAATCAAATGAAATTCGAAAAAAAATATCATGATAACTACAAACGAATTCAATGAAATGAGAGTAATTTTTTCTTCTTTACGATTACATATCATTCTAATCATCTGATAATCTTCCAGGTAAATTTCAAGGTTAATTGTGACAATTTAAACCAACAATTAAGACACAAGATGATCAGTTGGTAACCATGGAGATGGTGAAACTCTGATATCAAATGGAATCGAAAAAGTGAAAAAAAAATTCATATTAATTTATCTTTTTATTCATACAAACGATTCCAAGTCTCGATGCTCCATTTAAGGTTCAAGGTGCACAGAAGAATTACAATTAATCAATTGATTGGATTGTAATTAAAGATGAAGGATTATAAACGAATTTCAATCAACACAATCAACTCGAGATTTTTAATTTTCTTTCCTCTCACTGACCTTGCGTTGGAAAAAGGCTTCAACGTTTCTCTTTCTTGATTCTATTCCATGTTATTGTTTATCTATTTCTCTGTTAATCAAATTTAATTGTTAATTAATGTTTCTAATTCTATTCTAATTGTAATTGTTGTCAATTATATTCACCATTCTATTAGTGATTTAACTGTTTTTCTTGGTTCGTTTCTGCATTCGTTTGATTTTCTGCTGTTTGTGTTTACATTTCACTCTCCCTTTGTCTCTCGCTCTTTGGTTTATCATTACAATAACATCATATTTGTATCGTGACAATTTGGTTAATCACAATGGGTCAAGATTATACTGATGGTGGTGGTACCAGTTTAGATGATGTATCAGCTGATGATTTACCTAATGCTTTGATTGTTACCAGTTTGGATATTTGTGTCTTCAATTCACCTGAGGAAAAGGTTGGTTTCTGATTGAGTGTTGTTGACATTTGATGTCTCTACCTGTAAATGTATTGATAGTAACACTTTGACATTTTTGTTTTTGTTTTTCTTTAGGAACAATTTGAGGCCATTTTTAAAGAGATTGACAATTCAGTGACATTTCAATATTTTAAAAGCTTCAAGAGAGCAAGAGTAAATTTCTCTTCTCCATTAACAGCAGCCAAGGCTCGAATTGAATGTCACCAACGAAAATTTGGTAACTCTGTGATCAATTGTTACTTCGCTCAGGTTGTTGAGGTGGTTGGTACATCGAGTTACAATCGACTTTGTCCTCCAGCCCCAAGTCGTCAATTCTTAATCTCTCCTCCAGCCTCACCACCAGTTGGATGGGAACCACGAGAAGAAGCAGAGCCAATAATCAATTACGATTTAATTACTGCAATAACTCATCTGACTCCCGGAGAAACTCATGAGATCCATCCACCAAGTCAAGAATTACCAGCGATAGTTGTTCATGTTTGTGAAGATGTTTCTCTGCCCGAAGAGGAAGAAGTCAATCTATCTTCCGACGAAGGTGGAACACCAGGAAAACCTCGAATGAAAATTCAGCAAACACGTAGACCGCCTGTTCGATCGTCATCCGAAGGATCGGAAGATTCATGTGATTCACTTTCATTAACTCAGTGAGAGAAAATCAACTAACCTCAACTAATTTATCTTCCTACCTTCAAGCTAAGAACCTTGATCAATTTACGAGAAAGAAAGATTCGAATTCTGTATCTTTCTGTTTCTGTCTGTCTCTCTCTCTCTCTCCCTATTTCTCTCTGTGTATCTGAGAGAGTGTTGAAATCAATGAGAATCTGAAGAAATCGACTCACCTTCAGAATCACAATCACCACGAAACTTTAACAATTCTCATTCTCTAACACTCTCTCCCAATCTCTTTCTCTAACCTTCGTATATTCATCAATTGTGATCATTTGAACGACTCACAATTGATCCTATTATTAGTAAATCATATGCATATAATGTTATATGTATGTTATCATATTAATAGTAATTTTAAATGTATCGATTCAACATTCAGACTCTTTTTTTTTCTGAGAAAAATTTGATTGGTGAGAAATGAGAGGAAAACAAAAATAGATGTTTAATTATATTAATAACATGTAATCAACAGAATCTGATTTAACCTTTGATTCTAATACAATCAATTTGACAGTTAATTGTAACATTGTTTTTCATAAGAATCTCTCATTTTGTATTTTGAGACAGAAAGAGTTGAATATGAATTGAATTGTAGGCAATCAATTTAATTGTATGTACACAGAATTAGTTATATTTTTGTCATTCCGGTTCAGTTTGTTTTTTGTTTTCTTTCAAATTTTTTCTGTCCTGGTCATTTTCTTACTAATTGTTATTGTAATCAGTCCGACTAATCATAATTAACAAACTCTGTCAAGTGTAATTGTGCTAATTGTTATTCTATATCAGAAGAGATAATGTCAAAGTTAATTGTAAACCTTAAAAAAAATATTTACTTCATCTTGAATTTTTAATATTCAAGCAAAATGAAAATTGTTCAATTGATTAATCAAAATGATCCAAAATGTAACAAGAAATCAACAGGTGTCCAACACTTTTTAATTGTAAATAATAACAGCTCTGATTAATATCTTCATGATCAATTCATATTTGTTATCGTAAATGAAGAAATGTCAATCACCATGTAACTATCCCTTCAATTGAATCTCTGCAATAATAAATGATAGATGGAACAAAGTTTTGTCTTTAAATGGTCAGTTTATCATAAGTTGTTTTCCCCGTGTTGATAATGATGATGATGAAGGTGATTTAATTTACCATGGAAAATATTAATTGATAGGAAAATTTAAATAATTAGTCGATATAATCATCATGATCGTCTTTATATTCAGCAATTTTATCGGCAAATTTTTCAGTCCAGGAAATGAAATCTTCGTGAACTCTGGTAACCAAAAATGCTGGATCTTTTACCACATTGGGACCTACTCGAACATGTCCATGTTTAACGTATCGAACTAATCGTGGAAATTAAAAAAAAAATGAGAGAAAAGAAAATTTTAAGAATAATTTGAAATGAAAGGTTTTCTTTTCCTTGGAATAGATTGAACTTTCGGCCTTACCAGCAACGGCCAATGGAGCACTGAACATTCCACTTTTTACCATGAAAACGGGAAGACGACGACGACAAAAGGATTTGACCGTTAATGCAGCACATTTTTTCAATCTTTTAGTATGAATTATTCCAGCAACATAAAGTCTATCAGTTAATTCTGCTGAACATTGTACTCTGAATTCATCTTTGGGAAGAGCTGCTATTTTATCGGTCAATCTACGAATTTGTTGAACAAGTTTATTGTACCTAAAACAAACAAGAATATCAGGTAACAGATTAGAAAATAAAAAAACGAACAAAATAAGCTAAACAATCAATTTAGAATAAAAAATTAAACTAACCTTGTGTACTCTTCTCTGGTGATGTGATATTTTCTCATGACAGTAATTTCTTTGACATTGTTTCCTTCCCAGTTAATGAAATCAACCTTCTTGAGAAGTTTACGTTCATGATACTTTAATTTACGAACCATTTTGAAGAATTAAAAAAAACAACTCAAAATACTAAGAAAAAAAGAACAATTAAAACACAAGTAGATTAGAATTGGAGAAGAAACCAAATTAAAAAAAACTCTCACATGGTGAAAACCAAAACATTAACCAGATTTTGAGAGAAAAGCGCGAAATTTAAATTTGAGAAGAAAATGTAGTAACTTGAATGTGTTGCCACCTGTTGGTTGGTTTAGGAAAAAGTGTCGGTTTCAGTTTGTTGTTTGTTGTTAGTTGGTGTTGAGAGAGAGAGAGTCAGTTGATTGTTAATCTTAATCATGGTGGTTTAATTTTGATTATGATTCATTTATTTTTTGTTCAGTTAAACTACCTGTTGATAAGATGCATCGTTTGAAATCGGAAGAAGCCTCTGTTATCCCACATGAGGAAGTAGCTGCTCGTTTGTCAACCGATATAAAAACTGGTCTCACCTGGAGAGAGGCTGAAACCCGACAAAAGTTGTATGATTTTAATGAACTTACCGTTCAAAAGCAACAATCTCTATGGTCAAAATATGTTGAACAGGTAAATCAAATTCTAAGAAAAAAAATTTCTCATCCTTTTCTATCCCCAAAACACAATTTACATTAATAATAATCTCTTGCTTTTTCTTTTCTCCTCTGTGATCCATTTTCTTTTCTCTTTGGTAGTTTAAAAATCCATTGATTCTCTTGCTTTTAGCTTCAGCAGTCGTCAGTATTTGCATGGAACAATTTGATGATGCATTTAGTATAACTGCGGTAAGTTTTGTTCTTGACCATCAGTAATCAACGAAAACAAGATGAAAAATTTTCTACAAAGAGAACTTTTTTTTTATATTCTATTCGATTATCTGTCACCATTGAAGAATGTCAGATGTCAATGTTTTTCTTCAACATGATATTTAAAGCGTGTATTTTTTTTCCATCTCTTTCTCTCTCATATGATTAATTAGAGGTTATTAATCTTGAATATTTTTCTTGCCATCTATTTTGTTTCCATCCTTTCTAAATACTTCCTTTAGGCCATTTTGATTGTCGTTACTGTTGCCTTTATTCAAGAATATAAATCAGAGAAATCATTAGAAGAATTGAATAAACTGGTTCCACCAAAATGTACATGTTTAAGGGAAGGTAATAGTGAAACTTTTCTTGCCCGGAATTTGGTGGTTGGTGATATTGTTTTATTGAGCATTGGTGATAAAGTACCGGCTGATATACGGTTAATTGAAGCTGTTGAATTGGCTATTGATGAGAGTAGTTTCACCGGTGAAACTGAACCATGTTTAAAGACAACATCGCCCCTTGTGATTAAGGGAAATGGTGGTGTTGCTCAGATGAAGAATCTCGCCTTCATGGGAACTCTAGTTAGGTGTGGTTATGGTCGAGGAATTGTTATCAATACTGGAGTTTACTCTGAATTTGGTGAAGTTTTTAAAATGATGCAAGAAGAGGACTCGCCTAAAACACCCTTACAACGAAATATGGACACTTTAGGTAAACAATTGTCCTTCTACTCTTTTGGTATCATTGGTTTTATCATGTTCCTCGGTTGGTTACAAGGAAAACCTTTACTTAAAATGTTCAATATTGGTGTTAGTTTAGCTGTTGCTGCGATACCTGAAGGTTTACCCATTGTTGTAACTGTGACCCTTGCCTTAGGGGTAATGAGAATGGCCAAAAGGAAAGCAATTGTTAAAAAATTACCCACCGTTGAAACGCTTGGCTGTGTGAACATAATTTGCTCCGATAAAACTGGAACTTTAACCAAGAACGAGATGACAGTCACATCCATCGTAACTTCAGAGCTTTACTTTGCTGAACTAACCGGTGTCGGTTACAGTTCGAAAGGTCAATGTGTTCTAAATGATGAAGTGACCGATACAAGTGTTCAAATAAATTCAATTAAAAGTGTCTTAGAAATAGGTTGTATATGTAATAATGCCGATGTGATTGGTGGACACTTGAGAGGTCAACCCACCGAGGGATCTCTTATCGTGGCTGCTCAAAAATTGGACATGTATGGAGTTCGTGATAAATTTCACCGTGTTCAAGAGCTTCCTTTTAATTCAGATCAAAAGATGATGATAGTCAAATGTGTCGCCAAATTTAGTCCAACCAAAGACGAAAAATTTTTCGTCAAAGGTGCAATCGAACGGGTACTCAGTAGTTGTACTCGTTATTCGTCCAACGACAATCTTGTGCCTTTAACTTCAGAAAAGAAGTCACAGTTTCTGAGAGAAGCTCAAATTATGGGTCGAAAAGGATTACGAGGTAAAAGAATCAATCAATATTCATTTTCTTTACACAAGTTATCAAGAAATTCAGTTAAAATATATAAACACTTGAATCGAGAATCATCAATATGAATCAATCAAAATCATTAAAATTAATCGTTTTCATTGTAATTAATTTTGTTCCTTCTTTAGTGTTGGCTATGGCTTATGGAAACAAAATGGAGGATTTGGTTTTCGTTGGCATGGTTGGGATTCTTGATCCACCTCGACCTGGAGCCGCTGAGGCAATTAGAACCCTTTATGGGAGTGGAGTTCAGGTCAAAATGTTAACCGGCGATTCGGAAGAAACTGCTTGCGCTATTGGTAAATAATTTAACCTTAGAATTAGAAAAGGAAGAGAAAAATAATTTTTTCTTTCGATTCAAACTTATTTTCAATTTTTCTAATTGAGAGAATTTTGATTCCGTGAAGTGTGACTGATTTTATTGATTCTTCTTCATCATCTCTCTCATTTTTCAACCTTTTCTTTATAATCAGCATCCCGTTTGGGTCTATATGCTTTTGGAAGTACATCTCTTTCCGGTGAAGAGATTGATGCCATGAATGAACAAACTCTTCAAGTAAAGATACCAACTGTTACGGTATTTTATCGTGTCAGTCCAGGTCATAAATTGAAAATAGTGAAAGCGTTACAAAAAAATGGTTACATTGTGGGCATGACGGGCGATGGTGTCAACGATGGAGTTGCCCTGAAAAAAGCGGACATTGGAATAGCCATGGGTAAAAATGGAACTGATGTTTGTAAAGAAGCTTCGGATATGATTCTGGTCGATGATGATTTCTCGACAATCATGTAAATATTTTATTCTCTTCTTCTAATCAGCTACTGACAATTATCGTCATTATTTTATCTTCTTTCCGGTTCCTTTTTTTCTAATCATTTCTTCTCATAGGGCTGCAATTGAGGAAGGAAAAGGACTTTATCACAATATCCGAAATTTTGTTCGATTTCAGTTGAGCACGTAAGTTATTCTTTGTCTTAAAAATAGTAATTAATTTGATTGATTCTAATAACATTTCGGTGATAAGGAAAATGGATTTGCCTTGGTACGAATTAATCTTTTCTCTTCCTCTCTCTAATCTAATCATTCTAGATCCATTGCAGCCTTGACTCTAATCGCTTTATCAACATTAATGCGTATTCCTAATCCATTGAACGCTATGCAAATTTTATGGATCAACATAATCATGGACGGTCCTCCCGCTCAAAGTTTAGGAGTCGAGCCCGTTGATCACGATGTACTTAAACAACCTCCTCGAAATGTTAAACATCCAATGATCAACAAAGATCTGATTTTCAATGTACTACTTTCTGCTGGAATCATTATCTCGGGAACAATATTTGTCTTTATGAAAGAGGTACTTCTATTATCATTTGTTAATTGTTAACAATCAAGAACATCATCAATACCAATCTATTTGAACATTTGCTTCTTTTATTTGATTGTTATTAATGTTGCTAAGTATTTTTACCTCTTTATTATTATTATTATTATAACAATTTATTTCAGATGAGTGATAATCAAGTAACTCCTCGTGACACAACCATGACTTTTACCTGTTTCGTATTTTTTGACATGTTTAATGCCTTAAGTTGCCGATCTCAGGTAAGCTAATTGAAATTATTGTTTCAAATTTTCATCTAATTGTTGAATATTTTTCTTAATTTCTCAGATTAAATCCGTTTTCACAATTGGTCTCTTCTCGAATAAACCTTTCCTTCTTGCTGTTGGAGGTTCAATTGTCGGACAAATGCTTGTCATCTACGCTCCACCCTTACAGAAAATTTTTGTCACCGAACCATTGACACTAATTGATTTGGCAAGTTTATTCCTGTTGGCATCAAGCGTTTTCATCGTCACTGAATTGAAGAAAGCATTTGAAAGAGAATCATTAAAGCGAAAGAAAATGAAAGATGTTCAACAAAATCATATGGTTTAATTATCTAATTATTAATCCGAAATGATCATTCTAATGATAATCAACTTTAATACCTGATGGCAAGATTAATTTCTAATTCATCTTCTGTCATCATCTTTACCATTGACAGTTTATTATAATTTTCCAACGTTAATCATATTTATCAACGTGGATGGCAAATAATTTTCATTATTCAAACAGGACGATGGAAATAAATTGTTCCAGGATAACAATTTACTAAAGGAATCAATCTCTCTCTCTTTCTCACTCTAATTCTCGGCAAAAATATCCATAATGACCATGAAGATAACATTGATCATGACATCACCATCTCTCTCTCTCTCTTCATCTTATAACATCATGAGGTTGGACAATATTACCAAAACTCTGTCAACAATTGTCACTAATTGTGATTTACTTTTCCTTTCTCATATCATGCATACATATTACCATTATTATCTCAGCTAATCATGATGTTCATTATGAATCTGATTTCCGTCTAATCATCAATCTCTTTGCTTCCTCTTTTTTTACTCTAACAAAACAATCACAATTAGTCAATCTCCCTCAAAGCTAATTTACTTGACAGACAAAAAAAAAGTTACTCTATATTTTTACAATTAACTAATCATATTTAACCTGAGAGTATAATTTATAGCTAATTATTATCAGAGACTTAAATTATCATCAATCATTGTTGAAACAATATTAACGTACCCTCTTAATTGTGATCAGTGTTAAAGTTTAATATTGTTAGAATGTGCAATTGAAAAATCAACAACAATCAACAATTTTAAATTGCTTATGCTGATTTAATTAACTGCTACTGAACAAATGTATCCTCATCTCCCTTTTTTTTACAATCCGTTAATCACAATTAACCCTCTACTCTAATTTTCTCATTACATGTTTGCCTTTCTCTTTAATTTCATTTAAATTGTTATATGATCGCAATCAAGTTGATTGTTTGTGAAACTTTTCTCAAAACTCTGGTCCCTCTTTTTTGATTAATAATCATCAAAATCATGATCGTCAACCAATTGTGTTGATTATCTTAATTGTTAATCTCCGTTTGATGAACAAAAAAAAACTCCACAATTTAATCAACTCAGTATTCACTTGTAAACCAAAACAACTGAAAACGTTTTCTAATCAAGAGTAAAAACTAATTTCTCTCCATCAATTAATCAATTACTCAATATTTATGTTACAACAATTATTTAATCACCAAGATTACCTACAATTGAAAACCGTTAACACTCAATAAAATGATGACAATCAAAAGTTATCATTGATCAATTTAATCAGCAGAAAATCAATGAAAGAAAATAACTTATCTCTTTTACGATAATTGATTAAATCTACTAATTGTTACACAATTAACCTTCACTTATGATCACTAATAAGATAAATTGTCTACACTTTGGACAGAACAATTAAAATTAGAACTGTAACTTTGATGGAAAAGTAAAGCAAAAAATCAAACCAACCAGCAATTAAATTAGAAAAATTTTCCAATTGAATCAATAAGATGAAAGAAATTATCTAATTGTGATTTAATTGTTTAGACAAATTAAGAAAATTTCATGAAATGAATTTCATCTGAGCGCATTATCCAAATTTACTTGGCGATCGATAACCAAAGAGAAAATGAGAGAGATTTTTATTCTCTTTCTTCTCTGTCTATTTTTACATTTTCTTCAATTCTCTCTCTCTCTTTTTCTGTCTATTTTCTGCTCTTTCTTTACTCTCTCATCATCATGAAGAAAGAAAAAGGATTCAACTCAAAACAGAGGAAAAACCTATGAACCTTTCCCTGGACATTGATACACATTCTGTCACCATCAACATCCACCTTGATCATTTACCATCATCTCCATCAACCTAATCATTTGTTAACTGTTTCTGTGTGTTCACAATTAGTGAATCAATTGTGTCTCTTACAAAATGATTAACTCACCATTCAAATAAGTGATGATGGTCAACAATTAGAGAGAAATAATCACCACAGGAATATTTCTCTTTCCATTTTCTATTATCTCCATGAAGAATCTTCATCTTTACCTTTAGTGCTCTCTCATTTTCTACTCTCTCTCTCACCTAACCAAATATTATGTTATTCTACAATTTTCTCAGTCACAATTGTCATCATCATCTTCATCTTCATCTTCTTCCTCGATTGGAATAATTTTCATTTCTCTCTCACTGATGTGATGTTATTATTTTCTATTATTGGTGATTCGTAGCATCTTCTCATTACCAGCTAACGTTATTTTCTTCGTGTCGCCATTTTAACTCTTTCTTTTTTACTTCTTTTTTGGTAGAATTTAAAATCCATAATTTGAAATGGTTATCATGGTGATGAAGATGCTGACAGTTAATGATTTAACAGCATCAACAAGTTCACATTGTCACCATGAAATTGCTAAATTACCATTGGTATTTTCGTCACCAAATGATCACCAGAGTAACAATTTAAATGATGATGATGATCATTGGATTGATCTGTTGTTAATCAATCAACAAACGGATTGGATTGTCTCCATTTCAAAGTATTAATATTTTTACTAATCCAAATTAAGATTAATCATCTGGATTGTTATTATATTCACGCTCCCAGTGAAAGTGTTATATTTGTAATAATTAAATCAATTGAATATTTTTTGCATCCATTTGAGGTTTCAACTCATCACATTGGGAATACAATTTAAAGGCCCCAAATCAATTAAACCCTAAGGGTGTGAAAAATGATTACCAACATGATTACCAGTTGATTATTAATCCACCAAGACCAATAATCTGTTGAAAATTAGTTATTTTCTAAATCCAATATCCCTTAATACACTAATCATTCAACTTTAATTTTTTTCTCTTCTTGCTAATTATTCAGTGTCATTGGTTTTTATCCTTAATCAACAATAACTATGAGACCGTTTAAAAGTGTTTATTACCATTTAATTGTTACAATTATGAGATTATCATCATCATTATATAAAATAATATTGTAAATGTTATATTACGATTAAGGTGAATACCCCCCAAAGGAATCAAAGAAATACCCAGCAAATCAAACCCTTTCGAGGAAATAAGAAGCAATCAAATTTACGGCGGAATCCACAATTTGCTACAATTAAAAGGGAGGCAATCATAAATATATAATCTGCATCATTATTTACATCATAATTAAATCATCATCGAATCATCATCATCATCAACAAACCAAATTCTCTGTCAACTGAAGCTCATACTCACAGGAAGGAAAAAGAAAATCATTCAACAGTTTCAACATTTTCTTTCTCAATCTTCTCATATCATCGGTTTTACTATTAAGTTGATTACATTGTTACTAAATTACAATTATCTATACATATAATAGAATTGTGAACAATTAACTAAATTATGGCCCATCATTATCATCGAAGACAAATGAGACAAATCGCCGAGGCTCAGGCTAAAGCGGGAGAATCTGCATCTTCCTCTGGTGTCAATGCCTCCGGGGCAAATAGCGAAGATCAACCAGCCACAAATCATCCAACTCTCAATGATTCAGTTCCATGTGAAGATTGGAATCCAAATCAAATTGTTTATCGAAAGGTGATCATCATCATCTTAAATCAAATGAAATTAATTCTAATCTTGATAATGGATTTCAATTAATTCCAATGGATCCAAATGATTAACACGATTTACTTTAGTTTAATACTCACTTAGAATCTTTAATTGAATCTCTCTCTCTCTCTTATGGTAACAATTTAAATTCAACCTTTGATTATCCTGATTGTTAGTGTATCGACTATCCCAATTTACTATTTACAAAAAGGTGATCAACTAATCAATCACCATTAATATTACTAAAGATCTCAAACTAGTTAAGTAAATGATCTTGTTGACCGACGAGCGATAGATTTAATTGTTTACTAATTAAATAGTGAACGAATTGATTTTCTCATTGATAAAATTAGCATTGAAGTTCCAACCTGAACAATTAGTGATTTTTGAGCAAAGAAAATGATAAAATATAAAAGTAACTCTTGAATTAATCAATTGGGTCTATTGGTTTCTTTTTCGTTAATTATTTTCTTCTTACAATTAAATCGATTGTCTCTTAATTGCTGATTTTTACCTTTAATTGTTTCAGATGGAGATCGTGGTTGAGAAAATGCAAGATGAACAATTTGGAGTTCCTGTTAAAACAGTTAAAAGTTTCATCTCAAAAATTCCCAGTGTATTTACAGGTAAGAATCAATTATTTTCCATTAATCATAACTAATTAATTCACTTGAGAGAGATAATTTTCTAAACAATTAATCAATCATCAAATGCTCAATTAAATTGTCACTTTCAGTTGGAAATTTTGATTTCTATTGTTTATCATGATTTTCCAATGAAATAAATATAATCAATTGTTGACAATCATAACCATGATAACGATTATGATTAATTTCAAATGTTAATTAACTGAATTAATTGATAATATTAATAGTTACCAATAATTTCAACACTTGGAAATGATTAATCAAGATTAGACTTGTCAGTTTATTGACAAATCACAATTTAAGCCAAAAATAGTTTCCAATATTAATAATATCATAATGATAATAATTTCCACAATCAATTAATTGTTGACTATTGAAATTGATTAAAATGATAATCAAATTGATTAAAATGTAAAATTGAGATTGAAAATAATTCAATTCAATAGACTAACAATCAAGAGCCATAGAAATGATTAGATTAATTCAATTTCAAGAGATTTAATCAAACAGTTAAAGTTAAATATACAATACAATCAAGAAACTAATTTGATTAAAATCGTACAATTTAATTAAATAGCAAGAGAAACAAATGAAATTAATGAAATCACCAAAAAGGGTAAATCATTTTCTCAATTGTATTATTGGAAATACAATATAATCAAACTAATTGTAATCAAAGTGCTCTGATTGTATTGAAAACAAAAAAGATAAGGTAACTATTACAATTACAATTACAATAAACTGGATTAAATTGCATTCCAACAATTAAGGTTTGTAACTTGGAGCAAAAAAAAAAGTTAATCTGTTGAAAAATATTGATCGACTTTCTTTAACCATGTAAATATAATATCCTCATGATGATGATGATGATTATCCCTTGAATTTGATCAGATTGATTTGTTTTGTTATCATTGTTGTCAGGTTTATCTATTGATGTAATATTGTATATATTACAAGATGAATTATCATCTTCTTGCAACTAATCAGCTGATTCTAATTTATACCCTCAATATGAACAACAATTGAGAAACTAGGTCAATAGTCTCGTAGTATTAAATATTAGTTTGTGTAGATAAACAAACAGAGTGAAAGATATTACATAATATCAAGAGAAAAAAAAAGAATATTGTATTTTTTAATATATTATTATTATCGATTTTAAGAAAAGTAAATGTCAATCGTAATTTCGTAGTCCCACTTTTTATATTCTCCAAGTTAAATCAACAATTTCTCAAATTGATCGATAATATTAATCGTCGTTAAATTATTTTCTATTAGCTTTTCCTTTTTATCTTCCATCTATAATATCAGTTGATTGTTTTTCTTTACCTTAGAAATTGAATATAATTCATATTAGATCTTTTCCTCATGTATTAGTTATAACATTTAGTTTCTGGTTTGATAAAAAATTTTTTAAGGTTAGATTATTTTTCTCATAGTAATAGGTTGGTTCAGTTATTAAGACTGAGTGACTTTCTGAAATCTGATCTAAGAAGATGATGATGATGATAGTACTGGATGATGATAATGAGAGGATGATGATGAAGATCCAAAGGTCATAAGGAATCAATATTTGTAAATCAAAAAGATGTCTTAGGTCAGATGAGGATGGAGAGAGAGAGAGAGAGAGTGTGTGTGGGGGAGTTTGGGAGGTAAAGAAAAGAAATTGTTGATGATGAAGATGGAAGATGATGAGGATGAGGATGAGGATGGAGATGGTGATAGAAACAGGGAAGGAGTGATGAGAGGAAGGAGGAAGATTGTGAAATAGAGGATGAGAAGAGGAATGAAAATTTGTCTACAAGACTGTTTCTGTTTTTATCGATCCATTTGATGGAGTCAATGAAAAAATACTAAGGTTGCCTTTCTTACTCTTCCTTCATCATCTTCATCTTCATCATGCTCAACCTTCATCATCAGATGAAGATGATGATGTTGTTGTTATTGCTGATAACGGTATTAAACCAGTGTAGTTGAATGATGAAGAGGTAGAGGAAGATGAAGATGAGGATGTTAAGAGGATGGATATATAACAATAATTGTCTCTACTTCAAGTTAACCGCAAATTTATTGGACCATAATTGTTTTTAATTAGTCCTTAATTATGATTATATGTTTTTCCTTTCCTTTTACTAATTCAATGTTAATGTTTATCTATTTCTAATTGTTACCATTTAACCTTTCCAATCAATTTCTTTCCTCGATATTTATCTTTGCTCTTTCATTTCACTGATTTAAATGATTCCCATTAAAACTAATCATTGGTAACAATTAACATTTAATCGCTACAATGTTTATCTAATCAGATTATCTTAATCTTGTTCATGTCTCTAACCCTAATATCTGGTTACCTGTATTATTATTATCGTAATTGTTTTTAATCATGATCAAAGATTATCATTAATATTGAGTTTATCATTGATCAGTTGATTATATTGAGTTAGTTTTGGTTCATTTTTGTTGTTGATTAAATTGAACTAATTAGCAAATTATTGATTCTCATTATATTGTTGCGATTCATTTGATCTGTCATGATTTCTAATGATTATCGTTATTGATTTTTGATTGATTAGTTTATTACAATCATTGAATGTTTTAAATTATTGTTGAAACTGTTTATTGATTGGCTAATTGTATACTAATCATTATCTATATTTGAATGGATATTAATTGTTTGCTGATTGTTGATAATGTAAATATTTATCTTAATCATGTTCCTCAATTGTTGATCATCATCAGGTTGACAGTTTCGTAGTTAAAATTGTGACAATTTGTCAATCGATTTAATCAATTGAAATGTTAATTAAATGATTAAATCTTTAATTGTAATAACAGTAGTTTAATTTTATTCAATTTAGTTTAATTCAATTTGTTAATCAAATAATATGAATACTAATTGAGCAACTTGGTGATTAATTGTTTTACCTTGAATTGTAATCAATTTTAATTTGATTGCATAAATTAAACTTTGAATTGCAAACCTTTTAATTGAATCATTTGAATAACAATTTAGTTATGTCTCTGTTTTATAATTAATTGTATCTTGTAACTCACAACAATTTGTTGATTGGTATGATTAATATTCATTAATCACAAAATTAATTTACAAAGTTAGTCAATCCAATTGAGATAAACAATCAGCAAACAATTTACTATTGATGATAATAGTTGATCAAATTGAGATAATAATTAACCTGAAAACTTTTTATTGGATTTTTAATTGACTCTCATCTCTAATTATACAGGTAGTGATTTAGTGGCCTGGATGATGAAAAATTTAGATGTCGATGATCAGATTGAAACGCTACATTTGGCCAATCTAATGGCCGCTCATGGTTATTTGTTTCCTATTGATGATCACGTTTTAACGGTGAAAAATGATTCAACCTATTACCGATTTCAAACACCCTATTTTTGGCCATCTAATTGTTGGGAGCCCGAGAATACCGATTACGCTGTTTACCTTTGTAAAAGAACGATGCAGAACAAAACTCGCCTCGAACTAGCCGATTATGAGGCCGAAAATCTTGCCCGTTTACAGAAGATGTTTTCTCGAAAATGGGAATTTATCTTCATGCAGGCAGAAGCACAAGCAAAGTAATTCATCTTTCAACTGTTACCATATTAATGTCAATCGAATATTAATCATTTCTATTAACAATTACTCATAAATCGTAAATCCTTATGAATATAATCAGAATAATTTAAATGGAACAAAATTCCTACGATTTCATTGTATTATATTGGAAGGATTCGATTTCTTGATTCGCTAATTGTTTGCTTCTTTTGTAATATTCGATGGATAGTTAGTTAATTGTTGCATTTTCTTGTTGATTGATCTCGTTTTTTTGCTTCCTTTTGATCATCTGAACCTTTAGAGTTGACAAAAAGCGTGATAAGTTAGAGAGGAAAGTCTTAGATTCTCAAGAAAGAGCCTTCTGGGATGTCCATCGGCCAGTGGTAAGTTAATCAATCAACTAATTTCTGGAAAATTGCTGATTAATTAACTGTCAATTTCTCTATTATTCTAACAATTAAGCCTGGATGTGTAAATACAACTGAAATTGACATAAAGAAAGCATGTCGTATGAACAAACCCAAAAGTACCAAAGTAAGTTGAATATTATTGTTGATTGTGATAACAATTAGTTAATTATCTCGCTACTTTCTCTTCTTAATTGTTAGCATGCTACTTCATCTGTTGGTGGTCGATTAAGTCCAGTTAGTGAAAGTGCTAAATTTGAATTACTTCGTAAAGAAGTTGATTATCTTCGGATTCGATTAGAACATCGAATCGGTGGAGTTAAATTAAGTAAAGTTTCCGAAACTTATTGTACATATTTTGACCAGTGGGCAGAATATGATCCGTTCATTACTCCACCTGAGCCAACAAATCCCTGGATTAGTGATTCAAATGATTTCTGGGAACTCGAACGTCAAACGTGAGCAATTTAATCTTATCCTTAATTGTTTCGTCTTATTATTTATTCACCTTGTATACAATTATCATTATTATCACAATTTACTATCAACCTTCATGTTGGTTAATCGTTTCATGATCAATATCGTTGATTGTTGTTTCTATTTCTAGAAATTACAATTGATATTCAATTGATCTCGAAAATTTTTCTTCTAATAACAATTAATAATCAGTCGTTATAAAGTAAATAATAAAAAAAAAATTGATTCCATTGCCAAGAAAACTAATCACTCTAATCAGCCAGTTAATCACCTTTCACGTTATAATTAGTAAACTTTTAATTATCTGTTTTTCTAACGGATGTTTTGTATGTAGCAATTAAAGGTAATTTAGATGAAGCAATTTGTTTATTAGCTTAACAATCAAAACGATAATTGTTAGATTTTCCAATTATATATTAGTTATTGAAGTTTGAATGATTGCCAAGAAAGTTAATCACATTTAATCACATCGACAACGGGGATCAAATTACTGTAATAATTAATTTAATTTTAGAGGTGAAAACTATTGTATATTTTAACCTTGATTGACTTAATTTGATTCTAATTGTTACCAATCATTAATCACCACAGGAAGGATGTTCCTTGTCGCCGTGTCCGCCGTTGGGCTTTCTCATTAAAAGAGCTACTCAGAGACCCGGCGGGTCGAGAGCAGTTTATGAAGTTTTTGGAGAAGGAGTTTTCAGCCGAGAATCTAAAGTAAGCCGATTGAATTTAAATTGTTAACAATTAAGAAAATGATCAATTTCTACAGGTAGAAAGGTATCAAGACAAGAAGATGGGGAAATGTTGCTCGTTGATGGAGATGAAGATGAAGATGAAGTGTCTCAAGGGTTCAGTAAATTAGATGCTCTTGAGTGGGAAAGATGAAGATGAAGATGAGGATGAGAAGGTGATGAGACTGATTTTAATTGTAAAATTGTCTCTGATTGTTGATTATCAACTAACGATTTTCATGATAAATTTTGAGACAATTGAAGTTATTAGGTTATTCGTATCCGATGAGATTCTGATTTTAATTGTTACACTTGGTTAATTGGATTGATTATCAAGGGGAATTTTTTAATTCCTCTCTTACCTTTACTCTTGAATTGGCATTGGGTGATTAAAAATGATTCTGAAACTTTGATTAACTCAATCAACCTTTAATTAGATTTAATAGATCTCTAATTACAAGGATTTAATTGTCTTGATTATCTGCTAATCAAATGTTTGTTCACGTGTGTATTTAATGATGGATTTTTTTTGATTACTATTGTATTAATTGTAATGAGGAAGACAGCAATTAACAATGATCATCATTAGATAATCATAATATTATTAATTTTCCAGACAAACTAAATTAAGGTGATCAATTCTTAGCAGTTAAAAAAATGATCAGTTGATCAACATGTACCAATTCATAGTAACTGTTAATTGTTGTCAATTAGTCGGGTGATGATGATGATCATAATCAGCTGATTTATTAATAGTTTAATCCTCTTTGTTTACAATTTATTTTGATTAGGTCAAAACAATTGAGATTAACTGTAATAATAATAATAATATATCCCATTTACTAATTTACAATTGATTAACTTGATCAAGACAGTTTAATTATCCTTGATAAGCCATTTCTCTTACAGATAATCATTTAATTATCCCAATAGATTGTTAATTGTTATGCTAATTGTTAACAGATTCTGGGATGCGGTCCAAGAATTAAAATGTGTCCATTCAAAAGATGTCGCAGCAAAAGTTCAAGATATTTGGTCTGAATATCTTGGTACAGGTAAATTGTCACCATGATAATATTGTCGATGATCATGATCGCAATGATTAAGTTTAAATTGTCTTGTTTATATCAACAGAGGCTAATTGTCCGATCAACATTGATTCCAAATCATATGAAACAACCAAGAAAAACATGGAAACCAAACCAAAGAGTCGATATATTTTTGACGAAGCCGCTGGACATGTTTACCTGTTGATGAAGAACGATAGTTATCCTCGTTACCTGAGGTCGGAAATGTACAAAGAATACCTGAGCGGGACAAAGAAAAAGGTAACACTAACCAGGCGGAGTAGAAAAAATTAAAATCTAGTTGATTAATTAACAAATTATCAAAAGAAAACAATTAAACCAGAAAATTTGGTTAGCTTAACAATCAATCAAATTGACCAGCAAAACAAAAAGACACAACTGACAAAAACTTTAAGACTAAATTATTTACTAATTATAACTAATTTACTAATGATAAAACTAATTCTAATTAACAAACCAAAGTGTAGATTAACCTAAAAATGAAATAATATCAAAAACAATTAACTAATCATAAAATGAAAATCAATCAAACCTAAAACAAAAAACAAACCTTTAATGCTGATGATACAAAACAAAAACTTAACGATTTAGATTTGACTAAATTAAAAACAATCTAAAATGCTTAATTGTTATCATGATAAATTAATTGTTTCCATTTTTCTGTTGTTGCTGTTGTCTAAATTGCTGTTTATCGCTGCTTAATTTACTAATCAACGAGTCGTTGATTCAATTTGAAACAATCAGAAAATCAATTAATCAAACTTTCGGTTAGTTTTTCGTTCTGTTGGAAAAGTTTTCGCTATTAAGTTAATTTAATTTTTTTTTCTCTGCGTCTTTTTATCGTAACTTTTTGTTAATTGTGTTTCTTTATTTTTTTTTATATTAATTTTCTTTGATATTATATATACAAACTGTTGATTATAAAAACGATAATCGAAAGAATCGAAGAAATTAATTAACCACCTGATTGCTAATCATGGAATTGCTTGATTGCTTGTGTTTCTTTGTTAACTTCTTCTTCCATTCTCTATATATTTAGACTTCTGTAAAAGGGATTCGTGGTGTAATAGCGTTCGGAGCCAAAAAAGTCGGAGATCAGATCGCTTTAACCGCTGCCAATACCGCAACCTCCCTCAATTAAGTGAACAATCAAAAATAACGATTGTCCAAAAATTGTCCTTTCATAAAATTATAATCGCAATGAAATATTATTATTATTACTATTACCATTTACTATTGATTAACTTTCCAAACCTAAAAGCCTTCAAATCAACATTAAACACTCACACACATTCACTAGATACTTTGTGATTTACCTTTTTCTCTGTTTCTCTTTTCTGCTTGACCAATGGTCAACACAACATCTCTAATTGATTTTTCTCTCGATAGACAGAGATACCTGCCTATCGACTTTATCTTTTACCTTTTCTTTTCTCTCCTTATTTCTATGCCTCTGGCTGCGACTTCTATTCCTAGATGACCCTTTTAAAAAAACGCTTAAAATCATCATCATAATCATCTTCATCTTCATCTTCGTCATTCTTTTCTTTCCATATTTAGAAACTTTAATCTGATCATTTCAGTTTCAGCGATTAATTGATTCTGATTAGTGGAAATTAATATTCAATAACAATGGTAATAATAATAATATCTAAAAATGCTTTGCTCTGTTTCCGAAAAAAAAAGGTTCGATTACTTGGCTTTCCTCATGTCTTTCTAACCTTTGCCCTTCCTTGACCCTTATTCTTAATCCCTTTTCTCGTTCTGTCCCTTTGACCACAACCTGTTGATTTGCTTATAACTGTTTTCTTACTTGTTGTTATTTCGCCTTAACTTTTTTTCTTCCCTCTGTCTCTGTAGACTCACAAGCTTGACCAGCAACCAAAGTGAACTGACCACTCTAATCGTCTCTCTCTCTTCTCTTTCTCTCTCTTTTCTTTTTTTGTTAATCTTTATCCTTCTCATCAGTGTATCATCTTTATCTTCATCGTTATCATCGTTGCTTTTTACCTTTTACCCGCTGAGCTTTAAAGTCTTAGTTTGATTTATGCTCATGTTTTCAGCCGAAGAGTCCTAACTCTCTCTCTCTCTCTCTCTCTCTCTCTCATTCACTCGGTTGGATGTTAATCTTGATAACAAATGACAATCATCATCATTTATCTGAAGATAAAATGATGAATATGATTAGATGATGAAGATGATACTAATTGTAATGATTTGAAGACGATGATTCGGTTTTAACATAACCGAATTAGAGTCACAAACTAGAAATTGAATGTTAATCTGTTCACTTTGATTCTTGATTAAGCTTCTGATCTAATTTATCTTCTTAATTCACAATTTATATTAATTGCTTGGTTATTTATCCTTTTCCTCTACTATTATTTTACCCTAATAATCAGTTAATTGCTTGCTAATCATATCAAATCCCCTTCGGCTATTGTGAATGTTTCAAGTTAATTGAATCAATTGATTTATTTTCTTGATATTAATTGTGATCAGTTTTTTTTTATTTATTTCTAAATGTTTCCTGCTACCTTTAAATATCTAAGTATATGTGTTATCCTAATCACAATCAACTAATTGTTGTCACTTGTTTTTGTTTTCATTTTGACTTAATCCAGTTTAAACTTCTTCAATTGATCCTAATCAAATCAACTGATTGCTTGTGATTTGATTACTTTGATTGAGGATAATTTTTAATTTCTCTCTATTAATTTATCTATTAACTACACTTTCACTTTCTAATCAATCACAATGATCACACACATTCACACACTCAACAAATTATCACAATTAAACTAAAAGTCAGTCACTGATCAGATACAATCATTTTAATTGACAATCAATATCCAAGTCCAGCATTTTAATTAATCAAGACAAAACTTTAGGTATTCAATTGATCATACCAACAATTAGAATGGACAATTAAATGATTTATCTGATCTGAAGGCTTTTGCACATTCACACTTAATGATTTGTTTCTTGATTATCTTACTATTTACACTTAATTTAATTTCGTAATTAAATCACAATGATTAATGATTATAATTTTGTCTTTCTCTCTCTCTCTCTCTCTTATCATCTCTTACAGCATAGTAATCGTTTCATTCCTAAACTACCAAGTTTTAATGTTTAATTGTTGAGAAAATTTATCAACAATTAACAACAAATTAGAAAAGTTAATTAAACAGATAAACAAAATTTCAAAAGTGGACTGTGATCAACCAAAGAAACCGAACGATTTAAAAGACTCATAATTAACTAATTATATATTCATTAACTCGATTAATGGTTAATTATCATCATTATCATCACCATTGTACGAACAATTAACTTAATTGTTGAAAAACGAGAAGAAAACAAAATCTTCAACTTTGAATGTTAACCTTTTTTTTTGCAACGAAATTTGTTTCAATCTTTTTGATTGTTACTGATTTAATTTCGTCTCTTTTTTTGATTTAATTTGCTCTTGTTGACAAATTATCATTAGTATTACAATTTAATTGTTTCATCATCAATCATTTGTCATATTTAATGAAAAAAACAATGGGTATTAATGTTAATTAATTTCTTTAATTTTCAATGGAAAGTTTCAAATGAGGAAACAAAAGTTTTCATCTAAAAAGTTAATCCCAAATTGAAAGGATTAAACCAAACAATCAGTGAAATTGATTGTAAAACCTATTTAATTGTATTGTAAACTCAATTCATCCAATTGTTAATCATGTTTAAATTGATCACCACCAATTTGGGAAACAATCAAATTAAAAGCGATTCCAAATTGTTTGTAAAGTTTACAAATAAAGAAACAAGGAAAAGGATTAACTTGAAGATGACTCGATCCAAGAAAAGGAATTAGCTAATTGTTATCGTGGACCATTGGATTAATCATTAATCGTTTCCATAAAAAAAAAACTTAATCATCTTCCCATCATCTTCCTATGACAATAATCAAAGCATCTTCATCATCATCATCCGATGTAAAATCAAGCCAAGAGGAAGATGAGAAAGTTTCATCTTGCTCATCAGTTGCTGTCATCTTATCTGTATATTGAAAACAAAAAGACTCATCATCATCCGAAAAGGTTAATAACATTTTCATGGTGAAAATGAACAAACTCAGAACCAGAATATAAATATAAACCAAGGAAAAGAAAACCAGAAAACTGAGAAAATCGTGTTGGAAACGATAACCAGAAAAAAAGACCAACAAACTAAATCTCTTGATTAATATAAATACGAAAAAACCTCAATCCCGAACATTTAATCTTAGATTTAATCTTAATCCAACCAAACAAATTGTGAGACTCAACAACCAACAATTAAAATGTTTTCATAGTTAAATTGATTATTTAAAGTAATATAATATTAACCTAATCAAGACACAAACGATAATCTCAATGATTATTATTAAAAAAAAAAGACAATTAAAAACCAATGTATTGATTTTTGTCAATATAACAACAAGAAAATTCAATTTAATTCAATTTACTGATTGATTGATTTCATCTGATTGTTACAATCGCTTTTGATTATAATTGTGTTTACATCATTTTATTTATCTTATTATTGTTATGAGAATCATTTTTTATTTAGAAATTGATTGTAATCAATATTGATTACTAATTGAATTGATTGTGAAAATCTCGTGATTAAATCTTAATTATGATTAGTGAAGGAAAATTTATCATCATTCTATTATTATAACAATTTAACCTTCATTTGATTTCGTATTTAAATTGTAAACAATTAATTTAAATTGATTTTCATGGAGAAATTATTTAGATTAAATTGTTTACCAGTTTTCAAGATTATCACAATTTATTAATAGTTGTAAAATTATCATGATTGTTGATCATTTACACTTTAATTGATTGGGGAAGTTGATTGTTGATTTAATTTTCTCATTTCGCAATTAGACAAAAAATCAACTCATTCACTTACTAAGGTTATTGAGATAATTAATTACTAGATAATAGATGAGATGTTGTAATTAATTGTTGATTGAGTTAATTGATCTTCAAAAAAAAGCAAATTAATCATTAGGAAAGAGGAAAAAAATTAACTCACAATTTAAGGTTAATCATTATTAACATTGTTACAATTTGATTGTTAATTTTCTTGGTGTTTATCATTCAGTTCATCAGTTAATCAGTTGATTGTAAGTTAAACAAAACAAGTATAAGGTAACAATTAATTAGTAACAATGAGGAAGAACTGATTTGATTTAAATAGTGATGAAACAGTTGTTAACAATTAAAGTATTTTCCTGATTCACATATCCAGTTGATGGTTAATTTAGTTTGTTAATTCAATGATTTAATCTGAATTTTCATTGTATCGGTCGACTATTGATCAACAATCGAGTTAATTGTTTGTTAATCATCGAGGTCTATTGCTGAAAAGAGGAACCCAATGTTAATTGCTACTTTTAATTACTCTATGATGGATCTGCTATTCTAATCGTAATTCAATTTTACTGCTTAATTGTGATTCTCTTAGTGAATTGTAATATAAATAAACATAATCATGTTAATCATTTGAAATAACAGTTAATTGTTGAGATCAACTCTTGATTATTTTATTTCTGTTACAATTACTGGTGTTTAATGATTGATTAACAATCATCATCATCATTGTTGATCAGATTAAACAATGTAACGTGATAATTGTTGTGTTTAATTGGTGTCGTTGAACGAGAATCAAATCAACATTTGATTGTTAACTTTTTCTTCAACGTTAATTTCTGTATAAGTTTTCAACGATTCTAGGTTATTGAATCGATAACTATCTTTATTAATTATCTTTCATACAATAACAATTAAGAGTTTTGCCTTTGATGATATTCGTTACATTAATTACACTAATTAAGAGGCAGAGAGATTTAATCAATGAGATGATTAAACATGAGATTAAGCCTTTAACCAAACAGCTGAATGATTAACATATTCATCTAACAAATTAACTTTAATTTCATCTAAATTGGTTGATTAAGTTTCTCTATTATTTATTAGGTTTAAGTCTTTAGGTCAATTTGATTTACTGTTGTTCAATTGATTCTCAATTTGCCCTTAAGGGATTAGAAGAAGATTAAGAAAATTGAACCTGATGGATTAATCGTTTTAATCTTCTAATAATTGGTTTTCGTTTCTTCCGATTGCACAAGAAAATCAAAGGAAAAATCTTAATCAGTTGAACTAATTATTTTCTTTCACATGATAGGTAAGTACTTTCACCATTCTATCGGTAGATAATGATCATGATTCGTTAGGAATTTAGTTCTATTAAAAACATTCGATTGGAACTTCATTTGTCCTCAATTTCGCGGGAAAAAGTTAGTTGATCAGACGAATTAATTTATTAACCATTTTCGTTTACAATTAGAACTATTTAGTTATCCTTTCGAACTGTAATAACCTGGAATGGCTTCGTAGAAGAAATTACCTGCGATCGGTCCGGTCATTCCATTTGCTTCGGCAAAAGCAGTGATCTGAAAGTTTGATCGCTCGGCTAGTGTCTCATAGTTTGGCGAAGGAGGCACTGGCCTGGATTGGCGATAGATCAAGAAAGCGTATCTATGGGGTCCAAATAACGGCGATGGAAATGGAACTGCGTATGTGGACAAAGTGGTCCCACTATTCACATCGTCACCAATATTTACAACTAGCCAATGATTGACTGGCCTTTGGACTGGAAACTGTGGAGTCAGAGTATCAGGATCGAGCATTATAAAGGTGAACATTATATTATCATCACCGTTTCTCTCGCGGTGGAAATTGTATTTGATTTCTGGTTCCATCAATGTATCGAGATTGGAGAAATTAGTTCCACAATTAACTTGCCTACGGCCAATATAAGTCATCGGAATGAACTCTAATTGTTGAGTTGTCCCATTTATACCCAAATCTTGGATTAAATTGTTTTGTTGAAATGCATTTATAACGGAAACATGTCGATGTGGACACGAATAACTCTGTAAATGGACACTGAGTAAATTATTGAGAAACAAAATGGCTAAATGATGTATTGGACTAATCATCGTTTACGATTAAAAAGTAACAATGAATTAGGAAATTAAAGGGAAATCTTTATAATTGTTACATTGTGAATGATTAGCTGATTAATTATGCAAACATAAACATTTATTTCGTACAGATGAAGTTTTATTTCACAACAAATTGAACAATAATATTGAATCTTGGATACAAATTAATTACATCGATCAGCTTTAGGTAATTATTGAGTTTGATTGTTTACAATTAAGGACAATAACCTATTCTCGTGTGTTTCAAATACTTAAAGAGTGACTTGATCTCGAATTTATCGATAACTGGCCTGGATTAGCGATAAATCCATGTACTGAGATCGTCATTTGTTTAGAATCAACTTTGATTTAGTTATCCTTTCGAACTGTAATAACCTGGAATAGCTTCGTAGAAGAAGTTACCTGCGATCGGTCCTGTTAGTCCATTTGCTTCGGCATAAGGAGTGACCTGGAAATTTGCTCGTTCCATTTCTGTCACATAGAATTGCGTAGGAACCACTGGCCTTGATTGACGATAGATCAAGAAAGTATATCGATGTGGTCCTTGGAATGGTGTCGGAGATGGACTCAAGTATTGAGCCACGGTAGTTCCACTTTTTATATTGTCGCCATCAATGTTAACTACCAGCCAATGAAGGATTGACCTTTCGTTTGGATTCGCTGGGGTCAGAGCATCAGGATCGAGCATTATAAAGGTGAACATTAGGTTATCATTACCGTTTCTCTCGCGGTGAAATTGTACTTGACTCTTGGTTCCATCATTGTATCGAGACTCGAAAGATTAGTCCCACAATCAACTTTTCTAAAGCCGTTATAACGAATCGAAATGAATTTTAATTGTTGAGTATCTAAATCCAAATCTTGGATTAAATTATTTTCCTGGAATGAATTGATTACTGAAATCTGTCGACCTGGACACGAATAACCCTGTAAATGAACACTGATAATATTAAGAAGTAAAATAATCAACTGATATAATGGACTAATCATCGTAAACAGAGTAAATATCAGCGTAACAATTAGTCAATCAAAAAAAAAACTAAAGTGAAAATTACATTAATCGTTACAACAAATTAAATCAACTAATTAATTATATAAACATAAACATTTAAATTTTGCAGATGCAATTTTTTCGCAACAATTGGATCAAATTGAACAATACTATTGACATTTTGGTTTAAATTAAATTTCACTTGTTCAGCTCGAGGCAATTATAAAGTCTAATTGTTTACAATTAAGATCGACAATCTATCATCGTGCTATAATATAATAAACATGGTTCTCGAACCTTAGTATCAAAATGATCGCGAATTGGCCTCGATCGGAGGTGTAAACATTTTGGTCAGTATTTTGACCTGAATTTGTGATTGGAACTTTAATATTGATCAATAATCGGTAAATTAGCTACACAATTAACTCTTAATCTCAGGTGACGTATTTTGATTATGAAACTCAATTGATTTTCATAATTTTCTGTGATTTGTTTTGATGATAATCTTCAAGCATTGGGAATAAGACATTGATCTTAGTCAACGAGGGAAACCTCAGGATTATACTACAGATGATGATAGAGAAAAACAAGATCATCTTTTGTCCCCTTTTCATCATCTTCATCCTCATCTTCATCTTCATCTTCATCTTCATCTTCATCTTCATCTTCATCTCTATCAAATCTTAATCTCAGATTAATTTATATTTCACAGGGAAAAAACTTGTTGACATTGAGATGGTTTCACTTATTCACGTAGAAGAAAATATTTTGTTGATTGAGAAAAATAGATTTGATTAACTTAACTGATTATCGGTGAATTGATTAACTCTTAATTTGTTGCCTCTCCAAATTAACTAATCAACTTTAACCATGTTCTTGATGATGAACAATATTCTGCCCTTGACTTGATCCCTATTCCCAAGATAAACTGGATAAACAAACAATGTCATTGGCATTTGGGATTAATTGCTGATTAATTAATATAAATCAATCTTACTTTTTGATTAAAATCAAGATTAAAATTAATTCTCCAAATTAAATGTCGTCACAATTAAAACTTTTCATAATCATCAACCCAAATCAAAAAGGGTTTATTGCTTCATTCATATGACCAGTTAATTACATATGATTAAGATTATTATTAATTTTATTATAAATAACAAACTTAATTGAATAGAATTGAAAGTTTAATCAACTTTTTTTTTCATAATCAATTTATACGATTAGAAATTAAAACTGTTTAATTAACAATTAGCCCGATGGGTATTCGGTTTTTTTTCCAACACTTTTTGTTTATCACCACAAAAGATTAACAGTGTTAATCAAATTAGTAAATCACTTTTACTTCAATTAATAAATTGTTTAGATTTTGATTACTTGTAAATCTTAAACTACAGGGTTGATTGTTAAGATTAATTAATCAACATAATCATGGTAGTTAAATAGCACAATTAAAAGCACTTGACAATTCAATTAGCTTTTAATTACAATTCCTCTCCTTTTATATTTTTCATATTAAAAGTATTATTTATAACAATTAAATCAATTTCTAATCAATATCTGAATCTTTAATCATCACTATTTACTCATTTTTCAATCAAATTAATCATGCTAATGATTGTATTGGTAATCATACAATAATTACGATTCTCTCTCTTGATTGTATCTTCTTAATTGTGACCTTATAAACTTTAGTTTTTTGTTTAGTTTTCCGAACGATTAAAATTAAAAGTTAATCTCATTTTCATCGGAAATTTGATTGTCAACATTGTTAATCAACCTGGAAGACGATCATTTCATTTTCTTTAATAAATATTATATAATAATCGCGGTAATTAAGCTCTTTGAGTTTTGTAGGTTGTTTAAATCACTTTGTGATTAAGACGATTAATTGTGTATATATTAATTTCTTTATGGATATATACAAGTTCACGAAGTCCAGTGATGATTTGCATCTTAATTTTGGTTGTATTGGTTTTTTGAGTGATTATTTATTATCTTTAAAAAAAAGATTCTTTTCAGTCATTGATAATTTGAGATGTTGATAAGCGGACTTTGGAATTATTGGTAATTCATCTTGACTTATTAATCTAATATATTCAAAATTAAGACCAAGAGAATCAGCAAATCGGACAACTTTCTTCTTGGGCGTTTCCGGTGGTGTGATACCAGTTTTTAGCGATTTACTTCGTAACATTGGGGGTCGTCGGTGATTTTTACCATCTCTCGAGTTTACCATGAAAACATCGTCTTCTTCCTCTTCCGATGATGGATAACTTGATGATGAGGTTGAGGAATTAACGCTGTTTAAACTTCGCCGACCTTTGAGAGCTGAGGGATAAGCGGTATAACGAGTAAGGCCAAGAGCCGCCACTTTGGCTTCCAATAGAGTTAAATCAAGTGGTGGAATATAATTTCTTTCAAAATCATCATCTTCTGAGCTTGGTGATGATGATGATGAGGATGAGCAAAGTGTTGGTGAGGTTATACTTTTGTCACAATAATCCATATTTATATTTATATATAATTAAAAGAAAGTTAATCAGCCAAGATGAGAGGAACAATTTGGATGGAAAATAAGTAAATCGAAATTTAAAATGAATATTTGAAAATGTCTTTTGTAACGAAGGATAAAGATTTTTATGTTTCAAGGTAAATATTGACGATGATCAATTGACAATGGTGACAACAATTTAAAACGATCCAGTTAACAGGATAACCAAATCACAACACATAAGAAAAACACTTATATGTTTACAAAAGTGATGATAATGATGGACGATGAGCACATTCACATAAAAGAGACTTGATTTTTTCGTTTGTGTTTAAAAAAACGGAAGCATGAAAATGTAGAATAAGAAGTAAAAAAAATGATATTTGGGTTGAAAAAGAATTTGAAATGATGTTAACAAGCAATTAATATGATGAAGGTTGTGAAATCAGATTGATTTGCAAGTGAACAGTTCAAGTGAACCATTGAGAGATACAGTTGAAAAACATTAGCAACATAATTAAATACATTTGGTAAATTAAACGTTGTAACTAATCTGTAAGAGAGAGGAAGAGAGAATAGAATATTAATTAAAATAAGAAAACACAGAAAGAGAGAGAGAAATAAAAAGATAAATAAGATTAAAAAAGAAGAAAGAAAAATTCGATGTTAATTATTTACAATTAAAGAAAAGAAGAGAATAAAAATTGACAAATGAAAGAGAAAAGAAAATGAAATTGTCACTTTAGAGAGAAGTTGAAATGATGAAAGTGAACAGCGAAAAATGGAAAATAAATTTTGTTCTATTCGCTTTTCGCTCGCCAGGTGGACCCACCGTTAGGGTGGAATTTTGTTCCATTTGCAGGCGGAGATGTGGTGATGATCCCCGAGCCCCTGGTGGTGTTTCGGTTTCATGGTGAAGGTGAAGCGGAGCTCATGTTACCTATAAGATGTTGTTGTCATTTCTAACTTGATGTTAGAAGACTAAGTGATATCAACAGTTTCCACGCTGCTTTTCACTTTAAAGTTTACCTTTTTTTTGCCAGCGTAACAAAAGTGATTTCTTTTTCTGATTAACAACTAAATCAACAACGGAAGGCCATAAAGAAGAAGGGGGTGTTTCGTCTTCTCTCTGCAAAGGAGGAAAGGAAGAACCTCTCACATGTAGATGGGTACCTCCAAGCAGGATTTCAAGAGATCACAATACCCCTAACAGTAATACCTATGAAGATCGAAGCCAAATTATCTTCCGTAAAGTACGAGGGTAAGTTGTCCTTTTAAATTTTTCTCGACAACTTTTTTTTTCTTCTCTTCTTCGCGTCTCTTTTTTGCCTATGTTGGTTTGTGTGGTGTTTTAGTTGTTTTTGTCGTTTGTTTCATGTTTATGGTTTGGTTTTCTGTTTTTGTATCAAACAAACAAACATTTGCGTATTAATTTTAACATTTTTTTCTCTCTCTCTCTCTTACCTTGTAGAATACTCAACAAGATTACTCCGGAGAAATTTGATAAGTTGAGCGAGGAACTGATTAATCTGGGTCTTGATTCAACACCTATTTTAAAAGGAGTCATTTTGTTAATATTCGAAAAAGCTTTAGAGGAACCCAAGTATAGTTCTATGTACGCTCAGTTATGTAAAAAATTAAGTGAAGAAGTACCTAACTTTGAAAATAACAATTCAACAATACTTAATTCTCACAACCCCAGCGCCAATGTAAGTGTCATCAACCTTCAAATTCACTGTATATTAACACCCCTCTTTTCCTATCTCTCTCTTTCTCCTTTCTCTTTCTATTTCTCTCTCTTCTATCTTTTCCTCTCTATCTTCCTATTTTTGCCTTGATATTCCCATCAAAATTTGTCTCTCACTGCCTTTTCTTCATTACCTTCACCTCATTCCCTGTGATTTCAATCAATTTCTCCCATTTTCTTTTTTATTACATTTAATCTTAAGATGTTGCATTTAATCTGATACTTATTGATACAGCGGACATTTCACCGGCTCCTATTGATCAAGTGCAAAGACGAATTTGAGAAACGCTTTCGAGCGACCGAAGCTTTCGGAGATGGTCCTCTTACACCAGATGAAGAGGAACAACGAGCTTTGGCCAAGCATAAAATGCTTGGTAATATTAAGTTTATATGTGAACTTGGTAAACAAAAGCTTTTGCAAGAAAATATTTTACACCGTTGTATCCATCAATTATGTAAGAAAAAAGTGGATGAGCCTATACAGAGTAAGGCTGAAGACCTTGAATGTCTCTGTCAGATAATGAAGACAATCGGTTGTCTTCTGGATACACCTGAAGCCAAACCTTTGATGGATCAATATTTTGAAAGAATGGAGAAATTTTCCCAAAATCAGGAGTTACCCTCACGGATCCGATTTATGCTCCAAGATGTATTGGAGTTACGAGCAAATAAATGGGTTCCCAGACGGATCCAAAGGGAACAGAATCCTAAAACAATTATTCAAATTCGAGCTGAGGCAGCTAAAGATTTTGGTGTTTTTATGCCTCCAGCTGTACCCATGGGTAATCAGCATCAACTTTATCAACTTTATCCAAATATGACTTTGAGACAAGCTCAATTTCTATCAGGCTCTAATCAAATTCTTATGAGTCATACTGCTCCTGGACAGCGAGCACTTGATGATCTTTATTCGTCACCTTTACTTCCTTATGGAGTAGGTGCACCAAATACAATTGGTGGTCAAAATCGTGGTGGTTTTGTTAATCAAGAGAGAGAACGTGATCCTGCTGTAGCTGGTCGTCCAAAAATGAACAATGCTAATCCAATTTACCAGCAACACCAACAGCAGCATCAACAGTCTCATCCTCATCATCCACATCATCACCAACAGCAGCAGCAACACCACCACCAACATCACCAACACCAACACCAACACCACCAGCATCATCACCACCAACAACATCATCAACACCACCACCAATCGCATCACCAACAATCCCAACCACAACAACAACAAGGACAAACACAGCAACAACCGTCTGGCCAGAACTCTTCACCATTGAATGTTAGTGCTAATGCAAATAGTAGAGTAAATGAAAGTGTCAACAAAGATTTGCCACCTCGATTTCAAAGGATGGCTTTGCAACAGCAAACACCACACACGCCTATCAAACAACAACAACAGCAGCAGCAACAACAACAACAGCCTCAACAACCTATTCAAATTCAACAGCCACAAATTGCACCTTCCTTACAACGGCCTATGCAAGGGCCTATTGGAGGAATACAGCCAAATACTATTAATCAAAACCCTGTTGGAGATGGTAATGTTATAAGGCAACCACAATTAACCAATAAACCGATCGTACCAGTTACTACTAATCATTTTAATTCTCTTGATGGCAATGAAATCTCACTCCGACCAGCTCAGAACTCTATCATGCACAAACATAATGTTGTTTTGAACAAATCTAAAGCCAACATGTCCCCCCAATTGATCAATGTGAATCCTAGTTTGAACATAATGGATAACCAATTAGCTTCTTACCAGCTACCAATTGGTATAACTAACAAATCTCACAAAGGAAATAGTGAGCATCAAGCTAATTTAAAAAATAAATCAGCAAATCAAAACAATAAGGAGATGATCTTGAAAAAAGCTGAAGAAATATTGGTCAATTTTCTGTCAACATCCGAAATAGAATCAAGTGTCTCTGATATTCAAAATCTTAAAGTACCTAAAAAGTAAGTAGGCCAAAAGAAAAATTCATTTCCACAATCAAGTTAAACTCATTTTCTTTTCATCTTCAATCAACAAATTCAGTTATCAGAGTGATGTTCTTGTCAATATTATTTCTAAAACGTTGGATAAGACGGAAAGTGACCAAGAATTGGTCAGTAAATTGTTGCTACAGTTGAAAAAGGACAGTGTCTTAGATACAAATGTCTTCTTTTCTGTAAGTAATCCATTTGATTTTCATATTTCTTTTTTCATGTTTCTCGTTCCATCAACCTTTTTCTCCCAGCATGTAATCATTAAAAGCTATTAGAAAATGTTTATTTTTCCTTTTCCTTTTTTGGGCATAACTTAATTTTTCTTCTCTCTTCCGTTTTTCTCTTTCTCATCCATAGGCTTTTAAAGATTTGTTAAATCATATGGTTAATGTGGAGAATGACATTCCTTGGGTTAAATCTTATGTTGCCGGTTTCATGGCAAGAGCAATTGTCGATGGACTTATTACCTTAAAAGATGTGTACGGAGTAGTTGAAGGTGGACAATATTATCCTCTGTTATTACTTTGTCTTCAAACTCTCCATCAAACCCAAGGTCAAGAATGGTTAACTACAACCTTCAATGAGAATAAGATCAATTTATTAAACACTTTACCTGAGATAGATAGAGAGAAAGAGAGGTTAGCCGATATTCTCAGAGAAAGAAATCTCAGTTTTCTTTATCCATTATTGCGAATTGAGTTTGACATGATGAAACATTTAAATAGTGCTGATTGTTCACCCAATTCACTTTATCGTTGGATAAAGAGTAACGTTGATACCAGTTTAAGAAATACTCCTGGCTTCATTAATCTATTATTCACTTGTGTTGCCAAGTATATTCTTGAGAAAGCCAAACAAGCAGCTTCTGATGCTACTTTCAACGAAGGTGATGCAAACAATTCCGGTCGATCTACAAACGTCAATGATCATGAAAGGGAACTATTATCTAAATATCAAGCCGTTTTTCAGGCTTTTCTTCAAGAGAAACCAAATCTACAGTTAACTCTTCTGTACTCCTTACAAAGCTTTTGGTACGGCCAAGGATGTCCCAAAGGTCAATATCCTCTCTTATTTTTCATCTTCTCTCTCTCTCTCTTTCTCCCTCTTATAAATAATTTGTTTTTAATTTCTTACTTTCTATCATGTCAATTATGTGTTCCATCTAAATTAGTCAGGCCCTTCCGCTTTTCCTTTCTGCAAATAATATTACCAAAGTATTATAATATTATTGCAATTTATGATTTTTCTTTTTTTTCACTTGGAAAGAGATGAATTAGCCTTCGAGCGTTTTTGCTTCCTACCCCCTCTCTCTCTCTTTCGTCATGATTAAAATTGCATGTTGCAGCTCTTTCAAGTATTGACATTCTAAAGAACTTAGCCCCCCAATTCTATAAAACATGATGATTCTAATTTGGCAACCAATCGTTTTCCATTACCCAGCATGCGTGTTCCTTTTTACTCATCATTTTATCTCTTTTTTTTCTAGTTCTGGTCAACCTATAACCTCTCCCTAGTTACTTTTGAGTTTCATGTTATCAAAAACCCTTAGAGACAACATTCAAAGTCATACATTTTACATCATCAATTCTCTCTCATTTTCTTTCACTTCTCTTTTTAAATCTCCCTTGAATCTTGGCAATTTTTCGCTAATTTTAACCTTGAAATTTTGTTTCACTTCCTTTTCAATGTTGCGTAATTGATTTGATTGTATTCTTGCCTTTTTTTACAATCTTTTCTCTTTCTCAAATCTGATAAATTTTAATATTTACAATCATTTGTTTATAGTTTTGATAAAAAAACGATTCAGTGTTGGAAAAAGTTCACAATGACAAGCGATATTTTCTCATAACGTTCCAGAATCAGATGAAAACATGAGCATGAATAGTGAAAACAAGAGCCTTCCTGAACTTTCCTCAACATCCTTGAGAGATGCAAACTCTTTTAATCCTTTTCTTGATTAGATGATTAATGAATAATTACGTGTTTATTATTGCTTTCATGGTAGGAAGCAATTGAATCGATGATAATAATAATCTTTACAACAATTATCTCTCCTTTCGACAAAATGGATCATTATTGTTTTCAAACTTTTAATTTTTCTTTTGTTTTATTTTTCCCTCATCACAATAGGTATGCTGTTGAGATGGTTTACATTTCTATACGATTTAGAGATAGTTGAAGATGAAGTATTTTTCAGATGGAAAGAGGATATAAACGATGAATACCCTGGTAAAGGGCAGGCTCTATTTCAGGTGAGTTATCTTGTTTGATTGACTTGAATATTGTTTTGAGATTTGCAATAAGCAGTAATCTTAATCCATCATTTATTGTTGATGTTGTTTCTAATTTTGCTAACCTTTGTCTTAATTTTTTTTTTCTTTCTTCTCCAAAAAATAGGTTAATAAGTGGTTTGAGTGGCTTGAAAAAGCCGAAGAAGAGGAAGAAGATGATGATGAAGACGACGGGCTCTGATAGCGGTACTAAATGATGCTTGGTGTGTGTTCAGTGTGAGTGTGAAAAAGTTCATTCACCTGCTACTTTCTCAGCCACCCCAATCTCTCACACTTTTCCTTCACATAAACTTATATACACACAGCAGCAGAATCCACACTTAGCCACTAGCCACTTACACACACACACACACACACACACACACATCACCTTCTAGAAATTATAATGATGATACTTGTCTGGTTATTTCTTTCTCTCTCTCTATCACCTGATCGAGAAGAAAAGATGCAAGATGATAAAGGAAAATGAATATTAATCAACTAAACTCTAAATTGACTGTAAGAATCTGTTAACCAGTTAACCTTACAAAATACGGAAAAAAACAACAACAAAACTATGATGAAAACAAACATGTTCACAATTAGTCTCTTTACAACAATTAAACTTTCTTCATCTTTTTGAACAAAAAAATTCAAGCAACATGAAAATTGCCTTAAGAATTTGTTGTTTATTCTTTAAAGATAATTAATTCTAATTATCCGTGATTTCAATGGTAATTACGATTTCGGAGAGACAATGTGTTGTCGTGTCAATTATCATTAATCATGATTTCTATTAATTAATTACTTCTTCTTCTTAATAACAGTGATGATCAATTGTAAACCCAAAGGACACACAAAGGAAATAATGATTAATAAAATAAACTAAATTTAATTGATTGGATTTTAATCTATCATCATCTTCCAAATAGTACAACAGAGACAACAATCAATGGAGTGATTAAAAAATACGTTTTTGGATTCAAATTAATCAAGTTAATTCAGTGAACATTTCAGTTGAATTTTTAATAACAATGAAGCAGATACAACTAATATCTATTCATCAACAATCAATTAATTATTGGATTTATATTGGAAATGGAAATGGAAATATGAACAATCTTAAGCTTTATAATTAGATGGAAACGAAAGATCAATGATTTCACCTAAATTGGATCAAAATAATTCATCTTAATCTCCATCTTGTTGTTAATCATTTTGACAACGAAATAAAGACTCAAAGGATTAGCTGTTGGTCTCAAATACAAAGGAAAAGGAGAGGATAAAAACGTTGATGGAAATGAAACTTGATTGGACATTTTGTCTTCTGAACAACTGATTGAGAAAAAGGAACTTTTTTACCCACTGTGATTTCCAAGGAGGAGAACAAGAAGAGAGGAAGATAAAAGAACATATAAAAAGAAAGATAATGACAAGATTCCCTTGAATGATCCCCTGACAAGCTTTTGATCAGTGACAAGTGACAAACAGAAAACTCAATCTACCGGGATCATTGTCTCAAACTCAATATCTCTCTCTCTCTCTCTCCCTTCATAGTAATGATGATGATGAATGAATTACTATTATGATTATTATCATGTAGTCTTTGATACCATCAGATTTTTACAATTCAACGTTGAAATGGTGAAATTTTGTTACTTCAACAGCAACATTGGCATTGAGATTATATCTACAAGGCCATTGAAGGTCATTTACCTGATATCAATCCTCCCGATCTCTCGCCTTTACATCATCCATATATTGAAAAGATACCAAATATTCAATGTTAATTCAAGCCTGATCATTTTGAGATATTCAATTAGATTGCGAAATAGTCAAATGATTAATATTTTCATCACCTCTTTGTTTACCTATTGGCTTGTTTGTAACTAATAGTTTCCTTTACCTTAACCATCATAATGTTTCCTGTTTTTCATCATCATCATCATCATCTTCTTCATCCTGATTAATCCTTTCACTTGTCTTCCCTTTTTCATCATTGGAATATCTTTTTCTGCCATTGACCTTGCACTTTTTCAATTGATTGATAATTCAATCAATTGAAATTATATCGATGATTTAACAACTAACTTCAAATTGTTTGGAATCAAATTGAACACATAAAAATTGGACCATTTATTTTTCCTGTTGTTTTTATCACAATGTTTTGGAAACATTAAATTACTGTGTTACTATTAATTGTTAATCTGATTTATGTAAAAAAAAATGAATGGTCAGTGATTATCACCAATGATTATAAAATAATCCAATTTATGGTTCCATTTATGGATGACAGTTACAGGATTTGACAGGATTGCAATTAAAAGATAATTGATTCGAGTTATAAAATGTTAAATCTTTTGGACTTTCGATTAACGGAAATTTGGATAATCTCATTTACATGGATTTTGCTTATATCGAAGGTAAAATCCTCTCGCATTGCTGATGTGATTAGAAACAAATCTGACCATAAATGGACCTGATGTATTATCAGTTATTATTGTTGGATGATCGATTGTCGCATTAAGGACGACACTTGATGGCCTCCAAATATCGGTAATTGTTGTTTCGTTGGTGGCGATTGTTATTGACGGAGATCGAGTGATTAGTTTACCAGAGCAAAGACGAACACCACCAATGGACAAATAATCATCTGGACACTCGGCAACAATTGGTCTCCATAAGGAATAACCTGAATCGTAATTTGATCCAATGGCAAAAGGTGAAATCTTTTCACCATCGGTGAACAGTTCATACGAAATTGAACAGAATCCCGATTCTTTCTTTATACAGGCCACATAATCGATATCATTTGGATAACCTTCAAAGGCCATGTTTAAAGTTGACGAATCGTAATTGAAACTTTTTATCGATCCATGGGTTCCAGTGTAATATTGTAGACAATGAGATGGAGCTTTAATTGTTTATAAAACATTTAGTTAATTATTGATACGATATTTTCACTCAATGAATGTTATATCATTTTCTTACCGGAAATTTCTGAATGACAAGGAATCTGAGTAATGAGAATATCAAACTTTCTCCTTCTATTTCCAAGCATCAATGCATGTAAACTAACGGTATCTGATTCATCGACTCCCAAATAATCTGTAATCAAATCAATAATTTGATTAACCAATTGATCAATTATCATCATCATTGTCAAGGATTATAATGATTTCGTGTTTAACTTACAATGTTGACCAGAATTAAGTCCACATATTTTGGGGATAACTGAATTCTCGTTCTGTCCAGAGACAACGAATACATCTTGGGAACAATTTCCTCGATTCGGTGGTGCAAGGTCAAAGGTTAACATGTCAACACGATAGAAGCAAACATTTTTGTCCATTTTACCGATTCGAGCTCGACAAACTTTCGATGATTGATAAGATTGTGGATAACCAGGATTTCGGAAGTAAACATGTTTCTCTGAGGCCATTTGTCCACAAGATATTTCAACTAATGTCAACAACAATCATTGGAAAGAAAAACGAAACAATTAATAAGAAGATGATTAAGTCAACTAATTAGTTCTACTTACAGAGACAACAAACTGTCCCTTCTCTCTTTGCATTGGAACATTTTCCCATCGGAACTCCTCCCTTATTGACACACTCTTGGGCATCATAACAACTTCCCTTTCGCCCGTCGGCCGCTTGACAAACATCATCAGTGCCAATGTAACCATCTTCTGAATCGGTTGATGATGAAAGTGATGAGGAAGGGATTGATGAGGATGGAGATGCCAATGAAGATGACGAGGATGATGATGAAGAAGACGATGAATCTGAATACAAGGCTTCTCTATGGTGTCTTAAATCACCGAGTTCAGAGTTGAAATAATAAGTTGCCGCTACCAAAGGAGTTTTACCTTTACCACCATTGAACATACTATCTAAAGGATCTGTAATTAATTCAAGCAATGAGCAATTAAATTTAAACCAAGAAAATAACTAACTAATCAACTTAGGATTACGATTTAAATTGTCTACTATTGATTCACTTACGAAATGGTATTGGAGGTGGTGAATCTCTTGATTGAAAGTATCCATCAATTTCTTGTAGCACAAAAGTAAAATAAACTAGAGAAAATAAAAAGAACATGATTAACTAATTGTTACACAATTGCAATTAATTCACTGGTGGTAAAGTAAATTGTTGGTATATTTTTGTTTTACAAGTAGATGAATTTGTTGTTACTGCTTGAAACTTTGATTTGTAAATGATTTAAAATTAACGAGGTGTCAACGTTTAAATAGTAGGGGCTGAGATGATGTGACACCTTAACAATTAGTTAATCATTGTGACAATTAAAAAACATCTAATAATATCAATAATGATAACAAAATGATAACCTAAACCATGAAAACAAAACAATAACAGTTAAACAATTAATATCAATGGAAAAGGTTAAGATTTTTGTTTGTCCAGAGTAAAAATAAAATAGGTTATACTTTTTATCAGGGAGTTAATTTAACAATTTACTAACAATTAATTGTTGTATATTAGCACTACAATCATTATCTAAATTGTTATTATTATTGTTGGGAAAAGATTAATGAGTTTCAATTGGGAAAACTTTTCACTCTCAAAGGGCGTTAAGTTTACATGTTTTCCGGTTGAAATACTATTGATATTTTTATATTCCACCAATGGTATTATTTTAATTGTCAATTTAATTGTTTAATCAGTTCCTTCACCATCAATGGGATGATAGATTAACCATCTAATCATCTGATCCGTGAATTTTAATCCACTCCCGAAATTAGTATTAACATTATCCCTTATGAACCAATGGTTTCCTCTTCATCTTTTTATAAACTTGTAATTTGATTTATTTAATTTTCTATTCTAATTGTTGACAAAAAAATATAGTAGAAATTGTTATTAAATTTAGTTACAGTTAATTATATAATAATTTGTGCTAATTTGAATAGTTTAATTAGCTTAATTGTTGGAAAATGAAAACTTTTTGATCCAATTTCAGACTAAAACTTTTCCTTTGAAATTGTTATTTTAATTTTCATTTAAATATAACTAAATTGTTACATTTTGATATATTGTGGTTAGTAGATTAGTTTGATTAAATTAAATTAGTTCATGATCATTATTATTAATCATCATCACCATCGTTTAATTAGCTTAATTTGGTATATTTGGTTATTTGTATTTGTAAGAAACTTAATTGTTGTTGATTGGAATTGATCTTGAGTTTTTATTTATTTATTTATTTATTAATTGTTAATTAAATTAATTATGACTATAACTGAGCAAATTTTTTGTAAAGATTTTTGTTTTTCAGGTCAGTTAAGGTCATCTGTAAATTGATTCCCTTGACCTCAACATGATAATAGCTTAAATATCAAGGTTATTTTTAATTGTGAATCAAATTAACTTGTTAGCTTATTAGATGAGATTGAGAATTGAAATTAATCAATAGAGAAAAGTTTAATTCTCTAATGATTGTTATTAATTAAAGATAAACGTTGATTACTAAAAGTATTATTCTCAGAAAGTATTATTATCCCATTATTAGTAAATTAATCAACGACAATCAGTTAAATTGTTAAATTTTTTTTCACTAATCATTTCGAACCTCCAACAGATTAAATATACACTTTGAGCAGTTGATTTTGTCAACTTAAGTGTAGTTATTATTGTGATTAGTGTAAGAGATAATAGTGATAATGATGACAATAAGAAGATGAGAAGAAGAGAGAGAGAGAGATAATGATGATGATGATGATATAGAAGATCAGGTGAGATGATAAGATGGAAATGTAAGAGAAGACGAAAGATGGAAAGCGAAAGGTATATAAGTACATAAGGCGAAATCGATGAAAGGTGCGACAAACTGTATTCCTTGACCAGGTCAAAGTTCATTCACAACAAATTAATGTCAATCTGATGGAGAAGATAATATTTACAGAGAGTGAGAGAGAGAGAGAGAGAGAAATGATAACAGTATTTAAGATAAAATTGTAAGGTGAGTCTATTGGAAAAACGAGAAGAGACTCTGAAAATCTCAATTCGATATTTGTTTTTGTTTCTCTCTTTTTCTTTTGCATCTTATTATTATCATAATAATAATAATAATTGATGATAATCATGTTTATCTGATAAGTTCATTGAAGTGAAAGATGAGAGATGAGGCTCATTGAAGCATAATCTTTGTCAGGATAATAACAATTAAACGTGTATTCCAATTTGTATGTTAACCCATAGGAAGAAGATGAAGAAAAAGGAGAATAGAAAAAAAAAATTTTCGAAAAACTTTTTGAATAGGAAAACAAAATGATATTATTAATAATGATAATATATCAATAACAAGAAATTGACCCAATGAAGAAGAAGGTAACTGGTCAAGTTCACCTTTTCCTTTAGAAAAGGTAAAAGGTAAATTGAAAATCTAACTATCAAATAGTAATAATTATACGAAAGGTTGAGGAGGGAGTGAGAAAGATGATCGGATGTGGAGGAGGATGAGGATGAGGATGGAGATGAAGATGAGGATGAGGATCAAGTAGAAGGTAAAAATGTCTATTGAACTGAGAACGTTTATCATCAATCGTCTGATAACAAGAAGAAGAGGACGAAGATGATAACAAAAGAAAGAAGAAGAGTAATGGAAGATAATAGAAAGTAAAATAGGAAAGAGAAGATGAGAAATTGAGAGAGAGAGAGAGAGAGAGAGAGAGAGAGAGAAAATAATCAACCAATGACATGGAGACCAATGGAGCCCTCAGGCCATCAGTTGGAGCTTTAACTTCATTGGTAACAAGTTAAATCAACTCACCTTTAGTTTGCTCGTGTTGATCGTTATTCCGATTCACCTTTACATTTTCCAATTCCATTGACCCTTGTCCAGAAATCTTCATGATCTTTTTGTTTAATGAGAACAATTAATTTCCCTTTTTCGAGAACAGGAAAATCTTTTTCAAATCATTTCAATTCTCACCTCACATATAAGAGACAAGAGAAGATTCAAAAAAAAAGGAGGGAAATTTAACTAATTCTCTCTGTCTATTTGTCTGTCTTTTTTTATCCTTTTTCACTTTTGTTCTTTTCTCAATTAATATGATCCAACATGGTGGACATGAGGCTAATTGTTTATTCAATTCCACTACCGGTTTAATAAACCCGAGAATGTCAATCAATCAATGTGATACAATTCTACCAACGACAAGTCAATCAACTCAATCAGTGTCATCATCATCTTCATCTTTAGCTAATCAATCAACCTTAACACCATCATCATCATCATCATCATATTCATTATCACCTTTGCCATGTTTATCTAATCCTGATCAACGGAAATTGACCAATTTCACAATTGAATCAATATTGAATAATATTGTTGTTAAAAAGTCAAATTCATCATCAAGCAAATTAGGATTACCAAGGAACCGGAAATGTATCAAATTTTGTCACCGTAAGTGTCTTAATTGTTGTTAATATGTGCTACCATTTTGGTTAATTGCAACAATTAAGTTTTATCCCTTCTCTTTATGATTACCTGGTTAAATTAATGATTAAACCAAACCCTTAATCATGATAATTGTTTACAAAGTTAAAGGTTAATTATCATCAAAAAATCAGTATCATTATTAATGTTGAAAATTGTTACAACATTTTTGAATAGGATTTTAATTCAATCAAAGATTGATTAACTTTCTCTCTCTCTCTCTCTCTAACTGTACATTAAATGATACGATTTATTGTTGATCAGATTAACCTTGTTAATGAGGGATAAAAGTATCAACAGGAATCAATGAAATGATGATTCTGATTGTATTAATTGTTATCATGTTAATATGATCGCTTTTGGGTGATTTTTTGTACCAAAAATTTGATTCTGATTAACATTTAATTTACTTAATAAGGGATAATCATTTAATAATAATCAACGTAAATATCAACAAGATCTTGATTAATCAACTCTCACTCTCTTCAAACATTTTGAGTACAACAAAACAAATCACATAAATATTAGTAAATTCAGTTAACTGTTTACAATTAATTTTCTGATGGTAAAGATTGATTGGACATGTAATTAGCTTTTCTCTCTAGCAAAGTTTACAATCATTAATCATTAATTGTGCTCCAAGCTGATTAATTCAGTTGATAGTTCATCGATTACATGAAAGAGAAATCAGTTCGATTAAATTTAAAATAATCAGATTATTTGAAAATAAAACAACACACAACACAAATTAGTAAATGATGATGATGATAATTAGTAAATCCAGTGATCAGTTGATTTGATTTTATGTTAATTGTAAATTGAATTTAAATTGTTTTCATCAATTTTGATTTGTTTTCTTACTCTTTTTGTTCAATCTACAAGGTCAGTCTGATGTCCTAATTGTTTGTTTCCATATTAATTGTTATAACCAGAAAAGTGACAATGATTAATAAATCAACATCTTATCTGATCATTACCACCTTAAAGTTAATTATGTAACAATTAAGAAACCGATTAACTTTGAACATATTGATTATGATTATCTTTTTTTGTTGATTTTTTCTCATAAAAAAAAATCAATCAAAAACGTTTTTATCATTAATCCAATTTATTGATTTTCAATTTCAATAACAATAATTTCCTTAATCAAGGTTCCCAAAGATTTACTATGATAACAATATTCAAACAATTAACTAATTACTATTCTCTCTAATCTTTCTCCTTCATAATCAGGTATACAATTAACCGATTCGTCGAGTGTCAATAATAACGGTAAATTGAACAATCCCAATAACAGAGGACCTCGAATACCATTCACATCATATCAAGTTCAATTATTGGAGAAAAAGTTTTCTCAAACAAATTACCTGAGCAGTTATGAAGTTTGGAGTTTATCTGAACAATTAAATATCTCAGAGAATCGAGTAAGTAACAATTAGTGTAACAAAAATTACCTTGAAATGAACAATTTAACCGTTAATCAGTTAATCCAATCTGGAAATGCAATGAAAACCTCAAATAGCTTCCGGGCAAATGATCATTCAATTGATAACTTTTAATGATGATCATCACGAAAGATACAAATCTATCAACTATTAATAGTTGATAGATTTGTATTAAGTGATGAAAAGATTTTGTTTAACATTAAAAGATTAAAGGAAAACAATATCATCAACATTATCCATTACAATTGTAATCGTGTAGGTTTAACAATGATTAACAAGTAATCTTAATCTTGACCATTAGACTAACCGATCACTAATCTACTCTTAATCCTCTTTATCGAGCCACTTTCACTGGTAAATGGCCATTTAACTAATCCTAATCTTGAGATTGATTATTTGCTTTTTCATTTTGCTTAATCAAATTGTTACAAAATGTTAACATTTATCAACCATATTCACAGTTAATTGTTATCATCTTTGGGTCAGTAAGATGAATACTCAGTTGGTCAGCTAATCTAACCTATTGAATTGAAGCTTATCTTCACTGACCTCAGGTCAACATAATATGTTTGACCTTTTTTTCCTGATCTACTCTCATCTCTTTATACAAAAATAATCATTATGATTACTATTTGTATCTATACAACAATCAGTAAATCTATTATCATTTACCTTTTACACAATGATAACCATTTGGATATGTAACTATAAGCTGATTAATCAACCAGATTAATACAATTTAACGATATTCATTATGATTACAATCTTGTGGTTCATTGGATTTTATTAATGAAAACTGTTTCGTATTAATCATATTCATATTTTACAATTTAATATTTTACCTGGTAAACAATTTGTTAATTCAATAGTTTACAATTTACATTTTGGTTACCTAGTTAAGATCAGTGAAGTTACAATTATTACAATAATTGTAATTTGCCAATCATTTGTATGAATCAATTTGAGTCTCTTTTTTTTATTTGATAACAATTAATTGTTATACTTTTTCAATGTAATTGTTGTTGTTATTATTAATACAATTTACTAATTTCATTTTTCCTCAGGTAAAAATTTGGTTCCAAAATAGGAGAGCCCGACGAAAGAGAGAGGAGAGATTACCTGATGAAATTAACTCACAATTAACTGATGATAATTTACTAATCACTAATTCCGATGCTAATTCAACGGCGATGTCTTTATCATCCTCATCCTCATCTTCATCTTCATCTTCATCATCATCTTCATAATCAATTACAAATTATCTGAGATAATAAGCCAAAGGATTCAATTGATTTTCCTCTAATTGTTGGTTAATCATTAATCAACCAATTAATTTAAATTTTTTCTCCATTAATTTTTTATTTAAAATCTTAATCCTGTTCTAAGAATTAATCTTTTTCCAATCAATACAAACATAATAATACATCAATGATAGCCAACAATTTATTAATTGTAATAATTATTTATCCCTTAATCATGCTGAGAAAGTTGTCAACAACAACAATCTACTACTAAAGGTAAAAAAAATTGCAACAATTAAGTTAATTATGATGATGATCATTAGGTGATTATTATTTAACCTGATCAAGGTAAATTGGAAAAGTGAATTGGAAACAAAATTAAAATAGCCTTGGAGCAACAACAATTAACTAAATTGTGAACTTGCAATTTGCATACGTTATCATTATCATTATTATTTCTAGAATAACAATTAACTAATCAGAATGATAATCAACACCTACACTCACAATCCAAACTGGATTAATGGTTATAAAAACTGATTGAAAGGCAAAAATTAAACAATTAGATTAATTATAATTCTAGTAACATAAACAATTAAAAAAGAAAAACTTTCCAAATGTTGAAATCTAAATGATGATTAAACTAATTTGATTACTTTTAATCAACAATCATCACCATGATTCGTGATCATCAAAAAGTATTACCAATTTGATAGATATGATCAATGAGAATCGATCATCATAATTATCATAATCAACAATCATGATCAAAATGTAATTATCAACAATATCAACTTTTCCAATTGAAAATTTAAATCGTAACAATTAAACTCGATCAAATCATCAGTTGATTTTTTTCATTCGCAAGTGAATTAAATCAAAGAAAAAGGTAAATTAGTCTTGTAATCAACAATAATCGATTGGATTAGTTTTGTTTTATTCTAATTGTAAATGATTGAGTAAATTGTTAATCATTCGTTTCACAATTTATGAATCGCCAATGAAATAACCTTACGGGTTAATTACAATTAAGATAATCAGAGTATCGATTACAAAGTGAAGAGAAAAAGTTTTTTTTTCCACTTTAAGGTCGCGCCATCTTCTTGCTATTGGAATAACAATTAAAGTTTAATTAGAGGAGAAGAAGATAATTAAATTGATAATTTGACCTCATCTTCGATCACTGATTGTGTTTAGTTGAATATCGATCATTTGATTTCTGGCCTCTTGATTAACATATTCATAATCGAATCGATATCATCTCATTGATTGTGAATTTTGGTTAATCAATTTAATGAATTGATGATTATCCTGCTGGTGTTGTTTTCCTTAACAAATTGTAATAACTATTATTTGGATGTAGATATTGGGTGTTTTCAAGAGCTCAACATGATTTAAATTGTTGCTCAAGTTGGAGAAAAGTTAATTGCTGTTACATTTGTTTTCATCATCATCTTGTTGATTAGCTTAGATCAATCAATTTGATACCATCTCTTGTTAATCACTTTCAGATTAACTTTCACTTGTTTTTGATTGTGAAAACTTTACTATTGGTACAAATTGTACAGTCTTTCAATTGTTGGACCACCAACTAGCGAGCTAATTGTGTTTAAACTAAATGATCAATCAGATTATCATGTTAATCATAATCAGATGATTATGATTTACCACTTTGTTGATTAAAATCTAATCTATTTTATCAACAACAATAACAATTAAATCATTTGTTCCTGTTAAACTTTTGCAAAAAGTTTTCATTTCAATCTCTCCTATTGGAAAGACATTGAGTTAATTGTTATTACTATGGATTTGAGATTTAAATTGTTAATCAACAGACAATAATCATTGACTTAATTAGTCCTTGATAATGATAAAAAGTGATCAACTTGATTAATATATTCGTTGATCAGTCATTTTGATTGTTAAAAAACAACAACAATTAAGAAAAGTTAATAAAGTTACAAAAATCACAACTTTTACCACTTAATGTGTTGCCATTTAGATGATTAATCAGCAATTAATCCGGTTAATTAAACACAATTAAACATAATTTTCATGCTTAATTAACTGATCTTGATCTTGATATTATATTCATGATCAACGTAAGCATATTAATACAAAATAGTTAAGGAATACAATCAACAATTAAATGATGACCTTATTGTAACTATTAATTAGATTTGATTTGATTGGTTCGATAAACCTTGATGATTAACAATTAAAAGTTGGATTGAAAAAAAAAATTACCAAAGAAAAATGAATCTCAACAATCAATCCAATGACATTTGATTAATTGAGTTAATTGTCGTAACAATTAATCACTTGAGGATCTCCTTCATTTTGTTTCATTGTCAACACGAAATTAATTGTGATTAAAAAACGTACCGATAATTAATTCACTTTGGTTTCAACCAAAACAATTAGATCTCAGTTTAAATTATTGGTTTTCAATAAAAAAAAGTTACAATTTATTAACAACAATTAATTGTAATCAATGCCAAAAGGGAATCATTAACAATTTAGTACAAGAACTAATCAACAATTAATATTAAACGTTAATTATAATGTTAGTTTATTAATCTTGAAAAATGAAGACAAAAAAAGACACAAATCAAATTGTTGTGAAAATTAATAAATTACTTGATTGAGATTTAATTTATTGATTGTGTTGAGCAAATTTTAACTGAATTAATTGTAACTTAATTAAATTCATTGAGGGTCATTGATAATATTAACTTGTTTCCGTTTTAACCAATTTTGATTAGTTAATTATATATACAAATTTGATTTAGTTTTTATCCTTTTAACTCTGGCTTGAGATTAATATTGATTTTCAATTAATTGTTTGTCATTGAAATGTAATTAAAACTTTAAATAATCAACTAATTGGGGAAAAATTGATTCAGTTAATTGTAGTAAAAACCTTTATCCAAACTTTTAATAGCTACGAGCAATTGTTTTATTAAATTGTGAGGCCAATTTAGTTGTTAACTAAATTGTTTACAATTAACAATAACTTTCCTTAAATCAATAATCAATAATCAACGATTAACTATTGTGAGATTTACCTTTTCCTAATTGTAATTAACTTTGAGTTTGATCTTGATTTTTAATTATGACAATTTTCATTTTAATTGTAACCACAATCAAACAATTTATCTTGTAACAATTAACTAAACTTTTTGGGTGTAATTTGATTTGAATTTTTTTTCTTTCTTTTTATTTATTGATTTGATTGCAATTCAGTTGATTAAATGATGACCTTAGTGAATTAAGGTGACTAATTAACTTTTACAAACCAAATATGATTAATAAACGACAATTAAGTTAAATTTTGATTAACTTGAAAGTGATTAATGATCAATTGAATCAAAGGATTGATTAGTTTTTTTTCTGATTAATTAACTAATTGTCTGGTTTTCTGGAACCATATGAATAAAATTAATCAATTTCTCTGATTGTTTATGATTAAATGGCTAAGAAAACATTGATTGGCAATTAGTTGATTTAGAGAGAAAAACTAATTCCAGAAATTGATGATTTATCTTGTTAAATCAATGATAAAAATTAAGTGTTACAATTAAAACAAACACAAGTGATAATCAATGATTAAAATATTGATCAGTTTGATTAATTGTTTACAATTCTTGTGAGTTGAATAAATGAAAAGATAAACTGAAATCACAATTAAGGAATCAAATTAATCACCAAATTAATTGTAGACGATATAATTATTACAGACCCAGAGGGAATAGGATTAATTGTGAGTTGAATTAATGACAATTAAAATTGATTCAGATGAAAAAGGACCAATAGAAACATTAAAAAAACTTTTCGGAAAAAAACATTTACCTAAACTTTTGTCTACTAATTTTGATGTTGATAATGAAGATGCAGATGATTAAGATGATTGAACAGGATGATGATGATAAAACTCCTCCTTAAGCAATGATGGTCAGTTCACTTTCGCTTTTCATGATTGACCCACATTCTCTGTCGACATTAACAGTTACTTTTCCTCTTCATCTGTCTTCATTTCATCATCTGAATACCTTAAAGGTATGACAAAAGGTCCTAGATGATGAAAGATGATGAAGAAGGAGGAGAAAATATTTCGATTAGAACGGGAAAAAAAGTTTTCGATTCCATATAAAAGCGATTCGAAAATAACGATTGATCACAACATCATCTCAAGTTCTCTTGATCATTTCAAAACAATTAAACAAACAAATCAACGAACAATCAACAAAATGTTTAAGGTAATTGTATATTTCCAATGTTTCATTTAACTTTGATTAGTTAAAAGTAAAGTTTGTGTTCATCTCAAGTTTGTGATCAGAAATCAACGGATACGTTTTTTTGAAAGAAAAACTTTTCGAAACTTTTTCTTTTCTCTGATAATCAACAATTAGCTTTCTAGAAATAAATTATTACAATGATCAATTGTTTTCTAATCTGTGATTCTTTTTACCCTGTTAGGCTCTCCTTCTCGTCTGCATGGTAGCTTACGCTACTTCCTCCCCAGCCTACTATGGATACTCTGGACCAGCTCCAAGACATCCCGCTAATGGTCCCAAATACTCACCACCACCAAAGGAGGATTACATCGCCCACAAACCCTCATACCAAGCCCCATCATACGCTCCACGACCAACCTATGCTCCAGCTTATGCTCCATCATACGCTCCATCATACGCTCCAGCCCCATACTCAGCTCCCAGACACTCATACGCTGAACCACAATACGTAAGTTGAACTGTCACAATAACTGTGTCAATTAGTTTCACTTCTCTCTTTTACTCTTTCTAAACAGACCAAACCCAATCCATACAACTTCGGTTACGAAATTGATGATGGATATGGAACCCAAACTCACCAACAAGAAGAAGGTGATGACTACGGAAACAAGAAAGGTTCATACGGTTACACCGATGCTTACGGTCTTTACCGAAAGGTAGACTATGTCGCTGACGATTATGGTTTCCGAGCTGCCATCAGCACCAACGAACCTGGAACCGCCAATGTTTCCCCAGCTTCAGTCAACCTTTACTCATCAGCTGCCCCAGCTCCAGCTCCATACAAGCCAGAGGCTTCATACAAACCTGATGTCTCATACGAGCCAAAATCTTACGCCCCAGCTCCATACAAAGCCCCAGTTTCATACAAAGCTCCAGTCTCATACAAGGCTCCAGCTAAATACCCAGAACCCTCATACGAGCCCTCATACCCAGTTCACCATGCTCCAGCTCACTACGAGCCAGCTCACCGACCAGCTTACGCTCCAAAATCCGGCTACGGAATCTACGGACCAAGCTACAACGGTGGATACTCAAAGCAATACTTCAACTTAGGTGCCGCCAAGAAGTACGAATCACCCCGATACTAAATCAAAATTTTTAATTAGTCTTTTGTTTCCCTAATCCCAATTCACTTTTTTACAATCTGATTTCAAATGGATTAACCTTTAATCTCTTCTCTCTCTCTCTTTTAATTTTATTTTTTCCAACCCTCAGCTAATTCATCATTTCCTTGCCCTTCATCATTCAAATAGATCACTAATTATACTTCATCACTAGATTAATATTATTATAATTAATAGCTAGGGAGTTTAATCCTCTTGCAATCAACATGATCATCTTTTGTTATGTTTGCAAAGTTTTAAGCCCACAGTTAATTGTTTCCCATTGTTAATATTGTTAATTTCAATGGTGACTACCAAAGAGTTACTACAAATTGCTTTTAATTGCTAATTGTTTCAAGCAAAAGCCAAAAACAAATCATTTAATTAACTTGTCCATACTCACGAAACTTCAATCACCTATTCAATTCATAACAATTCATCTTTGTAAAACATTAATTGTAAACATATCAGATTGAATTCAATTCAAATGAGAAAAGACAAATTAAAGATAATCTATTGAAATCAAATCTAATTGTTTACTAATTATTTTAACAATATGATCAGTTAATCAGATCTAAAATGACAATCATGAATTATTGATAAACAACATCAAATCGTATCTCAAACTTTCATCACCTTACTACCTACAAACGCCACTCACCATCCATCAATTGATCACCACATTATACAGAACGAGATTATCGCTCAGCTGACCAACTGAAATCAAACTATTCTCCTGGACAAGACTTAATCTCGAATTCTAACCAATCACTAAGACCAATCCCATATTTCTCCATACTTATCTTCATAAAAAGGGAGGAATTCACTGATAAGCCTTTTTGCCTTTCGATCATCGATCATGGTGCTTAAGAAAAATTTTCGCCCGACATCAAGACAAAATGACGAAAAATCTTATGCAATTAACCAATTTGAGTTATTGAAAGCTCAATGTATAATTTAAACTCGTGCCTTTTGAATATGAAATTTACAATTCTCTAGCTGTTACAGATTCTGAGAAATAACGATTTGAATTTTGTCTCTCTACTTCTGAAACACCCTTTACATTAGGGTTCTAATCGGTTTCACAATTAACTTTTACTCGAGAAAATTGATTAGATAATAATCGTTATCTCAAAATGTATAGTTTTATATTCAGTTATCAGTCGATGACGAGAAAAAGAGCTTCTTTGTTAATCGTAAACGTTTAGGTTGAAAACCATTTCTGAGCCGTGTCCATATCTAATATTGTCAACAGGAACTTGAAGCCGAGTTTTTCTCACTACTAAGCGCTGGTGACAAGTGCCTGGAAATACGATACTCAAGTAGCAAATCTCTGCTGATCAATGGAAGGAAAACTCACTCTCATACCCAAGTTCGACCCGTGCAAGTACAATCGAACCTCACCAAAGTAAAGAGATGTGTTCACTAGAATCTGACAGAAAGTTTGCACTATTTTTGCTCTTCTTTCTAATTGTTTATAATTAATTTACGATAGATGAAAGATAAGCTTTCAATCCATTAATAAACACATGAAAAATTGCAAGAAGTTCTGATTAAAGGTCATTGAAGAAAAGATTTGAAATTTCTGATTGTTTGCTATGTTGATCTCTATGAGAAATTAACATGTAAAGTAAGGATTTTCAACTTAGTATATTTTTGAGACAAGTTTTCATGGTAAATTTCACCATTTTCAGTTTTTGATGATGACCTCATAGCGGCTTTTGGTGTTTTCAAAATCAACATAACCTTTGACTTTCGTTAAGAAGTAATCAAGGAGAAAATGTGATGAAAATCCGATTTTTTCAAAATTTAATTGCTGAAAAACCTTTCATTAGCACTATTTTGACGGACAATATGATTAACTATTAATAACAAACAAAAAATTGAGCGATACGATCACACACCTTGAAAAACGTGAGACCGACCAAAGAGACATTAACAAGTGAATTCGACATTCAATTGGACTTCACCTTCCAGAGAGCATGAAGATGCAGATGATTAAGATGATTGAACAAGATGACGATGATAATGATGATAAAACTCCTCCTTGGCAATGGTCAGTTCACTTTCACTTTTCAAGATTGACCCACATTCTCTGTCGACATAAACAGTTACTTTCTCTCTTCATCTGTCTTCATTTTATCATCATCATCACCATCATCTGAATACCTTAAAGGTATGACAAAAGGTCCTAGATGATGAAAGATGATGAAGAAGGAGGAGAAAATATTTCGATTAGAACGGGAAAAAAAGTTTTCGATTCCATATAAAAGCGATTCGAAAATAACGATTGATCACAACATCATCTCAAGTTCTCTTGATCATTTCAAAACAATTAAACAAACAAATCAACGAACAATCAACAAAATGTTTAAGGTAATTGTATATTTCCAATGTTTCATTTAACTTTGATTAGTTAAAAGTAAAGTTTGTGTTCATCTCAAGTTTGTGATCAGAAATCAACGGATACGTTTTTTTGAAAGAAAAACTTTTCGAAACTTTTTCTTTTCTCTGATAATCAACAATTAGCTCTCTAGAAATAAATTATTACAATGATCAATTGTTTTCTAATCTGTGATTCTTTTTCACCCTGTTAGGCTCTCCTTCTCGTCTGCATGGTAGCTTACGCTACTTCCTCCCCAGCCTACTATGGATACTCTGGACCAGCTCCAAGACATCCCGCTAATGGCCCCAAATACTCACCACCACCAAAGGAGGATTACATCGCTCACAAACCCTCATACCATGCCCCATCATACGCTCCATCATACGCTCCAGCCCCATACTCAGCACCAAAACACTCATACGCTGAACCACAATACGTAAGTTGAACTGTTCAACGATTGATAACTTCTGCCACTCATCTTAATTGTCCCAATCTTTCCTAAACAGACCAAACCCAATCCATACAACTTCGGTTACGAAATCAATGATGGATATGGAAGCCAAACTCACCAACAAGAAGAAGGTGATGACTACGGAAACAAAAAAGGTTCATACGGTTACACCGACGCTTACGGTCTTTACCGAAAGGTAGACTATGTCGCTGACGATTATGGTTTCCGAGCTTCAATCAGCACCAACGAACCAGGAACCGCCAACGAATCACCTGCTTCAGTCAACCTTTACTCATCAGCTGCCCCAGCTCCAGCTCCATACAAGCCAGAGGCTTCATACAAACCTGATGTCTCATACGAGCCAAAATCTTACGCCCCAGCTCCATACAAAGCCCCAGTTTCATACAAAGCTCCAGTCTCATACAAGGCTCCAGCTAAATACCCAGAACCCTCATACGAGCCCTCATACCCAGTTCACCATGCTCCAGCTCACTACGAGCCAGCTCACCGACCAGCTTACGCTCCAAAATCCGGCTACGGAGTCTATGGACCAAGCTACAACGGTGGATACTCCAAGCAATACTTCAACATGGGCTCAAAATACGAATCACCCCGATACTAAATCAAAAGTTGAATCTAATTAATTCTGATTCACTCTACTTCCCCTATTCTAATTCACTTTTTTACAATCTGATTTCAAATGGATTAACCTTTAATCTCTTCTCTCTCTCCTTTTAATTTTATTTTTTCCAACCCTCAGCTAATTCATCATTTCCTTGCCCTTCATCATTCAAATAGATCACTAATTATACTTCATCACTAGATTAATATTATTATAATTAATAGCTAGGGAGTTTAATCCTCTTGCAATCAACACGATCATCTTTTGTTATGTTTGCAAAGTTTTAAGCCCACAGTTAATTGTTTCCCATTGTTAATATTGTTAATTTCAATGGTGACTACCAAAGAGTTACTACAAATTGCTTTTAATTGCTAATTGTTTCAAGCAAAAGCCAAAAACAAATCATTTAATTAACTTGTCCATACTCAACTTCAATCACCCATTCAATTCATAAACAATTCATCTTTGTAAAACATTAATTGTAAACATATCAGATTGAATTCAATTCAAATGAGAAAGACAAATTAAAGATAATCTTTTGAAATCAAATCTAATTGTTTACTAATTATTTTAACAATATGATCAGTTAATCAGATCTAAAATGACAATCATGAATTATTGATAAAAATCAATCAATACATTATCTGAAATATGATCATCAGTTATACGATAACAATTAAATTAGATTGTCAATGATTAATGAGCAGGATATTATTGTTGTATTTAAATTGATTGTTAGACTACTAATTGGTTCAAGTTTAGTTTGTAGTCTGATTTACAAAGACAATTAACTAAACAGGTAAAGTTAATTGAGAATGAGGAAGAAAGTTAATTTTGTTTCCTAAATGATTGAAAATTACGATTATTTTAATTTAATGATTAACAATTAACGAACCAATTAAGCAAATAGATTAAATTATCTCCATCGTTAAACTACAGATTTAAATGACGTTGACCGAGAAATTAATTAATTGGTCAAGATTAAATCAACGTCACCGTTAATATAAATCAAATTGATTTAATTGTGTGTGTGGATAAATTAAATTGTAATGATTAACTGATTGTCTCAGCACGTGATTGGTAATCATGATTAACAAATCATATAGATCACAAATTTTTAATTATTCAACTGATTTGATTTTTTTACATTTAATTTGAAACATGGAAACTTTAATTTAATCCTTAATCATCAATTGAAAGCATTGATAATTAACTGGATAATTGATTGACAATTAATGGTTAAACTAATTAGGAATTCCCTGCTGAATTAACTAATCAACTATTGACAGTTTTTTACTTCCTATTTGATTAATTAAAATTGATTTCGATTAATTTTTTTTCTCTCACTTTCAAGGAAAAGGTTAATCAGTTGAACGAAATTAATCAGAAATTAACTTGAATTGATTATTTAACTGAATTGGTTGATTGTTGATTAATAATTTTCCGTTGGTCAGTAATTAAAATTTCAATTGTTTAGATTAACTGATTAGATTTAATTGTTTGCACAGTTTTTTGACTTTCTTTTGTTTTCATATTGTACTAATTAATTAATTGTTGATATTGTTAATTTATCTCAATTTGAAAATCTTGATTAATTGTAAATTTACATAAATAATTAACAAACTTGATTAAAAGTCTTTAGGTTTCAATGGTCAAAACGTTGATTGTTTCAGATTTTACTGTCTATTAATTTGAAGATTGGTGGTTAATTGTTGCTAGAATTTGTTAATTGTGATTGTGATAATTATTAGAATCAACTTTTTTTTTAATGAAGGAAGTTAAATATCCTTCCACCGGAAGATTGATAAATCGTAAACATTGATTGTGATTAAATTATCAATTTTGATCACACTTTTCCGCTTTTAATTGTTTTCAATTCCCACATCAAGATTTGATTGAAGATTGAAATTATTAATTGTTGATGAGATAGAGAAAACTATTTAATCAATCAGTTAATTTTGATTGTATTACTTGTAATCAAAATGTTCCCAAATAAATTGTTCCAATTATTTTGTCTTAATACTTTGCTATTATTAGTGATTAATTGTAGCCTAATCAGTGGTGATCGTTACAATCCCAAAAACAACAACCGTCGGAATAATCAAAATGGCGACCAATCTAATAGACCTTCAGACAATCGTAATGTAAGTTAATTGTTACCCTTAATTTGCGATTCTAATCAACAATCAAATCTAAATTATCGAAGGTTAAACGTGGCCTGGATGAAGATATGAAGCATCCATTGGGTAAAGATGATTTCGATCGAGCGAAAAGTCTAGATGAACGTCTTTTCGCCGTTAACGATAAAGTCCTTTATTCTGGTAAATTGTTCGAAGGCGATATTGTTGATGACCTTTTATCCGGAATTTCGGTGAGAATGATTAGTGATTAAACCGATTGATTTAAACGTAAATGACGTAAAATTTCAATTTCTGTAACAATTTCGATTTGAATAGCCTGAGAAAAACGCGATCAACAATCCGAATTCCCATTGGCCCAACGGTAAAGTTCCTTATGTCATTTCCCGTGATTTTAATGGTGAAGAAAGATCGGTAATCGCTCGAGCAATCGATGATTATCATTCTAGAACTTGTATTCGATTTGAACCTTATACTGGATCAGAACCAAATTACATTCATCTTGTTCGTGGCTCTGGCTGTTCTTCCAGAGTTGGTATGACCGGTGGTATGCAACAGGTCACTTTGGGTCAAGGTTGTGTTACCGTTGGTATTGTTGAACATGAGCTAATGCACGCACTTGGTTTTGTCCATGAACAATCACGAACTGATAGAGATCGATACATTCGAGTTAATTATCAGAATATTAGAAGAGGTAAATTTTTCTTCTCTTCTTTTGATTTTGTTATTAATTTTTTTTTTCTCGAACTTAGGATTAGAACAAAATTTCAGAAAATATTCCGTCGAGGAGATAACCACTCTTAACGAACCATATGATTACGGAAGTGTCCTTCATTATGGTTCGACAGCTTTTACCAATGGAAATGGACCAACAATCGAGCCGCTCGAAGGAGGTACTGAGATTGGTCAACGGGTTGGTTTTAGTCAGATCGATTTGGCAAAGATCAATAAACTTTACAGGTTAGTCGGACAATCGGATTGATTTGACGATTGCTTCATCATCATTGGTGCTTTTGGTTGTCATAATTTTCTAGGTGTGGACGACAAGGTTTCCAAAATAATAATGAAAGGCCAAATTCATCTGATCGAAATAGACCTGAGTCTGGATCTTTTGGTGGTCATCGTCCTGATTCATCTCAGAGGCCCAATAGGGAGAGACCTGAACATGGATCACGACCTGATTATCGGCCTGATTCGAGTTCTTTACATAAACCAGATTCTAGACCAGGATTTGGAAGTTCGGGTTATCCAAATGGTTTCATTTCTACATCAACATATCGACCTTCAATCGTAGACGGCATTTTCGGCGGATTCCAATCTACTCATCGACCAACATACAGACCAGATAATCATGGACATCAACCTGGTATCGGTGGTAGTGGTAATCATCGACCTGATTATGGCCACAATCAAGGTCATCAGAGACCCTCATCTCGACCTGATATCGGTGGATTTGGTGGAATCGGTCGACCATCAACAATTGATCCAGAATCAGAATATGAATTGGGCGGTGGGGGAAGTGGATCAAGATACACAACGACTCGTCGTCCATCAGGTATAGTTTCATTGAATAGTAGACTACGAAAAAATCAGATTAATCTAATATACTTATGATTTGACCTTAAGGTTTCGGAGGTTATTCAACAACTTATCGGCCGTATAGAGAGACGGAGACTGAGTACAGCCATGTAAGGCCAAGTTACACATCAACTTATAGACCTTACGGATCATCAAGGCCTGATTATGAAAACAATTTCGGTAACAATAATCACCGACCTGGTTCATCACCATATGATAGAGAGGTAACATCGACATTCAGGCCATTCGGTGGTACCAATATTGGAAATTTTGGACATGGAATATCATCAATTTTCAGTGGTCGACTTCCGGGTAGCTCAATAATTGACGCCATCAGACCAGGAGGAGGTAATGGTCCCCTTGGTGGACTAGGTGGTAATAGAGGTTCGTCAATCATATCCTCGTTTCTCCGACCAGATCGATTCATTGGTCTGATAGGTCAAGATGATCCGAATAACCAATCGACAACCAAATCACCAAAGAATTGAGAAATTAAATATTGTCAACCAAAAAGAAGAATATTAATAATAATTAAAGAAAAATAATCAACATTTACCAAGTATAATAAAAAATGTTTACAAATTTATCGAAAACATTGAAGATTCAATTAATAACAACAATAAGAGTGATGAAAATAATTAGATACAATCGACAATCAGTGCGAATAGAAAACGATCTACAAATATTCACACTCGATTATTGAATCGATGAAAGTGATGAAGATAAAATCAATTATCATTCAAGTCAACTGAGTTTCTGTTGACAGGATGATTTCGATCATTTTGGTGATACTGATGTTCAGGGAGAAATTGTTGCTCGAACTGTAATTGTTGTTACGTTTTGATTTCGGGCATTTGTACCAAGGGAACAGAGGTTGAAGGGGAAATTGTGAAAAGCTGATTATGGTCATTTCTAAGCATAAGTTGGTATCTGATCATCATCTGTTAATCAATTTTGATTAACCGAGGGAAAATTAAAAATCAATTTAAAAAAAAAACCAAATTGAATTTGAAATAATCAAGTGACGAGTTCGATGTGTTCGTTTCGTTGCCAATAGATGGCGCTAAAGTCAACGAAATTACGATTTAAAATTTTCTGCTGATATTTAATTAGATTGTAATCATTTGATTGATTGTCTATCTTATTCTTTGTGTAATTTATGATTAGAAAATAATAGAAGATTATAAGAAGACATAAAAAGTTATATTTCAATCATTGGAACAAGAGAGAAAGTGAGAGAGAGAGAGAGAAAATATTCAAAGGTTAATCAATAATCAATAAATCAAAGGAAAAATAATTAACTGCTGATCATCAACTGTTCACAATTGATAACCAAGGTTACGAGAAGAATTGATTTATTTTCCTAATGAAACAATCAGAAATTCATTTAAAAGCAAATTAGAAAAAACTAAACGACAGAAAAAAAAATGTTCATATTACCAATTGGATGATTTGTTTTCCTTAACAATTTACAATTAGTAATTATAATTGAATCAAAATCGATTCCGATTACAAGTCAAGAATGAGAAACAAACCTCTAACCAAAAATTAGACAATCAGTTAATTATAACTACAAAAGCAAATGGAAAACCATTTACCCAACTCCAACCCAAATTCTGACAAACAATTAAAAATCTAGAAAAACAAACAATCAAATCAATAGTTAATCATTTGTAAGGAAACTAATTTAACTAAAATAAGAACCAGGAAAACTAATTAAAAGGTAAAAAAAAGTTATAATCAACAATAACAAGTAACGTTGATCAATTAATTAGCTCATAATTATAACGATCCGATTGGAATAATTTAAAACAATTCCATAGATAAATGAGTTGATGATAATAAAAGTAAATTCTAACCAATTAAACTAATTAAATGATGTTAATTAGAAGCAAAAAGTGACTGATTAATCAGTTAAATTGTCGAGTAAAAGCAAAAAAAAAATGAAAAACTTGAAGAAAGTTAAATGAGTGATAAAAGTTAATCGGAATAAATTGTTTTTTCGCAAACATTATCAACGTCATCAATTAAAGAAGATGATTAACTTTCTCACTTTTATCTTTCGCCATCATCATCATCATGTTCGTCTCACAATTCCATCATCATGATCGAGACTTAATTATACTTAAAACTAATCATAATCATCTTGTTTGTCTTCTTCTTTAATCTTATTTTATTTTTCCATTTTCATCTCAACAACATTTTCTATCTTCTTCTTCCGGGAGGAGCTTATTGATTGTTAATAATAATAAATTTCATATATAAATCGAGTTGACAAAGCTCCATTTAAATCAGTTCATTAATTGACGATTAATTATTAATAGAAAACAACAAGAAGAAAAAGAAAAAGAGAAGAAAAAAAAAATTCCAACTTTTTCTCTTCCAATTTTCTCTTTACAGTTAATCCATTCGATTTTGGCGCTTCTTTTTTATTCTATTCTAAAGTTCCGCCTACTTTTTTATTCTAATTCTCACACTCGTAACCCAATTCATTCTGTGTCCTTCTTTCATCAGTATTTTTTTTTTCTTCTCTCTCTCTCTCTCTCTATCTTTTCATCTTCTCTTTCTCTCCATCTTTCTTTTTTTCTCTCTCTCTATCCTCTTTCTCCTTCGTCTTCATCATCATCTTAAACATCTTCACCGGACACGGTTACGTACATTTTTTTAACATTATTAACGTTTAAATCAGTTAAATTAAATCTGTCCGACAACAAACGTTCAACTCTCAATTGTCATTGTATTTTTTTGGTCTCATAGGAGAGAAGAGAAAGAGGATTGTGTTTATTTGTTTTTGTTTTTTTTCTTTCTCCCTTTCTCTCTCTTTCTCTCTCCTTTTTTTTCTCTCTTTTCTCTTCTTCTTCTTTAATGTGTATATGAACCTCTTGTGTTTCAACTTTAACCTCTCAGAGTTTTATTCTATTGTTATATTCTATTCTTTTATTGGTATAATCCTTTCTCTCCCCTTAGTATTAAACATTTTTTTTCTCTCTCCATAATGTCTGATGCTTTACTGTTCTATCTCTATGAGAAACTTTGTGCCAATCAACCCTGGGCAATTCTGATTATATGTCTCTGTTTTGTTATTGGTAAATATATTTTAAATTCTAAGGATAATGTTCATATTGCTTCTTCTTGTTCTTCTTCTAAAACTACTTCTGGTTCATCGAGTTTAAATTCAAAAGACAAATGCTCGGTGAAACAATCTTCTTCTTCTCCTTCTATTGTGCCATCTTTTCCCGACGACGATGATGATGATGATGATGAAGAGGTGGAGGAGGAGGAGGAGGAGGTGAAAGAAGATGAACAGGTTGAAGAACAACAACATCATAATGATCTTCAACAAGAATTACAATATGAACTTCAACAACAATGTCACCAACATCAACAAACACAACAGTGGCAGGATAATCATCTACTTCACAACAATCATCTTAATAATCATCTTAATAATCACCTTAATAACTCTCACACTGTAGAGCATCATAATATTTTAAATTCACAACAACCAACTACAACAACAACAACAACAACAACAACAACACCACTTACAACTACAAAATCACCTTCATCACAAAAGTTATCTAAAAAAAATGATCATTCACGTCATAAATGTAATAAAGCGCCTTTACAAGAGATAGAAGTGAAAATTACATCAGCTGAGACTCAAATAGATAGTGAGTCTCATACATTTTTAACTGAATCCTCGGAACCTTGTGAGTATGTTGAACGTCAGCGAGCACTCACTCCGAATAATATTGTTGTCCAACAGGATTCTGATACGGAAAGTGTGATAGTTGAAAATAAAAAGCGACGACCCAACAGATTAAGTGCCGATGAAAATAGCCCTTCATTTTTCCTTGGTGATGATTCTCTATCCGATTCATGTGATGATTTAATCTCATTATCAGATAGTGATCCAGGAGTAATCGATGGCGGTGGTGGTGGTGGTGGTGGTGGTAATCGCCGGCAAACAAGATCAACAACCCGAAATGAGGAGAAAATAAAACCTCGACCATTGAGTGAGTTACAGTCTCTCTTAAAGACAGAAGATGGTCTTAAAACGATGACTGATACTGAAATAATTTTGCTCGTTGATTCCAAGATTATACCACAATACAAATTAGAGGGTCTTCTCGATGATCCAGAACGTGGTGTTAAAATCCGTCGAAATATTGTTGCCAGAGATTCTAAGTGTACTTCCATTCTTGAAAATCTACCATTTACCAATTATGATTACAAGTATGTTTTAGGTGCTTGCTGTGAGAATGTAATTGGTTACATGCCAATACCTTTAGGTGTTGCCGGACCACTTTTATTGGATGCTAAAAAGTATCACATACCCATGGCCACCACCGAGGGTTGTCTCATTGCAAGTACAAATAGAGGTTGTCGAGCCTTAATGTTATCTGGAGGAGTGAGAAGTGCCATTGTAGGTGATGGAATGACTCGTGCTCCCTGTGTTAAATTTCCTAATGCCATGAGAGCAGCAGCAGCCATGCAATGGATGCAGAAACCAGAAAATTTTGCCAGAATAAAAGAATCCTTTGATTCAACCTCACGATTTGCTCGTCTTGATCGAGTTTTAACCCGTATCGCTGGACCCTATGTGTATTTCCGTTTCGCTGCCACTACTGGTGATGCCATGGGAATGAATATGATCTCCAAGGGTGCTGAGCTTGCTATCATGAAATTAAAGGAACACTTTCCTGATATGGAAATGAGTGTTCTCAGTGGTAACTTTTGTTCCGATAAAAAACCCTCTGCGGTTAACTGGATTGAGGGTAGAGGTAAATCAGTTGTATGTGAGGCCATAGTTCCAGGTAAAATTGTTCGTGATGTCCTCAAAACAAATATTACATCTCTTGTTAAAGTCAATATAAGTAAAAATTTGATTGGATCAGCTGTTTCGGGAACCATTGGTGGTTACAATGCTCATGCAGCAAACATTGTCGCCGCGATGTACATTGCAACGGGACAGGTAATTTCCTCATTTTTCAATCTCTAACATTCCTCACTTATCAGATGTATGATAATCCAATCAGACTTTAAGTACAAGTGAGGTTTAAAAAAGAAGAGGAAAAAAAATCAAGATTAATTATCTAATTTTCTCTCTCTCTCTTCTCTCTCTGCTCGTGTTTTGATCAATTGATTAGGATCCTGCCCAAAGTATTGGAAGCTCCAATTGTATCACTATAATTGAGTCAATTTCCAACAATAGAGGTGAAGAAAATCTTTACATCTCTTGTACAATGCCTTCATTGGAATTGGGTACCATTGGTGGAGGAACAATACTCCCACCTCAAGCATCGTGCCTTGACGTAAGTTCACATAACATTTACAATTCAAGTACAAAGTACAAGAAGAGAAAACTATTCATGAAAAGAAAAAATAAATAAATAAGATAATGAAATGTACTGAGAATGAATGAGTTGAGTTGATTTTCAATGTTAAATGTTAATCTTGATTATCATCTTTCTCTCTCCCTCCATCTCTTATTATAGCTTCTCGGTGTACGTGGATCATGTCTAGAAGAACCAGGTCGTAATGCTCAAGAGTTTGCTCGAATCGTTTGTGGCACTGTACTAGCAGCAGAGCTTTCGTTATTATCCGCATTGGCAGCGGGTCATCTAGTAAAATCCCACATGAAACACAATCGTTCAACTATTTCAATTGATGCCTCAACGTTATCTCCTTTCTCTTCCCATCCTGTGTTAAGATCAACTTCCCAATTTTTGACCCAATGCCAGCCCCAATAATAACTAACCTTAGTGACAACCTTTTCATTTTATTTTTTAATCTTCTCTCTCCCTCCCTTTGCTCTTTTTCTTCTTTTCTCTTCTTCTTCTTCTTCCTCCTTGATGTTCAATCAAATATGTTTGATTTGCTTTAAATTTACCAGTCAGATTTTGTTTTTTGATTGTTGTAGCTAAATTTCTATTGAAAATTCTATTGAAAAGAGGAAATCATCACAGGTAAATTAAACTTGTAACCGGATTTAGATCATGAACCATGATCATTGATTATATGTTAATAAGGTATCAACACGATTATGACCCATTGATTGTACTTTACAACAATCAACCTATCATCAAAGTTTATTAATCATAATCATCACCATCACCACCACTCAACAATTACAATAATCTCATCATCTTTATCCTGATTACAACCAAATATCATCATCACAATCAATTTGATTTTCAGAAAAAAAATTTTATTTCAAATCTATTTTTAGATTAATCAAAAACTTTGATAAAGTGTTGCAAAACTTATAACAATTTAAATACCAACAATCAAGAGAAAGTGATACTTAAATTAGATTGTTGATTTTGTTAAATATTAATTCGATTAAATTTAATAACTGTTCAATAAATTGTTTGTCTGATTAAGAAACTTAATCAAAGTGACAAAACCGGTAATCAAAAAAAATAATAAATAAATGTTCAAATACTAAATTAACTTATATTAACTTTTGACCAGGAAGAGCAATTAAGTTAACTATAAATAATTAACATTATTGATTATCATCTTTTTTAAATTAATCAATTAAATACAAAATTAATCAATAAACGGATTGATGATTTGTTAATTGTTTCAATGAAAATTACATTTATATATATTTTTACTCGTTAATTTTAGTTGTTTGATTAACTATTGAAACTTTTTACCTTTCACCATTTGATTAAAAAGTGATAGTTGAATAACTGAATTAAGGTCGATCTAAATCTTAATTATCATCAGATTTGTTGTTAATCTTGTTATTAGGAATGATGATGATTAAATAACAGAAAGTAAATTGTCTTTAAACAGTAATTAAAGTATCCAAATTGTGGGCAAGTCAAGGGAAGTTCAATGAATTTGAATCAACTCTTTTCTTGATTGTATTCAATGATTAAGATGAAAGAGAAAGCAAAATGATGATAATCATATAATAATATAATAGAATAATAATAATGATGATGATGATAATTAATATTCATCATTGGCCTCAACAATTAAAGTTGATTAAAAGTAATGGGCAAATTAAGATTACACAATATTTGATATCAATCCTTTGATTGAAAAATTAAACTTTTTTTAATCTTTTTTTCTGATTAACTTGAATTTTTATCTTAAATTGGTTATTTGTAACTGTATTTATTAAATGATAGGTTAGGATTAAATTGTTATTATTACCACCATCAATAATTAACATACATAACAGTGATCCACTAATCAAATAACGATAATGGTTTAAATTGAAAAATTTATTCCGGGTTAGGTTGAGATTAAGCTTAAGGGTAAACTCACTTATGGTTGAATCTTGTTTTTCAGTTTAACTATTTAAAGTAGTGACCAGTTGATAATAATCAAGAAATTGCTTGAAATAGTATCGCCTCCAGGGGAGGATAGTTAATGAGGACATGATGATGATGATGATGATGGTGGTGATGGTGATGATGATAAGAAAGAGACTGAGAAACAAGAATGATACAAGTTATCAGAATAAATGAAAACAAGAAATTCGCTCTTCTAAAAATTAATATCATTTTGACCTGAAAATTTGAAGATTATATTGGAAATTTATCATTCTTTTCGTACCACAATTAACTTTATTCTTAATCAATGGAAATGTTATTGTTATTTGCAAATAATTAACCATTAATTGTACACTTTGATTTTCTACTTGAGAAAAAAAAAGAAAGAAAAACTTATCAATGGAGGTGAAAATTTTTTCCATCAGAACTTTTCATTCGCATCTCCATCTTCTCGGTTCGCTCTCTCGGAACATGTTTTCTCCCTCTCTCTCTCTCTCTCTCTCTCTCTCTCTCCACCTTTTCATCTTCATCTTCTTCACAGATATTGGACTCGGAAAAGATGAGGAAGAGATGATGAGATGAAGATGATAAGGAAGAGAAGGAAGATGAAAGGTGATTTTAAACAAACTTGTGACATAAACAAATTCACATTCAAGATGAAAACCTGTCCATTAGTTAATCATCGTGATCATCATTTCAACCTTATCCTATCATCTTCATCTTAATCACCATCACTATCATCTTAATCATCATCATCATCAACAACCTAAATCATCATCAACAACTTAATTCCCAATCAACATCCGTTTTCATTAAGAAAAACTTTTCCTCTTTTATGGAGATAAAAAACTTTTTGTTTTCTATTTTTTTATTCAAGTGATTTGATAATAATTATCAATCATTTAGTTAAATCATGATCACAATTAACATGTAACAATTGTCTTCAATTAACAAACAATCAAACTCTTTAATCCAAATAATTTTCCTTCACCATTTCAACTCAATTAATCGTAAAAATTGAAAATAAACTGTTGACAATGAGAGTAACTTAATTTTCAGGAAAAAAAAACAAGAAACAATCAATCAAATTAAACTTTTCTCATTTTTAAATGTAATTTAATTTAATAACGGTACATACGATCATCTAATGAACTTTAATTGTGAGCAAATATCACTTAGATCACAGTTAATTGATTACATTTAAACCTTTAGACACTTGTAATCTCCAACCTCTCCCAAGCAATTTTCTTGTTAATACTCAATTAATTTCTCAATTGTTTTTGTTAATCCAACTCATTAACTGAACACGAGTTAATCATTCATATAAATGAACATTGGAAAAACTTATCGATTGTTAATTGCTGAGAGAGTGAAAACGATTACACTTACTCAGACAATGTCAACTCAATGATAATAAAATTGTTAAACAAACAAAATTTTCCTCCACAATCAGATTATATTGTGGATTGAACATTTATGATAATTGTTTAGATTAAATTAATCTCATTCTTAAATCAATTCGTCTACAATCAGCTTATTATCTTTCCCGCGTAAAAGTTTCACCTTCTCTCCGCTAGTCGAGTTTAATTTTCTTTTCTCCAAAGCGGTTGATTCAAATTCTCAATTGGATCAATTGAATCGACTCGTTGCTAAGCAACAACGAGAAATTTTAAATTTTTGTTCTTTGTGTTTACTTTTGGAATGATTGTTGTTTTTTTTTTAATTGTTTACAATTTATTTTAATCTTCATTTGAATTTTGGTTTTTTAATCATTTGCATGAATTTGTGTTCCTTTGGTTTTCTATTGAAAATTTGGACTATTCTTTCTTGATTTTTTACCAATGGAGGGAACTCAATGTCCGATTTGTGGTAAACATTTAACTGGAACCGTTGAAGAGACTACTCATCATGTTAATTTGTGTATTGACAATTCACAGAGTTTAGATTTGATTGGAAACCTTTTCACAAATGAATTGAATGCTGCTACTGTTGGTGGTACAAGAAAATTTGGCTACTGTCCTGTTTGTTATAAATTAACTGGAGTTACTGCTCAGCATATTAAATCTTGTGGTAAATCAAAAGGTATTGAAACTAAAGAGTTGATTGTTATGTGTGCACCAGATCCTATGGAAGATTTTGGTAAAAAGGGAAAAGGTGGTAAAAAAGGTAACCAGGGAAAAACTAAAAAAGAACTTGATAATAACCCTTTTGGCCCTGGTTGTACCAAAGAATGTGATGCTGACCCGAAAAAAGCTTCAAATGGTGGAAGTAAATTAAAACAACCAACCGAATTTCTATTTAAACCAACCAAACCAAGTCAAGCGAAAAAGTTGATTGCTCCGAAAGAGAAAAAACCAAGGAAAACAAAACCTAAAGTGACCGCAGTTCGAAAGGTTAGTTCTCATCTCACAACTAATGTTTTCGTTTCACCTCATTCTAACTTTTTCTATTTTCTATTCTATTCACAGGGTAAAGTTAATTCTAATCAGCTGATATTACAACCAAGTAAAAGTGGATTAATCCTTAAAATGGGTAAACCTATTGGTATTTCCAAAGGTGAACTATTTAAACTGAGCGAGGAAGAGAAACAAGAAATAATCAAGAAGCGAATTGAAAATATATTATCGAATACTATTCATCCAAACAATTGCATCTCAACCTATTTCCAAACTGATTTACCAGTTTCATGGACAAAAGCATCTTTAACTTGTTCAAAATTAAATTTCATCGTCGAGGGTTTTGAAAGATTTTGTTCTATTGAAAAATTCCAAGAATCACCAACAAAATGTTCAGATGATATTCAAAAATGAGAAATAATTGATTGGACCTGATTTCCGATGATTATGATTATGAAAGCAAAAAAGAAAACCAATCAAATTTTGTTATTTTAAATGCATGTTCATTATCATCAAATGTTCTGATTCATCAATCAAATTCACAATCAGAAGCAACATTGATTTAATCAATCACTTAATCGATCAATTCTTCCACTGATTGCATGTACATCAGATTTATCGATTTCAATTTGATTTAATCAAATTTAACAGAAACAATCAAATGTAAAATAATGTAAAATTTTATGAGAAAGACGAGAAACAATCAATTGATATATAATCACATTTTATATTTATGATTTCTATTCAATTACTGGTTAACTGAACCAAAAATCAGGAAAAATAAACTTGTAATTATAATTACAAATCAATATATGGGCTCAATATGCTTGTTCATATAATTAATTAATCAATCAACGATTAACTATGACAACAAACAATTACAACATCTTCCAAATTTCCGGAGGAAAATCTAATTTTCTTCAATAAGGATTGAAACAATTAATCCAATCAACGATTTTCATCATTGAAACATTTACAATTAAATGATCCAAACGAATTAAGTCAAACAATGATAATTTATTTCGATGATTAACAAAACGATCAGAGAGATACAAGAGAAAATATCAAATGCGATTTTCTTTTAAGCAACAATTAAGAGATTCCAACACCAAAGAGAAACACTCGAACTGGACCGACGATTGTTCCGTTTCTGTAGATCTTACGATCGAGAAGAACTCGAACCATTCCCGTTAGAACTGTAAGGTCCATGTCCGTGTGCGTGAATTCGGTCAAATTTTTCGTCTCCAATCTCATCTTAACGAAGAGACTAATTAAGCAATTGAATTTACGATTAGAAAATTGTTCAAATTGTTGTTCTACTTTCGATTTTGGGTCTCAAATCAATCACCTTGATTGTTAATCATTAGACTCGATGAAACAATCAGACAATTTTTTCATTCGAATAGAAAATTATAATTGTGTAAATTGTCAATTTTTCAATGTCAAAAGTTAAATTTACTTTTACAATAATTAATTAATATGCTGAATGAACGGAAAATTTAATTATCAATCAGCTCAACTGAGTAACAATCAATAAGACAATTAAAAGGGGATTCCTGGGATTGATTTTTCTTATGTAACAATCAAGGTAAATTGGAAAAATTGTCAATTTCAATCTAATCATTTCTAACAATTAACTAAATTATTTATTAACATTGAATTTGGATCATCAAAAGTTAAACTATTCAAACAATTAGTTTTAATGTGATCAATTGGTCTTTGATTGAAACTGATTTATCAAATTTAACTACTTGGTGATTTGAATAGCAGATTTGATTCTGATTTAAGTCAAATAATTAGTAAATTGTTGATTACTTACGGTATATTTAGATTGACAACTCTCGGAGGAATATCTTGATTAGGATTAACCACTTCTTGGGATAAAACACCAACAATTAAAACTGCAACACAACATAAACCAATTAATTTAACTGAATGGTCCAACATGATTAACGTTGTTGATTTAAATTATTAGATATAAATTGTTGTTATTACTTCAAAGGTTGAACAGAAATTAAACTTAATCAAGAAAATGTTGATAATTTAAATACTTTAAATTTGATTGTCATCATCATAATTGTTTATGATTTAATTGTCTCTCTCGGGTCGCAGCTAATTTGAAGATCATGAGGTTGCCATTATTTGGTTAATTAGAAAATCAAATCAATGAAAACAATAAAAAATTGGAAGTTAATTGTTTATTATGTGAAAGTAAATTAACTTTTCCTCCGTATTGGTAAAGCCAACAATTAACTAAAAATAATAATCAAGGGGAAAAAATTGTAATCATTTAAATTGTTGAAACAATTACATTCTCATTGATTAACATTAAATTATTTTCTCTCTCTCTCTCCCTTAATTGTTGATATTATTTGTTTCCAATTATCAGTGGAAAAGTTAAATCATTAACAATTATGATTTAATTCAATAAATACTCCCAATTTAACATTGTATTAATTGAAAGCGTAAACAATTAAATTGTTTAAATCAATATGTTACAATTAACCTAATAACCCAAGAGTAATTGAACTCAATTAAATATGGACAACAATTAGTAACTATTAATAAATTGATGGTATTAAAGTTATTAATTGAAAAAGTTTGACTGTCAACAATTAGTTGACAATTAAATCTGATCAAGCCAATGAATTGGATTAATCTAAATTTGATTCCGAAAAATTTACAATTGTAATTAAAGTCTTGATTATTGAAATGATTGGTCAAAATTAGTTTAGATCCTTAATTGTTAACCATAAGGTTGTTATGATTAATGCAATTGTGATAATAATTTAATTACTTACAATTAATTGAGATGTTAATTTGGTAAACATTAATTATCCCTGGGCCCTGATATTGATTTGTAATTGTAATTAGAGGTTATTTCCTGATGATTAAATTAGTTAATTAGCTGAAGATGAAGTCTACAAGAAACTTAATTGTGGCCACAATTAACCAATTGTCTGATTGTTAAATGTACTCTTTGAGTCTTAATTTTTGTATTAATCATGTTAAAATTTTCAATTAAATATTTACTAATGTTTGTATTGTACAACAACACAATTAACTTTAATTATGTGTCAAATCAATCGTGGTTACCATCTTTAAATCAATTTAGTAAATTGTTTGAAAAGGTTAATCATACAATTAGAAATTATTTTCTATAAGTTAACTAATCAGAAAATTAATTGTTTACCTAATTGTTTATCTAATGGTCTCTAGTTTGGCTCATCGATTTGGACACTTGGAAAAGTAGAAAACAAAAATCAAACTAAACAATCAACTGATTGGTCTCGATCACGACAAATTAACTATTGGATTAACAATCAAGTTCCTTACGTTTTTCATTCAAGTTAAGTTTCGTTTCTAATTAAATCTTCACAATCAGCTGACAATTAAAATGTCCTCAATTAGAAACAGACAATAACAATTTTACACTCATAGAAAATTAATTAATCAATTAAACAAACAAAAACTAGTTCAGTGGACAATTAATTGTAACAAGTTTAATTACCTTGCAATCACAACTTCAATCTCCATCAGTCTAATTACTTATATAATATATAAATTGTCACCAATTTAGTTGATTAACATTAGTTTACCAGGAGTAGAAATTAAATGTTTACATAAAAAGGGATTGAAAATTAAGATTAAACATCTTAATCTTGATAGAATTTGCTAATTGTTGCTAACAATTTATTTCTTTAAGGTTGTAATCAAAAATGTCGATCTGCAATTAGAGAGGCAATTACTGAATGGGAAAGATACACATGCATTAGATTCATTGATTGGGGAGATGATGAGCAATTTGATGAGGATCAACATCAACGATTCTACATCAGATTTAGAGCTGATCAATCAGGGTAAGCTGATTAGCGACTAATTAATCAATTAATCAAATGTCGTTTATCGTGCAAAGTTGTTTTACAGTTTTCCGTAAAAATAGTCGCCATCTTGGACAAAGTGTCAATTTAGGTGAAGGCTGTTTAACGGTAAGATAATTAGAGAGATTCAATTTAATCTGATTAATCTAATCTCTCATAATGATCGATTTAAATTGTAACTATTAACTGTTAATTGTGATAGAAAATTAAAGTTCTACATGAACTTGGACACGTACTCCATTTGGATCATACTCATGGTCGACCTGATCGCGATTTCTTCATCGATCTTAAAAGTGATAATATTCATCGAGGGTTCGAAGATCAATACGAACTACGTTCTGACCTTTGGGAGTCCGTTCCCTATGATTATCGGTCAATTATGCATTATCAATCATCGGATTTCAGTTTGTCACCTTTTAAGTTAATCACCATGTCCACAAGGAAACCTAATCTTCAATATTTAATTGATCAACCACGAGTTGGATTATCTTTTTATGATATTAAACAAGTTAATCTAATGTATAATTGTTCATCAACCTGTTCATTAAATCATCAATCTTTATGTCATAATCAAGGGATCATTTTACCAAATTTATCAAATTATCATCATTTTGGTGGATTAATTAATGAAACTTTCAATAATGATCTTGATGATTTAGTTAATGAGATTGATGATGATGATGATGGTGGTAATTGTTTATGTCTCTGTCCACCTGATTATACTGGACCAAGATGTGAAATATCAAAATATAATATCACCAAAGATTATCAATTTGATCAAATGGTCAAGCGATCAGGGGCCAATGCCTGCGGGGAAATCCTTAAATCCGAGGGATTAATCCAAACAATGGATTATCCCAAACGGATTAAACCCTTTGACAGTTGTAGTTGGATAATCAATGTAAGTAGATTTGATTATCTCTCTCTGTGGTTTAATTATTTTGAAGTAAAACTTTTGATTGTTAATCTATTGATTGATTAGGCACCTAAAGGTTATCGGATTGAATTAACTTTCAACGATTTCTGGTTTGATGAACCAACGACTTACCTTGATTATTATACTAATCGTTGTGTCTATGAACGAGTTGAAATAAGATGTAAAGATCCGTATGAACCTGAGATGTAAGTTAATTGTTGTTATGTTCCTTTAATTGTTTAAAGGGTTAATTCTCACTCAATTTGATTGTTTCTTTTTTTTCCTCTTCAGGTATTGTGGAAGACAATTAAACAATACTGTTATCATTTCCAAAAGTAATTACTTAATTATTAATGTCATCGCTGGTTCCTCTATGATTGGAAGAGGATTTTCTGGTCGATATAAATTTATACCTTAAATTGTTATCAGTCATTTAAACAAATATTTATTAATTCAATAGCATTTTAATTGTGATCAATTTTCAATCCTAACTGTGATCCCTGTCAATGAACCCAAAACAAAATAAATTAACCACCAAATTATAACTTAATTTGTGGACCCTTATTCATTTGTGATTATAATTAACCAATACAAGTTACTATTGATTAGTATAATAAATTAACTATCAGTTAATTGAAAGACTTAAACACAACAACAATCAAGTTATTGTCCTTTAATTGTAACAAAAGTTTAACTCGTCAAACAGATGATAGATTTACGATATTTCGGATTAGAATTGACAAAATTTGGGAAATTTGAGAAAATTAGAAAAAATTATTAATTGTTAATTAGTTAATCATGAAGAGAAAATGATTTAATCTAATTGTAACAATTAGCGAAGAAACTGAAAGTGGCGCCATCTTTTTCTTTCTTACTCATGCTCAGCTGATGGAAAAGAAAGAGAAAAGAATGTTTTCTTTTTCTCTTACTTTTTTCTCTTTCTTTTCTGATTGTTTATTTTTTTCTTTTTGATTTTGATTTAGTAAATTAATTATTCCAATTTGCTGAATATTATAAACAATTAGAATGGAATTGTTGGAGTTAATATAAATTGTTCACCTTTTTCACAATTTAATTGGAGTGAAAGTAAATTGTTCTCCTGAGATTATAATTGAATTGTTTTCGCTTTCAGTTGATATTCAATTCACTTGACAACAAAAATCTCTTTTCATTTGCTTTTGATTATTTGTTGAACCTTAATTTCTGTGGGGGGGTTAATCTAATTGTTGCAGTTATTGTTTGTGACTGTAATTATTTTCATCATAATCGACGAGATTGTTTGATTCATGGTAAAGAATCAAAGTTTTGTGAAAATTTTCTTCTCCGAACATTATGGTTACGGTGAACTTGATTTCACATTGAATTCGAATCTCACTTATTCTCTTTTTCTATCTTACTAATTTTCTCTCTGTGACTCATATTACAATGTAAGTGGTTATTTTTTTGTTCTTTTCTCTTTTCACAGTTTTTCCCCATTCTCTTTAATTTCCTAATTCTTTTCTATCTTCCTATTTCTATGCTATTTTATCATTTTACAATTGTTACGAAAACGTTACCATTCAGATGACTGTTTTTACAATGGATTTTTGCAAGTTGTTCTAAATAGGTTTTCAAGAGGAGCAAGTGGACATCGACACAGCAATTCCAAGACGGAAAACTGCAATTGTTTCGTTTGTTTACTCTTTGGCACTGAGTCGGGACACGCATCAATGGATTGTATCATTAACGTTGAAAAGGAGGTGGATAACGTGGTTACCAAATTCGCCTCCGTAAATGACAAAACTGACCAAATACTTGTAGACCTAATCACAAATTTGCAAAATTTGCAAAGAGATTTGATTATTCTGAGCAGTAAGTAAATTGATTCCAACGTAAACTCTATTACTATTTTCACAATATTGATGATTGATTTTATTTTATTTTTCTCTAGCTTCAAATCAATGTGAACTTTCGGGCATTCAGACCGTGATAATTAATCAAAATATTATTAAAATTCGAGACACTATTTCTCAAGTGGCAATGAACCATCGTGAGATTCATGGAGCTGTATCTAAAGTGGGCAAAGTTCTTGACAAAAATTTCATCTCAAATTATTCCCACTTAACTTCGGACACATTTAAACAAGGAGGTCTTAATCCTCTTCTGTTAAATCAAGCAATTATTGAACATTTTCTTCGTCAGGGTATGCTCGAGATTGGAGAAGAGCTGATGCGAGAAGCGAAAATCTCTGTTCCCGAAGAGAAGAAACATCCTTTCTCCGAATTGAATGATATCCTGGATGGATTAAAGAAACATAATGTTAAACCAGCTCTTGAATGGATTAGAGCCAATAAGGATAGATTAGGCGATCGACACAGTCAACTAGAATTTAAGTTACATCGGCTTCAATTTATCGATTATCTTCAACAGGGTGTTCACAAGCAAAAAGAAATGATTGAATATGCTCGAAGAAATTTCCAAACTTTTGCCGACCGTCATGAAAAAGAAATGCAATCTCTCATGGGAAGTCTGGTTTTCCTTAAATCGGGTATCGCCCAATCGCCTTACAGCCATTTATTGGATCCAATAAATTGGAACGAAATCTGTGATATATTTACCCGAGATGCTTGTTCGCTTCTCGGTATGTCGGTTGAAAGTCCATTAAGTGTAACCTTTAATGCGGGTACAATTGCTTTACCCGCTTTGTTAAATCTTCGTCAAGTTATGCTTCAAAGCTCCGTTCCAAGTGTTTGGACCACGAAAGATGAGCTACCAATTCCTATCGATTTGGGGAAAAATTCTCAATACCATTCGATTTTCGCCTGTCCCATTCTTCGGCAACAAAGCAATGATTCTAATCCGCCGATGAAACTAATTTGCGGCCATGTAATATCTCGAGATGCTCTCAACAAATTAACCATTGGAAATAAACTCAAATGTCCTTACTGTCCAATTGAACAAAATCCTACTGAGGCACGACAAATACAGTTTTAATCAATTGGAACAAACAAATTCAACCAAATCAACAAAATTAAGTTAACCAACTTATAAAGGATAAATTAATCCAGCACAAGTTGCTAATCACCAAAATCAAACCAACTTTTCACAAACGTCAAAAAACACACACACACAAATCTACCTGTTTCATCATAAATCTAAAACATCAATGAAATCATTCATCTTTTTTTATGTGATAATATTATGATTTGATTAATTAATCACAAACTATTAATTTCTTGTTGTCATGTTTCCTGTTGATTATTTAACTACATAATGTTGCTCCTTTCATCTTCAACACACTGAACTTTTTTTCTTATTCTCATCATCACCAATTTGGATCACAAAGAGCTTATTAATTGATCCTATCAGACCTAAAATTGATTATTACTAATCAACAATTAAATTCAAGTGGTTCACACATTCACGTAGGTAATTAAAAACTAGCTACCGATTAACTGATTAACCAAAATAATTTCTCAATCATCTAAAATCTTGTAAGATTTTCCCTCCAAATATTATGTTTATTATCATAATTTTATTCACCCTTTTGTTTTCACATATCGTCTTAAATATGATCTTAACCTTAGCCCACCTTAATTCCAATCAATTGGAATCTTTATCAATCTTTAATATTAATTAATTTACTAATTTCAAGGAACATAATTATCATCATTACCAAACTATCAACATGGTTACCAGATAATCATATTCATACATTTCGATTAATCTGTGGCATTTAAATTTACGGTGATTGATGTAAATCAATCAACATCATTCATCTTAATTCTCATCAACCATATAAACTCAATCATCATCTTTAATCATCTTTAATCATGATTAGTTATGCCAACAGCAATACAACTTTTTCGTTTTTTTGCTTTTTTTCATTCATCTTTTTGTGACTTGACCAAATTTTGGTCAATTGAAAACGATTCATTGTCAAAGGCATTCAGTTCATCAATTGGAAGCTTCAAAACTATCTGTAAATAAATTAATTCAAATTCAACAATCACCTCACATAAAAAGCATAATATTTATTTCTGGCAATTAAATAAAAGTAAAAAAAAAAATTAAACGAAAATTTAACAATTAGCTTAGTTTCGTTTTCCAACCAACAGGTGTCACTTTTGTCGATCTCCACTCACATGGTTGTGTTTAAATCTCAATGTTGATGATTTTTTGGTTTTGTCTTTAATTGTTTTCGGAATCAAATCTCACCTGTAATTAAGTTAATTTTTATTTAGATTGTTGTGATAATTTTACTCTATTACCTGGTGTGAATTGTTAATTGATAAGCATGACCAGTTTACCTCAAATTCGTTTGGAAAAATTGCTTCCAATATTCAATAAGCTTCACCGGGCGAAAATATTTCCATATAAAGATTTGAAAACAATTATTGGTAAAATTCGTGATTATGAATATCGATTGGGACGATCATCTGTTACTAAATTTGAATATCTCAAGTATGCCGCTTATCTGACTGAACTGCAACAGCGTATTAAACTGGAGAAGAAAAAATTTCATCATTTATTACAATTTAAACATGTTGCTGTGAAAATTAATCAACTCATTAAGAAGCTTCTTTGGAGAGCAATTCAACGTGATAAAGAAGATATTAAACTTTGGTTTGATTATATTGAATTCTGTAAAAGGCATAGTCGAATTGAAGATGTGAGTAAAGCCTTTGTTGATATGTTACAACTTCACCCGGACAAGGAAGATGCTTGGATCGCCGCAGCGAAATATCATTTTGATGTGATGCGTTCACCGAATGTCGCTCGGAATTTATTACAAACTGGAATCAAAGATAATCCAAATTCGCTTAAATTGTGGAAAGAATATTTCAAATTTGAACTGTTAAATTCTGACATGGCTCTTAAGCGATTGCAAGTTCTTAAAAGAGATTTAGACGACAATAAGGTTCAAAAGGTGTCTAAAAGTAGGTTGAAATTTGTTTTCTCTAAATGCAAACATTGATCATTTTTTTTAATTTTCTATTCTTTTTCTTTTGTTTTTTAGTTGTTTCCGAGATTGATACAAATGATGCTGTCATTAGTGGTAAAATTGCTGTGGTCATTTTCAAGAATGCTATTCCCATGATATCTAAAAAACTATCAAATGCCAAGGCCTTTTTTTATATTATTGATAAGTTTCAACCAGAATTACGGATTCCTGTTAAAAAAGAGATGATTAAATTGCTTGAGGAAAATTTTCCCGATGCAGAGCAAGTTTTTGATTATAAAGCTCAATGTTTAACCGATGCACATTTTGCTCTTGATTATATTGGTGAATCAAAACAAAATTTGGACTCTATTGATGAAAAGAAATGTAATGATCTTGCTAAGGCCGTTTATCGACAAGGAATCGCCAAAGTGCCAACAACCATCATGTGGAATTATTTTATTTCATTTAATCTACAGTTATTCTCAAAGTCAACCACTGATCCGGAAGAAATTCAGGAAAAACAATTGGACGATTTGTTACTCGTTTTTGACGAATGCTGGAGATCTGGTCTAATGTCACGTGTTGCTTTTCTCGAATGGATAATTGCTTTAGAAATTCGAGATGATTTCGATCAAATCGATAAACTAATGTCCAAAGGTTGTGAAAAGTGGTCCAAACATGCGGACATTTGGTATTTAAGATTAACTATTATGGCGAAAAGGATTAGCTTTAAAGAGGAATTGAAAAGACTTTTTTCTCGTGCAATCAAAGAAATTGAATACAAGGATGATGCCGATAAAGAGGGTAAAGCTGAGAATAAAATTGACCTGACTGGCCTTAGCTTCCGAAAGATGAAGAGAAAGACAATCGAAGATATTTGGAATTTTTACCTTGAATGGTCGTCGAAACATTTAAATCCAACTGAGGTTCTTAAATTTATTGAGAAACAATTTCTTGAACTTCTCACAAAAGGAGGTGGTAATTTAATCATTCAACGTCGCCTTTCAGCTCTTCTTAAACCCGAATTGTTAAAAAAATCAATCGAATTGAAAAAAGATGGCCTCAAATCGGCGCGATTATATTATGAGAAATATAAAAATCACCCACCGATCGTTGAATCTTTTTTCCAAGAAATGATAACCATAGAAAAAGATCAACTGGACACTGGGCGAGTGATTAACATTTATGAAGATTTAGTTCGTAATTTCGGTGAAACTGATCATCTAATTTGGTTAGATTATTGTAGATTCATATTCGAAGGTTCAAACCCTCATAAAGTGGGTCTAATCTACCATAGAGCATGTAAAACGCTAAACGCCAACGAAGTAACAAATTTCGTCGCTGCTTATAACCTCTTACAAAACGATGCGATTTAAATTAACATTATTATCCTAATTGCGAAAAGAAAATCAAATTGTAATCATCAAAACAAAAAAGAATCAAGAAGCTACTCGGTCAATCAAAAATCGAACAATAAATTTATTCCAATTTCATAATAACAACTAGACTGACATTCATTTCTATTCTGAGTTGAAAAAGCAAATTGATCTCCATCGAAAAAGTTTAGTCCAAAAATATTGAAGAAAAATTCGTTTTCGAATCAAAATTTGCGCCTTAGAAAAAGATCTCGATAAATGAAAAGATATTGAGTTGGATTTGTTTGGATCTTTTCTGATTCCACTCTGAGAGTTCTGATTCTGAAGGAAGGAGATTTTGTTCATTTCAGAAGTGGACTTTTTGTCGGTGGTTTATTTCGTATATTTTTCTCCGTGGTTTTGACAATTTGTTTCATTTTCGTCTCTCTTCTCTCTCTCTTGTTCTCGTCTTTCCTCTGCTCTCTCTTTATTTTTCTTACGCTGTTTACTCTTGTCTTTTTCTTTTTCTTCTTGTGTCTTGTGAATTGTCTCCCTTCACTTGAGCTCTTTTTTTCTTATTTTCTCTTGTGTTTCTCCAAATATCACAACCTTAAATTCCTAAATCATCATCAATTTTGTCATCATTATCTTTCGTCAAAGATGGGAGAAGCAATCAGAGGTCAGATTTTCGAGGTTGCACCTCGTTATTTAGACTTACAATATATTGGTGAGGGAGCTTATGGTATGGTTGTGTAAGTATTTAAACTCTTTCATTTTTTGTTCGTTTTCATTTTTTTCGCTAACCAATTTCATCATTTTTGGTTAGTTACTCCTTTTCTCTATTCCTATTTCTCTCTACCTTTGTAATTTTTTATTCTTTTCTCTTTTGCATAATTTTCTATTCTATGTTATTTTTAATCTTCTCCCATGATTCCTGTGTTTACCTGATGAGAAATATTCCTTCAATTTTTTCTCTTCTTTTTTCTCTCTCTCCCTTCCTCCTCCACTTCATCTGTCTTCGTTTATGATTTGCACCTCTCCCTCCATCGTCTTTCTTTTTCTTTACTGTCATCTTCTTTCCTCTTCTCCCTTTTTTCCACCCTCTTTCTCTCTCTCTCTCATTCTTCATATTCCTCTTTGTATATTTTTCTCTCAATCTATTGCATAACTGCATTTCATTGTTTTCTTTTTGCTCTTTTTTTGTTAATCATTTTGCTTTCTTTCTCCATTACTACTTTCCGATAATTTAATCTGGTGATATTTTGGAAACATCATGTACCCTCAGCTCTGCAACGGACACGATAACAAAGCACAAGGTCGCTATAAAAAAGATCAGTCCATTCGAGCATCAAACTTATTGTCAACGGACTTTACGGGAAATCAAGATATTAACTCGCTTCAGACACGAAAATGTAAGTAAAAGTAAACAGGTCAACTTTCTTTGTGTTTTCTTTTCTCTCCTTGTTTCTTTTTTTCTTCCTTTACTTTTATCTCTACACAATAATAATAACTATGTATCTATAGTTGTTTCTTTGTACTGGTCAAGACTTTAGATCTCCATTTACCCATGTTCACCTTTTCTCTTTATTTTTTCTTCTTTTTAACTTTATGCATATTCTCTAACTCTACTTTCCAATTTTGCATTCTTTTTTCTTCTTTTTCTGCATATTCTACCTTCTGTTCTTTCAATTTCTTGTTTTCTTTTTTCCTTTTTTCTTTGTCTTCATTCTCTTCGCATCTTTTTCATTCCTTTTTCCCTCCCTCTCTCTCTCTCATTCTCACTGCACATTTAGATAATTGATATTCGCGATATTATCAGAGCGCCAACAATTGACCAGATGAAAGATGTTTACATTGTACAATGTCTAATGGAAACTGATTTGTATAAATTATTGAAAACCCAGAGATTAAGTAATGACCATATATGCTACTTCCTGTACCAAATACTCCGTGGGTTGAAATACATTCATTCTGCTAACGTTCTGCATCGTGACCTAAAGCCAAGCAATTTGCTTTTAAATACTACATGTGATCTCAAGATTTGTGATTTTGGCCTGGCTCGTGTAGCCGATCCCGAGCACGATCATACAGGGTTCCTAACCGAGTATGTTGCTACTCGTTGGTATCGAGCACCAGAAATTATGCTTAACAGTAAAGGATATACTAAATCAAGTAAGTTAACTACAATAAAGAAACAGAAATTTCCATACCATCTAATTGCAATTTTAATTTGCAATTTGCAAAACACTTGCAAACATTTACAGTTGATATTTTATAATACAATTGATTGGTAATTTTTCACCTTTGCATTTTTTATTTGCATTTACTCTGATTTTGTTTTACTATTGCAATTGCAAAAGACTAATTGCATTTTCAATGTTTCTCATTTGTAACAGTTGACATTTGGTCTGTTGGTTGTATTCTCGCCGAAATGATTTCTAACCGACCCATTTTTCCTGGTAAACATTGTGAGTATTTCAAGTATCAGTTTTTTTTAATGTTTTGTATAACATTTTACATGCGCTTCTCGGATTTGATATATTAATATATTGTTACTCGGTTTATTCATTTACTTTTTATCCTCATGAATTTACTTAGATTTGGATCAGTTGAATCATATACTCAGTATATTAGGATCACCCTCTCAAGAAGATCTGAACTGTATCATTAATGATAAAGCTCGAAGCTATTTACAATCATTACCGCACAAAGAAAAAGTACCATTTTCCCAATTGTATGAAAATGCCGATGATAAAGGTAAATTAATTACTTTTGCATTTACTTGATAACTTTTACTTTTTCTCATATATATTATCATTTAATATATTCTCTTCTTACAATTTAATATTATTATTTAGCTCTTGATCTTCTTGACAAAATGTTGACATTCAATCCAAACAAAAGAATCACCGTAGAACAAGCTTTGGCCCACCCTTACCTTGAACAATATTATGATCCTGGAGATGAGCCAATTGCTGATGAGCCTTTTCGATTTGAAATGGAATTGGATGATCTACCCAAAGAGCGTCTGAAAGAATTAGTTTTTGCAGAGACTCAACATTTCAAGTCAAATTTGACTGGCAATCAGAATTGGACCACAAATTGATTGTCCATCAAAAAGGAATGGTCATTATCTTTTTTCTGGTCCTTCTCTCTCTCTCTCTTTCTCTCTTTCTCTCTCTCTCTCTTCTCTCTCTCTCTCTCTCTCTCTCTCTCTCTCTCTCTCTCTCTCTCTCTCTCCATATCTTTTTCTCTCAGATTCACTCCACCTCATTCCAAATATAAACTAATGATAAACAAATAAAATGAAATTTTTTTAATCTGAACAAAAAGTAATCACGTTTCCAAAATTCATTTGCAATTTATCCCCATGATTTACTGAAATTGATGATAAATGTTGAACATTTTCTCAATATTATCTCTGGAATTGTAAAAAAAGGAGTAAATCTGATTCAATCCCTGGATAACCTCCAGACGTGGGATGTGTGGATGAGGTCAAGGTTTTTCCTGGGTTGATGAAGATAAGGATGATAGCGAAAGAGAAAAGGAAAGGGATGAGGAAAGAGGAGTGAGAGAGAGAGAGTATCAATGAGAATGACGAAAGAAAACCGGAGATGGAAAAAGAAAAGCTGAAAGAATTGATGTAATTTGGCTTCTTCCAATGAAATGCAATTAAATTAAAGTTAATTCATTGATTCTAAAATTGATACAATGTAATGAAGATGAAATAGATGATTTGTATCACAATTAGACAAACATGAGACCAACGAAAGTCAAGAGCTCCATTGCAATTGTAAATTTAATGAATATTATTATCATTTATTAATATTTGATGTTAACAGATTTTAACAATTAACTATTTTGTCAATATTGGTAAAATATTTCATTGCAAATGGTTTAATTTAGTTTAATTTTAATGGATAAGTTTCTGTATTTTTACGGTAAAATGTTAATGATAAAAGGATTTTGATTGTGTTTATTTTTATTCATGTTTCAATTTGAGTTCATGATTATTATTGTTGTTATTGAATAAAAGATTGGCTTGCAAAAAGAAAGGGAAAATCATCATGTCAAGAGTCAAGGATAAAAGGTGGATGATGATGAGGATGATGCTGGGAAGCAGATGATGAGGATGATGAAAATAATGATAGTGAGTTTTATATACTCTCAGGATTCAGAAAGATTGAGAGAGAGAGAGAGAGAGAGGGAGGGAGAGGAAGACAAGGGTGGGTGAGGCTTGAATTTTTCCGGGATTCAGGTCAAGTTGTATCGATCAATTTCCAGGGTATAGATGACACCATTACCTAGTATCTCTTTCTTTTTCTCTTTCTTTATGTTTTTCTTTCGAAAAATAATTTTTTTCATCTTACTCGTTTACTACTCAATGTCTTATGCACCGCTTATCATCATCATCATTTTTTCCTCATCATGTTACTTCATCTTCATCTCTCTCTCTCTCTCTCTCTCTCTCTCTCTTTGGTGCAAAAGTTTTTTTCTCAGTTTTCATTTTCATTTTCATTTTGAAAGGTAATCAAAAATATACAGGTAACACTTTGATTTCGTTATAAATGAGAAACAATTTGCACTTGAACTTGGAATTGATTATTAGTTAATTGCTGATAAGTTTGCTTGTACTTTAATGAAGGTTTTTAATTGTTTTCTTCAATTGTTATTTCAATGTAAAGTTTGCATTGTTTTTATTTGGTAATAAATTGTTTTAAGGTAATTATGGTTGTGCATTTGTAATTGGTGAGATTAGAGTTTGGTGAAGATGAAGATGATCATTAGGATGAGCAGAGTAAAATTCATGGTTGATCATGATGATAATGAGATAGATAAGAATAGGAAATTTGCTCTGTTACTGTTACGCATTCATCTTGTTCTTGATGTTCTGTGAATAGATCTTGACCTCATTTTACAATTCGAGCCCAGATATTTCTCCATCCCTACTGTTTTTTTCATCTCCAGGAAGATGAGGATGATGATGTGAAAGGATGAAAGTGATGATGTAAAAATTTGGGTGAAAAAAATTCAGTCATAACTTTTTCTCGATATTTTATTCTTCCACCAACAGATGGAGCTATTTCTCTGCTTTTGATCAACTTTCTTGTTAATTGTTTCACTTTGATTTGGTTAATTTAACAGATGTAATTGATTGCTGATCAACAAATTCCAATAGTTAATCAAAAATTAACTATCAATTTCATTAGAGAAAAATAATTAACTTCTCCTTGGAAACAAGTTTCTTTCAAATGGGTTTTCCTTTAGAAGAAAATTAAATTTTTCCATTTCTGCTTAACTCTTAATCACCTTGACTTTACTAATTGTCACAATTAACTGTTATTATTTAAAAGGTAAAAAATGGATCAAGTTATCAACATACAACTGATTCTACAGATAATCCAGCTAATTAACGAAAAAAAACAACTAAACATGAAAAGCTTGATCAGTCCGATGGTTAATTCAATTGACTTAAATTCACCATGGGGAAAGTTAACAAATTTTCAATCAAATTCTCATCACAATTAAAACCTAAATCAACCTTAATTGAGTAGAGGAAAAGAAAGTGTTTAAGGTACATCGAATTGATTGAAAAATTAAATCCAAACCAATTAGATGAAATTAATTTTCTTCTCTCAAGATTAACAATAAGATTTCAAATCGACCGCTGGATCAATAGGATATTTGTTTTGATCTTTCAATTGAAAAAAAAGCTTCTTTGTCTCAATCATTCAATTTGATTTCCATTAATTATTTTCCTTCAATTTTTAGTTAATTAACTTTTTTTTCTTCTGTGTAAATTGTTATTCTAATTTTAATCATTCGTATTGATAATCACTTTCTACTGTCAATGGAATCGTTTTAATTTAAATAATCTAATCTTGTGTTTTTCTTTTCTTTTCTTTCTCTTTTTCTATTTCATCTGATTTATTGTTTTTGTTTATTTCTCTTTAAGTGTTGATATAAATTCAATTCAAAGACTCTTTTTCTCTTAATTGTAACTAGTTTATTCTTTTAAGTTATACTATTGCTCATATTTATTTAATCTCTTTATTATCCCTGTGAATTGTAACATTTGTGGTTAACCCAGTGTTTTTTTTCTGTGTTTTTCTGTGAATTACTTGGTCTTTTTTGCTTTAAACTCAAAACTCTTGGGTCGCATTATTTTACTATATCTTCTTCTATTCTTCTTTTCTTTTGGTTATGTTGCTGACATTCACTAAACTGATTTAATTCTCATCAAATGAAGGGTAAAGGTAAAAAAGAAAGAGACTCAGAAGATGAGTGCCCTTTGTTATTCATTGACTTCAAATCGATTGATTTTAAAGACTGTCCTCGGTTATCTTCCATATTAAATCGTAAAGATGAGAAAAATATTGGACTCAAGGATTTAGATTGCCTGCAATTGGAATTAGAATCTTTATTAACTTCTGTTATTTCAAGAAAAAATCAGCTTGAAAATGAAATGGAAGCTCTGTCCAATTGGCAGGACACCAAGACGAAAGATAAAAAATTAAACACCAAGGTAACTTAATCTCCCTTCTTTTATTTAATACTTGCACTTTCACTTATTTCATTTAATAATTTTATTAATCACTATCACTCTTTCTTTTCTTTCAGTCTGATGCATCGGGAAAAAGGAGCAATCAGCTGGATGCAAGTACAAGTAAAAAGTTCAAAGAATCTCATTCGTCGTCATCTCATTATTCAAGTTCTCAAGGGTCAAGTAGTAATAGTGGAAAATCTCAAGGATCCATTAGGTCTAAAAGCAAAGATGTAAGCAATTAGTTTCCATGGTCTTGGATAAACATTATGACTTTTTGATATCAACAAGTTCAACTTATTGTTATTCGTTTATAACCAAAGTCTATGTTTGATTGTTTGTTCATCTGATTAATTTTTTCTTCCATTTCATCTATTAAGGTCAAAACTCAAGATTTTCACGATACATTCACCGATCCTTTGGCGATACCATCAAAGTCAACACAGATTAGAAATGATCTCCCAGAAAAATTTTGGAAATTTGTTGAACCTTATTGCAGTTCTGTCAAAACAGAAGCAATTAAGGTATGATAAACATTTCTTATTTAATCTCATGTTATTGTTTTCCCTTTAAACTCATCAATTAATCTCTTATTTCTTTGTATCTTTGCACAATTATAGTATCTGGAAGAGATCTTGAAACAATGTGAGATTGATCATGATTTATTGAAAGTTCCATCGATGGAAAAAAACAACCACAAATGGGACCACGACTCTTGGGATAATAAAAATGATTCTTCCAAAAGTAATACCTCACTCGAGAAAAAGAAAGGACTAAGTCCTTATAATAGCTCAACTCTTGGAGAAAAAGGTGCAAAAAAATCTAAAGATTCCAGGTAATTAAATTAACTCGACAATTTAAATGAAAATTTATCTCTAATGGTCATTTTTTGTTGTTTGTTGTTTTCCAGAAATGATTCGGATAAATGTTGTTTTGGCATTTTAACTCAAAGGCTGGTCACTTGTTTCATTGAGGAGAATCTCTCTCGAGGCGATGACGGATTAGACCCTGATCATGAGCTCAATGAAAAGATACCAAACGGAAGCAATATTAATTTGTTAAAGTCGCTTAATTTTGGCAATACCAACGCCTTAGAAAAACGCTTAAAAAAGGAACTCGAAGAACAAGGTCTTCTAGGTCCTGATGATGGTGGAATAGGGGACACACTAGATGAAGAATCTGATGAAATTTTAGCCGAGATGATGAAATGTCAGAACGAGTTGAAAATAATTTCTGCCAAAAATGTGGCAACAATTAAATATCTCCTGGAAATGGCAAAGAAAGATGTCATCAAACAGGAATGGGAAACTAAACTTAAATCAGCAGATAGTGAAGTTATGGATACTTACAGAAAAATATTGTCAGCTAAACAGAAAAAGCGAGTGACAAGTAAAAAGGAAAGGGAAGCGGCTTTAAAAGCGTTAAAAGATAGAGAAATAATTTTAAAAGAAATCGATTCACTCAAATAATCATCCAAACAATTATTTCACCTTTCACCCCACTGAATTACACCGCCATCACCTCCTCTTCATAAACCATCATTTATATTTCCATCTCTTCATATCGAGCACCACCACCAATCATCATCTTCATTAATTATATATAATCGTATAATAGTCTTGTATTTTCACTTTAATAAATGCAATTTAAGAATTAATATAAATAAACTTTGATTATAATAAGTAATTATTTTCTTTTTCGCAATGATTAACAATTTAAACGTAATTTGATTTTCCATCCGTAAGAAACAATCAAGTTTGAAAGTTTCTTTTGTCGATTTGAACTCATACAAATTTCGAACCTAAACTTCAAATTAATCATTAATAAGATTCAGTGAGACTAATTGAGTTTTAGAAAAAATTTGGAAAAGTTTTCTAATTAAAAATGACAATTTTCATCTTTTAATTTCCATTCTAACAATTAAATCTTATCCATTCGCGAAAATGAACTTTAGTAAAGTTTTTCTGTGAATTGTGATTAAACTTATCGACAAAAACTCCAAAAAAGTTCAATTTATTTCAAATTCTATCTGTTCAAGAACTTAATTAGTCTTATAAATATTATGATCTAAATTGATTACGTTTCAATTTCTAACAATGAAAATACTTATTGAGTTTTTCTCGAATGTCTCATCTCGTAAATCCGTTCAAGTGAATAAAGAATTGAAATGAAATTTAAATTATAAGGTAAAATTATATTTATATTATAACATAAAAATCTGCGATTAAAACTGATTAGATTGTTATGAAAACAGAGTTAATTGTATTTTTTTTATATTGGTTGATTAGATGAGTAAATTAGACTTGAGTGATTATCCAATTCATTGACTTGAAAGGTTTTCCTTTATGTTGATCTGTTGTTTTCCATCATCACCTTGATAATAAAAAGCTCCTTGATTATCGTGACTTTGTTTTTCCATTCAAATAGATTAATTGTTGATAATTGTTATTGATAGAATATTTTTTACACAGAATCTTGATGCGAATGATAATTATGATGATTAGTTGATTAGTTGATGACTCGTCAGCGTTATTATGTTTATCAATGTGAATTAACTCTCGTTCTTGATGATATTGTTGGTTTTTAATACTTGACTTTGTTTTCCTAAATTTGTTTTTGTTTGCGTTTCTTTTTTGCTTAAACAATATTCAAATGATGATTATCATGATGATTGATTATCAGCCAATATTCAGATTAAATACTGAACTTTTACTTTGTACTTTTTCATCCATGGTTTCAGTAGCTGCATCACTTGAACTTGATTCATCTGTTGAATTGTTCATTACATTATTGTTGATGCTCTTGTTGTGGTTGATTGTTGAACAACAAGACGATGAACCATTTGATTCGGAATCAGTGAAGTTATCGAGAAATAAATTCTGTCGAAACTCTTGGGGTAACTGGTCAAGTTCAACATTTCCTTCGATTAGAAGATCCAAATTTTTGACAGTTGAATCATCGAAGTTACTATTCTTGAAACATTAAGAGCTTTTCTCCTGTGTTCTTGATACTGTTTCAAAAGAGCTGAAATGGTCACCTTGCATTTAGGTTCTTCCGGATTTTTGAGAATATAGTAAACCTTTGATCTATCTATTACTCCATTCTTGATTAATGTACGAACAGGTAAATTCACTTTCTCTCTCCTGTTTGAATTACAACCTTTTAGGCCGATTCTCCGTGATTTATTACCAAGGTCCATGGGTAATTCAGTGTTGATCTTTTGCCATCCCTACTGGAATCATTCCCACAAGCCAAGGGTGATTACAGACGAAATTGAGAATCAGGAAACATGAAAAAAAAGAGATTAACAGGAAGAGAATGTTGAAGAAAAAATTGTATTAATTAAATTAAAGCAAAAAGAAAGACAATTTTGTTTTGAGGTCACAGAATAAAAAATGGCCTCCTTACCTTGGATTGATGTTCCTTGTTGAATAATCTTGAATCATTGAGGAATTTATTCCTTTTCTGTGAGCTATTACGGCCCAAGAAACGCTTAGAAAGTTGGGGAATTAATTGTGATTAAAACCCAAACTAGAAAAAAGATGAAAACAATTAATTAAACGAACGATTTGATGAAGAAAAATTTTGTTTTTCTTTTTTTCTGTCAACTGATTGATTTGTTTTATTTTAATAAACAAACGAAAGCGCCACCTGACGGTTCGTAGAAAAATGTTCTAACAATTAATTAGTGAGAAAACAAATTGTTAATGATAAGCGAAATATCAAATTACTTAATTAGTATTTGTGGTTATCCATCTGTTAAACGATCATTAACAGCTAACACTTGTTAACTGTAAGTTAACTGACAGTTAATTGTTTAGATTGAGAGGGAGGAAAAATTAATCCATCAAAAATCAAATTAAATTCACTTTAATCACCTTAATCGTTTAAAGAATCATTTTTACGCTTATGATTATCTTTCATTACTTAGATTGATTGATTTTCCAAATTATTTTTGATTAATCTTCTATCAACAAGTTTGTCTATTGATTTGCAATCCAATCGCCAGATTAGTAAAAGTTTGTTGAGATTCATTTGCAAGGTAATTACGAGATTGATTAGTTAATCTAATTTAGAGGATTGAAAAAATTTCTCTTCAATCTAATTAAAAACTATTAATATTCCTGCTCGTGTTGAGATATTAGTTCAATTGAAAAACTGTCAAATTATTAGTCTAAAGATTAACTGATTGTCACCTTTTCCATTTAATTGAGATTCATAACTTTCCACAATTCTGATAATTTCAACAATCAAAGTCGAAATATGTTCAAATTTACTTCACTATCGGATTAACAATTACATTTAATTCTATCACTAATTGTTAAAATAAAAGAATACGATTTTGATAAAAGTGAAAGTTAATTAGAAAAAGAGAAAATGTAATAATTCAGAATCAGAATTCGAGTTTCATAATTTCAGAGAAAAGGAAAAGCGAATAATCGATTGAATCGATTTTTTTTAATTTCCATCACCGGGTTTGTTTATATTCCTCTGATCTTTTTCTAGTTCAAATCAACCAATTAAATTGTCATTCGCTGATCATTCGTTAAATTTAATACTTTAAAAAGCTAATGTAATGACAATCAACCACAGTGTTTAGTTAATTGTCTGAAATAAAGTCTGTGTTTTCAATTGATTTCATCGGATCAGAAAGTGTCTCATATAACAGATTTGTGATTACATAATATTGTTTTTTTTTAACTCTTTCATTGTTTTTAATTTGATTGTTTTTCATTATCGTTTTTAATCTGATTCGTTGATTGAATCTCGTCTTTTTAAATTTCATCATACTCATCATGCCTGTTTCAATTTCTTGGCTGACAAAAGCTCAAAATGGTTACATTTCTGTTGGTCATCTAAGGGAAAGTGTACCAGCTCCAGATGAAGACCCGATGCAGGGTAAATATGATGCTAGAGAGAAATTAATTTCTCTTCTGGATGAGGCCTTGGTTTTCGCTAATGAACCAACGGTTGATAAATATTCACCTTCACGTTTACTGAGCATCTTATTCCAACATGATATCGGTGTGATCGATCAGGAAACTGAAGAACTGGAAACATCCGAAGAATATTTAACCAAGGCGAGAACTCTGCTTGAAGAATGGTTTCCGATGATCCCTTGTTAATTATCCTTAGATTGAAGGTTCTCAATCAATTGGCCTTCGTTCACACGATGACCCTTGATTATGATCAAGGATTAAGTTTACTTTGCAAGGCTAACGATTATTACGAAGAATGGTTAACATTTAAAGGAGGTATCACCGAGAAAGGATCTAAAGGTCGAGAACCAAGATGTGTTATCGAGGTTAACGATTGTTTTGCCTTTAAATTTGACGAAAAGTTACAAAGACCGGAAGCCGAGAACGAAGTGGAAAAGGTACACACCACGACACTTTTCTATTTGGCCCAAATTTACGAGAGATTGGGAGATTCTGCGAAATCGGCAAATTGTTGTTACCGAACTTTAAAGAAACAAATTGCCCTTAATCATTTTAAAACAATGGAATGGTGTATTAATCTTGCCACTTTGGCTGAATACTTTTCTGGAATTAATCGTTACGCTGTTGCAAGTCATATGCTTCGAGCTGCTCGATACATGATGGACAATCGAGAGGAAATTGCTGGAGTTAAACTTGGAATTGATGATGACGAAACAGTAGCTAAAGGAAGGGCAGATTATGAACGAATTGTGGTTAAATATTACCTCATGTTGTTTGAATATTCGTTGGCCAAGGATAAAAATTCCGTTCAAGAGGATCCTAGTTCAATCGAAGAGTTCAGATTCATCACGGAAGATGAATTGAACAAGAAAAATGTAATAGAAATACGATACAGACCAATAACCGACTATCAAACTGCCGTTGAAATTTTTAAACTTGGAAAACAGTTTATCGATCAGGCCAAAGAGTATTACACTTTGAACGAACAAGCGTCCGATTATGTTGATTGTATTCAAGATATGAGTCGATTATATCGGTACATGGCCATGTTCATCACCGATTCCGATGTAAAAAGTAAAACTTTAAAGCGACGAGTTGACCTATTGGAAGGTGTTCTAAGTGAGATTAATCCTCGATTATTCTTGAATCAAGTTCGCCAAATGTACATCGATTTGGGTGAAATTTACTATGAAATGTACGAGATTAAGGTCAACAAGCCCATAGAAACATCTAGACAGGCGATACGTAAAACTAATCATTTATTAACTCGATCAGGTGAAAATTACAAACTTTTCATCGATACCTGGCTTAGTACAGTTCGGGAAGAAAGTGTCCCAAGAAAAGTTCCCGATGAAATAGTTAAACCTTTAATCGTCGCTTATTTCACTTTAGGTCGTTGTTATTCAAATCTATTTTGTATTGAGCCCAAAGAAAAAGTTGCCAATTGGGAGAAATGTTTACAGTATTATGATCAAGCAATCAAATATCTTGAGGTTAATCCAGATCAGAAGGAGATCGCTCATGAGGAGTTAAAACTTATCCAAGAAATGAAAGATTTAATTCCTCAGAGAATCGCTCAAATTGTTAGGTCCAATGTCGTTGCTTAATCAATTAATTTTGTTGTAAAAAAAAGTAATTCCAATCAATCTGCTTATCACGATTTGAAAATATACCATGTAAATGTAATCCATTTTGTTTTTACATCACAATCATAAATAAAATGAACAATCACTTCATCAATTTTATGCGAAAATATTTATAAAAGTTTAAAATTCATTTCAATATGAAGGCAGAGAAAAAGAAATAATTGTTTAAAATCATCGAATAAAAATTAAATACCTGAGTAAATCAATCGGAATCAGAGAGATCAATTTCGGTTTCAATTTCTTCCTCTTCGTCTTTAACGTCAATCTCTTCAATCTCCTCATCATCATCTACAATAAAATCATCTTCATCATCATCATCTTCTTCTTCATCTGTATCTTCCTCATCACTTGACTCTTGCTTTTTCCTTGATCTTCGCTTATTTGACTTCGCTTTGGTTTCTTTTTTGGTCGATTTCTTTCCTTTGCCTTGACCTGAACCTCGGCTTGACCTTTTCTTAGCCATCATGGACAGAGCTTTATCAATATCATCCATGGTCATCGAAGACTTTACTCCTGATTTCTCATCTCTTTCAGACATCTCAACTCCATCTTCCGGCTCATCGTCTCTAGAGCTGTACTTGAGTTTCAATTGTTCCCTAATTAGAACACCTCTAATTAATCGTCTCCAGTTACCATAAATACGCTTTTCCCTCTTTGCGATTTCTCGTTTCTTTATGTTTAATTGCTCCTCTTCCCATGCTGCTTTAAGAGTATCAGCAAATTCTTCACAAACAACGAAACCATCGAAAACAGGATGAACTCCAGCTCCTCCTGAACAATTATCAAATCCAGTTACAGCTGGTGCACAATCAATTTTTAATTTATTCGCAATCCTTATGAGTCCAGGTAATTGGAGATAAACAGTTCCTCCGGGTAACATGCAAGGTTGGAAAAGTTCAACATTTCCATACTGATTTCGAGGGACTTTACCATCTTTTGCATCGGGTGGTATATATGGATCAGTTTGCCATTCACCAAATAGTTCTAAAGGAAGATCACGAAGAAAATCGCCCAAATTTTTGTCCCATTTTTTTCTTTTAACCGAAATTTTGTAAGGCTCTTCGTTGGGACGAACAACTCTTGCCTGTCGCATCCAATACTCTCGAGAGTGAACATCTTTGACACATTCACGAGCGTAAATCACTTCATTTCGAAATTTTCCCAATATTGGTGCATCAGGTGGGTAGATGACTTCGTATTTAAGAAGGTGTTTTTTAAGTACATAAAGTGGATGATTTTTAAAGTCACTAAGACTTGAAGGCATCGGACGATCAGCAAATATTTGGGCTAACTGATTATCTTCACGTTTTTCTTGACGACTTCGTTTGGCAGGTCTAAAATAGGAAAGAGTTTGTGTCCACCAGTCGTCATCAATACGAGAGCGACGAAATTTACAAGATGCAAATTCTGAACAATAACGTTGAGAGACATCTTTTACAAAAGAATGGTTATCCCAAGAGACAACATATAACAATGGAGAATAAGATTTTTTCTCAATCTCATTTGGGTTATCCCATGTTCCAGATTCGAGGTCGACACAGGTCCATTTCTCTTCAGTGTCAACGAAAATTTCACACCAATAATCAGTTATATTTTTCTTTGGAGCACCTTGAATAGCAGCCACTTCATCTGCATCTTCATCATCACTAATCATCTGCTTGGTTTCTTTCTTTGCCTTTTTCACAGGCTGTTTACCTTTACCTTTACTTTGTCTTCTTCCTCTAGTTGGTTTTTCATCTTCTTCATCTGTCTCTGGATTAAACTCTTCATCTTCATCAGTATCTGAGTTTTTCTTTCTTTTTTTCGTTGGTTGTTTACCTTTACCTTTTCCATTACTCTGTCTAGTTCTTCTTCGAGGTTTTTCATCTTCTTCGTCTATCTCCAAGTTTCCCTCTTCATCTTCATCTGAGCTTTTTTTTCGCTTTTTTCCTTTGGTACTTGATCGAGTTGGTCTTGTTTTCTCTTTGTTATTTGGTTCACCATATAACTTATAACTGGCAGGTTTGGGTTTGCTTTTTTTAAAGTATTCAGATGTTGTTGGTTCATCTGGTGATTTTTCATCTGATTCATCTTTGGTATCTTTTTTGCGACCTTTTTGTTTCTCCGTCAAACCAAATCATCGGGTTTAATTGGCACCGGATTAAGAGCATAACATAATCTCACTTGTATTTTTGGTGAGTAAATGCGGAGCAAGGAAATAAACATGAGCACATATTCTACCAGAGAATTTACGGAACGTGTTCCAAATGCTTTAGTCAACGATTCGATGAGATCAACAGTTTTAGATCGAATCTTTTTGTCCAAGGTAAACCAAGATCTAAACCAATTGGTAAAATCTCTGACAAACAAAAGGTTAACCTTTTTCAAGTCAAACGTAAAATCAGTAAGGTAAGAAAGAGCATAAGAGGAGATGAGTGGGTTTCGAGTGATATGATTAAGGTAAAATCCACGACTTAACAGACAAAGTAGGTGAGTTTTATGCATTTCAATTTGAACTTCTTTCTTCATTCGATTAAGTTGTTGACGAAGAATTTCACCCACATCAACCTGTTTCTTACGCCTTTTCTTGTTGAAAATCTTTGGTCCATCAATACTTATTTGTACTCCTTGTTCAGGTAATTGAGGTTTATAGTTTGCGAGAGCTTCTTCTTTATCACCTTCATCGTCGTCGATTTCAGCTTCTTCCACCTCTTCCCAATCTTCTGATTCTTCATCAGAATCATCGCCATCAGATATTTCATCATTTTTCTTCAATTTTTTATTCTTTTCTTGAGATGGTGTAACACTGATTTTCTTTCTAGGTCTACCCATGGCAATAGAACAAAACACAAATAACAGAACATACAAAACAAACAAAATAATCCAAACTAACTAATAAAAAAAATGGAACAAAAAAAGATACAAATAAAACAATTAAAGGTAATCAACTAATTGGAGAAAAACATTCGCACATTTAACTTTTAATTCTTTGGAAAGACAACAGAGGGAGTTTAATGTTCGCGCTCGAAGATTTTCAATTGAAGCGCGAATTTTAATTCTAATCACTAATCACAATTAAAGAAAAATTACTTAATCACAATAGAGAAATAAACCAAAGTTCTAATTGTAGAATTAAAGAAAACAGGTAAGGTGAAATTCTCAGACTTTAAAATGTTTTTCATTGTCAAAATTCAGCAGAAAAATTAATCTTTAATCCTTACCGATTATTAGATCAACTTGATTGACTATTATTCAATTGTTAATCATGATAATTGTATCAGAATTAGATTAATCAAAGTTGTATGATTAATATGTAATAACATTTCCAAGGACAATTTACTGATTACATTTACTAATCTTGATAAAATCTTGTTTAACTGTAGCAATTAAAGTGTTTCTTTCAACTGAGACGCGAAAAGTTAATTTGTTGAAAAGTTTTTCCATCAAAAAAGTTAATTCTTAAAATTAGATGATCGAATTAAAATTTAATTCTAATCATAGAACAATAATTTGGAAAGTTTTCTTCGGTTTACCTTGGACATTGACGAATTTTTCAAAAGAAAATTTCGTTCATTTTCATTCTCGAATAATTTAAATGTTCGTTTCTCTCGATTTGGTGGAATTAATTTTTTAATTTCGTTAATTTAATTTGGCCAAAAATGTAATTTAATTTATCACAAGGTCTAATCATTAAAATACAGTCATGTGATAATTAGATCACAGTTGAAGAGATTAAAATATATACCAGTTAATAGGCATGACTCATAATTTGCTTGTTTTGTTTGATTTTGAACATAAGAGGGAAAGAGAGAGAAGAAGAGAAAGAGAAAGACTTTTAAAGGAAAGAGAGAGAACAACAAATTGGAAAGAGAAAAGAACAAAAAAGAAAGAGAAAAAGAGAGGGAATAAAATGAAAAGAAAGAGAAAAAACAAAAACATTGTCCCAAGCGCAGGAGAACATTAAAAATACACTTTCTTTTTTGTTTCTTTGCTATAAGAATATATTTGTCATAGATGTTATTTTGTTGGATGTGAATTTGTTTCTTTGAATAGTTTGGTTTCTCATGATTAAATTCTGAAAATATATAATATATTTATAATATACAAGAAGCATTTACTTAATCTTGATTCCTTTGCGCTCTTCTCTCAGGGTGATTGTAAATTTTTTGGCGATTTTTGATTAACATGGTTTGTTTTTTTTTTTATATATAAGATGAATTTAGGTCTCTTCTTTGTGTTTCAGTTCTGTTGGTGAAATGTTGACTTTGTTTGATTGTTTATTGATGTTTTTTCACTGATGATTATCATTAATCCGCCATCTTGCCCTCAGTATGTTAAATCAATTACCCCAGAGGTTTTAATTCGTTCCACGAGAACTCTTTGTAGAGCATCAATTTCTTCTTGATATTTTTTAATATTCTCTGTTAATGATTCCCGTTGTTTCACCAATTGAGCCTTTTTTGCTTCCAATTCGGTTATTTTTTGGATCTTTTTATTACGACACTTTGCAGCAGCTTGACGATTCCGTTCTCTTTTTCTTTCAAGTTTCAGCTTGTCATCGTCAGGTAATAAGGATGATTTGAACGTTAATCCATTTGATAATGAGTTATGAGTATTGTGGTTATTATTGTTGTTGTTATTATTAAAAGTTGGACCATTGTTATTATTATTGGTATTGATGTTATTGCTAATAACTGAAGTATTACTGGCATTATGGTTACTGTTGTGATTATTACTGTTATTGACATTTTCCATAGTTGGTAAAACCTCGAGAGCAGGGGTAAGCAGATTGGGTATTGTTGGTGGAAATTGAGCAACCAATGAGTCTAATTGTGGACTGGAGATTATTACTTTATTTAAATCGGGAGTTTGTAAAAAGTCAACATGATTTTCGCGCTTGAGATCCAGGAAATTGGGTTTTGAAAGCTTTCGATGGGATGATTGCCACCCTAAATCCCCACCAACACCAGACATTTTACTATTTGATTTGGAAATATTCTGTTCTTGAGAGGAGATCCCATTGTTGCTCTTTTCACCATCATCGGAATTAGCCATTGGTAATGGAACAAAACAAACTGATGGAAATTCACTAGAAAAAAGAACGAATTCAAGGTGACCAGTGATCAGTGAACAAAACAAAAAATGGAAACAAAGGAAACTAATTTAAAGTGAAACCACTAATTAAAAACAACATCAACACAATTAGAAATTAATTTTTTCCCTTATTAACACATAGAAGGCGTCAGAGGGGGAGGGACTTTTCTCTTTGCGCCGACTCAGTTCATCTCTTTTCTCTGAGGCGCTTTTTTCGAACCAACAATTAGCCTGGAAAAGAATCCAATTAACCTAATCAATTTGGAATAATTTTCCAATCATCACAATTAAATATAATTAAATGAGATAATGACAATGATTCGTGAGAACTATTGAAAAAGTCGTATTATATTATATTTATGATCTTTTCTTTTTTGTCTTGTGATGATTTTTTTCAAAAATTTGTCTTATATTTTTTAATTTCCACCATTAATTGGTGTATATTAATTAAAGAGCTACGGGAAGGATTATTTTTATATATTGTTAGAGAGACAATTTTGTGAAATCTATGATAATATTGTATCAATTGGGTTAAAGCTGCTTGTTGAATGTTATTTCCACACTTAAAGTTGGTAAAATTTTGCATCACCTCTCGATTAATTTCATCGATTGCTTTTCTCCAGCCATTATTAAAAGTTTTAACAATTATCGCAATTTTGGGCTCCTCTCTTTTCAACGAATTGGTATCATCTCGTTCTTGGAATGATTCACAGTCTTTAACGAATCGTAACATACCACCAAAGTGTGGATTCAAAAGTTCCTCAACATAAGCTTCAATTCTTTTGCTTAATTGTTGTTTAATGTTTTGAGATTCTTTTGATTCTTCTTTAACTCTTTCCAAAAGTACATTGAGAATCATGTCATAATTGTTGATAAGGAAAACAAGATATTCTTTAGGATTATTAAATCTTCCAGCCATTTTGAGGATAAAATTTTCAACTTCGGTTTGAAGGCAACCGAGTAAAATTGAAACTCTTTCATCGGGAAAAGTATCATTAATTGCCATAATTGCTGCTGAAAATTCAGCATATCGACGGGTAATATAGTGAGGCCGAGAGTCACAATTACCTAATTTCTCGGGATCACAATTTTTAACACTTTGTATTTGCATTTGAAATATTGTTTCAAATCGTGGCCAAAGTATTTCCACCATTAATTCCCAGTAATTATCTAAAGCAGGAACAGCTCTCTTATGGGATAATAATCGATATCGATAAACAATATGGAGACACAAGAATAGACCAATACAATCGTAACTTGTACGAAATTCCTCCTCGCAAAGGTGTAGAATATATTTCAATGTTTTACCAAGAATACGATCAAATAATTCGTAAGCAGCTTCATTTTTCAGCATAAAATAATCGATACAGAATAGATATTCTCGACAACCATTATCAACCATAGCAAATTGATGACTTCGAAATAAAGCTTCCATGGGAAATTTTACCTCCGATTTGGTTGCCGTGTGAGGAATGATTAAAGGTGATTCTAATTCGGTGGTGACAATATTTCCTCGATTTCCAAGGGTAAATATGGTTGAACGATTTTTAAGCGTTTGTTTACCGGTGAAAAAAGAGACTTTCGATTTATGGGAATCGTCAGCAGCCATTAGATCATCTTTATCAGGTAATTCGTCAAATTTTAACTTGGATAATCTTGTGATGTATTCTTTGAAGTAAGAGAAATAAACCTTGGACATTGTGTCAACGTATTCTTGTTTAACTTCACGAGCAATTTCACGGGCATGGGTACACAAGAAGGTGTAGAAAAATTTATTCTTTAACAAAGCATTTTGCTCCATTTGGTAGTTGGACATGGCCCGGCGACAGAATTGAATCCTTTTCAGAATATATTCTCGAATCTTTGAGATGGCTTTGACTTTTAATTTTTCCAAAATTTCTTTCACATCTTGACAGGGGAGAGACTCGCGGGTTGACTCATTACCAACAAAGTCAATCTTTTGATCTAAAATCATTAAATTGTCAATAAAATCTTTTTCACTTGCTGGCGTGTCAAGTATGTGAAGCATTACAGGTTCAGGAACAACAATCTCATCAATATACTGAACCAATTCACTCCGAAGGGCTTGTTTATTTTTCAATCTTATATTAAGAGATAATGATTGTTCTTGAAGGGATAGTATTTCCTGGCAAATATTACCCAAATCAGCTTGAAAGGTGACCAACATGTGTTCCAATTTCTCCAGGATAGAATCACATTCATTTATGTCAGTGTGAAGAGCAGCAATGTTACTACTCTCACTAATATAATCAGCAACCGAAGCATTGACTGCTTCTCGTAATTTATTCTCAGTTACCTGAGAATAGAATCTAAGGTCAACAGCTGAAGATAGAATTTCTTTGATAAAATCATCACTAATTAAATCTTCAGCAAGCCTATGATTAGAAGGAGATAAAACCTGCATTTTAAACAGATTTCTAAATGGAACAAATAATAAAAAAAAGAACAACTCAGAAATTGAGAAATTGATTAGGAAGAGAAAAAACCAGAAAATGTATTAACCAGTACACAGAATGAAAGGCACAAGAAAATCAATTGAAACCATAAAATCCATTCAGTAGACAGAGAACAATTTAAAGGTGAACAATCATCAAACAAAAAAGGGATAACAATTAAATTAGATAAGCAATTAGAAATTAAAAGAAAACAATGAGACAATTAAATTAGAAAAAAATAACAAGACATCAGGTAGCAGATTCTAAACGCCATCTATAGTTGAACCAAGATTCTTTTCACAATTACAATTAGAATTTCTTATTATTCAATCATGGAAACACTACAAATAGAAATTCAGATTAACTAATTAATTGATCAATTAAACAATTGAAATAATTTAACATTAATTAGAAAGGAAATTAATGTTAATCCAAGTGAAGAGTCAAAAGAAGCGCTTATGTTTCATTGAGATCATTGAGTAAGCGCAATGAAAAGTTCCCTCTGGTGTTGGTTTAATGTTTTCAACAATAGAAAAATAATTTTCTGTTTTCTGATTGTTCAATACATTAAATTGTTTCCATTTTGATTTTGTTTAATTGACCGTCGATAATTTTCAATTAAAGTGACCATGGTAGATTCAGATGATGTCGACAAGACAATTGCTCAGGACATCGTTGTCACCAAGTACAAAATGGCTGGTGAAATAGTTAATCGTAAGTAATATTTTCTCTTCGCCTTTTTTTTTATTACTCTTCATTGTTACTCGACCGTTTTTGGTTACACGTGTTCCAGCCTTTTCATTTCTATCTTTAGACTTGATTAATTTGTTGATTGTGATTAATTTAATTGTTATTTGGTCATTTTTACGGTTTAATTTTAATCTTTGCTTCAAGTAGAATGTTCTTTTTTCGTTGAAGCGACTTGTTCTCTTATTTGAAGATGGAAATTAATGAACACACTTTGTGAAACCCATAAGCTCAATTTCTCCTTTTTTTCTCATGTTTCTTTGTTCATCAATCATTTTGATGATCAATGTTTCTATTTGTTGATTATTTGCTATTACTTGTTTTAGATTTGATTTATTTTTTAATTCATTGTGTTTATTGTATCTTTAGGTGTCCTGAAAACATTGATTGCCCAATGTAAGGCTGATGAAAGTATTACCACCTTGTGTGAACTTGGTGATAAAATGTTAAGTGAAGAGACTGGTAAAGTTTTCAGGAAGGATAAAGATGTGAAAAAAGGAATCGCTTTTCCTACCTGTGTATCTGTTAATAACTGTATCTGCCATTTCTCACCTCTTAAAAGTGATCCTGATATAAAGCTAAAAGATGGAGATGTTGTTAAACTGTAAGTTGCTGATTTTAATGTTGATAAACGCGATCGTTTTTACTCTGGTAAATTATTTCAATTTGCTTGATGAAATTCACTAATTATTGGTTGGTTATCTTTTTAATAGAGATTTAGGAGCTCATATCGATGGATTTATCGCAGTTGTTGCTCATACTTTAGTTGTTGGTGCTTCAAAGGAAAATAAAGTCAAAGAACGAAAAGCGGATGTTATTCTTGCCGCTCATTATGCGGCCGAAGTTGCGTTGAGACTGGTCAGACCTGGAGGTGAGAATTACGCTGTAACCGATGCTATTCAAAAAGTTGCCGAATCTTACAACTGTAAGCCAATATCTGGAATGCTTTCGCATCAATTGAAACAGTTTAGAATTGATGGAGAAAAATCGATCATTCAAAATCCAACTGAGGCCCAAAGAAAGGAACACGATCGTTGTGAATTCGAATTGCATGAAGTCTATGCTGTAGATATTCTTATAACTACCGGTGAAGGAAAAGTAAGTTGGATAATATTATATTTTCTCTCTTTAATGTTTCTCTTTTTCATTTCAATTTATTTATAACTTTTTAATTTCTCTCTTTCTAATCAAAGGGACGAGAACTGGACGCCAAGGTTACTGTCTATAAAAAGACTGATGAGATTTACCAATTAAAGATGAAAGCATCTAGAGCCTTCTTTAGTGAAGTAGAAAAGAAATTTGGAAACATGCCTTTTACTATGAGAGCTTTGGAAGATGAGAAAAAGGCCCGTATGGGTGCTGTAGAATGTGCTAATCATAAATTAATCGAGCCTTTCGTTGTTCTCTTTGAGAAAGAAGGTGAATTTGTAGCGCAATTCAAATTCACTGTACTCTTAATGCCCTCAGGATCCCATAAGATAACTGGCCTTCCATGTGACCTAGATTCTTACGAATCTGAACACAAGATTACAGATGATAGTATTAAGAGTTTGCTAGAGAAAGGAACCAAAGCGAAAACAAAGAAGAAAAAATCAGCCACCAAGACCGAATCAGCTGAAGGAGGTGATGGTGCCGCTGGAAATACTCAGGCTGGAGATTGATCAAACTTTTAACAAACTTTGATCTTCGAATCTGCTGAAACTGTACATTCTCCGTCGTTTGTTTGGATTTCATCTTGAAAAAAAAAGATCTTTAAAAATGGAATCAACAATTGAACTGAATGTTTTCAACACTAATAAAAAGCCAGAAACATTTTGTTTGAAAAAGAAACAACTTGCAACAATTAAATTCATCTTCTATGACAACCACTTCTGTCAACGTGTTCCACCTGTAACAAAGTGAAGGAACAATGAATTACCCTGAAGATAATGATAACAATTATTTTCATGATTCATTTCCAATCGAAATGAAATCCAACCTCAAGTTTACAAAAAAAAACTACAACCTCTTGATCGGGTTAATCTGATTGGTATTTAAATTTGTTTTTATATTTTTCCTTGAAAAAAAATATACACATTTAGATTGTTAAATTTTTCATGATAGAAGGAGTTTTATATCCATACTTTGAGAATGATTTAGAAGAAGTAAAATAAAAATGAGAAAGCAATTAGTGAGTGAAGACCAATAATCAATAGCAGCATAAAATACGAGGTTTTAAAGGTTTGTGAGGGATCACTGTTAACGATTGGTGCGAATGAGAGTGTTAACACACTACCGGACAGAAAAGCGCCAACAATGACTAGAATATATTGTAATAAACGAATTTCAATAATCCACAGGAAAGAAATTGGAATATAAACCGACAAAGAATAACCATAGGCACAAATTATCTCGAAAAGTGTATAAGTGATGGTACAACCTCGAAACCAGAAGAAAAACCAAAGTAGAACGGGAACAAATAAAGTATAACTAAATACGCTGCTTGCAGCTAATCCTGAAAATGGAATAGAAAAAAAAAGATTAGATGAGAATGAGAATGAGAATGAGAATGAGAATTAGATTGGATTGGATTGGATATTGATTCGATTTACTAACCAAGTTTATTCCAATCGTTATGCCATGAATCTTGTTCCCTCTGGTTGAAAGGTAATTTGCTATGTTACCGAAAATGGCGATTGAGAAAATTAAAGTGACATTGATCCAAAAAGGTCCATAAATATCAGCATTGTTCTGAATGTGTCTCTCAATGTAACTCGCACCAGTGGCAGATTTCATGGGTAAAACTGACCACAGAATTCTGGCCAGAACATCTTGTGTTGTTACATTGAAATATTGAGAAAAGTAATTTAATTGCCAAAAACTGGCCGGTTGTTTAACTTTAGCACCATTTGCCATTAAATCTGATTCTTCATTGTCATCAGTTGGTCCATCATCACCTCCTCTGGGTGGTGATGAATAATTTTGTTTACTTCCAATGGGTAATAAATTAGTTGATCCACTTGCTTCTCTAGGATAGTCTTTAAATTGTAATTCATTTGCTGCTAATCCAGTGTTCATATCAGCTCCAGACATGTCAATAGCCAAAGCATTATCAAGCTCAAGGATTGCTGATGGTTGGTCCATGTTTATCGGTTAAATTGTCCTAATAATTTTCTCCGATAATAACGATTAGTTTCAGGAGAAATGAGAGATCACCTTAACGAAGGTGTAAAAAAATTATAGTAACAATTAGTTGAACACTAAGAGTATCCTTTCAATTGGTCTCTCTGTTTAGCCACAGCAACACAAATCTAAGGCCTCAGAAACATCCCCTTTAATTTGATAGGGACAACCAAAGAACTGATTAAACGTAATCACAAATAAACCATATGTAATCAACCAGGAATATGAAAGGAAAAAAAAGAGTCAAAATTAGAAATCAAGGAAACTGGTTGATGATTAGTTAAAATATATTTACGCTCTTGTTACCTGAGGTAGAAAAAGTGATCCACAATTAACAATCGGTATAGTCAAATGATCTCTGTAAAAGAAAGATAAACACATTCAATTGTGGAATTAATTTTAAACAATAAGCAACCGTAGTTGTGTCAATAAACACTAATTAACAATGATGATGTGATCAGATATTGATGATGTTGATAGAAAACAAAACCTCAAATCTAATGGTAACCAACCAACAATTGACAAGTCACAGTTTCTTTTTCAAACCAATTTGATCAACAATCAAATTCTATACTGATTAATTAAGATATTAATGTTCAAAACTTCACAGAAGCAAAGAAAACATAACAATTAAATTATCCAAATTGGAAAAATTAAAATTCTGAAGAAAATTAAAAAACATCAGAACTCAAAAGCTTCCGAACCACTTTAATTCTCACCAGATGGCTCTGTGCTCTCGACAATTTTTCTATTCTTTTTTTTTTAATTGTTCCAATAATCTGATTAGATTGTGAACAATTAAGAGTAGAAAATGAAAATTGAGATTTCATTGTTTCTTTAATGGTTCGCTTAATGGTTAAGTTGAATGTTAACATAAATCTTTCATCTTGATTACAATAACTTTACATTTTCTGTCAATCAAATTTAACTTTGATTCGTGAAAATTTAATTTGGATTACAATTAAATCCAAATTTTATCAGAATTATATATTTGTAATTTGGGGATCATTTTCATCTCAGAATAATAGTTTTGATTTACCGTTTTTTTTTCTTGGTAAAATTTTGTTTCTGTCTCTCATTGATGACAAAATTTAAAGAGAATCGTTTTGATTGAAAGTTAACAATCAATCAAAAGGATTTACAATCAATTGACAAGATAAAGTTGACACACAAAAGAGAGATAATTAGATGAGAAGTAGACAAAGTAAAGATAACAGTGATTTAGTAGAATGTAAAATAACATTGAAAGAGAAATTTTGTTCCATCAATTTTGTTTGTTCGAGAATAAATTTGATTCTGTAAAATTATCTAAACAGAAAAAATTAAAACAAAAACAAAAACAAATATGAGAAAATTATGGAAAGTAAAACAATTGAGATAATTAGGAAATAATAAAGAGATTAAAATGACTTTCGACTCTTCTCTCCATATTGAGACTATTGTTTCTTCTTGGTGGCCTCATCATAGGAAGGTGGATGCTCCATTCCGGGAACGTTGAATCCTGGGGCCGAAGGGCCACTCGGAGGTAATACTGGATAAGCACCGGCTGCACCCGCCCCGGCAAAGCCCATCGCTGAACCGGCTGAGTAAGGATCCATTGGAGAGACTACATATTGTGTTGTAGCCGTTGGATAGATGGCTGGGGTTACTGAAGAATGGCCGAAAAGTAATTGCGCTGGATCGGGATGAACAGCGGCTCCGGGTACAGAAGCGGTGACGGTGGTTTGTGTGATCAGCCCTGGATACGGAGGTGGGACATCAGAGGTGTAAACAAATCCTGGCGGTGGTGCATCGGGGAAAGTTTGAGTGGGTAAAACAAAACCAACAGGATAATTGGGCTGATAAACATCATCAGAAGCTTGGTAATAATTAGCCGCTGCTGGTGCTGAAGTGTAAGGAGGTGGAGCGGTGAATCCAGATTGTCGAGCCAAAGCAGCGGCCTGACTAGCTGCATTTCTCATTGCCTGACCAAATTCAATGGCTCCTCCTTTGTTAAATTTCATTTCAAATCCAAACTCAGGATCCCCACGGACTTTACCCTTAATTGCATTAGCACCAAATATCGGCTGGTCAAGGGAAAGGTCAAACATTGAAAAAAATGGAGCCGAAAATGACTTAAAGTTAGCATTTTGTTTCAATGGAGTTGCTGTGAAAAGGACTCGATGAGTTGTCAAATAGATTCGACCTTTGGCCTGTAGGGACAAAATAAGAGACAAAAAAGATTACTAATTAAGAAACATTAAGAGTAAGATATGATAACAATCAAATTAACACGACGATTAATATGATTGATTAAAACTGAATCAATGATGTCACAAAAAAATTAGTCACAGAATTACATCAGAAATTGAAATACTAAAATGAAAGACCTTCACTTTTTTTTACACTCTAATCACAACTAATTGAAACAATAATAATTAACACAGATTGGATTGATAAATTGAAGAAATATCACCAATTTAATTAGAAACAATTAGAGAGAAATAAAAAAATGAAGGTTTAAAGTAAAGACAAGAAATCACAACAAAAGCAAAAGACTCAACAAGAAACAATCAAAGATTAGAAATTTTTCTTTCTACTCTATTATATTAATCAAGTTATACTTACATGACCTCGTCCTTTGATTTCACAATTAACTGAATCACAAAATAACAGAATTAATTCACCAGAATAAAGGAGAACACCTCCATTCTCTTGATGGGCATTATTGAGAGAACCCATTTGATTGAATGGACAATTAACTCAAGAAAAACAGATCTTCAGAAAAAGACGAACAATCAGTCAACTGAATGCGAAACGAAAGAAAATCAAATTAATCAATAATTTTCTACAATTTAATAATAGAAACAATTAAACGTAAACATAAACAAAACTGAAAGAAAAAATCACAATCAAGTTGACAATTAATTTTCTAGAAAATTACAGAAAATCAACAAATTAAAACGTCACAATTGTTACCATGTTTACTTTAAGTCTACCGCTTTTTTCAAATTCTGATCCAATTTTATTTCTAAATTGTAACAATTTGATTTCTATCACTTAAAAATCATCTTTGGTTATTGACTGATTAGATGGATGATCTTGATGAAGTTTTTAAATTCAGAAACGTAATATGAGTTGTAAAAGCAAAAATATTGGCAACTAATTGGATTTGTTTTTAATCAATTTTAATTAGATTGTATTTTTAACCATTTTGGAGACGAGAGATTTGACTTGACAATTAACATTTCTTGTGATTGGAAATCAAATCTTCAATCATTTTTACTGCTTGTGTACCAGAATTTGAGTTTCTCATATTTTCTGATATTTTCTTGACTCTTTCTTGTAATTGTTGATCATTTAAAACTTTCTCGATACAATTAAGAAAATAATCTTCATCAAACTCCCAAGGATTAACTCGATATCCAATCTCTTTATCAACGACTCTCTGGGCATTGTCCAGTTGATCAAAGAACCAAGGAATCACAATCATTGGTTTTCCATGATAAAGAGTCTCCATGAATGTATTGTTCCCTCCGTGAGTTATAACCAAATCAACCTTTTCAATAACTGCGACCTGATTGACATATTCTTGTCCCCACATATTATCGGAAAGATTTAGTTTATCACCTCGTCGACCCATTGAGACGATAACACGATGACCACAACGAGCGAGAACGGAAAGACATTTGTTCATAATTAGTAAATCATTAGAAGCAGTTGATCCAAGGGAAAAGTAGATCAACTTTCCAGGTTTATCTTTGAGTTTATCTGGTAGCTCGAAAGTCGAACCTTCATCAGGAGATCGAACATAACAATCGATTCGATGCCAACCAGGTTCGATTGGTTCGAACTCAGTATAATCGAGATCAGCAGGGTAATGATAAAAACCGATTCTTCCAGGAGGTAAAATCCATCGAGTCATATTGTGATTTTCAGGTCTTCCTGATTCTCGTAATAGACTATTGAAAATGACACTCATGTTTGAAAAAGCATCAGCAGTGTATCTCTCGAACTCAGTCCATAACTTTGGATCACTATGAACAGAATATCCTGACATTGCCGGAGGACCTTTTTCGTATAAGATCAGAGGTGCCGGTGAACATGAAGAAACGACAGGAATTGTCGCTCTGTAAAGACAATCGAGAATATCTAATCCATCAGCAACAATTGCATCAAATGAATTCTCACCCAAGATCGGAATCAAGACTTCGTTCATTTTACGATATTGTTCAATTCCAAAGGCCGAAGTTTCCTTTTCCTCTTCAGTTTTATTCATCAATCTATCTAGAGGTGATTTTCGAAACTTTTCCATGTTCTTGTCAATCCACGAAGAAAAGTCTTCGTCGCAAACAACACCAACAATTTGTTCATCGAAAGCAATGAAATCAAAGCCATGTTGATCTGCGAGCTTTTTATACTTCAATCGATGAGCGAAGGTCACTTTATGTCCATGTCGAGCCAACAACTCACCGAAACCACAAATCGCATTGATATGACCATAACTATAGTTTACAATTAAAGAAAACAATCAGAATTAAACAATTAACACCAAATTAAAGATCAATACTTACGCTTCGATCGCAGTAATTAAAATCTTGTACGATGGTTTAGACATAATTACAATTAATGAAACAACTCGATTGATTGTCAGTCAATTTATGGTTTAAATATACTTAGCAACTCATTTAATAACTACAATTATGTGATTTTAAAAACGATACAATTAATTATCAAGCCAATTAAGATACCGAAGTTTCCAATGATTTATTATTCTGGAATAATTTTTTTAATCAATTCTCAATATGAGCTAAGAAATAAACACAATTCTGTTAATCCATCGATTTGCAACAATTTAATTGAACTTTTATCTCGAGTGATTAAGGTTTAGATGATCTAATTGTTGTATCAGTAATATGATAATCTATTAATAAAGGATTAACTTATCATCTTGTAATGATAATGTAATAAATTTGATCTTTTAGATTTATTGTCAGAATAATCAATAAGTTTGGTTAATTGTAATAAATAGCATCTAATTAAAAGGATGAAATGAAACAATATAAAGTAAAATCAATTTTATCATTAACTATAGTCAATTAATCAATTAAGAAACTCATAAATATAAGACAAAAAGTTTCTGTTCAATTAAAAGTTTTAACAATTAAGGAAAACACAACAAAAGTACTTAACAATCAGACAATCGAGTGCACAATTTATGATTTTGTTAATTTCGTTCAATTAATTTACTGATCAGTCTTCAAATGGGATTAATTGAATTTTCTGATTGTTTATTGATTAAACTATCTGAAAGTTTTTCTCCAATAATAATAGAGAAAGACAAACGGAAAGATCAACTTAATGAAGGTATAAAAAGTTGATTGCAACAATTAGTAAATCAGTAAAAGTTTGCTTGTTATTAGTCTTCAATTAGCCACAATTACAAAATTTTCATTCACAAATATTTCCATTCATGAATACACTTCATGATCTCGTTTATAAAATAGTAATTAAGATGAAAAAATTAGATAAAGAGATATTTTGAAAGATCAACAGGTAAATAAATTGATTTAGTTTCTGAAAGACCACTAATTAATTAGAATATCTTTTTATATTTAATTATATTGGAAGCGGAAGATTTGGTTTGAACAATCAAAGTTTTTTGTTCTCAACAATCAAATCTTCAATTATTTTTACTGCTTTTGTACCAGAATTTGAGTTTCTCATATTTTCCGATATTTTCTTGACACTTTCTTGTAATTGTTGATCATTTAAAACTTTCTCGATACAATTAAGAAAATAATCTTCATCAAACTCCCAAGGATTAACTCGATATCCAATCTGTTTATCAACGACTCTCTGGGCATTGTCCAGTTGATCAAAGAACCAAGGAATCACAATCATTGGTTTTCCATGATAAAGAGTCTCCATGAATGTATTGTTCCCTCCGTGAGTTATAACCAAATCAACCTTTTCAATAACTGCGACCTGATTGACATATTCTTGTCCCCACATATTATCGGAAAGATTTAGTTTATCACCTCGTCGACCCATTGAGACGATAACACGATGACCACAACGAGCGAGAACGGAAAGACATTTGTTCATAATTAGTAAATCATTAGAAGCAGTTGATCCAAGGGAAAAGTAGATCAACTTTCCAGGTTTATCTTTGAGTTTATCTGGTAGCTCGAAAGTCGAACCTTCATCAGGAGATCGAACATAACAATCGATTCGATGCCAACCAGGTTCGATTGGTTCGAACTCAGTATAATCGAGATCAGCAGGGTAATGATAAAAACCGACGGTTTTCAAAGGTAAGATCCATCGAGTTGGTAAAAATACTTCAGCTCTCCCTGATTCTCGTAATAGAGCATTAAAATTTTTTGTCATTTCCTCGTAAGCGTCAGTACAATATTTGTTGTACTCTTCCCATAATTTGGGGTCACTAGTCACAGAAAACCCGGACATTCCCGGTGGACCTTTCTCGTATAAAATCAATGGAACAGCCGAAAACGAGGAAACTACAGGAATCGTCGCTTTGTAGAGACAGTCTAGTATATCGAATCCATCATGAACAATTGCATCGAATGAATTTTCTGCCAAAATTTGAGTTAATGCTTCGTTCACTTTTCGATATTGTTCAACTCCAAAAGCGGCCTCTTTCTTTTCTTCTTCAGTATAATTCTTGAATCTCTCCATTGGTTCGCGTCGGAACTTGTCCATGTTCTTGTCCATCCATTCAAAGAAAACTTCTTCAAACAAAGGACCAACAATTTGTTCATCGAAAGCAATGAAATCAAAGCCATGTTGATCTGCGAGCTTTTTGTGCTTCAATCGATGAGCGAAAGTCACTTTATGTCCATGTCGAGCCAACAACTCACCGAAACCACAAATTGCATTGATATGACCATACCTAATATTCAAAGTTAAAAAAATTAAAGCAAACAATTAGAATCAAACAATTTACACCGAGCAAAATTAGACACACAAATAGTATTAATACTTACGCTTCAATAGCAGTAATCAGAATATGATATGAAGGTTTAGACATTGTCACGATTAATGAAACAACTCGACTGATTGTCACTGGATTAATGTCTTAGGTTCACATTTGATTGTTTATCTTTATTAAAAAACGCCTTTGGAAATGAAGGTGACACTTGAAAGTGAGTTTTTAGTGCTTTCACAATATGAAGGAAAAAAACACTTTGCGAGATAATCGTTAATCATAAGACACTTTCATTTGTATCTGTTGATTGTTGCGATTTTTAAGTGGATAACGAGACAATTAATAAGTCTAATTCTATCAAATTATGAGCCTTGAATTTTTCGCCAAGGTTTTTATTAATTCATTTGTTTGATTGTATGAAAAACTCGGAATATCATTAGACTTTCATTGTGTGATTGATAATCAACATCTTAACAATGGTGAGCTTCAACCAAGATAATTTAACGATCATTATGAGCGTCATGGATTAGATAGGAATAGATAATTAAAAAACTGTGTCGCAATTTTACGCAATTTAGTTCAAGTTAAGTAGAGAATTACAATGGTAACTATTGATAAGTTAATTTGATTAGATAATCAAACTATTGATCTTTAGATTAGTTGTTTGAATGTTAAATTTTCGGTCAAAAATATCGATTAATTAAAACATGACATTACTTTAAGAGATGATTTAACTGAGTCCAATTGATTACACTAAAGATGAACGTTTGCAATATTAAGTAATATTCAATTAGAAAAACAACTAATAAAAGGAAAAAAATCAATAAAAGTTAACTTGAAAGTTGCAGCAATTAGAGAAGACATCGTTTCACTTTGTTCCTGTTCGTGTTCATAAGGTAAACTGCCGAAACCGGCTCGAGATCCGACCCGGTCTCCCATAAGTTCAAGAAAATCGTGATTATTGGCAATAGCGATGACCACTAATCTCAAATCAACTCTTGATGGACAACCAAACAATCAAATAAAGAATATCTTGTTCGGTTAACCAAACAATCGTTGAAAAAGTTGATCTCCAATCGATCGATTTTACAAAATATTCCATACAATTTACATCTTCGGTTCTTTTACTGGAATCACACCCAAGACATTTCTTTATAATCACACATGGGATGTGACATTGAAAGAGAAAACAAACCGAAAAAAATCATAGATATGATCAGACCTTTTTCTCTACATGGTGATTTATATTCCTTAACAGGAACTGAGGTTCGAAGATTTTCCATCACAATTTAAAAAAAAGATCCCAATCAACAGGCGAACCAATAAATCACCAAACAAAAAGAGAAAAAGAGATGAAAAAAAAAAAAATTCGAAATTGCAACCAGAAAAAAAGAGAAAAGTGAAATTCGACCAATCCAAATATTTAAATTTCTTTCTTTCTCTAAATCAATTGTAAGTAAACTAAATGATAATTAACAAATAGAATTTACTAATTAACATTATTGATCAATTAGAGAAAATTTGAAAAAGAAAAGAACATTTTGATCATATGTTTGGTTTCCAATGGCAACAGTTCTTCTTGTAAACAAAAAATTCTCTTGAGTTTCTGGTGAACAATATTCTCATTGAGGTTCATTGAATTTCTACTCTATCACTCACACTTCTATCTCTTTAAATCTCTCTCTTTTTCTCCCTCAACCATATCTTTCTCTTTCTTGTCTTCTCTTTCCTCCCTTCTCTTTATCTGTTCCATTAAAACATCGATTAAACATCGATTTCTCTCCAAGTTATTGCATCATCATCGATGTTTGTAGATTTAACAATCGCCCACCTCATCTATATGCTCTTGACAAAACAATTTATTCAATAATGTTGATGATCTTTAAATGGTTGGTTTAATTTTTTTTCGCATTTCTCCTCATCACTAATGTGTTATATTACAATTTAATCTTTCGTTTTACCTTTTTCTCTCTCTCTATTTCTCTTTCTCTTTCTCCTTCTCTCTTCTTCTGTCTCTCTCTATCTCTTTCTCTCCCTCGTCTCCTTTTTTAGGGTTGGATTTGCAAGTTGAAGTTTAATTGAGGTTAAAACCTGATGATTTGATCGTTTTTACATGATGGAATCAGAATCGTGTGTAATAACTACCAAAAACAGATTTATTAATCAATCGTCAAGCCTACACTTTGAACAGAAAATATCTTTAAATGGTCATTGTGATGGTTTACCACCAAGGAGCAACAATAACAGTCAAATAAACCAAAATGGTGCAAATGAGTATGTATATCATAACAAAGTCTCTCATCAAGCCCAGTAAAACGTGAAGAAACCTTCCCTTTATCCGTCTTTCTTTTCTTTCTTTCCTTTATCATCCACCTTTCTCTCTCTCTCTCTCTCTCTTTCTCTCTTGATCGTTCTCCATCCTTTGGTTTTATCATCATCTTGTTGTTTACCTCATTTGATTGTGAACCATTAAACTTACGTTTTAGGTTTTACAGTTTAATTCAACCAACAAAAACAAGCCCTTTTTAACAACCAAACATCATCTTCTTGTTATCTATCACTTCATCAATTGTTATCTTGCCCTTTTCCTTATTAACCACTTTTGCATACAGTTATTTTATCATCTTTTTGACTCCTTTCTTATTCATCATAATTATTATTATCTTCATCTTGTTCTTCATCTTGTTCTTAATTTTGTTTTTTTCTTACCTGTTTCTCACTAAATTCATTCATCTTCTTCTTTTCTCTTCCTCTCTTTTTCATCATCCATCCTTTTCTACAGGCAAAAGAAACGGTCAACAAGTTACTCCAAAAGGACCGGTGTTATTGATAGTATAACAAGTGAACTACAATTTGACCAAGATGATTGTAATCCGAAAGATTCAAAGTTACCTTCCTATGTTGGTATAAGTTGTACTATTTCTGGTTACAGTAATTACAGTCGTTATTGTTCATCTATTCGAGGTAGTTATAGTCGTGGAAGTAGCCCAGTCATGAGAAACTATGAAGTGCTTGATGGACCCAATGTAGTTGAACATCATTTCCATCATCAACATCATCACCATAACAATAATCATCTGGATACATCAACATCATCTACACAACAACAACACCAGCAACAAAATCATTTTCATCAACGTCAATCATTCATCTCACTAATCAATAATAATTCAACAACAACAAATAACTGGCCCAGAGAGGATAATGGTTCAATTAATGGTGGAATCTCAAACCACACCCAATATAATAAGAAGCAGAATAATAACAATAATGGTCTGATCTGCGGTGATTTGGATTATCAAGATGATAATAAAAGTGGATCAAGTGAAAAATCTCTAGTTCAAAGAAGAATTGAAAGTCTTTATGGTTCTAATGTGGCCGAAGTTTGGAGAGATTCTCGATCGAAAGTGAAAAAAGTGAATAAGAAAAAGATCGAAATGATCAACCATCGAAGTCCATCTTGTCCACCTCACGCTCTTCGGTCAAAAGAGTGTAATAGAAGTAAGAATAACCTTGTTTCATTTCTATTTCTTTACCAATTAATCATTTATCCATCATCACTAACCAACATTTCCATCCCTAAATTTGATTGATTATCAGAATGAAAATAATTGATTAAAATTTACTAATCTAATTTTTCACCATCTTCAGAGTCTCCAGCCGTTTTCAGCCATTTGAATGAAAAATTTTTAAGTAAAATCGACGCTGACCCCAAAAATGATCCAGTTAACGGACTTATTAATAGTCTTAATGAAGTTTTAAAAGTTAATGGCACTAAACCTAACGAAACTCAATCAAAACTTACAGTCGAAAACAATGGATACCATCATAGTGAAAGTAATGGACAAAATAATGACCAATACAATAATCATCCTCATCAGAATAACAATAACAATGGTCATCATCATATGAATAAAATCAATGGAAACGGTTTGACCCATCAACATCTCTCTGGTAACGATAATGATTTCGATAATGAACCAATTGACCAAGTTGATAATCGAGTTAATGTGATAGAAACATTGGATAATATTAAAGATAATGGTGACCATCACGAAGAGGAAATTCGTCAATTGAAAAGAGGTGAAATGTACTTGATAAAATTAGAAGAGACAATAAGTAAACTTAGAGTGGAAATCGTTAAAACTGAGAAAATATTGGAAAGTGAGTCTCACCTAATGAATGAAGAAATAATTGGAAATTTATTATCATCAATTGGAAAAGGAAACCTACTCATTGCTCAGAAATTGAACCAATTCCGAGAATTATGTCATAAAAACATTGTAAGTAAATCTCTCAACTTATTCATCAGTAAATCATTAAACTCAATGTCAACAATCAACATTGATGATAATCGAATGATATTAAACTTGAGAAAAAAAAAGTTTCCCAACAATCCAATATCACAATTACATGATATTCACCCTGGAGTGTAAATCAATGAAAATGAACTGAACAATCAAGTATTGATAATCGTAATCAAGGAAGATGATGATCAAAATTAACAGTTATTAACTTTACCCTTAAGGGCTTTTTTTCTGTTTGATTGCTTGTTGATTATGATCAATTAATGTTTGTGACAAAATTCAAAAAACTTAAAGTTTGTTGCTGTTTCTGTTTAGTTTTTCTCTCAAACAATTATTAATCATGGAAACAGAAATTAACTTTTAAACAAAGTTCAAAGTTAAATTAATGAACAACAAGAAACAATTTACTTAATTAATTTTGCTAATTTTTATTTTCCTTCAGAATGGTAATCACTTTGAACAATTTGCAACCAAAGATGAGGATCTAGATGGTTTCTGGGAAATGGTTTATATCCAAGTTGAAGATGTACTTAATGGTTTCCAAGAGATTTACAAATTGCAACAAAATAACTGGATTATCCTAACCAATAACAATGAATCATCATCATCTAAAGTAAGTTAATTTACAATTAACACCAATACCTCAATGATGATTACGTTTAAACGGACTAACTTATTTACCCTTTTAAGTTGTAGTGACTCATTTTTACTACTAAATGAAGGGAACGAATTTCAAGTCTCTCTCTCTCTCTTTCTCTATCATTGATTCAGTCTTTTTTTCTCATCATGTTTTCAATTGGAACGAAAAAAACAACCTTAGTAATAGAAACAGTGAGTTATAATATTATGATAATAATGGTTAATGTCATTTATCATCTCTTGATTAACGGTTCTTTTTGTTGGTGTTAACAATTAAGGAGAGTTGATTCACTTTTTTGATTCCTTGATTAATCTTAGCTGGTTTAATTTGTGTACGTCTTAATCTGTATTAATGTAAATTGTAAGTACGTGTAACCAGACAGAAATTTTTTACAACAATCAGCTAGTTAAACTGAGAATACTATTCTCAACAATTAGCAGTATAATTTAGTTGATTTAGTTAGTCAGTGAATGAGTGAGTGTTTGTGAGTGTGTGTTAAATTGTTTTCAATGTTTTTGCATCAGAAAAGGTTAAATTTCTCAATTGATCATCTCTCTCTCTCTCTCTCTCTCTCTCTTATATTAATTTTAAATTGTTGCTTTATGATTGTTTAAAAGGGTAACAATCAACTCTATTGTTGTTGTTGCGTGACATGAGACTCAAATTGTTGAATCAGATTATCCTTCAATTACTTTTCATCTTCATTTTTTCTGATTACATTTTCAGAATTTTGTTTTGTTCTATTGATATTCTTGATTAATAATCAAACGGATTTTGTAATAATATGTTGTGATGGAAAATTATAATTCTGATAAATTTAAATTGTTGAATTAATTTTGGATTATCATTGTTACTTTTTTTCTGCTGATTGTTTTGTCATTAGTTATACGCGATTACAATTTTCATTATTCATCATCCATATCTAATTTGCTGGAATCATCAAATAACCTCATTATAATTTAAATTGTTTGTCAATTGTTTATTAATTTTTCTTTTATTTTTGTTTGTTTGTTTGTTTTTTCGCTGATCGTTATTACAGATAACTCAACCAAAGATACGATCTCCAAGGAAAGTAAATGCTAATTCTAAGATTTCATCTAATCAGAAGCAGAATTCAAATCCAACCACCAGAAATACTGCTCGAGATGAGATGAGAAAACAACGCCTAAGGGAAGCTAAATTGAAAAGTCAATCTCTTCGTCAAGAAATGAAACAATTAGATGATGATATTGTTATTTTCGCCTCGCCAAGTAATGGTGATAATCTATTAATCAATAACAATGGTTCAACGACACAATCTTGATTAATGGCTCATCTCATCAAACTTACATCAAACGTGAACATCTTATTGTTTTTATCTTCATCATCATCTTCTTCATCTTCATCTTCATCTTCATCATTAATATCAACATCCATCAGCATTTATCATCTCAATAACACTCTATGTAATCTAATTCTATTTATATAAGTTGAGACTGAACGTAATCAAGAACAATCAAAACAACAATTAACAACAAGCTGATTTTGTTATTTATATTTGGTGAATTTGAATTACCCTTTACTGTTTCAAAACAAATGATGACAATTTAAATTGTGCTCATCACTATTAACTTTTCAGTTTATTATTACAATCATGTTGTTTTGTTAGATTGTTAAAAGTTTACTAATTGATGATTAAGATAATTAAGGAAGTTGCAACTTTCTCCTTCTTTCCTTTATCTTTTATCATCATTTAACTTTTCAACTAATTTCTAATTTATTGACTTGATAATTAATTATCATGATTATTTTGACTTTTGATTTTATCTGATCAATGTCATATTTGTAACAATGCAATTAAGGTTGATTAACTTGTCAATCTTCAGTAAGCTCAATAGTTTTTATTGAATCATCATAACATTTACATCAAGTTGCACATAATATTTAGGTGAGTTTCAATAAAGTTGAATTAATTTTTCAACTAATTATTAATAAATCAATTGATTAAAGTAAAAAAAGCCAATCATAAGCCGAAAAAAATCAGCTCAAAGTAAAAATTTCGAGCCGATTGACTAATATTGAGACTCGCCAACTATTTATATAATCATTTAATGTTAATTGTAGTATAATCTGTGTCCATCCAATTGTCATCTAATTGTAATTGACTGGTCACCATTTTTAGAATCAATCAAAAACATTTCTCTTCACATGATGTCAATCGTTAATCTAATTGTTAATCACAATAATCATCAACCATTTAATCAAATTTTTCCCCTTTTCATTGATTGTAATCACTATTTTATCATAATCATATTTAATTATTTTTTGTTTGTTTCCTTTTTTTCACAATTAAGGAAAAGATTTAATTGTTTCTATTTATTTCCTCAAGACTTGTGAACAATTAAATCTAATCAATGTTTCTAATTTCCGTTTATAAACCAAACTAGAATCAATTAAATCAAGTCTGACAAATCAAAAATCAAGTAAATCACTTAATTATATCGATAATTATATTAATCATTTCGGTTCGTTCAAAAGTTCACCTTGTTATTCAAAACGTACCACTGATTTAATAACAATTTAATTGAATCTGCTATCAAAGAGACAATTAATCTTAACCAATTAACCTTAATTTCTAATGATAATGGATTATTAAATCAAGATGAACGTTTAGATTGTTAAGGAGATATAACATCAATTAACAAAATAACAAAAATGTGGAAAAAATCAACACAATTAAAAGCGACAACAATTAAAAAAGACGTGATCATCTTATGAATTTACTGATTAATGTTGAATATTAACTGAATTGAAGCTTTATTTTCATTTTGAACTGAAAGTAATATTTTATTTTTCAATTAATTTATTGAATTTATCGAATGAGTTAAACTTTGATAAAAGCAAAGACTAAGTATAAATTAATTGCTTCCCATTCAGATTGGGACAAAGTGCCGATTCGTTCCAACTTTTTCTCTTTCCGATAGTAATTGAAAAATTGTTCTGCGTGAATATAATCGTCGTCTGATCCTTTGAGAGGTTCATCGCCCGGTGGCATAATCACAATCGTATATATGTGACCTTAAATAATGTTCAATATGAGAGTGAACAATCACAACCAAATAATTTTTACCAAAAATTCAACAACCCAGCTTCAGTAGTAGTAATAAATTTAGTCATTTAGGGTTATCAGAATAATCAATCAGTTTTGAATGAATTAATAACATCTTATTGAGATATTATATTATCGCCCGAAGAAAGATTGAGGTTGAGATTGAAAAAATTACATATTGGAGGCAGAAATTAATTTCATCTTAAAAAAATGTGAAATTTGAATTGTTTTTAATTTTTGGACTGAAAGTAACATTTTATTTTTCAATGAATTTGTTGAATTTATTGAATGAGTTAAACTTTGATAAAAGCAAAGACTAAGTATAAATTAATTGCTTCCCATTCAGATTGGGACAAAGTGCCGATTCGTTCCAACTTTTTCTCTTTCCGATAGTAATTGAAAAATTGTTCTGCGTGAATATAATCGTCGTCTGATCCTTTGAGAGGTTCATCGCCCGGTGGAAATGTTTCAAGAGCTCCCATTCGACTTAATAGTCCAGCTTCTTCGTCCTTCTTATGATTTTCTGCGTAAAAGTCTTCAAATCGTCGAGCAAAGGCCAATTTGAGTCCATATTTCTCTGCGATTTTCTCAAAGGTGGGAAAATGAACCAGAAACTCTGGACAATCGACACAACCTTCGAGATGGAAATTGTATTGGACTCCAAAGAGAGGAACGATTTTGTTTTTATCTGTTATACTTTCATCTTTAAATGTAACCGAATAGACTTCATTTCCAAACGAGGCTCCTTCTTTTCGAGCCTTTGCGACAATATAATTGGCATCGGGAGTGGTTCCAATGAACAGGCCATCTTTTTTCAAGTTATTAGCGATATTCTTGATCATAGTTTCTGCTTGAGCTAAACTCTCGAAGCAATAATGAAATGTGAATTGACAACTAACAAGATCGAACTGATTTTTATCTCCAAGCTTTTCAACAAGGCCTTTGGTTTCTTTGTATTTGATATTTAAATTATCTCGAGTACAATCAGCGTGTATGAAAAAGGCATCGAATAAATTTCCTTTATGTCTGAGCTTTGTCATTTCTCGATATCGATCACGACACTGAGCCAATGATTCATCAGCAATATCAACACAGACCAAATTAGCGACACCATGGATTCTATATTTTCTTAAATCTCCTCCTTTACCACAACCAATATCCAAAACAGTGACACTTTTGTTACGAATATCTTTCCGTTCATTCATAGTCTGAATCTTTGTCAATGCTTGAGCGATAATCACAGCTTTAACCCAATTGTTAAAATTACGTAGGTAATAGATTCGTGACTCCTTTCGAGATTCTATTCCCTTCTCCTCAATTCTATTGTAATGAGTGGCAATCACTTTAGACAATTTGGGTTCAGGAGCATCTTCATGATTTTCAGCTTTTCTTTTTTGCGAATTCATATTAAACCTAATAACATGAAAAAAAGGAACAATGTATAAGATTATCAAATAACACTTTCTCTGTCAAGAACTAATAAAACTCACCATTTATTGTAACCGGTGATCAAAATTAAAGAGTATTAATCACTTTTCAAATCCCAATAGTCTGGTAACCCCAAGACCGACAAATGTTAATCCAATTAAACTTGTTAGAGCAGAATGAACTTTAGCTTTTAATGGAGTATTTGCCGTGGCCAATCTTCCTTGGATGATTATATAAGCACCAAGAATAGTGACACCAGTACCACCAACTAGTCGACAAGGTGTACAACCAGGATCTTTTTGATTAGAAACAGATTTTGATTTATTACCATACGAAGACATTGAATCAAAAATTGACCAAAACAAAACCAAAAACCCGGCACAGAATAGGCAAGGAGAGGACAACAAGAAACTGTAAGCAAATGAATCTCAAGGATCAGAAAGAACAGAAAAAGGGAAAATATAAATCAAATTAATCAATTACTTATTAATTATAATAGAATCAGAATCAATAAATTAACAACTTCAACTTTAATCTCTCAATTGTTGTAACACAAACATGTGAATGAAAATAAAGCGAAGATGAAAAAGGCGCGTTTTTCAAATACGAGAAAAATTCTAAGAAAAATGAGAATTAAATTAAATTAAATCGAGAAAATTGATTCTTTTATTATTATCTAAAGTTAATTAGTGATTGAGATATGAGGTAAATGTTATATAAACAAAATAGAAAGTAGATAGTAGATAGTAGGTACAAATAGACAACTGTGATTGTTGTTGGTTTAGTTTTTTGTCTGTCTTGATTTGATTGTTGGGACAATTTAAATTGCATTGTATTCAACACAACGAGATGGATCAGCTGGGAAAAACCTTTGACACTTTGTGATTAAACGTTTAAGTGCTTGAATGTATTTCCTTTGTGTTTCATCATTTAATACATGGGCAATGTTTGCAGAGAAAATTTTCTCCCGTCCAGTACGAGCATGAATTCCGACCATGGTCACACCGATTGGCCAAGGAGCGTTTCCAATGGCCATCCGTAGATAAGCATCATTGGCTTTCACATAATCACGATCAAGTGTATACTTTACAATTAGAGTTAAATGTTTAAGGATATCATCGGCAATTTTGTTGTTCTTCAACTGTTTGAAAAGAGGCTTCAAATAGGCCTGAGTTTGGGTGTAAGTCGCTGATTCTATTTTACCTGCAGTTGATATTTTGTCTTCCTCTTCGCGACTGTTTAGCTTTTTGCCCCACAGTTCGAGGAGAAATTTAAATAATGTACAAATTATGTTACAATCTTGAGATTTGTCGTCCTTCCGTCGACCCAAATTAACGGCCAAGTCTCTAATCTCATCGATGTTTGTTTTCATCTCTTCAACGGCAACGTCGTGAGCTTTTTTCTTATCCTCATCATCACCATTGTTTTTTGATTTCATCAGTTCATTAAGATATTGTTGATCAACCTGTTCCATGGCTTCTTGGAAATCATTACGAAAACCTTTCTCACATTCTGGTTCAGCGACTTCCAATTGTCGTAATCTGTTAAAAGCCTCAACCAATGTTTCACCAAAAAGTAGAATTGGTTGATTTCGTTCTCGTAGTCGTTTGATTACCTCTTTTCTTGGTAGAATTTTATCATCAACATCTGAAAAAGGAACAAATCACAATTTAATACACAAAATAGATAATAGAAAATTCTGGAAAGTCAATTATTCGCATTCATCTCTTACCTCTGCTAGAAGTGAAAATGGAGACACGAGAAACAATATCATCGGTGTTTTTACTCTCAGCCCCGTCTCCCCTTAAAGCGGCTATTTTTTTACGATGTTCTTCCTCCTCTTTAGCTAAAAGATCAGATCGTTTAAAATACTTCTTGTCAGGTCCAATTAGTTTACTATCAACCAGTTCTTTCCGCTTTTTGGCAATCTCAGCTTTTAGAGCTTCCATTTTGTGTATCCTCTTCAACAGAAAATCAAACCTCCGTCCAATCTGAAATTGAAACAATAAACCTTAATCAAAGAAATACTGGTTTATAATTAAACAGAACATTAAATTTCATAAGAAAAACAAACAATTAATATAAAACAAACACAAACCTCTGCAATCAGATTTATAAATGTTGAGACATAAACAATTGATGTGAAAAAAAACGATCCGAATTCACTTGGAACAATCAACAGTTTTAGATGAGATTAAAACGGGAAAAGAATTCCAATGAGTCCATGGTAGGTTGATTAAGAATATTTTAGAAAATTAAATCAAGTTAATTGTCACAATTAAAAGAAATTAACAAAAGTAAACCAATTAGAAAACAATAACAAGTCAATAAGCTTGAAACCAGAAAAACTGGTTACCATTGGCAACCGAAAGTATTTGATCATTTTTCAAATGTTCATTTCGTTTAATTGTAATTAAAACGATTCTTAATATCACAATAACATTATCATGGAATCTTTGGTGAAAAAGGTGATTTGATGATTTGATAATTTGAGTTAAAAAAAGTTGAATTTGTTTATGGCAAAAGTGAATTAAAATGAGAATGTAAATTGTGATTGTAAATTGAAACTTGGGTTTGTGATCATTCATTGAGTCTGAGAGCGAAATCAATATCATCGGTTGAGACAATAAGACGAATTCGTCTTTGATTATCAACTTTATCTGGTTCCAAGTTGATTAATCTTGATTCGTGTAAACAATGAGCTATCTCAAGGAATTCAGAGAAATTAACACCATGCGATCCATCGGCTGCACAAATTTCCGACCAATAAGCGAAAATATCACTACAAGTTCCTTCCTCGGTTCCTGATATTTGGAAATGTTTACAAATTGCCAGAAGAAGATTCTTCTCAAATTCTGAAGCATCTCTTATGTAGATCATCTTAGGTGATGAGGTCGTTTCTGCGACGGCTTTTTTAACATGTTCCAAGGAAACTTGAAATTTGACACCTTTACTTTTAGTTCGTCCAGCGAAATCTTCTTCTGCAATTTCAATCGATCGACGGCAAATGTCTAAAACTTTTCGAGCATCTCCAGAAATCGAAGCAACTTTTCTAGCGATCAATTGAATACCGTCAGATTTGAAGGTCTCACTAATACCCTTGAGTCGAGCGGCAACAATACTCTGTAATTGTTCATGTTTATAAGGATGGAAAGGTAATCTACCAAAACCCGCTCGAGATCCGACCCGCTTTTCCATACGTTCAGGAAGATCGTGAGTATTGGCAATTGCGATGACCACTAATTTGGAATCAACTCTTGAAGGCCAATCAAACAAATGATAAAGAATATCTTGTTTGGTTGTTTGAAGAGAATCAAGTTCATCAACAATCAGAACAATAAATCGATCATTTCCACCTTCGCAAAATAGCTCATGTAATTTTTCCCCGGCTTTTTTGGCAGCTTTTCGTTCACCTGTAATCCCCTGGAATAGAAACACATCTTAATTTCCAATCTTTAACGATTATCTAATTACTTACATAATACACTTGAGAATATACTTGGTAAGGATCCGTTAATTTCAATCCGTTGACTTCAATGAAGAGAAGTGACTTTTTCTTTATCTTTAATTTGGTCGCATTTTCTTCAATAGATCTTCGCACACCTCTAACAGTAGCTGTTTTCCCTGTTCCAGGAACACCAGCAAGATAAAGACACCTAATTAAGAAAAACAGAGAATAAAAAGAAATTAACAATTGATGATAAACATTGAAACCGAAAACAAAAACCAAACTTACCCTCCAGTTTGAGCAGTAAATTGGGTGATAATGAAATCATATATATGATCAAACTCTTTCTCTCTACAGGGTAATTTATATTCCTTTAAAGGAGCTGAGGTTCGAAGATTTTGCTTAGCAATTCTTAGATTTTCCATCACAATTAAAAAAGATTCCAATCAACAGGTAAAGCAAAAAATGACCAAACAAACAAAAAAAAAAACAAACCAAATAAAGTTCAAACTTATAACCAGAAATAAGAAAAAGAAACTTGACCAAACTGAATATTCAACTTCTCTTAAAGTAAACTAAATGTAATTAACGAAAAGAATTAGATAATTAACACTATTGACCAAACAATTAGAGAAAATTCAAAATTCAAAATTTAAAAAGAAAAGAAAATGTTTGATCATCTGTTTGGTTTCCATTGGCAACAAACGTCTTTTTGGTAAACAACAAATTCTCACATTGATTTGGATGCGAAATGTTTACTAATTTTTCCTCTGTTTAATTAGAGTGATTTTTTTTAATTCTCACTTTGATTAGTTGATTTTTCTTTATTCTCTTTAAGTGCTAACTGTAATTTCTTAGTGAAAATGTCCTCATCTCAAGAAGAACCAGTTCTACTTCGGTGTTACAATGTTGCCTGTGGTAAAACTTATTCTGAATCGGACAATTCAGATGATTCTTGTATCCATCATTCAGGTCACCCTGTTTTCCATGATGCTTTCAAAAGTTGGTCTTGCTGCTCAAAACGTACAACTGATTTCACTGAATTTCTTAATTTTCCCGGTTGCTCTCGAGGTCGACACAGTAACGTTAAACCAGAACCAGCGACCAAATCATCGGATAACAATTCAATGGAATCTGCGATTCAAGAAATACTTAATAAACCAATTAACCTTAACGAACCTATCGAAAGGCCTCCTGAGGATAGTCCATTGGTCACTTTACCAGTAAAAATCTTACCCACTCTACAAAATCAACTGGACAAATTGATGGGACAAGTTAATCTTGAGCAAAAAGATCTGACAGGTTAAAAGATAATCAACAATTTATTTCTACTTCAAGTTAATCTAAATGAATTTCTTCTTTGCTTCCACAGAATCACCTGATAATAGTAAAATCGAAATAGGTACAATTTGTAAGAACAATGGATGTAAGAAAAGTTTCAATGGACCTGAAACCAACCAAGAAGAATGTCTATTCCACCCTGGTGTTCCGATCTTTCATGAGGGTATGAAATATTGGAATTGCTGTAAGAAAAGGACAACCGATTTTGAAACTTTTCTATCACAAGAAGGATGTCAATCAGCTAATCACCTTTGGAATAAAGTGAAACCCAAACACGATTCAGAAGAATCAAGGAGAACCTCTTGTCGATACGATTGGCATCAAACAGGAAAAGAAGTTGTTTTATCAATCTACTCTAAACTACCATTGCCCGATAAATGCCTAATCAAAGCAAATCCAGTTAAATTAGAAGTGAAAATCACATTTAGCGGACAAGAAGAAAAATTATTCATACACAATTTCATCCTCCACAATGTGATAGAAGTTGAACAAAGTTCAGTTGAATTTACTCCATCTAAAGTTGAAATTTGTCTGAGGAAATCGGACAAATCGCATTGGAAAAGACTTGAATTGGATCGTTAGAAAATGAGTAAGAATAATTTGCAATTAATGAAGAGTAAACCATTTGATTGATCCACTGAGAAAATGAAACAAATATAAAGCAAATGAAATCAAATTAGACTTTTATTTATTGATCAAATCAACAATGAATATTTAGCTTGAAAGAAAGATTAACATTTCTTGTGATTGGAAATCAAATCTTCAATCATTTTTACTGCTTGTGTACCAGAATTTGAGTTTCTCATATTTTCTGATATTTTTCTGACTCTTTCTTGTAATTGTTGATCATTTAAAACTTTCTCGATACAATTAAGAAAATAATCTTCATCAAACTCCCAAGGATTAACTCGATATCCAATCTCTTTATCAACGACTCTCTGGGCATTGTCCAGTTGATCCCCCAGCCAAGGAATCACAATCATTGGTTTTCCATGGTAAAGAGTCTCCATGAATGTGTTGTTCCCTCCGTGAGTTATAACCAAATCAACCTTTTCAATAACTGCGACCTGATTGACATATTCTTGTCCCCACATATTATCGGAAAGATTTAGTTTATCACCTCTTCGACCCATTGAGACGATAACACGATGACCACAACGAGCGAGAGCAGAAAGACATTTGTCCATCATCTTTAAATCATTAGAAGCAGTTGATCCAAGGGAAAAGTAAATCAACTTTCCAGGTTTATCTTTGAGTTTATCTGGTAACTCGAAAGTCGAACCTTCATCAGGAGATCGAACATAACAATCAATTCGATGCCAACCTGACTTGATCGGCTCTAACTCAGTGTAATCGAGATCAGCAGGATAATGATAAAAACCGATTGATTTCAAAGGCAAAACCCACTGTAGAAAAGTGAATACTTCAGATCTACCGGATTCTCGTAAAAGAGCATTGAAGCTCTCGTTCATCTTTGAATATGCTTCATTGCAACATTTCTCATACTCTTCCCATAGTTTAGGGTCACTATCCAAAGAAAATCCTGATAGACCTGGTGGACCTTTTTCGTATAAGATCAATGGTACAGCCGAAAACGAGGAAATGACCGGTATTGTCTGCCTGTAGATACAATCGATTATTTCTAATCCATCATGAACAATTGCATCGAATGAATTTGCACCCAAAATCGGAATCAAAGTTCGATTCAATTTCCTGTAAAGCTCAACTCCAAAAGACGCTGCTTCCTTTTCCTCTTCAGTGTAATTCTTAAATCTCTCTATCGGTTCTTGTCGAAACTTGTCCGCGTTCGCGTCGATCCATTTAAGAAAAACGTCCTCACAAGCAGTACCAATAATTGTCTCGTCAAAAGGAATGAAATTGAATCCATGTTGATCTGCGAGCTTTTTGTACTTCAATCGTTGAGCAAAGGTCACTTTATGTCCATGTCGAGCCAACAACTCACCAAAGCCACAAATCGCATTAATGTGACCATAACTAGAGTTTACGATTAAAGAAACAATTAGAATCAAACAATTTGCACTAAAAACAATCGTTACTTACGCTTCAATAGAAGTAATCAGAATATGATATGAAGGTTTAGACATTGTCACGATTAGTGAAACAACTCGATTGATTATCACTGGATTAATGTCTTAGGATCACATTTGATTCTTTATCTTTATTGAAAAACGCCTTTGGAAATGAAGGTGACACTTGAAAGTGATTTTAGTGCTTTCAATATGAAGGAAAAAAACTCGAGATAATTAATCACAAGATTAATGTATCTTTGATCGTTGATCACATTTGATTCTTTATCTTTATTGAAAAAATGCCCTTGAAAACATTAAAGGTGATGTTGATTGTTTTATACTAAAGTCTTTGTTGTCAACAAACACTCATGATTATCAAATGATCGAAGTGTACAAATTACATCACATTTTTATCGATATGATTTCAAGGGGATAGTAAGACAATTAAGACAATTAAGAGCTATTAATACAATTTATTATTGACCTTGAGGGTTGATTACTTGAAATCAACTTGAATCTCCGATTGAATTAAGTGAATGGAGATTTTACTTTTTTTTTGTTCTCGACAATCAAATCTTCAATCATTTTTACTGCTTGTGTACCAGAATTTGAGTTTCTCATATTTTCTGATATTTTCTTGACTCTTTCTTGTAATTGTTGATCATTTAAAACTTTCTCGATACAATTAAGAAAATAATCTTCATCAAACTCCCAAGGATTAACTCGATATCCAATCTCTTTATCAACGACTCTCTGGGCATTGTCCAGTTGATCATAGAAATAAGGAATCACGATCATTGGTTTTCCATGGTAAAGACTTTCCATAAATGTATTGTTGCCTCCATGAGTTATAACTAAATCGACTTTCTCGATCGCTCTTATTTGATTGATATAAGGTTCTCCCCACATGTTATCAGCTAATTGTAATTGATCACCTCTTTGACCAATTGAGACGATAAATCGATGTCCAGATCGAGACATTGCCGATAAACATTTTCTCATTAGAACCAAATCAGCCGATGCTCCAGTTCCTAATGAAAAGTAGATTAACTTTCCTGGTTTATCTTTAAGTTTCTCTGGTAATTCAAAGGGCGAATCTTCATCAGGAGATCGAACATAACAATCGATCCGATGCCAACCTGGCCTTTTAAGTCCACATTCAACATAATCGATATCAGCAGGATAATGATAGAAACCGATCGTTTTCAATGGTAACAAATAAGTCGACATCTTAAATGTTTCTGATCTTCCTGATTCTTTGAGAAGTTGATTCACTTTCTCTGTCATCTTTGAATGGGCATCGTCAAAGTGCTCAGTAAATGTTTGCCTTAATTCTTGGTCACTATTCACGGAAAGTCCAGAAAATGGTGGTGGAGCATTCGAGTAAAGTAATGATGGAACCAGGGAAAGTGACGTAATCAATGGTGTTTTGGAATTGTAAAGACACTCAAGGAAATCCATTCCATCGTGAATAATAGCATCAAATTGGTGTTCTTTCAGAATTTCTGATAATGTCTCGTTAAGAGCTCGATATTGATAAATTCCCAATGAAAGTGATTCTTTCTCTTCTTCAGAATAATTAGAGAATCGAACCATTGGATCCATTCGGAATTTAACAGAATTGGCATCAATCCAATCGCAAACACTATTCTCGAATAATGAGCCGATGATATTTTCATCGAAAGGGATAAACTGGAAGACACGTCTATCGGCAAGATGCTTATTCTTCAGTCGGTGAGCAAATGTCACTTTATGTCCATGACGAACCAAAAGTTCCCGATCGTTTTCAATGGTAACAAATAATTCGACATTTTAAATGTTTCTGATCTTCCTGATTCTTTGAGAAGTTGATTCACTTTCTCTGTCATCTTTGAATGGGCATCGTCGAAGTGCTCAGTAAATGTTTGCCTTAATTCTTGGTCACTTTTCACGGAAAGTCCAGAAAATGGTGGTGGAGCATTCGAGTAAAGTAATGATGGAACCAAGGAAAGTGAGGTAATCAATGGTGTTTTGGAATTGTAAAGACACTCAAGGAAATCCATTCCATCATGAACAATAGCATCAAATTGATGTTCTTTCAGAATTTCTGACAATGTCTCGTTAAGAGCTCGATATTGATAAATTCCCAATGAAAGTGATTCTTTCTCTTCTTCAGAATAATTAGAGAATCGAACCATTGGATCCATTCGGAATTTAACAGAATTGGCATCAATCCAATCGCAAACACTATTCTCGAATAACGAGCCGATAATATTTTCATCGAAAGCGATAAATTGGAAGCCACGTTTATCGGCAAGATGCTTATTCTTCAGGCGGTGAGCAAATGTCACTTTATGTCCATGACGAACCAAAAGTTCACCGAATCCACAAATTGCACTAATGTGACCTGATCTTGAATACAAAGAATTTCAATAAAATCATTAAGAAAGTAAATACAATTAAGAACAACTAAGACAATTAATCAGATTTAGTGATGCTAATTGATGAAACTTTGATTGATTGAAACTAATACTTACGCACAGATACAAGTAATTAAGATATTATAAGAAGACATTAATACAAAAAGCGAATTACAATTTGAAATAAACACTAACGTTTATTATTCATTAAGTTTTGGAAATTTTATAATTTCTGTTCATAAATTATTGGAATCACGGAATAAGATTCAATCACCATGGATACAGTAATTGATCATTTAGCAGTAATTTCAAATTACTGAATGAATTTAACTTGAATTTCCAATTGAATCTTTAATTGTGAACAGATGAAAGATCATCAGTCAATCACTTTTTCACTCTCAACAATCAATTTTGTTAAACTCCTTCAGCACCAGAAAGACACTTTAAACATATTAAAAGGCACTTTGGACATGTTAGAGCGCAAGGTCAGTTTCGATCGTTGTCTTTCAAGTTTTACAAAAAATCAATCATTTCCTTTTCCTCTCATCTTTTCTGATCTTCCTCTTCTTGAGTCATTATCTGATTATTAGGAAATTATTGTGAAAATCAAACCATAGATCAACAATTGATGAATTAAAATAAACTGTGCAATTTATTGTTGATTATCAAGGTGTAGTTTCATTATAAATTGGTTGTATGATGAAAATTTAGCTTGAATCTCTAATGAAATACAAATTACACCACATTTTTATCGATATGATTTCAAGGGGATAGTAAGACAATTAAGACAATTAAGAGCTATTAATACAATTTATTATTAGCCTTGAGGGTTGATCACTCAAAATCTACTTGAATCTCCGATTGAATTAAGTGAATGGAGATTTTACTTTTTTTTTGTTCTCAACAATAAAATCTTCAATCATTTTTACTGCTTTTGTACCAGAATTTGAGCTTCTCATATTTTCTGATATTTTCTTGACTCTTTCTTGTAATTGTTGATCATTTAAAACTTTCTCGATACAACTGAGAAAATAATCTTCATCAAACTCCCAAGGATTAACTCGATATCCAATCTCTTTATCAACGACTCTCTGGGCATTGTCCAGTTGATCAAAGAACCAAGGAATCACAATCATTGGTTTTCCATGATAAAGAGTCTCCATGAATGTATTGTTCCCTCCGTGAGTTATAACCAAATCAACCTTTTCAATGACTGCGACCTGATTGACATATTCTTGTCCCCACATATTATCGGAAAGATTTAGTTTATCACCTCGTCGACCCATTGAGACGATAACACGATGACCACAACGAGCGAGAACGGAAAGACATTTGTTCATAATTAGTAAATCATTAGAAGCAGTTGATCCAAGGGAAAAGTAGATCAACTTTCCAGGTTTATCTTTGAGTTTATCTGGTAGCTCGAAAGTCGAACCTTCATCAGGAGATCGAACGTAACAATCGATTCGATGCCAACCAGGCATGATTGGCTCTAACTCGGTGTAATCGAGATCAGCAGGATAATGATAAAAACCGATTGATTTCAAAGGTAAGATCCATCGAGTCGGTAGAAATACTTCAGCTCTCCCTGATTCTCGTAACAGAGTATTAAAATTTCTTGTCATTTCCTCGTAAGCGTCAGTACAATATTTGTTGTACTCTTCCCATAGTTTAGGGTCACTATTCACAGAAAAGCCGGACATTCCAGGAGGACCCTTTTTGTATAAGATCAATGGTGCACCTGAAGCAGATGAAATAACAGGAATCAACTGCTTGTAAATACAATCTAAAAAATCTAATCCATCATGAACAATTGCATCAAATGAATGTTCACCCAAAATAGGAGTTAAAGCTTGGTTTAGTTTTCGAAGAATCTGAGCGCTGAAAGCCGCTGCTCTCTTTTCCTCTTCGGTATAGTTCTTAAACCTCTTTATTGGATCTTGTCGATACTTGTCCGCGTTCGCGTCGATCCATTCTAGAAACGATTCCTCACAAATATCACCGATAATATTTTCGTCGAAAGGAATGAAGTCAAAGCCATGTTGATCTGCGAGCTTTTTATACTTCAGTCGATGTGCAAATGTGACTCTGTGTCCATGTCGAACCAGCAACTCACCGAAACCACAAATCGCATTAATGTGACCATAACTAATGTTTAAAGTTAAAAAAAGTCGATTAGAATCAAACAATTCACACCAAAGAAAATCAAATACTTACGCTTCAATAGCCGCAATCAGAATATGATATGAAGGTTTAGACATTGTAACAAATTCTGGAAAAATCCGATTGGTTGTCAATGGTTTAATGATTTATATTCGCATTTGATTCTTAATATTTATAAAAAAAACATCTCCGTAAATGAAAGTCGAAACTTGAAGGTGATTTCAGTGCTTTTTCCGTGTGAGATGAAAAACTACGATTGTCGTCAAAAGAAAAGATAATCGTTATGCACAAGACACTTTCATCCATATCTCTTTGTTTCTGTTTCCTTGTTTCTGATTGTTTCAATTTTTAAGTGGATAATCAGACAATTAATAAGTCTAACTCAATAAAATTGGATTAATATCGCAGATTCATATTTGATTTTCCATCTTTATTGTAACAATCTTCATTGAGAAAATATCAAAGGTGATGATTTTATATCAAAGTCTTTGTTGTGGCCAAACACTCATGGTTATCAAATGATCAAAGTGAGCAAATTACATCACACTTTATCGTTACAATTCAGCGATGTGATACCAAGGCGATAATAAAACAATTAAGAGCTACTATTAATACAATGCGAACAACCGTTAGATTAACATTTAATATTTACGACGAATTAAAATAAACTGTGCAATTTATTGTTGATTATCAAGGTGTATTTTCATTATAAATTGGTTAGATTATTTTAAACAGAGAGAAATTTATTGATTACAATTATTTAGTTTAATCACTTTTCAGGTATTTGATTTTTTGATTCACTAAAATCATGAAAGAAAGCACCATTACCTCCCACTCCAGATCCACTTTTACGTGGTAACGGTGAGGGTATTTGATGAATGGATCCATTGGTGGGAATCGTTTTCTTACAAATTTTAACTGAACTATTATCAGTGATGATCGATCCCAAGGTTGGTGCAAAGTGACCTCCGGTACTGTGTTGCGATATATCGGGTAGATGGTCAGGCTTAAGAAAGGGAGGCCAAAAGCCGAAGGTATCTCGAAAGGCAAGGCGAAATTTAAGTGATAATAATTGGTAAAGAATCGGGTTAATTGTTGCAGTTAAATAATAAGTAATACCGGACACATGGGTCAATACAATTAAAATGGTTTGGACAAATTTAGATGAGTTTTCAGCAACATGAATGGCCAGAACTCTTTGAGCATGAAAAGGTGACCAACATATGAAAAAAGAGACCACAACAGCCACTATTTAAAACGAATGAAACAAATCAAATCAAATCAAATTAATCCATAAAGATCAATAAAACGATAATCGATTATGAATAATAACAAAATTCGATCCTCGAACTTACCTAACATTCTGACGATCGCTCTTCTCTTATCCAAATGTTGTTTGTAACTTTGCTGATTGTAAAGTGTCGCATCTCGGCTTCCATTCAGAAGATTATTATTATTACAATTGCTTTGAGAATTATGATTAACTGCCGTCGAACTGGTGTCGGGTGATCGGTCCCCGTTAGAATCGGTTCGTGAGGTTATTGATGAGGTTCGTCGTAATCGGATTCCTATTAATATGTACAATATGGATATGACTCCCATTGGAAGGACAAAGAAACAAAAAGTAGCCACTTCGAAAAGGTATTCAACCGGACTGGCGATACTACAGATCGCCGATTCCTTATTAACTTGACCATTATCATGTTTAACCTGAGAATCGACAATGAAACAAAACAATTAACTCGCAGTTCAACAATTAACATACAAAAACAATTTGGTGAACAAAACAAAACTAATTAATTCAACTATTCAAATGAATGAAAGAATTGAAAATGTTTAATATTTTTTTTTCACCTTAATTTGAGTAAAATTACAATGACAATTAGTTAATTGCTACTTCCAGGTTGATCATTATGATGTGTGAATGAACAATTGATTGTTAACAGTTTAATTCAAATGATTTCCTTTTTGCAATTTCAATTGATTTAATTTTTTTCTCTTCAATTATTTCTTTTAATTAATTACAATTTCAACTAATTGATTTTCATTAATAAAATTAACTTTGTTTGTTAATAGCTTTTAATAATAATAGTGAGGATTAATGTTTGATAATTATTACAATCATTTTGATTTGATTTGATTTGATTCGGTTGAATCTCCCAAGATACTAATTCATATTATTACTGATTAACTGAAACAATTTAAGTGTATTAACATTGCTACACCAAAAGATTTATATTATTAACTCATTTGATTTATTATATTACCATTCAAGTTGACGAGCCATTAATTTAATTTGATTGCAATTGAACAGAGAGATATATAAATATTTTCATCATTAAGGTATCGCCAACAATTAATATTGATCACTTGTCAGTCACAATTAAATTGACAATTGTATATAAATATAATAAAATACTAGACCAGATCAAAAATGATAACAATCAGTTAATCATATATCTCCATCACCTTATAATCAACCCCTAAAGCAATTAACATAATCAATTGATTGTAATTTTGATTAAATTACCAATTGATTGATTGATAAGTTGGTCAATATGTATGTTGATTGGGTAAGATAATTAATCCATAATTTAATCAATAATCTTATGCAATCTTACAATATAAAGTAATCAAGTTAATTGTCAAATACATAAATTTGATTAACTGATCAATAGCTATTACAAAATCAATTAAATATTAACAATTACATGTTTACCTGACATAAACATGAAAACTTTGATTGAACTTAATTGTTTGACTCAATTTAAACACAATCAATAGAAAAGCTAAAAGCTGAAATCAACAATAACAATTAAGGTAAATCGTTATTCCCAAAGTTTTCAATAATAAACGATAACAATTAAGTATTGATACTAAATATTTACATTGATGACAATGCTTGAATCGTAATAATCTGATTGTAATTTGGTTGATTGTTTGACAATGAATGAATAATGAAAACGATGCTCAATAACAATCAATGGCAAGATAAACAATGTATTGTTTTGGATATTGATTGTTGACCAACTGGACACAAGGAGAGGAGCCAAATGAAACTTACCATGTAAATTATATCAAAGGGATAAGCTATTGGTATTGCTGCTATAGCCGAGATGGCCCAGATAATTAGGATAACTTTAATTGCTCTGGACAATTTGGACATGGTGTGAGCTCGAAGTGGATGACAAATGGCAAGGTAACGTTCAACGGTGAATGCGGTGATGGTCAGAATTGAGGCATTGGTCGAGGTTTCTGAAGTGAATGCTCTTAATATGCAAAAAGGTTTACCCAAAATGTAAGGATATTTACGCCAGAGAGCATAAAGTTCAGGGGGAAGGCCAAAGTTTAAAAGTAAAAGGTCAGAAATGGCAAGTGAAAAGAGATAATAATTGACCGTTGTATGCATATACTTGTTACGTTTAATAACAATACAGGTACAAACATTACCAATTGATCCAGTGACAAATATGATCGTGTAAATAACTGTCATGGTGATTGTGGTGGCCAGTGGATCACGAACTGGACCTAAGACACTTTCAAGAGTCGCGTTATCAAGGTTTGAGGAAGTCGAAACAGCGGAAACAGATGATGATACAGAAGAGGAACCATAAGCTGAAGCGGAAACTGAAGATGATGGAGATGAGATGATCAATGAAGATGGATTATCATTCAATGTCAATGTATTATTAAAAATGCTATTAACTAATGGGTTGGTAAAAATGAATGCAATTGAACCATTGGTATGAACCATGATGGTGATGGTAAATTGTATTCGATAAGGTGGATGATTATCAAGATAATAAGATGATAATAAATGATGATGATGATGATAGTGAGATAGTTATGATGATAATCAATAGTTACTCATAATCCTGATGGATTCAGATGATTATGATCAGGTGATGATGATAAACTTATCTCGAGATATATATAAATTTATTTGTATATTAAGGCAAAGGCTGAATGATAATCCATTGTGATGATGATAAAGATGATCAAAAGCTTAAATTTGTGATGATAATCATTATATTATAATGATGATGATGATGATTATGATGATATCATGAAAGATGATCTTGATCAACGTTGGTTTTTGGTATAAAAAAAATGATGAGATGAAATCACAATTAACTTTCTGCTTGATTCAGGTTATTTCGGGAGTAATTTCAAATTACTTATTAGAACAATTTAAGAGAATCAATTACATATGAATTAACTATCACTTGGTATCCTTATTATTGTTACACTGTGATAATTGAATTTCCTTTTCAAGTTGATTAATTGGAGAAAAAAAATTCCAGTTATTTAAGTGATTTCCAGAAAATCTTATTATTTCACTTTGGTTTCCTGAGTAGTTTGATTATAACAATTAGTAGGCAATTATATAAAGTAACAAATAAGATGGTAATTAAATTGTTAACGTTGTAATGATTTTGGTTAACGATGATTAGATTGTATTGTTGAGTGTAAATTGTTTATGGTTGGTTAAAAAAGAGATGATGAAAAAATTGTTGATTCGTTTTTTTTTCTGATTCACATTCAATCACTTGTGAAGATGATGTTTAAAGATGATGAGGATAAGAGGTGAGAAAGTAAGAAAAGAAAGGTTGACATGATGAATTCTGTGAGATATAAAGAGAGAAAGTGAGAGAGAGAGAGAGAGAGAGAGAGAGAGAGAGAGAGAGAGAGAGAGAGAGAGAGAGAGAGAGATGATTAGAACAGTGAGAAAAAAATTGGAGTTCTAACAGCGCAACTTTAGGAGCATTCGTCCTGATTTAATATGTTTGATGTTGAACAAGAATCAGAAAATGAGCTCTGATTTGATATTCTGAACACAATTAACTGTAAATTATCAGATTAACTCAATTCTGTCAATCAGATTTATCATGAAACCATCAGAACAATGATTAGACGAGTAAACAGAGACTATGGACAAAACTAATATACAGTTTAGAACTTATTAGAACTTTAATTCGATTAGGAAAACAAAAGCTCGACAATTGATTTCAACGAATTGACATCGAAATTGAATCGTTTTGAACAGTTCACTTGGTTGGTAATTTTGATAAAATACAATTTTTATGATTCGGTTTAACTAATCATTACTCAATTACTTTCTGCTATTACCAACAATCAATTTAAATTATGATGATAATAAGATAACATTGTATTTAAATTATCACCTTACAACATGAAGCTGATAATTTAATTTACATATTACAAAGTGAATTAAATGATTATGTTAAATTGGTTAAAACATGATTCAAGTAAAAAGGTAAATCATGTTTACAGTTTGATTATGGTTAACATGAGATTGTGATTTAACAAATTGTTAGCTATCAACAGGCAAACAATTTAATCAACAATCAGATGAAATGCAAAGCAAAAAAAATAAAACTGATTAATTGATTGTCGTCAAGTTAATCAGTTAATGGTTTATTGGTTCACAATTGAAATTAATCGGATGATTTACCTGAATATTATTACTAAAGGTAAGCAAACCTTGAGGATATAAATTGCTCATCAATTCCAGAATCTATATCTGAATGAGTTATCATGATAGATTGAGTTCAGAATTCACTATTAATAATATGATTTTCTTTGAGTTGAAATCTGAATGATGATGGGTTTTTATTTCCTGGAAAATTGAGTTTTCTGTGGAAAAAAAAAAGTTTCGAACAAAATTTTTCACTCTCACCAAAGTCTGACCTATTTTCATGCTACTTCATGATAATCAGAATCATGACTAATTACCATGAAATTGGAAATAATCACTTGGAGCCAAATAGGCCAATAATTTAAGTCTAACAAACTAAATCAACGCTGATTGTTGGCTTCAAGTAAAGGTAACAATTTATTACATTGTAACCCATTTCCACTAATTAATTAACCCACAATTAAGTTTTCGACTTTTTTCCTGGTTAACAACAATTAATAACCTTAAATTGTGTTAAGGATAATCACCTTAATTCTGACTAGAAGAGTAAAAAAAATTGGTTCAGTCCATTGGATGGATCATATTTCATTTGGTGATAATCATTCATTGTTATCGATACACATTTAATATTCAATTTCATGGTAATCATGATTATCTACCATGATGATTACCATGAAACTGAAAAAAAAAGTTAAATGGTTCATGATGATGATACACAATGATAATGATGATGGTGTGATTATCATGATGATAATAGTTGGTTACCAATTTAAGTTTATTGTTGGGTGGGTTTTGTGGGTTAGATTAATGGTATTGGTCAGTAATGGTCATAAGATGATATCCTGCTGATGGTGATTATCCTCATCATCACCATGATGATCATGATGATGACCATTAGTTGCCTTTGCTGATGACACAAATTTTTTAAGAACTTTTTTTAGCTCTTCTATCATGCTTTTTTTTGTTCGATATCAAGAGAAAGTGATAGAAAGTTCTGAAAGTTCTGAAAGGTTCTGATGAAGGTAAATGATGATCGTCACCATGATAAAAATAATATTTTAAATTCGAAACTCTTTTTTTAGAAGTTGAATCAACCCTTTAATCATAAACACTCACACCACAGTTGAATCAACATGAGTTGATATTCTTGTCCACCTTTCTGATATTATCGTTCTCATCCTCATCCTTATCTTCATCCTCGTCCTCAACCTTCAACTTCATCATCTTTGTCATCATCATGTTTCTATGCCTTCAGAACTTTCCTTCAACCAATAAATCACTCAATTCATGATGGTCAACTTTTTATTCCAATTATTCAGCTCGAGTTTTGGGATAGATTTTTTCCAAGTTCAATTTTTCTTTTCTTTTTTTTTATTCTCTTTTCTCTGAAAAAAAACTACAAAAAGTTCTGGACAAAAGATAGATTGAAATCTTATATTTTCCTCTCTTTATATCATAATGATAAATGTTACAATTAATGGAAACGAATTGCAATTAGCTTTCGAGATGAAGTAAAAAGTTCTGGAAACGAAAACAAAAGTTTTCATGGAAACACAATCGATAAAAATTGTATCATTATTTTCATTAAAATCTCATGTAACTATTATAATTTTACTTCCATTCTGTCAGAACTATTTCCGAAATACATTTCATGAGGAATACAACAAGAGAAGAGAAATCAAAAATTCAATTTTCAGAGATAAATTCAATTGGAAAAACTTAACATTACGACTCTCAGCTGGCAGAATATGAAGAAAAAATTTCCAATTATTAGTAAACATTATCATCATGATGGAAACATGATACATGATAACCCAATGCTCAAACCAATAATTCATCTGAATGAACATGATGACGACCATTCAATGGTCATCATCATGATTTTCCGGATTAAAGCAAAAAAAAAGTAAATAAAATGTTTGGATTTTTTTTTCTTGTTGTTCAAATGAAAATCAATTTACCATAACCAAATTTAACCATTGAATTTACATTGAATCAGGGAAAGTAAAAAGTTCATCAGAATCTCAATCATGGTTGGCTGAGTATTCAATATATATTCATTGAATACAACAATTTCCATAGTTCCAATTCAAATCATTCTGATGTATTTTATTTAACCCCCTTTTTCATGGGTCAACCAATTTAATCAACAACAACAATCAAATATGTAATCGCAATAATGGAAATCATTTTTTGCACTTAATCAATATCGTAATCATCATATTACAATCAAGCCTACAAACTCATGACTATCATAATAATCAGGCTAGTGAACCTGGTCAAGTAACAATTAGTTAATTGTTGAGATTATTTTTGAAGGTTTAGAGGTTTTTTTGTGAGCTTTCCATTGATAATTAACTGTTCAGTGGTTTTAATTAATTCAAAGTAATCAACAATCAATAAGTGTTATCATTGTAATATGGTTAGACTTAATTGTTGTTCAGCTAATTATCATTAATTGTTGTATGTCAATTGACCTTGTTATATTGCTATCCTATGGTTGATTAGTTGATTATCAATCAAGTTAATTAATGTTATTTGATTTCGCTTGATTGTGGTTTACAATTGTTCAATTAATTTGATTTACAAAATGCTGATTAAAACACGTTGAGATTAATCCTATTGATGACCATTGGTCTTTAATTGTTGGTGTTACTGGTTAATGATTAACATGATTGTTGATCACAAACTTGACCAGTGAATTAAGTATGTTTAATGATTGGTCAGTGCACTTAATTGTGATTAGTGGTAATAGTTGTTTCTTGCTTGAACAATCAAAATTACAATTTAACCTGAATACAAATGATGTAACAATAAATTTTGATTTTCAAGTTTAACTCAATCAATCTGATGACAGTTAATTGTCACAATCTAAATTGTATCTCTGTCAAAAAATAAGCATCACTTAACCATCCCAAGTAAATTATTATCATCCTTCAATCAATTAAATCATAAGATAATTGCCTATTGATTAAAGGATAAACATGACGATGATTATAGTTAATTGTTGCCTGATGACATTGATAAACAATCAACCCTAATTGTCACCCAAGTAACTGTTAAACTTTAAAGTGACAATTAAGTGAACCATTTTTTTTTGAATCGACGCCTTTTCGAGTATCAGTTAACATAATTTTCATCAACCATGAATATCGATTCCAGAATTTCAAGTGTTCATGGAGAGGAAAAGGAAATGGATGAGTGAAAAAGGTGTGTCAATGTGTTACCAATGAGATAGTAATTGAAATGGAAATAAACTTCAATTGTTGAACAAAATTATCTATGATTGAGCTGATCAAATGAATGAACTTTTCCATCTTCATGGTGATTAGTAAGTAACAATATTATCTCGTATCCAGTTGATCAAAAATTTGCATCAAGTTGAAAAAAAAGTTCCAATTTCAATTGTTCATTTGTCTCCGTTATCTTTTTGCATAAACATGGTAATGAAAAAAGGGAGAAATCTCTCTGATTGTTCAGATAGACAAGTCATCTTTTCATGGTGATAATTCATTTTCTCGGTGATTCCAAAAACCATTCAGATGAAATTATCATGTTGGTGATTTTTTTTTCTTCATCAACATTAAATGTCAATTGTGTGAGTCTTTTGAAAGAATCACCATTGAAAGAATAAAAAAGAAAATGAAAGATTTTTTTTTCCTTTTGTTATTAATTCCATTTGGATGATCCTTTTCATCATCTCCATGATTATCTCCAGAATTTCCCATTTCATGAACTTTTAAACAACTCGAAAAGTTATATATAAAATCACGAGTTCGAAAGGAATAAAAATTCTGATATCCACCTAGAAGAAAATTCCAAATCATCAAATATAACTTTATCCAAGATTTTCTTCACCTCTACAACATGATAATTCCGATCTGAACTTCGTATCACTCAGAGTTATGAATATATGATTTCCATGATAAAAAAGAGTCCACGTGAATTAAAATAATCGTTTGCATGAGTAAACTGAAGGACATCATCATTCACACACTATCATCATGATCCAGTGACAAAAAAAACCCGATGAATACAACTGAACTAATTCAGAAAGATGAGAAAAAAAAGATTATGATGAAAAAAAACTGATTCCATGAAGATGAACATTAGTTTCATCATCTTTTCTCATCTTCGTCATAGTTTCTTAACCTTATCATCTCAATCCATTGTTTACTGGGAATT